GGGGCCACACAGAGGTAGATCGCAAAGAGGGGGATGAACCATGGAGGGCGTTGTCGGGGAAGGCAGAGTGTTGAGTGCAGACACGGTGCACACAGTGTTGTTGCGAGCCAGAGAAGCCAAGCGTAGTAGACACGTAAGCCAGAGGAGCGCCAGAGGGAGGGAGAAAGGGGGGGAATGAACCACGACGGAGGATGTCATCGGGCATAGCGGAAGGCAGAGTGTTGAGTACATGGTGCGCAGCGTTGTTGAGTGCAGACACGATGCACGCGACATTGTTGCGAGCCAGAGGAGTCATGCGTAGTGGATGCATAAGCCAGAAGAGCGACAGAGGGAGGGAGCAAGGGGGGGAATGAACCACGACGGAGGGTGTCGTCGGGCGGTGGTGGTAAGAGACCAACCTGTTGAGAGCGACATTGAGAAGCACGCGATTACCAAGAAAGGAATCAAGGCCGGCTATGGGAATATACTCCCACGGCAGTCGGCGACACGGAGGGACAGCTTTAGGATAGGAGGGGAAGGGAGAGCATCAGTTGTACGTGAGGGAGGGTGGATGTATGCGGTTGGTATGAGAGGACGCACCAAGTACATACAGAGGGCGAGCGTGACCGCGGAGGGCAAGGGAGAGTGGGCGTAGTAGAGCGGACGCACGCGCATCATGGAAGGGTCACAGGAGGGGCGAAGCGCATAGGCAGTGACAGCTGAGGGGAGCGCGTAGGCAGTGAACAGCAGCATAAGGGTGGGCGTGGTAGGCTCAGGGTGAGGGTTAGGGAGGGGCGAGGGATGGCGTAGGCCGGATGCAAGGAAGGGGGCAGACGGTGTGAGTGGGGAGGGCGGCGTGGGCAGCACAAGCAGGGGATGACAGGCAGAAAAGGCTGACACAGCGGGCAGGGTGGCAGGGCAAAAAGGGGCGAGTGGCACGGGACGGGACGGAATGAGCTCGAGGGATGGGCAGGCAGACCGAGAGTAGTGGGTGTATGCGTGTGGGAGGGGTGCAGCAGGGATGAGGGATGACGTAGGGCATTGCACAAGGGGCGGGGAGGGCAGCAGACACGGGGCGTGGCGGGCAGAAAGCACCAAAGGCCGTGGGGCTGGTGGGCGTAAAGGGCAGGCAGGCAGGGCAGACGGCGGGGCGGAAAGGGGCGAGTGGCACGGGACGGAACGGAACGAGCACAGAGGGAGGGGCTGAGCTCGACGGGACAGAGGGGTGGCGCAAGGGGCGAGGCGGGCACAGCACAGCGGGTGAGATTGTCCGAGGAAGGGCCGGCGGGCGGGAAACGGGCAGGGCATGCGCACGGACCGAGTGACGAGCAGGGAGGGGAGGGCAGGCACGTACCAGTGCAGGGCATTGCACGGAGGTGGCGGTGCTGTCGCGGGCGCCCCAGCGCGCACAGACCAGGTGACGTGCACGGATGGGCAAAGAGAAGAGCAGCACCCGCGGATGGGCAGGCACGTGCGGATGGGCAGCTGGCAGGGCGGGCGCGGGCTGGCGGGCGCCCCGCAAGATATTCGAATTTCCTGGGATTTAAATTTCGGGCCAATTCCTCGCGGCCCGCGCAGCTCGGTCAGTTTTCGTCCGTTTTTCACTTTTCCACGTGACACGGATAGCCCTCGACGGGCGCTCTCGAGGGGTGTGGCGCGCGTGACGGAAAAGTGCGTCACGGTCACGGAAACAGGCGGCCAGCACCGTGGGACCATTCAGGTCGAGCGCGGGCAACGGAATAGAGCTAGAGCTAGGCCGTGTCGTCGTCTTGGCCTATTTGTAAACAACACGTCAGTGTAGATCTGTTTCTCGTACTGGGTATGTAGATTTTATGTTTCTGTGTACAGAATGCAGTACGCATAGGCATTAAATACACAGCCTCTGCTCTTTGTCATCGTCACCCGAGAATGGGCGTTTGACCTTACTCTCCGACGGTGCACATGTGGGTGTGTTGTGTAGGTTGAGATTTGTGCGTATCCCCACCAGAATGGCAGGCTCAGTGGATGCTCGACAGGCACGAACGACGGCTGCTTCTTCAAGCGAGGCTTGTGGACAAGGACAGCTGTGCATCAGCTGTCAGCATGTGCGTGTCCGTCCCTGGCCATCCATCGTCATTATTTATAGTCTACAGAGATAATGACGGCCTGTGTGTTCATCGGCAGGAGGGCAGCGGGGCGTCTTCTTTCGGGCTGGGCGTGTTTCATCTCATTAGGGCGTCTTACATCCTGCGACCACCATTGAGAATGGGGGTCGACAAGCCCCTTTGGCGTGTTACAGGCCGGTGGATGGCCTCGGGAAGGGGTCGACAGGCCTCTTCGGCGTGTTACAGGCCAGTGGATGGCCTTGGGAGGGGGGGCAGGTCATTATCTCTGTTCACCAGAGATAACGACAGCCCTGGAGCTCTGTGCGCGTCATTATTTCTGGCAACCAGAGATAATGGCACTCAGGGGACCTCGCGGAGGCATTTTGGGCCCAAAACGTAACACGGCCGTGTTACAAAAAGTATATTAATAGGGGACCTCGCAGAGGCGTTTTGGGCCCAAAATGTAACACGGCCGTGTTACAAAAAGTATATTAATAGGTGTTTTGGTTCATGCTGGCGCTATGTTGTCTCGAGAGAGGACCTCGCGCTGATCACGGTTCTCACCCCTCTCTATATCTTCCAGCTTCATGACCACGTTTCCGGTATTTAACAGCAGCCTTAACCCGCGACGCACCGAAACGGGTGGCGATGAGGTGCGTATATCCTTGTTGACCTTCACTGTCGACTAAGGTTCGCTGTTCTTTCCTTTGCTGCTGCTAGACAGTTGACGAGGGCTCATTCTCCATTCTTACAACGCCTTTAATGGTGCAAAAAATGTTCAGACCGTCGCCGCGCACCGATCCTCGATTTGGGCTGCCCGTGGTTGGCCTCTCGCAAGGCCAGCGCCTCGCTTTCCGACTGCATTCCTCTCTGAGTATCACTTTCGGGAAGTCGCAGAGACGCTCGATCTCGACATGGCTGAACAGGAACCCAGACCCGCCGCCGTAACTACTGCATCCTGCAATGTTCGAAGCCGCTCTCGGGACTCCATTTAGGAGTAACGTAAGCCGTACGAACATGGAGGCAACTGATGAAGTCGATGCGACGGCGTCTACTGGGTACGTCTGTGCGAGACGTTTTGCCATACTTTCGACATCCCTTGTTCCGACGTCTTTTGTTCAGTTTATTTCGGTGCTTATTTTTTGTCTTCTTTCTGTGCAGTCCTGATGGCTGAGCGGCGCGGACAAGTTTGTCTTTGAGTTCCTTATTTAAATCTCACGGACATGTACTCTACTGAAATCTAATGCGTGACGGTCTGCCGTCTTTTCAAAGCGGCGTTATGATTCGCGTAAGCCTGAACACTTTGAGCGCTGTCCTCTTATAGGGTCGTTCGATACCCCGTCGCCGTTGAAGGCTGAAGCATTTTGTTCGCTGTCGATGCGCTCAATCAACGTTATCTGTTCGCGGAATGATTTAACTTCAATCCGTGCACGTAAAACTAATCCGCACGTCATCCTGAAAGTATGTCCTCCGGCGTTTCCTAATCTACGCTAGACCTTCATTCTGAGTCATACTCTTGCCTGTCGGAGCGGCTCATAGACGTGCGTGTTGTCCCATCTTGAAAACACTTACACAGCTGCGCCACACGAGAGTTGGAGTTTTCAGCATTGTCCGCGTTCTTTAATTGGTGTTCAGGGGACAAATATAGGAGATGCATGTACATATTCCCCGTTGTCGGCGACCGCACGTTTTGTTGAAATTAAGTCTCTTCCTTGGTGGAGACTGGGCAGAAGTGAAACGAACGGATGAACAGTAAGACACTCTCAAATCGGGAGGCTCTTCGGTTAGATTTCTCCCATCCTCGCACCGCTGAGATGGAGGAGTCTCCTACCAAGCTAAAAAGATCTTTCAGATAGAGAAAAAGGTCACGAAACATCGAGGGTACCAGCCGGGCTTCACCGAGCGCATTCCGTCCATCCTCTTTACTTGCTTCCTTAGGCTAGATCTCCTTTTGCCAGTCCTGAACTAATCGAGACGCTAGGACGATCCCATGATCTTGAACAGGCGAAATTACCAGTACGTAGGCCAGGTGAACTTTGCGTTTCTCGAGATATCGTGCGACATATTCGCCGGATTGATTATGATTTATGAACTCCCGGCAGTTCAATCACGAAGACGTCGAGTCGACCTATCGTTCCTTCACGCCAGTAAACATCCGCCTCAAAGGGCGCCCATATCTACGTAGTAGGCACCGCTATCCTTCTTTCATTGGGTCTTAATCGAGATTTGACTTGCGGTGGAATCGCCGAGTTCTTACTCTCTGTGTTCGTAGCGAAGTCGCTGCGCAGGTAGGACAACTCCAGGAATTTTTGTATTTATTACAAATGTACCTTCGACCATGAACGGTGGTGTTTGGCCTACTGGCGGAACAGATCGAGAAGTAAGTATCCGGAATGCGGTTCAGATGCGTACTCGATCCGTCACAACATTCACATTTATCCTCGTGGGTGTTATTCTGGTGCGCAGTCATTAAATACTCAAAGCACGTCGTACAATCAGCTCTAACCTAATTTCCGAGGTGCTTTACACTCAATGAACTTGGCTGCATAACAGCTATCCCTCCTTACACACTGTCGTCATGAATCTCAGACAGTTGACGCTATAGGTCCCCACAACCGAAGCAATCGCATCAAGCCCGTTCGGATCAAGGGCGCTAAAGGTAGAATTAGCGCCGGCGACCGATTGTTAAAATGCTTCCGTTCGATAATAATTTGAAATGCATTGACGACCAGACACGTGGGCCGATGGATCAAAGCAATCGATTTGCTTTCGCTTTTGTGGTTGCGGAAGTATATCGTGACTACGTGTGTTGAAACTAGATGTACCAAGACCACTATCAGGCCGTCTAAACGAACACGGAGGACATGTTACAATAGCAGCTGATGAGGTGGGGAGGGTGATTATCATACGAGCGACGGAATGAGCGTCGCAATATCGTCGTTGTCGATCCGAACCATGCAGCTCGAGATGAAAGTGAGAAATGTGAAACAATAACTGGATTATGTAAAGTATACAGCCAAGAGGGTGTGTAATTTGAATTTGCCGACCGTGCTCTTCAAATCGACGGAGCAGACTCCGATCGCATGTTCCCAATTTGGGAGTTGTCTTACCAAACACGGTCTTCTCCAAAATCCATCGTCTGCAATACTGTCACCAGAGAGTGCTCATGTGATACATCCCCAACTAAATTCGGCTCTGGCAATATATAAGCCCGTCCCTCTGCGAAGGTTTCTTTCCTTCGAACCCCCGCCATCTCTCACTCGCGTCTGTCCGTCTCGCCTTCGCCTCAGGCTTCCCATAGTAATTGCTGTCGTCTCGTCGGGACCATAGTATATCAACACTGCTCAACATTCTATGTTTCCGGAGAGCCTCCTCCGCGATCGCTCCTTGCTTACACGTTCTCACTGTTCTCTTAGTGACACAGCTTATCGCCTGCATTGCTCGACGCCGACTACTTAGATTGACGAGAGAAATTCCCGGTCTTCCAATGTGAGGTTTTCGCCTGGAATATATATTCTAATTACTCTAGGGCACCGGTAACGAAGATTTCAGAAGCCTCTAATCGACGCGTCGACGCGTTATTTGGACGTGCTTGGGTTTGTTAAACGACCCTGGCAATTGGTTCCGCAACAACGCCGTCACGTGGTTCAAGTTGAACTTCAGCGCCGCCCGCAACCAGCTCCTTGTTCTCTCCCTCGTAGGCCTTCAAGACGACCAGTACAACCCCGACCTCACCGTCAAGATTGGAGCAGTGTGGGTGTGTGGGCGCTGGCACACATAGACGGTAGCCTCGAAAGGTGCGTCGTGACGCTGTAGACATCCAACGCCAACTAACGACGAGCGCAGAGTTCCTCTATCAGCAAAATCTAACAAGTAACGCGTCTCCAGCTGACGAACGCACTGAACGACACGTCTAACGACTATCGACTCAACACTAACCGCAAGATTCCTTCACGAATTTGTTCTTTCTTACGACTCGACTTTTTACGGCTTTTCTCTTGAAGATTTACGACAACACTGTACGACTACGGCTATACGACAAACACGAAGATGCCAGTTCTGGCACGGGCCATGCAGACGCCCCCGCACGGCGCTGCCCAGCCGCCCATCCCATCCATCCGTCTTATTTCCGCTACCCCATCTGCCTCTGGACTCTCATCCGAGGCCAGCTCCTCGTTCAACCAGTCTCTACAAGATGCCTGGAGCACCCTCCCACCAATACCCGCCACGCTCGCACCCAAGACCGATGACGGACCGAAGAAGAAGTTGGTACCGAAGAAGAGCAAGCTGAGCATCCTGGGCGTCGGTCGGGACAAAGAGCGAGGCAAGGACCTCTCTGACGTCGTCCGGCGCGTCGGGGGCTCTACGTCTACACGAGGAGGGTTCGAGATCTACGTGGATCCGACTGTCGACCCGGAGATTGGGGAGATTGTGGTGGTAAAGAAGAAGAAGAGCCGGGCTGCGCTGGATGGGATGAGCTGGGGAGCGTTAGGCGAGGTGACTAATGTACCGAAGACGACGGCGACGACGACGATGAACATGAACATGACGAACATGACAACGAAGGAGAACCCTGCGCTGCTGAAGGTGAAGAACGAGGAGAAGGAAGGGAGCGGAAGGTGGTGGAGTATCGGACGAGGAAGGAAGGACTCGAAGGATAAGTCCAAAGAGAACAAGATGAGTGCAAAACGTAAGTTATTCCTTATATTTCCTTCGTTCTGGTCGTTGACGCGGCTGTTTAGCTGTTGAATTTATCTACACCCCTGACGAACGATCGAAGAGTAGGCTATTCTCTTATTTTTCTTTTGAATCTTTTCGTTGTGCTAACACGCTCTTCAGCCCCAGACCCCTTCAAACCTGCTCAAGAATCTCGCGGGCGCTTCAACTCGCTTGATTCCGGCCTGCTCCTTGGTTCGAAGACCACCAACAAGGCCCCAAGTCCCGTCAGCACCCTCCGCGCGCCTTCCAACCCCGAGCTATATGCGCCTCCTACGCACCATTCCGACTCTGAGAACGTCATGCCCACGACCTACTCTCGCTCAGCTACGCCTACAGCTGGCGGCCTCCTCGCCGTTCCTGGTTCGAACACCAACTCGGACAGTAACCAAGGCTCCATCGCCGTTCGGGCTATGCGTTCGGTCCGTTCGCTCGCTCGGATCGGTAGCTGGGCCCAGCTCAAGAATATGCCTGCCCCGACTGCCGCTCAGGTCAAGGAACTCGAAGAGAAGGAGAAGGCGGAGAAGAAGAAGAGCCTGCGCTCATCGAAGGCGAAGGAGAACAAGGAGGGCGGCGAGGGTGAGAGGAAGGAGAAGAAGAGCAAGAAGGAGAAGGACGGCACCGTCAAGAAGAAGAGCAAATCTTCGAAAGAGAAGGAAGGCAAGAAGCAGACGATTCGCATGTCGTCTTCCTCCTTCGAGGTTGGCGCGTTGACCGCGAGTCCCAGCCCACCTACTGCGAAGGATAAGGCCAACACCGTCGGCAAGAAACGCTCCATCCTCGGCCTTGGACTTCCGTCGACAATGACGATGCGCCTGCCAACCGTTCGTGGTGGTTCGACTGCGTCTTCAAACATCAACCTTACTGTCGTACCTCCCTCGGCACCGGCCTCTGCAGCCTCTATCGCACCTACGATCAACAACAACCGACTTTCCGTCGAATCCGCCATCCAAGCTCAGATCGGAAGGGATAGGTCCGCCTCTATCGCGTCTGGTTCCTCCAACGGGTCTTCCTTACGGCCCTTGTCAACAACCTCAACGAACTCAAGGTTGTCGTCTGGGTCTTCGGCTGCTGGGAGCGTCAGGTGGGATGAGGAGGGCTTGCAGACCGTTCGTGAGCAGAGGAGATTGGAGAGGTTGGCGAAGGAGGGCGGAGCGGGTACGGAGGCGGAGGAGAAGGATAACGAGGAGGAGAAGAAGGAAAGGCGGACCTCAAAGGAGAGCAGGAGATCATCTGAAGGCCGCAGACGCACGCCCCTCAGCTCCGTTTTCCCCGAGGTCCAGCACCACGCCATCGGGGTTGCTATGCTCGCCCCCGTAGCGGACGACTCCACCGACATGAGCATGGACGTCGACGAGCCCTGCGCGAGCCACGTCGCTCAGGTCGGCTCCGACGTCGACTCTCGGTCTGTGCGAACGATGAGCACGAACCGCTCGTCTATGAGCTCGGGTTTCCGCGCGAGGAGGAGTTCGTATCCGATTTTGACGATCGAAGAGGCTACTTCGGATGGCCATGGGTGTAGAGATTGGGATGAGCCGTTGGATGAGGAGGATGGTTCGAAGGAGGAGGAGGGGGTTGGAGACGGTAAAGCAACACCGACGAAGAAACCCAGGGCCAGACCGTTGTCAGAGCAGATGCTCGGGAGGGCCAGGCCAAAGCCTATGTACGAGGATGAAGAAGGTACGTTATTATTTTCCTTTTGTTTTTGTTTCGTGTTTTCCTGTCAAATGTCGATATTCTAACATTTATTTCGCGTTTTAGGTGTTCTGTCTATCCTCGATGCCGCTACCAACGACCTAGCGTTGCTCATTAACAACCTCGATCTTCAAGCTACGCCTGGTACTCCGGATATGACGCCACTTCGCCCGTCTCCTCTTTCGACCGTCGAGAAGGACGTCTCCGCCTCAGCATCTCTCTCTGTCCCTGGGTCTGCGGAGAACAACGGCAGCCCCGCGCCCAAGTCCACCAGGAGACGAGCAACCGTGGCCGACAGTCCTCTCAAGGGTACTCTACGCGGAAGCATGGCCTCCATCAGCTCGCTAAGGCCCTACGCCCAGTCTCGCGGGTACTCCAAGTCAAAGTCGGAGCAGAACGCGGCCAATGCAGCTATCATCTCCCAGCAAATTGCGCCATGGGCTACACTCATGCAAGGCCTCTCTCCAGTCAAGGATTCGCCCAAGCCAACTCCTGCGAAGACGAAAGTAGCGCCGACATCGCCTACGCCTACGGTCAGGCCTGGACACAAGCGTACAATGACTCCGGCTCCTGAGCCCGAGCCCGAGCCCGTCTTCCAGCCTTTGAAACCGGCAAGGGCTCGTCCTCTCAACTTCGACTCTGGCACTATTCGCCCTATCAAGTCGGGCAACGTCCTAGCCCATGTCGCAAAATTCGAGGAAAGGGCCAAAGAGATGACTCCGTCTCCTCAGCACCTGGATCCCGACCGTGCGCCGTCCTCGATGACGTTCGGTCATCGCTCGCCTTCCACTCGCTCTCAGGGTTCTCGCGGCTCCATTATGACGATGGATGAGTTCAACAGCCCATCGCCCAGTCCTGGTGTGGGTGGAGGCTCCCTTACACCGGTCTTTAAGCGTATCCACGAGTCGGAGAAGGGCGGAAAGAGGGCGTCGATCGCGCCAGCAGACTACAGGGGCAAGAAGAGCTCGAGGAGCAGTAGGAGCAGCAGCTACGGCGAGGAACTCTCTTCGTCATCGTTCAGCGTGCCCATGGCCCGAGAGACGAGGAAAGTATTGGGAATGTCAGGTACGATGGGCGGCTCTGACACATCATGCTACCGAGTTCCAGAGGTCGACGCCTCTGACCCCGACTCGGACGTGCCCGACGAGCTGAAGTTCATCCTTGCCACCCACTCGAACCGCGCCTCCGTTGCTGAAAGCCTCTCATTCGATGACGATGAAGACCTTGGCCCCGCGAGGATCATGACCGCAGAACGTGCCACTGCCCCTCCGCCTACGACTCGCATCCCAGAAGCCCCGCCCACTCTCGAGCTGCCCGTCTTCCGTGCCTCGCTCATCGATGAAGAGGACCAGACTCGCGAGATCGATGATGGATCCGTGTCATCGGACGACGATACAAAGAAGTCGTTTGACTTCACGGGCGAGATTCAGAAGCTCAACGAGTCTGGCGGATCCGATCGTGCTAGTTTCGTCGAGCAACTCGAGAACGCATTCCGTACGCCGGCGAAGGTTGACTTGCGCTACGACTTTGGAGCACAGCTGCGGGTGGATGTACCGCCTGTTCCGGCGTTACCACTCGATTTCAAGACGGCCATGGGTGAAGAGAGCAGCGGAACGACCGGCAGCGAGAGTCTGGCATCGTCGGCTTTTGACGACCTTCCTGCCTCAGTGCAATCGCAGCTCGTTGACGTCAAGCAACCGAGTATGCTGGAGAAGACGACCGAGGACGTTCAGGACAGCAACTCCAAGTCCAACTTCGATTTGTTCTCCGTCTCTCGCATCGTTGACGTCCGGGAACCGACTGTCTTCCCTACCTCGGATACCAGCAACGAAACCGATGAAATGGTCTTCGACAGCCGCGAGGAGTCCGTCAGCATCGAACTCAGACGCTCAACCAACCCCAACTCTTCGAATGGACAACTCAACACTTCATTCAAGTTCGGCGGCCTGCCACGTAACAAGTCAACTGCGTCGTTGCCCAAGGAGCAGGACAAACCACTTACGCTCTCTGACATCATTCCTCCGCCCTCGCACGTTCGCCAGATGTCCCAGATGTCCGATGCTTCGATGTTGGACCAACTCGAAGATGACTCAGTCCTCAAATCTATCTACGCGAAGATCATCGGCGGCGAGGCACCAGAGCGCCAACGAGTGGATTCTAATGCCAGCGTCAACGAGGCTGAGGCCAAACGTATGAGCATCTACAAGGCCGCATCTCGCCCTACTTCTGGTATCTCTTTCGCTGGCTTTGACTCGTTCGACGAGGTCCGCCGAGGATTTGAGTTCAGCCACGATAGGCCAGCCTTCTACCCACCACCAACGTCTCGCCGTCCTCATCGTCGCCACGAATCCGTCTTCAGCATCGCGTCTGTCTCGTCCTACGGCCACGTCATCCACAACGGTGCCCCGGATCCATTCGACTACGGATTGCCCAGCCTCCGCGAGCGACCTTCATCTGAAGATGTCTCGAGCATTTCCATGTCAATGACAGTTGAAGATACGTTCGAGTTCATGCATAATCGTCCGACTCGTCGCCGTGTCGAGAGCGATGCCTCGAGCTTCTACTTCCATGCGCCCGCACCTCAGCAAAACGTAGCTCGTGGCCATCGCCGTCGCGAATCGAACATGTCAGTCTCGTCTCTTGCTCCGCCCATCAGCCTCTACAACCGCAGCTTCGGCCACCATCGACGAAACGACTCTTCAGCGAGCACCAGCTCCGTCGCCATGTCCTACGCAAAGCACGGTGCAAACCCCGGAGTTCCAGCTTGGGCACGTCATCGCAAGGACATGTCTATGGATTCCGTCATGAGCGACTTCTCCGGCATGCATCTTGGACGTCCAGGTCTCGGAGACAAGATGTTCGACAACGCCGTCGACCTTGGCCCACTCACCTCCATCACAGCTTCGCCTCCGGAGAGCGCCTCCCAATCTCAGTTCCAGCGACGTTCGTCATTCGACTCGATCATGGATGATGGCCCACATTCGATGGAGGACTCACTTTTCGACAAGACCGGGTATCGCCAATCATCGTCCGAGGACTCTGTCTTCGGCGATGACTACTCGCACCCACCCGGAGGGCTCCTTCCTCCTCATCAGTTCCGCCCACTGTCCGTCATGAGCAACTCTAGCGTCCATAGCCCGCCGAAGGAGGACGACACGATGATCAGCGTATGTTTCAATTTATTCTCTATTTTCTTTGATTTTTTACTTATGTTTTTCTTTCACAGATGCTCGGTGGTGGCCATGTCCGCCGCCGCTCTGTTGGCTCGATCATAGAGGCCTCGCCTTGTGTCCGCGTCGAGAAGAGAAAACATTCTGCGTTCCAGGAGCTCAACATGTACAAGAAGCAGAACCAGTATGAATCTCCGAACAAGGCCCGGATCGTCGAGAAGCCATCCATCGCCTCCACCTCCTCCTTCCACTTCGGCGGCGAGCGTATGATCAAGGCTCAACGCGGCCTTCTGGAACGTCAGAGCTTGGAGGATAGTTGCCTAATCGCAGATGGGGAGGAGCTCACTAGTGCTTGTACGTTTATGATTTCTTTTTCCATGTTTATTTTCTGATCATTTCCTAGTCTGTTCTGCGCCAGTATTCTCTCGCCCTGCACCCGCTGCCCGCTCTCGTTCGAGCACCTGCACCTCAAGCTCCGGCGGCGACACTCCACCTCTTTCGGCCTCGGACGGATCCTCGATCTCAGGAGGATCGCAATCAAGCATCGATCTTTCTCAAGTCAATATCGCCCTCTCGAATGCGACCCATCCCATGTCCAACGTCGCTCGTCAGCGCGCCCGTGCCCGTGCTCGTGGTACAGGCCATCGTCGCCGCTACTCGAAAGCCCACATGTCGCGTTCCTCCGTCTATGAGACCATCGAAGAGGAGATCTCCAACTCGCCTACCCCGAACAAGAGCATCCTCTCGAAGATGAGCAGTCCGACGACTCGTCAACCCGTATACGTCGTCGATTCCGACACTGCATCCCTCGGCTCGCCGGAGGAGCACACATGGGATGACGAGCATGGCATCGTCATGCTCCGCAAGTTCTACGCCCTTCGCGATGAAGCCCATGTGACGGTGACGGAGAGTAGGCGCATCTGGCGAGATACCCCTTTTTCCATCTTTGCAGTCCAGTGTAAGTTTTCTTTCACCAATTTTCTCATCAGTTTCTTACCATATCATCTCTAGCTTTCCAAGCTCCTGACCACCCGACCGGCATGCAAGCTCTCCTCGAGCACTCAGTTCAGAACTATGGTCCATTGCCCTCGGAGCTTCGCCCTCGTCGTATCAGGTCGCGAACATCCTCTCGAGCGTCGCCGTATCCTCAAAAGCGCGTCTCGAAGGCCACCATCTCGCCGGAGCAGTCTCGTGCCCCCATGACCGATGTTACTCAGCCCATGAATTCGATTACGCCCGTCCTTCGCCAGCTTCCAGTCAACAAAAATACCAACAAGCCAGCACCTTCTATCGAGGCACTCAAGCCTTTCTCACCCCTCACTGTCGATCTGGAGCCCAAGAGGGAGAACGCCTTCGGTCTCGCGCCCAACGTTCGTCCGCGGGTCGGTTCCACGGCGCGTCGAAACGCCCTGGGTTGGTCAAAGAGAAGCACTGGCAAATCGTCGACGGACCAGAAGGAAAACGTCGCCGCAACGGGTAGCATCGCAACGTAAGTTGCCAGTTCTCTGTACTCTTATTCCTTGCTCATTACCCTCCATAGTCCTGGCGATGGTTTACGACTCAATCGACCTCGTCCGCGTGGCAGGCCTACGCCGGGTGGTCGCACCCCCGCGTCTCAAGCCCGAGCCATCCGCGCCTGAAGGCCGAAGTCTGAAGTCCAATCCACCAAACCTTCGCCAGGATCCCTCAGAGGACCGCGTGTTATGCCATGCTACTCATATGTCCCATATCTATGCCCTATCTCAACGTCTCCACCGTTTCGCATACATCTGCCCCTACTATCAACATCATCTCATCATCATCTTGTAACGCCATCTCCATGAAGTCTTCACGCAAAATTCGTCGCCTACGTCCTTTACGGCCCACGACTTCGCTACGTATTTTCACTTCTCAAATTTTGTTCTTTTGTTCCGTATAAATTGCTAAAATCTCACATCTGCTTTCGTTGCTCGCTGCTTTCTGACTTGCTTTCTTGGTCTCGCTCTCGTCTATCTGTTCCCCAAGTACTCTTTGTTTGTTCTTTACATAGCCTATATCTCCACCCGTGCTCGCGTGGTGGGATATGATTTTTATCTAGCCAACTACACTCGAAATGTATTCGTAGACCGAATGTCATTTCTTTCTGTTTCCGTCCACTAAGTATTTCGACCAAGTCTTGGAACGCGTAACTTGTAAGCCGGCTGAAACATCCGCGGCCTATGCACTCCGACTCGGGAAGTTCGTACTGATCAAGAGGCGCGCCGCGAAGGAATTTTAATATTAAAGAAGGGCCGTGGCGGTAGGCACTTGAACGCCAGCGAGCTTCGGGATGTGCTTCGTACCTCCAGGCAGCGATCTTACGTTATTCCGATTTCTGGGTGCCGCCCCGTCGCGCAGGGGAACACGGCTGTTAGACGATTTTTTAAATGAGAGAAGCCAGGAACTGGCGAGGATGAAGGGCTAGAAGAGATTTGTGTGAGAGAAGCACTCACGATGCTCGTGCCAGGGTCGCCGTGAGATGTACAAAAATCCCAAGCGGAGCCGAGGCCTGTTTGTTTTCTGTCTTTTGTTCTGCCCCATTCACTCTCTTCCTTTCGTTCACGCGTACGCTTTGAGCGGGAGGTGCGTCCTGTAGACGAAGAGCCCTCGTTGGTATTCATTGGTGTCGCATATAGAAGGTAAGAGAATTTGTTACCGTTTATTTGCCGGTGGACCCATTCTCTCAATGACCATCATGACGTTTCTCTCTCCTCGTCTCTTTCCTCGTCCTATGGCACCAGACTGACCCCTACGTCGACAGTTCTTGCCTCAGCCTTACTCGACCTCAACACTCCACCCAAGAATTATGGGCAAAACCGACGCCGACCCATTCGCCATCTTCCACCAACCGCCCCCAGGCGAGACGCCCAGCGAACGTGCGGTGCGGCAGGCGAAAGAGGCTGAGGCGAAGCGGGTCAGCGACCTGATTGACGAGCAGCTCAAAGCGGAGAAGCAGGCGCTGAAGAAGGAGAAGTACGTGGTAAAGGTGCTGCTGCTTGGACAGTCGGAGAGTGGTGCGTATGAATGTTCGTTCGGTCTTGTGCCCTTCTTTTCTGATGAATCTTTTGTTTGGAACGTCTAGGCAAGTCTACGACGTTGAAAAGTCAGTATTCGTTTCAGTGACCATCTTTCTCGCTCCGTGTAATCACGACTCACTCATCTTTCACGTTGCATAGACTTCCGCATGCGATATGCTAAAGCCGCCTGGGACGCCGAGCGAACCTCCTGGCGGTCGGTCATCCAGCTCAACGTCATACGGTCTATCATCACCATCGTCGAAATCCTGCAAGCCGAGATGGACGGCGACCCAATCGACTCCAGCACACCCACAACACCCGCTGAGGCGCCCGCCCTCAATTCTCCGACACAGGTTCTATCGACACTCCTGACAGACAAACACCAACTTCTGAAGCTCCGCCTCGGCCCTCTTCGGCGCGTAGAGACGGATCTCAGGAAGAGGCTCGGGCAGGGCGCTGTGGAGGAGACAGACGGAGCTGCCGCTGAGCTCAGCGAGCTCGGTCCGCTCAGCCTCGAGCCCGAGTCGGAGGTATTGGTCAAGAAACAGAGAACGGAATGGGGCGTGCACCGGCTGCACGACGCCCTGGAGAAACTTTCCTCTACGGTGGCTCGAGTGGGCAGCCCAAGTTCACGAGGTCATGGGAGCGATGATGGGTCGAGAGAGGGCGGTGCGGATGATGTTACGGATGTGATTGCGAGTTGTAGGGAGGACATGAAGGCTCTGTGGTCGGATGAGGCTGTTAGGACTGTGTTGAAGAAAAGGAAGACGCGGATGGAGGACTCGGCGGGGTTGTACGTGCTTTTTTTTCCTTCTTTCTTCTTTCTTTTTTTCCTTGCGTTTCCTCTTGCTGAAGTCTTCTTCTCCAGCTTCCTCGATGATCTCGACCGCATAGCCCAACGAAACTACGAACCATCTGACGACGATGTCGTTCGCGCCCGCCTACGAACCCTGGGCGTTCAAGAGTACCGGATCTCCTTCGATCCTAACGACAACACCGTCTTCGCAGACGCGTCAGACCCCTCTCTTGAGCCGCGGCCTGTGAAACGGATACCCATCCTGAACATCGCAGGAGTTGGGGGCGACGCTGGGAGGGAATGGTTACTATACGATGTAGGAGGATCAAGAACGATGGTACGTCTCACTTTTTTCGTGGATATATGCGCTTTTTCTGACGAGTTTTGGGTCTTTTCAGCGTCATGCATGGCTGCCGTACTTTGATAACGTTCAAGCTATCATCTTCCGTGAGTTTTGTTCTCGTTGACCCGTGTTTTTCTGATACTGATGGTGTTCATTTTTCAATCGTTCCAGTGGCCCGTAAGTTCACTTTACTCACCTTTTTCGTATACATGTTTGCTCATAACGCCCCGGCAGCCGTCTCATGCTTCGATGAACGGCTAACAGAAGACTCAAAGATCAATCGCCTAGAAGATTCGTTCCTTCTCTGGCGGACGGTCTGCGGCTCCAAGCTCCTGCAAAAAACAACGATGATCATGTTCCTGAACAAATGCGACCTCCTCAAGAAAAAGCTCAAGTCGGGCGTTCAAGTGAAGACGTACCTCCCAAGCTATGGAGAGCGGCCGAACGACGCCAACACTGTCGTGAAATGTGAGTTAATTGTGATATTTTCGCCTTGGTGGTCGAGGCTGAGGTTGATGACGTGGCATAGACCTGAAGGACAAGTTCAAGGAGATTCTCCACCAGGAGTCGCCAGAGTTGAGGCGAAGTTATTTCTATGCGACGACCGTCATCGTACGTTGGCCTTGATTCTCCTTTCGTTCGTCCCACGTCACTAACCTTCTACTTCCATCAACATTAGGATACGAAGGCGACAGCCGCTACGATCAAAGCTGGTTCGTCTTCGTTCAACACTTTCTCTTTCATTTATTTATTTACTTGTCGTTATAGTTCGGGACAGCATCCTGCGAGACTACCTCAAGAGTGCGGATATCGTCTAAAATGTCTGCTCGCCTTCCTCTCAACGTCACGTTTGACAACACCAAAAGACATTTACCAATATTTGCCTCCAATCATCCTCGATATCTACCACCTTCAAGCTCTAATACACATACGCAATCACACTACGCTCTGCTCCATCTTACCACACCCCCTAGTAGAGTATCCTGCATCGGCTTCTCCGCCGCGTTATTTATTCCATCTTTATTATCTACATCTACTCGTGCTCTCATCCCGCCTGGCTGCGCTTTCGTATTTACTCTACATAGATGGATCACGTTTAATATGAACTGGTTTTCACATTTTGTGAATGGAGTGTTCGACCATATGTCTCGTCCCATAACACTGGCTTGCGGTAATTCAACGATGAATCCCCAACGAGGCGAGGTGAGTTGAGTGAGAGCGGGGCATTTTGTGGCGCTCTACAGTTCTTGAAAGGGTCTAAGGAGCGGGCGTAAAACATGCAGCGCAACTACACGACTCACAACGTCTCCAAAAATTCAGGGAAAAAGAGTATTAATTCCTGGAGTATGTAGCCAACTCATACATCGGTATATACGAGATCATACACGGTGCGAGGTGCGAGCGGGAAGGGACCACAGAGAAGGGTAGGGAATCAAGAAAAAAAGTTATACAGTAACCTTGATGCGACCGAATTATACGCCTTTTTCAATCCTCGACTACCGTATCCCTTAAACACCCCGACAACATTAAATCATCTACCAGCTCCTTCACAGTGTCCCTGTTGGCAATGCCCGCCTCCAAGCAGAGGTACGGGATGGGTGGTTGTCTGTGATTCAGCGCGTACTCGGCCTCGAGCATTTCTACTACTTATTTCTCCGCGATTTCTTCCTCCGTCTCAGCACCACGACGATTGGGAACAACGATTTCACGGTCACCCGTATTCGAGGGCATTAATAACAGTAATGTACATATGTCGTTTTGCTTCTACCTAGCATTTATCCTGCCGCTATCTACCAAGAAAGAAACCTAACTTCGACGACTTGTCGCGATAACGTGTGAACTCTAAGACCACTCCTCGACCTGAATCTAGACATCAAGACACAAACTCGGCCCAGGATATATAAACAAGAAAGGACGGCGAAGCGGGGCGGGGTGGGGCAGGGCGGGGCGGAGAGAAAAGACAATAAACACGAACCCACGGACGAAGAATCTCAAGGCAGTCCGAGACTGTAGATGTCAGCTGCTTCCTCAATCCTCGGTGGACACATCGACGGTGATGTCCCTCAACCACCCCGACGACCTCAGACCCTCAACCCACTCCTGCAAAATACCCCGGTCGACAAGTGCCACCTCCAAGCGGAGGAACGAGATGGGCATGACGCGCGGCGTGGCCTCAGGTACCGAAGAGGAAGAAGATCCCGGCGTAGCTTGAACATCTGCTTGAGCGTTCCTCCGTATAACCATCTCAACGAGGCGATTTCCATTCTCGACACCGGCCGCGGCGAGATCCAATGCTCGAAGACTTGGAAGGACCCGCCCAAACGCTATATCTTCCAGTAAATCGCCGTCTAGGAAGATGCTTCTGGGCAGATGAAGGTAGACGAGCTGCGGCGTAGCTAGAAGGATGCTGGTGATTTCTGAGTAGAATAGTGGTCGGTGTGGATGAGTGTTGGTAGGCATGTCGATGTCGAGAAGGGTAAGCTGCTCTAGAGACGCGGAGGCGCTGGCGATGACGGGAAGAATTGCATTGAGATCTTCTCCGGTGAAGCCACCCGACTTTTCGACGCGCAGGTTTTTCATCATGGGTATACCTACGAACTGGAAAAACTCAGCGTCTGCAACCTCTCCGCCGAGGAAGAGTCGAAGCCTGCGAAGGCGGCGCATGGATACATCCATCGGAATCGGGGCATGGGGGAAATGAGGATCGCCACGGCCTTCAAAGACCATGCTGAAGCACCCCTCAACCAGCGACCCCGCTGCCCTTTGCAAAACACCCACACAAATCTCTTCCGACATCGCCACGCTCCCAAAATCCAGCGACATCATCTGCGCCCACGGAAGCCTCAACTCCAACGGATGGAGGTCATTGAAAAGGTGTAGCCTCGCGCTAGTCAACCGCTGCGCATCCACGAAGACCGTAAAGCTCGTTCTCTCCTCCATCGTGAACTGTGAACGGAGGTCTGGGATCGCATTGACGAAGAAGATGTTGACGCGTTCTAAGACAGGAAAGGTCCCCTGAGGAAGGGCGAGGAATGCACCGACGTCTTCTTTGCATAGGATACAGCTGAGCGAGACGATCCGGAACGCGAACGGCTGAATGATCTTCTCGAGGAGGCTGAACGCACCACCCCCATATAAAAGATCCTCGATCCGAGGAGGGAGGTGTTCCGGCATCCCAGAGCATAGGTCGAGGTAGAGAGGAGCACCGTGACCTCGTCGAAGCCAGGTGTAGGCGACGGCGAGACGGCGTTCGCGGTGCTGGTCGTTGGTGGGACATAAGGTGATAAACTGCCACAGGGATGGTGCGTTGATGAGGGTTCTGCGCCAGTACTTGCATACAAGGCCGATGGAGTTTCGTGTGGTGGGAGGAAAAGCTGCGGGCGGGGATGTGTCGGTGACGGCATGATAGAGAATCCGCAGGAGGATCTCTTTGGAGACGTTCGTAGTTCCAGGCATCGCGTACGACGACGTTGAAGAAGAGAGGTAGGAGAACTAGTAGAAGACATCGTTATTGAGATGAAGATGAACCGAAGACCAACGTCGACTTACCTGCGGAACGTCTGACTTCTTTGGTAAATAGCGGTGCTGAGAATGGGTCAGAAGTGGGCGACGAAGAGGAAGGACCTAAAGAGACGAAAGGCACATCGTTCGGTATATGTGAAAAACCTTGAACAGAAGAGAAAATTAGACTTCGCCTAGTGATGCGCGTACCCTCCTAGGTACCCCACTTCACGGCCTGTCAAACAGAAGTACTCCACTTATGCCACTTAATCGTTTGGTCCCTGATGGACCGCCTCGATGCGCCTCTTTCCCTCATCCTCATTGTAGCCGGAATAAGAGGAGAACAGATACAGCATGTCATGAAGAGAGCCTAAAAAGAAGGGATGAGGATACAAGCACAGAGAAAGGAGATAATCATACATGCTGTTCCAAGAATTGGGTGTCTGCGCTTTACCAGCACTTGCCACTCGCCAACCAAACGTCCCGAGGGCGGTGATATGCCTTCGTTACGCCCGTATTCAATTGAAAAAGAGGGCGACTCGGAATTTTGATAGGTGGTTCTTCTGTCCTGTTTCCTCGCCCTCCGGGCACGGTATCATGGAAATTCCCCTACTTGGAAACCGTTAACCCGCCTTTCCTCTAGTATGTGTAACCACTCACGTGGACGATAATCGATTATCGTTGCCGCGCATAGCGTTGCATCGTTCTATAGGGTGGAAGACAATCGAGAGATCCTCTGGATTCCGCGAGGCGCGTACTCTATTCCACCGGAGAAAAAGGAGCTAAAATCCAGGGTTCAATGAGAACGAAGGTCGGGCATCAGAAAGAAAGTTATACTCACCTTTTATGCCCGAACATGAGCTAGCACAGGTCCAGGCTATTCCTGACGGCAGACATGACCTTCCTTCGTTCAGAGATCCCTCGTGCTGAACAGAGAGAGAAAGCGCCGTTCTGCATGGTGTGTCGATGGGTGCATGGTCGTAAAAGAGGTCGCGTGGCACAGCAACGAGCGGCGGAGATAAGATAACGCATCTAATCATCACGGTGATCGTGGACCGGGCGTCCCGAACATTAGGCGCCCAGCGATCGTCGGTTGAAAGGACCCTCATAAATGACAACGGGCATATATAAGATCCACGTAGCGACATATAAGAGAGAATTCTGTACTTAAAGTTGGCATTCAACTCAGGGAGAACACCCACTATCTCGCGTCTCAGGCGTTTATTGCATGGCCGACTGGAAGATAGTTCGCGAGTCATATACTCTACATTCGCTCCGGAAGTAGTTTTAGATGGACTACGGACGTACGAGAGTAAAACGTCTAGCTCGTTCCCCACCCAGACGACCATGACTACGGCATGAAATCTCGATGTGGAAGGTTCCAAGACATTCGACGGCGCATGAGCGGTATTTCGAATGTATTGGATGCACGCCCAGCCGGCCGAGTGGTAAATGCTTCGCACTGAGATTCGCTGGCATATCGTGTTTAACCCTTTATCGTAAGGCCTAGACTTCCTTCGATGTCCATGCAGGATGGTGGCGAGCTTTCCCCGGTCAATAAGCGTCCAAGAATCGAGCCAACAACTTTAGAAAGAAATCGCACACCACGGGCGTTTCATAACAGCATAAATTGCCTGTGTCGCGCAGTGCCAGTTTGTAAGTGAATATGAGAGAAAGCGCCCACAACTGCCTACCAGTGAACGAATGGGCGGTCTTGGGCCGCGGATCGAGAAACGAGTCAGGACATACTTTCCTCATGTCCTTCTGGGACTATTATACACCTAGATTGGGACAGAACTATTCCTCAAGGAGGAGCAGGGCTGACGGAGTTCACTGGCCTCGAGCAAAGTGGCAAAGATTCGGCGGTCGTGCCCGAACGCCACGACAGAGAATTGCCTTGGGTCTCCATGCTTATCAGAATCACAGATCCGTCGTCTAAGACGACGCCAAAGTGTCATCCAACAAAAAATTGAGAAGAATGCATGACCACGAATTCCGAACATCCGACAAACAGATTCAGTGGCGGCTGCGCAGGCGCTAAATCACATCTCCGTCTCGGGGATACCGACCGCCATCTGAGTGGAACGTCAGCCATATGAGAGTACAACATTAAATTTGTACGTTGGTAATGCAGCCATTGGCGCCGGACGAAAGGGCGGGCACGCACCGCTCGGGATAAGCTAGAGAGTACGATGCACAAGGAGGCCTAAGTGTTGCGAAACAAAGGGCCAACAGATAATAAATGCATCAGCGACGATAGCAAGTACGCCCCTGCTCAGATCGTTGGCGCACAAATTAAGGCACATCTGTTGAAGAAAGTCAGCAACCTGTAGTCGAGAACGCCTGACAGCTACGGCATTTATGAGCAATGGAAATTCGAATCAATGGAGTCCGGGCAAGGATGACTGCTGAACGGAGTCAAATACAAAAGAAGAGCAAAAGCAATAACAAGCCCAGATTCCATGATACGACAAAAAGTGAAGACAGCATGATGAAGAAACTAGTGGGTACATCGGACGAAGGGGAACAGTCAAAGGACATAAAATCGACATCATGACCGCTGCCGCAGTAAGCTCGAGTTCGAGCTAGATACGATAGAGTACGCATACACAGCACGAGACGAGAGGAAAAACGAATAAAATTTGAAAGAAATGATACGTACTAGCTGAATCCGAACCGTTTGGAGGCAGGGATGTGTAATGGAGTAGCCCATCGCATCGTCCGAATCCATTGAGATCCAAGTAACTAGAACATATGAAACGGGTAAGCTTTGTTATCCGAGTCGCGAGATTCGCATCGAGAACATACTGCGCGGGTCCGGCGTATCTTTAATCTCGCGTCTGATCTTCTGGCATACATTCTCCTCCTCGCTGTCGTGCTTTTCTTTCTCATCTGCCAGATCACAACCACCAGCGCCTGCTATCCAGCCCAATGACAACTGTTGTCGTCTACGTCAGGAGAGGTCAGGTCTATGTTGAACGAGAACGGAAGAATCGACTGACCACGCTGTACGTTTGGCCAATGTGGCTAATTATGTGTGTCCGCTTCAACTCGAGCAATTGTGACGTCTCAAAATGTTGGTATCGCGCCTAAGCATGCAAAAGAAGTATATGCGCAGAGGAAGTAGGGCGATCGGAGTTTCCGGTAAGCAAATTAGGGTGCATTAACGGCCTAGTATGGGCAAACGAAGTTGAAGAAGGCGTCGAGACGAGCCAGAGGAAGGGGGCCTACGGAAGAGAAAGACATGTCAAAAAGATATTCATACCGCGAGATCCATGATTAGGATTAAAACTTAGAAGGAGTAGAATCGATGGGAATAGGCGAAAATCGAAAAGACGTGCACCTTCTTCGGCGATGAGACGATGCCCTCCGATTCGCCGTCGACACTTTCCAAACGTTCGCTCCAACCTAGTCGCAAGCGGCTGGTACTCCTGCTGATAGTCACGTAGTGGTGTATCTCTGCATAACGAAGATGAACCACGTCATGCTGAAGATCGATCAATAAGCAAGAATCGCACACGCGGACAGGAGGGCCCAACTCACTAGTTCCTAGCTGAACACGCGGATATATCCCATCTACGAGTCTATTCGCTGCATATTCCACGGCAGAGTTGCACTATGGCAGCAGAACCGGCCAGAAAGCGAGAGAAGACGGATTCTCTGCCTTCTGCTAGAAGTGCCGTGAGCAGATGGACACTGCTGTCCTTCGCAGAGACATACCTCATCCTGGTAGGTCCAAGCCGCCATTGGTAACCTCGCGCCGTGACAATCCATCAGCTGCGTTGGAGCTGCCATTTGCTAGACAAGGGTAAATATCAGCGAATGTTTGGACACGGGCAAAGTTGAGCGAACAGGCGCGTCATCGGCAGGCACATGTCGGGTTTTCATAACTTGAAGGCCTGTTTTTGGAGGATTTGTTTCCTCAGACGCATTTAAAGGGATCGAAGAGGGTAGAGAGGGAGTCGGTTGCGTCGCGGTTATGTTGTGAGATGAGTTGAGGAGGCAAAGTTGAGGTCTGTCACGACGTGACTATAACCGATGCGGCGTTCTCGGCGTTTTCATTCTTTCGGCCAGGCCGCCATTCTCTGCACCATTATACTAGCTCTTTATCACAGCGCCGGTTTAATTTAAATGCTTGTTCTTAACCTATCATATGGGTAATGTGGCACTAGTGTTAAAGCTTCGGCCTTGAACTAACCTCGAACACACCGAAAATACGAAGAGACCGAGATACCCAAGCCCAAGTTGTTGAAAACGGCCATTTCGCATAACCAAAATAAGCATCGACCTAGAAATGGACAGAAAAATGCCTATTCTGACCTTCCAAATGCACAGGGATACTCGAAACCTCAGGAAGGAGCTTTGGAACGAAAGCCTCGCGACGTCTGCACACGGAAACCCACTAACGGATGTCCTAGAGGAGGCACAGAAGCACCCGAGAGGTACAGTCTGACAGGATGCGGCGAGGGATTATCCTCGAGAAATAGGGCGAATATAACAGAACGGCTCACCAAGAAACGCCATAGATCCGTAACCGTTAAGTGGAAGGTACCAGTGATCAACATAGCACTGATCTTCAGACACTCAAGACGAGGGAAATGATGCACAAGCTACACTCTCGAACGTAGCAGAGGAGAAACCTTTTGGGCATCACTAGTGCATAGATTGCCACACGATGCACGTATAACCACATGAAAGCAATAATCTATGCACTATGGCAGTATCCCCCTCGTGAACTCGGACGTGTAAGAGGATATGCGGGAGATGGAACTAGCGCAAGACGTAGACTGACATTCAAAGACTGATATCAGGAAGATTTGACACCGTCCGGTCTATCACGCGAGCGGCGAACGGTGGCTGGTAGGGAACACCCCTTCGCACGCGCGATTAAAGTGGAAAGGCTTATCTCTTCCTGGTTCGTCCAGTCACGTCGGTCGAATTGAGGCAGAGGTACATAGAGGAAGACACCATGAAAGAGACGCCGTTCTATCCTTCATCAGATTGACCACTTCGATTCTCTAGAATAGCCGCACAGGACGCGTTGAAATATGACCGTTGGCGCCAAATCTGGGCTCGAAACAAGCATGCCAGAAGATAGACGAGGAGCGGATTTCTAGCATACGCTCTCGATGCCCTTGTCAGGAAGGAGAGAACACGAAACGGGTTCAAGGCACACTCGGTGGAACGGACACGGAAAATCAAAAGCGGCGCTTGAGTATATCGCTTGAGACCCACCGACCGGATCAGCTTCATCGCCTTACAGCCAGATAAGAAAGGTCACGACAAAGTATCGCCCGCCCTCACCTGGCTGAGTCTTCAGAAAGATGTCGCGACGGGTGGGTCGTCAATATTTCAATAGTTTAACGTCGTAGCCACTTCTCTAGACCACAACGCGACCATGGATGTCGAATTAGGTGTCTGCAGATATCGATAAGGAGGTCGTTGCGACGTTGATACTAGATGCTTGAATATCCGGATGAAAGGCGGGCGCGATGAATCCCTTGAGACGGGGAGAGGGAAGGGGGGGGAAGAGGGAGGGGGCGCAAGGCCGCCAACGTGGTGGCAGGAGGCAAGAAACGAATGACACTCGGAACGGAACGAAAGATTGCCAAAGACATCCGAAGATAAGATAGCGAAAGTCACCTTCTCGTTTTCATTTTACGTCCTGCTGATGTACCGACTCTGTAAATCTCTAGCCTGAAGTCGTTGAGGCAGGCCGTGTCCTCGACGAACGTTTGGCTACGTGACGGGCAACCTCTGGCTGTCGTGCATCTCAAGCGCCGCGTGGATGCGTGGACAACAGGATTGGTGAGCTTAGGGACATCACTACATGTCTCTTTTCATTCCGTTTTTTCCTGCTTCACGATCTTCGTATCACGCGTAAAAATTCGAGGCCAATACGAAAGAATATAAGTACACAGCGTCGTCCTGACATTTATCTTCGATCCTTCCTAAACTTTTCCAGCGGCAACAAGAGGAACAACAGCACCATTCGCAAAACTAGGCCAAAACCAAATCGAACCAATGAGCTTGCACGCCCCATCCAAGACAACACGACACGTACTCAGCGCTGCAATAACGATTAATCCCGTCAATAACGGATGGTTGGTCGGGCGAAGCCTGGGGGACGTGTGTATCGTCTCGACAGCTCTCCCGAACATTTCCACAGCGGCATCGTCATCGCGAACAAACGTGTCCCAAAACAAAAAGTTCTCCAGCAGCTTTTCTTCCCTGTTCCCGAAAGCCAGCACAGCGAGGAGTTTCCCTGCCCAATCTGGATGGGCGCGCCGGTAGTCGTCGAAGGCGGTCGCAGCGCGAGAGGGATCCTGCCTGTAGACTACGGTGAAGAATTTCACGACCGGGTCTGCGGAAATCCATGGAGGAGCGGGGGAGTGGAATGCTTTCCGAACTGGAGTGCACGCTCGAGTGTTTCGAAGTGATCGTGTACTCGCCTCGGGCTCGTTGCCTTCGAGCCCGACTTGGACATCGCAGACACTGGATCGCAGCTGTGAACTTGGATGTCCACACCCTTCGAGCGAGAATATTCCACATACTATAGGAACGCTTGGTCTTTAAGCGGCGACGGCCCATATTTTCGTTTCTTCCGGCGCCGCTTTGACTTCGGGGGCTGGCTGCGCTTGAAGAGGTGCGGCACAAGGCGCGGGAGGAACGTAGGTTTCTTTCGCTCCATCCGGACCTGGACATCGAGCGTTGATTTGATTGGCCTGCGGCCAGCTGGGCGAGAACGAGGACGAGGCAGGGCGTCAGTGTGGTGGTCAGGATGAAACCTGCCAGTGCGAAACCCCTATCCGTAGAGGTGTTCCTATCCTTGCTTCGGAACACCCTAATTTGTAACATGTAACATCGCACTGTGCCGAAGTGCTTGCCCAGTGTGTGTGCAGATGGTGTAGTCTACCATCCCCAAACTAATACCGATCCGTGTTTCTTAACCGAGACGCCACTTTCGTGCTTACTAGAAACACAGCGTGCGCTAGGGCCTCGCTCACCGGACTAGAAAGAACGGCGAGAATATCGTGTCGAACAACCCGAACCATGTCTCGAATGACGCGATAAACGGCGACGATAGTGTTGAATTTAGTTGGGGTTGCACTCATCGACAACGTTCGCTAACTACTTACGATGATTTCGCAGCTCGAATCCGTACCCTCCGAAAGGCAAGACGGCGATGAAGGGGCCCTTCCACCGGTCAAAGAGGATCGGTGTCTACAGAGAGGTGTAAGTGTCCTAATAACTGTGTTTGTGCTCGTGACGTAGGTTGAGTCTTGCTACGACTCGGTTGTCCTCTGTGGACAAAGACCGAAGCTGGTCTCCGGGTAGAGGAAAGGCCAGCGTGTTATATTCAACAATGAGATTCTGCACCCATCGTCTGACAGAGTAGAAGGTCAGCGCTGGCCCTGCACCATGATGAAAGCGAGCAGGAAGGGCGAAGGGCGTAGCGAGCCAAGCGCGGGCTCGTCTTGGAGGGCGATGATTATACAACACATACTTAACTGCTCGGAAAAGGGAGAAGAGAGGCTGGAGGCCGAGGAGCTGAACGAGAACGAGAACGAAAAGTCAGCACCACCTCATCACCTAGGGCGTAAGTATACCTTGACTCACCTCCACGACATTCAATCCTCGTAGAATCGTAGCCAAGCGCACATCGAGCAGCCAAAATTCGCGTTCGGGTCCTCCGAATGGCGAATTTGACATAGGTTATGACTTGAGCATGGTCAGTGCGTCGGGCATTTGAACACGAACACGACACGATGATTTGGACGCTGAGAAACGGCGCCACGACCGCCGGCCAGTCCACGAGTTCATACCAGGCGACTACGGGTACGAGTCGTACGAGAGTCTGAGGCGTAACGAGAGAACGATAATAAGCCCTCTTTCATTCTCGAGACGGGGTGTTTCGACTCACAGCTGCTTCCTCCCATACATTCTCAACCTCCAACCACCTTAAATGCCGTCCTATACTGTTGAAAAAAGCACGCCGGGACCGTACTCCGTGCTCGTTGTCCATTCGACGGATCTGCACTGTCGGCACGCGTCCTTCGTGCAGGCCGATGTTTAGGGCCTTTCACTGTCGTTCTTTCGTGGACGCGTTCCGGTACTGTTCGGAATATCAATAAGCCGTCGCTTTCGACGTTCAAGAGAGTGCTTACTCACGATTCACCAGAGTTGTTGCAGTCCAGTCCTTCGTCGCTGCTGGCGCCATGGTCCCTCCTTCGATTTCTAAACGTGAACGTGGACCTCGATTCTCGTATCGTGTCTACTTCGTTCGCGGTCGTAGGTAGTAGGTAGATTTTGTTGGCGAATGAAGGCCCGATGTGTGACGCCCTGCGATTCCTGTACATGCTCGCCCTGGTCCATGTATGCACTGGTCCGACTGTTCCGAACTTCAGTCGCGTTATCTGAGTGCCACGAATGAGGATAAGCACGTATCGCCCTCATTCAAGCGCGATAGGACGTACGTCAACCTTCTGCTGCAGCACGGCCCTTAGTCGTCCGCCCTCGCCCACTTCGTCTGAACGATGGCGGCGCACCTCCATCCAGCTCTTATAGAGTACCCCTTCTCCGTCCTAAGTCGCGTTTTCCAAGAGGATTTCTGGTGGTCGTTCGCTATAGAAGGAGGGTGAGCGCATTGTGCTTGATGAGAAGAAGGCGGATGACTGACCCGTGCTGTCACCTCGTCTATCTAACCCAGTTCACGCCGTTCGTCGGAACAGATGTCACTTGAAAAGGCAATAGCGTCGGTGTCACGTTCAAATGGGTTGGCTGCCATGTGAGACCCGTCATGTAGGAGAATGACCCAGCTTGTATGACCTTAGAAGAGGCTGAGTGCATTCATCTCGACAAGGAGAAGAATTCTTACCTCTCGATGCACCCGGTCGATATGATCCGTCTTCAAGATCGTGTTATGATTGGGCGCAATCTTCGATTCGCGAGACGTGAGGGAGCATTAAGAGTATATGAAGAAGCATCCGAGTTCTATCCCAAGCTTAGAGGAGGGGATGAGGAAGGGTCGCTTGGAAGAAAGGGAGAAAGAGACGCCGTCGACTTCGGGCTGAAATTTGAAACTCCGCCGTCCGCGTTGGTCGGTCCGGGTTCGCATTCTGTTCATGACTTTCTTTTCGGAGGAAATCAACGGGGGATATTAATCTACGAGAGTCGCTTGGCCCAAGAATAGCCATTCTTGACGACAAGACATAGTGCATACTCGGTAAAAAGTATCCTAAATAAGGTATTGTTGGCGCACAGACTAGCGTAAGATTCCTATTAAAGGGTGTTTGCCACGCCGCCAGCAACACGTTGTACAAGATATCCCTTTCATTGAAAAGAGGGCATGAAAAACTGTTATTATACAGAGGGGTACTATCACCGCGATAATCCTCAAGTTTGCTTTCCTGCTCACAGAACCCTCTGCCTAAGGTCCCTTGGATACTCGTAAACGTCCTGGAATGCCCAACACGTCACCAGAACCACTTCACACACTATAGCGAGGGCACATGCTGGTACGACGTACTCCCAGATCGACTTGTGAGGGCTGAAAGCCAGGTTCGCCAATGCGCATGTAATCGAGACCGAGCTCCACAGGAACAGTGGGAGTGGGAGGCCGAGAAGAAACGAGGAGCGTCGGAAGCTGCCGGGTGTTGAGGAAATATTCTTGATATAATCGGTCTGGGTAAACAAAGAGAAATATTAAATGAAAGGAGGAGTAGAGAGGAAGGAGAGCGAACGCACAGCTTCGAGCCCACTGTACTGCAGGCTATGCCTGTGCATCGGCACGAGAGGCGGCCCAGTTACGAGGGTCCCGAGTGCGAAGAACACAGCGAGAATGCCACACGTACGGGCGGCGACTGAAAGCCCGCCGAGCGATAAGAAGATGACTTCGGGGCTGTGAAGTTGGATGTTAAATAATTGACGATCGCCACTATGAAATGATGTTCGATTCTGGTACATACATGAGAAGTACAGCCGCCTATGGATGGTATTCGAGCATCAGAAATCGAGACAAAGATTCGAATTTTGAATGAATTTAGTACGCACCAACAGAGTTGACTGTGACCATTCCTCCTTGAACGACTCAATAAGTCCTCGCCACTGTGCATCCGAGACAGTTTTCCCAGCTAGCACTTTGCTCCACCTGTCCTTGTACGCTGCGTTTCCAAAGAAATATAGCAGGCTGAGTAGGAAATGCGGCCGCGCCAGTTCTGGGGGCGGGAAGGTCGGTCGGTCATTGATTGCACGCAGCGTTGCGTGGTAGTTGGCGGCGCGGCTTCCATCTGGAATGGACACCGTGTGGGGAAAGAGAGAGATGGGAAAGGAGGATAAGAACATACAGGTGGCGACTAGGAGTCGAGCGATGCAGCAGGTTTTAAAACCATTTGTCGTCGGGCCTGTGCGTTTGTCTGTCAAAGGAGTTGGTAAGCGAAAGATTGGACACCATTAGACACCCATCGTGCTCACTGAGAAGTACGTCCAAGTAACTCAAGAGGGACCTTGCTTGAGGCGGGTCCCATGGCGCCACCTTGAAATCTGTCGTAAGATCGTCTAAATATATGCGTGAGCCGAGGTCAGAGCGTCTATTATAGGGGAAATCGTACCCGCGCAGACATACTCCAGGAATTCAAGAAGGAACTGAATACCGTCTTCAGGGGCCTCGTTATGACAAGGAAACGCGGCCAAGTGGGCGTAATATTGATGTCGAATGAGGGGATCTTGGAGCAAGAAATGAGGCGACATAATTGAAACGAAACAAAAATAGACCGCATACCGTAGCTTGCCCCTTCTGACTTCGTATCCATAGGTCCTAAGAACCCTTCGCCTCGGCGGATCTTCGTAAGCCAGAACACTTCTTGCGTCTGGTGGTTGACGAAGTAGTAGTAGTACTGCACTTCCGGACCGAGCCCAATGTATATCTCGAGCCAATCTTCGCTGACGGCACTCAGGCTCGGCTTTTGCGCTTTGAACTCGTTCCACATCTCGATGAGCGCGAGGTAGGCGCGTTCCACCTTCTCCGCCACTTCTGTGTTGCGTAAGTTCGCTTCGGTCACTACGCGCCATTTCTGGTGGTGAAAGTACAGCTTTCCATCTGGGTGGATGTACTCGGTCCATCCATCCGCAATCTTGGTGCCGAAAATGATGCTTCATCGACAGGGTGAGGGTCGCAAAAAATGTACGAACGTGGCTGACTCACTCATTCAACCTTCGTCCACCTGGCGGTCCTCCTGGGAGAAAAATTGGTTTCCCTGGATGGAATTTAAAGTCGCTGAGGGTAGTAAGTACTCTGAAAATTGTCGCTGTGGGAGAGGTGTACCTTTCCTGTCGGCGGGTTTGGTTCAATGACAGCGGCGCCGTTGGTATTGGCTTCGCCGATCCATTCTCGAGAGGCGAATTTGCCATATTCGTGTTGTAGGCCATATTATCTTCACGTCTTGGAGATCTTATGGCAACGCCAAGAGCGCGAAACGCCTTTGTGGTTCTCGAGATGGTCGTGAAAAAAAGAGGGACGCGCGGTCACGCTTGTGACATCCAATTTGTATGAGTTTGCAGATGCGTGACTGGTGAGGACGTTCAAACGTCGACCCATGTTCAGAAGGAAAAGGCAAAAGACGGGAGAGTGCCCCAAACGAATTCGAAAAGGAAATTCAGATAACATCCTCATCTAGCCGACATGATGCCCCCGGAGGCGCCGGAGGGTCTTGGCCTCTTGGCAGTGGTCGCTTGGCAATGGCAGTCTCGGATGCAGTGGCGAGCGAAGTCCGAAAACGGCGGAGCAGTGCCCACGATCTTCATATAAACCGTCTGCGTACTCAACCCACCAAGGTATGTGGATAGGTTGTCGGATAAAATCTCTCAATAACGGCAATGAAGAACCCCTCATGGTCCTGGTGAGGAAAGAGAGAACACGAACGGATCTGAATACGAACGGATCTGAATGAACGTTCAACAGAATGGCCAAAAGAGGGGCCCAGGGACCAACCAGCTCGTGTTGGATCAACGTCTTACTGCTGGAAGAGAAAGGTTCCTGAGAAACTTGGTTAACGATAACGCAGAACACACCTTTACCTGATAGCGTCCCCAGATCGACACCAGGCTGGGTAGGCCACTTCTTGGGTCCTCGATCACGAATGATAGATGGAAGACATTCCAGACTAGGCGGTAATGAACGATTTCATTTGTTCCTATTACTTGTCGATCACTAATCGAGAAGAGCTTCCAGGAGAGAATGATAGAAGAGCTGCCGTTTCATCGAAAGCGAGGTGGGGCTATTGAAACGGACGGCTGTCTTCTCGCTAGTGGGCCTAGGAAGAAGAGAGTTTGCTCCCCATCTAGTAGTAGTGCATGTCTTATTATATCGGCTGATAGACAAGCCTCAGACAAGGAGCCATGAGCGAACAGAAAGGTAACCTCTTTCTCCTCGGAACCTGCGAAGTGGTCATAAGCGGGAAGTGCTGTTTAAACAGAGAGGAAAACACCGGGAAGCCTGTCGGGATGAAATAGTTGCATCAGTACTGAGCAGTGCGGAGTATACTGGCAACGAGGACTTAAACCCACATTTCCTTCAACACAGGCGTCAAAGGTTTCGTTTACAGATCTAACTCTCCATATATAGTGCGAACCAAACGCAAAGTAAGCCATTATAAATTAGAGAAAATCATCGTGCCATTGCCAAAACCGTTCCTGTTTCGAAGCTTTTCGAGGCAACACCGCAGCAGGAGGAAGAAGTGGAAAACACAATTCCCCAGCTCACAGGCGTATGATTGGAGCTTCACAAACGAGGAGCGGATATAGGAGGACGGATAGACGATGATCTTCTCGGACAACGCGTGGGGGGAGGAAATGTTCAAAAGGTCCAACGAGGCAGGAGAGAAAGAGGAAACTCGGCGCACAGGGACAGACAGAAAAGGGGAAACGTCGAACCTCGCCGGTTTTAATAGAGGTGTCGTGCACCCAGTATAGTCCTACGGTTCCAGATCACATCTCGCATATCCCACCGTGAGTGGTATTAAACAAGTGCCAGGGGATGCATCGACAGACGGGAAGAACGAGAAGGCAGGGAAGAAAGTGCGGTGAAGACGAAGAAAAGGCACTTGCTGCTTCATTTAACCAACCGTAGGACAAGTATACGTAGCGCATGCTAAATTTCCTAAGTAGAATGTCAGCACATCGCTAGAAATGAGGAACTTAGCGCAAGAGCGCAAGACGCATAGTACACGCCGAATCGGAGAAACAAGCACGATCTCTGATCCTGGGTGAGATCCTGGGAACCGCTTCCGCGAAGGAAGATCCGATAAGAGATCAAACTGCGAGAAAGGGAGAGAGACTCACTGGAGTGGTGGGAGGAGGAAAGGAACAGCGCGACATGAGGCTTGTGCGAGGTCGAAGACAGTGCGGCATTTGCCGAAGTGTTATGTATCCCATTATCTAAGCAGGTTGAAGCCGCTCGGTCCGGGCAAGCTTTCAGTTCGTGAATCAGGAAAAGGACAACGAACAAATTCGCGCCGTATACCCGTTGATTATGCTCTTCTTCTGAATCCAGTGCCTTGGGACGAGGTTCGGTCGTTGCAATGAAGAAGGTGGATAACTTGCCGAATGAAAAGGGGAGCGAGCGAAGATTTCTAGACACCATGGCTGAAATGAAGAGCAAAAATAAAAGTTTTCATGTGAGGTCAACAAAGACAGGACGTTGCAAAATCGCGATAAGCAACACGCTCACACTTAAAACTACTTATGTACTCGCAATTGCGAAATATAAACCCTCAACGCGGCGACCGGGGGCGCATCGCGTCGAGATTCACGATGCGTTGAAAGCAATGGTTGAATCCAGAAGAGACAATCCCTTGCCGAAATCTAACGTTCCACCCAACACCTTGATCTGAAGTATGGATAGCAGCCGCTGCGAGGAGGACAAAATCGCATCTCGTCGTTCAGCCATTCAGTGGACCGACAGAAATTTGAACCGTGAAGAATAGCAAATCCAAGAGCTTCTGTCACACGGGAGTACATGAGCTCGATGGGCCATTAGGCATGATCGAGGGGAGCCATAGGGAGCACGACACAAAAAGGAAAGAGAAGCGAGAAGCGCAAAAGAGAAAGAGAACAATACGCACTCTTTATTCGTCGTTGGATCACAGCCGTGTCAAGGCGTTGAAAAGAGGAGTCCATCGCATTGGCGCCATTTTCTAAGGACATGGAGAACTAGAAGATAACGAGGCGAATCGGCACTTTTCTTCGGTTCCTAAGATCAAAACGTACTACACAGGTCACGTTTGTCTTTTTCCGAGTTATTAACCCAATCATTCCCTATCTTCGTGCGATCTCGTCGCCATCGCTCTTCTCTTACAAACGACTGAGGCTGTCTACATCAGGAGAGTTCATATCGAACTTCAACTTGAAAGAAACGACTCACAGAGGATGGGCCGATGTTGCTCGTCCCGTCCTTGTCCTCTTCATCCGGACCGATAGTGACGTCTCATCACGTAGGAAGTGCGCCAAAATGTACGAAGTGGATATATGCGTTGAAGATGCGAGGCGATCGGAGCTTCTGGTAAGCCAATTGGGACAGATAACGCGGCATCGAATGTCGACCACCTGAAGAGCGCAAATAAGGTTGACCAACGAGGCAAGCGACCCTGTGGAGGAGAAAGACGAGTCAGCAAAATATCAACCATACAGCAGGGTTGAAGGAGAAGGCTGAGAACTCGGAAGGGACGGAATCGATGGGACTAGGCTAAAATCGAAAAGACTCACCTTTGCCTGCGACGAGACAAAATGCCCTCCGATCTGCCTGCCAACTCTGTCGAAACGTTCGCCCTGAACTGGTCACAGATGATAGTTCTGACGCTGGTTGGGTGATATTGTTTCTTTATTTCGTGAACGCGAAGAATGCACGCTAAAAATCGGCATAAGCAAACGGATTGATCGCAGAAGGGGACCATGAGACGAAACTTACCAGATTCCAGCTTCCCGTCGTTGATTACGTGCATATATCCCATCCACGAGTATATCCTCGGCGTATTTCGTAGCCACAGTGGAACCTGGACAACTGAACTGCCGATACATAAGAGGATACGAGATTGTCCTGTGTGGTGCGCTGGTAAAAGGGCAGTAGGTGGAAATCGTGATTGCTAGACTTCGCATAGATCTACCCGGTCATGGAAGATTCGAACAGGCATCTCTCGCGTTGGAGTGCCGTCTTTTGCTCGACATAGCTGAACTAGGGTAGAGATCAGCCGACATCCTCTCGAGGAAGAAAAATGAACGCACGAGTCATCGGCCAACCCAACTCGTGCATTCAAGCGCCGTTTCGGACATCGATAGGGTCAAGGGAGTGGAATACACTGGTTTACGGTGAAAAGGGCGACGGGCAGCGTCGCGGTTGTGGTGAGAAGGAGAAAGAACGGCGCAATGAGGTCTGTCACTCCGTGACTGTAGCGCACTCGGTGTTCTCGGCGGTCTCCTCCACTGTGTACTCTAACTCTCGATCCTTGACGTCTGGGCAGCAGTACATGGAGGGTAAACGGATGCAGACCGTTCCCGCCCACTGGCGCTCAGTTACAAGCCCGGGTTTTGCAGCCACACCAGGGGATGAACGACAAGAAACAAAGTCACCATCCTTCTATGGCTGGGTTAGAGCGTCAGATTGAGCGAGGAACGGATCTGAAGCATCAGCGCGTGAATGCCTATCGAGCAGAGATTCGGGAAAGATAGCTAAGAGAACGGTAGAAAAATCGAAGCATCGTGGAAAACGAGGTGCGCGGGAGGGGTAAAGGATGGAGATGGCCATCCACACTCACTCGCGAGCCGAGGAAGAAGGGAATCCAAAGTCATTAACTGCCTGTGCGTCTCATTGCACCTGACTGATAGACCAGGTGAAGACCAGGAGTTACGCACGAACAGAAAGGCAAACATTTCCTCCTCGGGACGTACAGTATGGCCACGAGCTGGAAGTGCCATTTAGACGAGGCGAAAACATCCATTTTGATCGGGCACCTCCAGGAGAGAGCCAAAGGGAATCAAGGAGGAGAACGGGTGGAATGCTTCGGCAGCAAGGGGCGCTCAGGAGAATAATTAAAACGAGGGCGTCAATCCACACTTTCTTCAAGTGTAGGCGTGGAACGACTCGCTTCCAGACGCTGCGGTCAGAACGGAAAACAGCCTACAGACCGTCGAAGATCATGGAGTCAACGCCGAAACTGTTCCTGCAAAAAGGAGCTCAGATGTACCAATACGTCAGCGGGAGGAAGAAATGCGACGCACGACGCTCCCCCTCCCCGTCTGTGTGTAGCTAGCAGCTCATATGCGAGGAACAGGTGTGGCAGGACTTATGACGACGACGTTCTTGTGAAAGGCCAAACGAGAGAGGAGAAGAGAAGAAAAGACGGATTGCGATGCTCAGATGAACACTCTGCGGCGCACAAGTGCAGATGAAAGGATTAATGGCCCGCTGCTGGGCAAGCCTCCACACCCGCTCGTTGGAGAGACAAAGCGTGTCGTCTGTCTAGATCGACCGGAAGGGTGCTTGCCTCATGCGCGCTATCCACAACACCGTCGTAAGACGCATGCAGAGACGACTTTCGATGCTCTGAGTGAGGGTACAACGAAGACGGACGAGACCCAAAACACACCTATCGCTGCAGTCAACCAACCACGGAACCAACAGGCTATTCGAAGGGAACAGGTCTGTACAAGTTCAGCAATCAGTGATCTAAGCGCACGACGCATAGATAAGGACGAATATTGTCACGAATCGTGGGATCGAGGACGAGATCTCGAGAATGTCTAACGCAAGTTCAGATTTTCGGTGGGTGACAGAAGCAGGGGGAGTGAGATAGGAGGCTGGGGTCAGAGCGGGGACTTGGTGCTAGGAGGAAAGGAAGAGCGAGACGCGAGGTCCAGCGCCGCAGACAGTGCGGCATTTGCCGAGCTGTTATCGGGGCGATCTTATCTTATCCAATATCCCTGGGTTCATCTAGTCAAAGGAGGCACTGGGTTACATAGAAAGCTAACGAGGCATTCCATGACAAAAAAAGGGCCATATACCCGCTGTCTCGGAATGATTCAGGGAAGTCTGACCCCTGAGTCTGACCAATCAACTCATTCCAGTGCAGAAGGTGAATGAATCAACGAAAGGTGGATCGCGCGAATATTTCTAGCCATAACCACAAAGTGCGACCGAAACGAAGACGTCAAAATGGAAGGGGAAAGTAAGACAATAAGTAATGGCGACACACCATATGTTGTCCCACAACCGCGCACACTATTCGAGGCCAACGTACTCTTCAAGGTACCGGCAATTGGACGTGCGTCGCGTGGAGACTCACGACGAGTAAAAGAAAAAACGAAAAGAAGGGGTAGATAAACGAGGAAAGACAATCTGCGGAAGAAAAATAAAGAGAATTCGATTTCTACCGCGGTCGCCGCAGCATCAGAGAGAAGAGAGAGAGAAAGAGCCAATTCGAGCAAAGCCACATAGTGAGCCGCGCGGGTATACTCTACACTGAAGGAGCGAGTAAACCCAGGTGAGCCTCGAATAAGACTCGAGGACGAAACGCAAGGGGAAGACGGTGTCGTTCATAAGACAAAAAATGATCCAAATTTTTGAGACTTGGATATTTGAGCCCAGAAATGAAGGCAAATCTCATCTATCCCCGCACAGACAGAGAAATTCGGCAAGGAAATCATTGAAATATCGAGCACAGCAGCCACTAGAAACGCGAAGAGGGCGGCCGGCGTTTGCAGTGCGACGAATGGATTAGTTCTCTTCCCAAATTTGCATTCCGTGCCTCATAAATCATGACATGAGAAGTCGTGCAAGGTGAGATGAAGACGGTGCGATATGCAAGGGAAGCAAGGTGACTGTGGATATCTGGTAAGGGTGAAAATGATTTTAAAATGACAGAGCAGGAAAAAGACGATGCGAGCGAAGATTCTCAATAGAGCGGTCGAGCCCTACAAGCCAAGGAATGTGGCATGGAATTGCATAGGTTAGCATCGAGCAGAGACATGGAAGAAACACCCGCTCAGTGCAGCAGTACACAGATATGTAATGGTATCTCGACGCGAAGGGCACACCTGTCTGTAAATCCGGGTAAGTCTGGGAGCGGGATGACTTTCTCGCCGTCGACGCCGGCGCATAAGGAGAAAAGATGGAGGAGGCAGGCAATAATAGTAATAAGAAGAACGTGAATTCAAAGAGGTCGACCTTCACGATTTTCGACTCCAAAGGAGGTCACGGCGATCGGGCTGAGAAGAACGAGGATGCCATAATGCAGCCTGAACCATCAAGCGTGAGGACTAGCGATTCGCATACCTCTTCCTTAGGTTTTCATCGGTGAAGGAACCCCGCAGGAGTGTAGAAGAGCAACCCATATCCCGACTATAGGAAAAGGTGGCCATGAATCGCGGGCAGAATTCCTGCCCGCCAAGTAGGAGAAAAGCATGAATTCAGAGTGGGGTTTCGTATAATAACGTGCTGGCGGCGCGAATGTCCATGAAATCCTCGATAAAAGCGACAAGACCACGAAAGGAGGAGAAGTAGAAAAAGAACGAAGCGCATGACTCAGGTGGAAATTAAGGAATGTCGCCCCAACTGCAAGATGCTCAGGAAGAACTGGTTAGAGGGGTCCCTCACCCGTGGCTAGCACAAGAAACTCGGCGACAACCGAGATATGTCTTACCAACGGGAGATAACCACTAAGAGAGTTCTTCCGGATTATGAGGCCTATGGAAGCGATTTCGAGCTTGGAGCAACGTATGCCCCCCACTTTCCCTGCTATCAACAGTGAAACAAGATAGTGATACAAAGAGGCAAATTTTCGCCGCTCCTACATGGGCAGCACATGCATGCGAATGAAGAAACGGAGACAGAGGTGGGTAGCAGGATGGCGAGATAAACCAGAGAAAGGAGAACCACCGTGATCGCGGTCGGAAATGAGAGAGAAACGCCGATAATGGGCGAGAATGAAGACGCCATCGCAAGATGTAAAATTCGGGCGACGTACACGTAGAATCATCGGAACTCGCGGGCAAGTCCTGCCATAGGGTGTCTCCTAGAACAATGTCGAATTATACACTTTTTCAAAAACTCCAAGACGCACCCTAATCCGGCTCAAAGCAAATCCACGCCATCCACATCCTCTGCAGAGACCTTCGAAGGACATAACACGATGATTGGATTCCTCTGGGAGGTGGAACGTAGAAGTATTGTTACGATGTCTGGCAAAGGAACGATGAAAGGTGGTGGTAGGAGAGAAAGCAGTGCACTGATGGAATCCCGCAATAGTTAAGATAAGATGCAGGGGGATAAGACTCACACCCCACGCAACGAGGTGGAGGACACCACTGTGGGCAGCCGACGCTCCTAAAAAACCCGCGTCGGAATAGCACTGATATCGACGGTATCTTGTATGCACTGTAAACTACCGCCTGTTTTAGCCTTGTTTTAACCTGCAATACAACCGGAGTATTAGGGGTTTCAGGCACCGAAAAAAAGTGGAAACACGTGGCAAAAACCCCAAATTTCGGCGCCTATTGCAGATTTTTTCGTGGCAGTCAGGCAGGCATTTTGGGCGCCTACACCCTGCTGCTATTTTCATCGGTCTCATAGGCAGTCATAGTCCTGGAGCTCAAAGCAGTTGTATTTGTAGTTAAATATTACATCTGTACATACTTGTGGGTGCCAAAAGTAACTGTGATTATGTAATCACATGCTCCAATCAAAGGCGGGGCATCCCAAAGATGTGAAGCACACTTCAATTCAGGTGCTTGAATCACCCCGAGAAAAGGCATAGTAGATTAGTCCTGTTCAGTATCTATGTATTCTACACATTAAAATGGTATGTGGCTGCCCCGCGCTTCCAGGAGAGCCGCTACTCGGTCAGGCATCTCAGAAATGTGTTTATTGACGCACTCGATCGGTATCTGCTCCCAGGCTTCGATAACAGCCAAACGGAGTTCTTCTACGGATGTGGGATGATGTGGCCTTCTTCGTATAATTTGCTTGAGTTCGTGCCAAATAGGCTCAATTGGGGAGAGGTCCGGAGAGTTGGGAGGGTGATAGAGCTGTGTGATGCCATGATGAGTGAGCCATCGTTTCGTTAGTTTGCTGGTATGTGCTGGTGCATTGTCCTGCTGGAAAATTACCTGGCCTCTCTCGGTCCTCATCTCTCTATAGAAGCCCCTCAGAGCCCCCTCCAGCACTTGCTCGCAATACCGGGCAGTGTTCATTCCTCCACTTTTGCCTCCTGGGTACTCCAACACAACAAGCGGCCCTTTTTGACCCTCCATTACGCAACCCCACACCATTACTCTCACTGGCGACTGCTTGAAGGTCGCAACAAGGCATTCATCGAGGTATTTTTCATCTGCGCGCCGTGTGATGTAAACGCGTCCATGATTGTCGCCGAGATAAATATAGCATTCGTCGGTCCACATGATCTTCCTCCAATGGCGGGGCGTGAAGTCACAATAGAGGTGAGCCCATGTGAGTCGTGCACGCTTATGAACCTTCTTCAGGTAGGGAACCTTGCGCGCTACCCGGCGGAAGTATCCTGCGTTGCGCAGAACCCTTCGAACAGTTGACCCCGAGACTGGTGATGGGAGTTGGTTTCCGATGTTGGTAAAAGGTGTTCTCCGCTCCCTTCGGGCAATGCGTATGATATGACGCTCCGCAGTATCGTCAAGCTTGTGTGGACGTCCCGACCGGGGGAGATTCTCTGTCGAACCCGTTGTCTTGTACTTTTTCCAGATGTACCGTGCTGCGCTGTCATGGATGTAGAAAACCCGGGCCGCTTTGGCGACTGTTGTACCCGTGAGCACGGCTCCGATGAACTTGTCTTTTATGGACGATGGATACTGGTGTCGTTCTGTCTTTGGTTCAGGCATGATGAGGGAAGAGCGATGAGGACCGCGGAGGAGGGACGTTCAACAAATGATCGGGTCAGATCACATGGGTCGTGTTTATTATATAATCGTAGTTACTTTTGTCACACGTGAGTAGTATCTGAGGCTCCCCACTGACTGCTGAGTTCCGTCGCACCCGTGTCGAGCTCGCGGCGAACCGCTCTATTCATCAAAGGCCTGGGGAAAGCGGGGCACATGACGAGTGATTTATTGAATGGGACAACGATTAATTCATACCTAGCAGCTGTGGATGACGTAACTGGCGTTTCTGAGCTTGAGAAAGGTCTGGACGACATCGGGTCAGCATTTGTGTACAGCGAGAAGCAGCGGAATGAAACATACTATCGCTAGGGATTCCACATTTGCCACAACTATGGTTGATAAGGAATCAGTGTGGCGAGAGTCAATTGAAGGCATAGATGTACCGGACAAGCCAGTACGTAGGCCGTCGTGATCCTCTGCTCGCAGTGGCTCTATGGAGCACTGGCAGTCCCTATAGAGCTCTTGATAACTGGGGGTCCTCCTGCGATCTTCCAATGCGAATGAGACTGAAACCCGGCGCCCCTCACCGAGTGTAATGGGAGCGTGAGCGCGCACTAGATGTTGGTACAAATTACTGATCAAATCAGTACCAACACAAGGGGGCGACGGAGGGTGCGTACCTTGACACCTCCTTCGTCAACGACGTAGACGCCAAGTTTCGGGCTGTGGTGCAGGTTAGCAATATTTGCGATGTCGAACCAAGCACACGAACAGATTTTGAATCCTGTAGACGCGTCAACAAAATGCACTCTCAAAAGTCGATGAGCTCAGGAACAACGTACCTGCCTCACAAGAGCCACCCATGGTATCATTTGCTCCTTCTCGCAACTGGTCTTCGCAGGAATAACACTGTGAGTGAGTACATAACAGCAAAACCAAAGGTGAGCTTACCTTTGCCTGGCGCTGTCTATAACCACCTTCGCTTTCGATGTGGTTTCTATACCACGCATGTGCCCTACGGCTTCAGGAGCCATCCCTGCCAGTTGTGCATATGCCAATGATGCCGCGCTGAAAGTTAGAGAGGGCTGGTACTCAAGAGTAGCTTCAACTTGCCAGAGATGGGGCCATGGTGGACAAATCGTGGATGAGTAGACTCCAGGCCATAGAAATCCAAAATATGAGCATAAATGAACGCATATATTGAATAAGAGGCCATACTTACAGCACCAGTATCACTTCTAGACGCGCTCAGGCTCCAGCGGCGATCCGATTCGTGATCAGCCAGATCGGAGGGCGGAATTAGTTCGTTCGGGTATTCCATCTAGTTTTGAGGTAGTTATATGGCCATCTGTGCCCACAGATAGAAGATCAGGCATGGGGAGGGGGTGGTTGGGGTGCAAGCTGCGGAGGACACGTTGCGGCTCAAAACGGGACGCATACTGTCACGTGCTCAATGTTGTTTGGCATCGTCTTGTTTGTTCCAATAGGCGTCCAAACAAAGTGGGGAAGAAAACCTCACTTTGTTTGGACACCTATTGGAACAAACAAGACGATGCCAAACACTAGTCGAACTGACCCCCAAGTCCGCTGTCCCTTGTCGGCATGCCAAGCTTTCCAGGTTTGCGCTACCACCGCCGATGCTGCCCATTCGCCGGTGCTGGTGTGTACTCTTCTCCTCTGTGTGTATCCACAAGTAGCTAATTAAAGTGTCACAATTCCAGAGTCGTATTTGGTGCCTGGACTCATACCCCAATGAGCTGTTCAACCAGGTGCAGCTCAATGACGACCAACAGTCTTGCATTGATGAATGCCACCCACTCTTGCAGGACCAGCTACATGAACTCCTTCACACTACCCCGACAACAATGGCCAAGCGTGGCTTGACGACTGGCAGACAATGGCGCGAGCGAAGGGTTTCGCAGAGGTGATTAGGCCCATCTTTTCACAAGAAAACTACAAGCTAATCATGCCATTTGCCCACATCGGACTCAACCACAACCTCAACCTACCCACCTTCTCTCTATCGTTCCACTGCCCCTCTGTCCTAGGACTGCTCCACCACCATCAACATGACAACATGACGGGAGGGAGCTTATCAACACACAAAGGTATCACCCATGGCAAATGACGAGGTGTATTACAGCGCATATACAAAGCTTGAAGGTTGTGAACGTAGGCATATTTTTGGTGTATCGTTGAGCTATTTTTTCGATTCTCAACGTGAGGATGAGGACAGTTGGAGGGAATAACTATGGAAGGCAAGATGGTGTTAGAGCAGCAATAAATTCCATTATTTTAGCTGGATTTTATTTGCAGAGATAGCTAAGTGCCAGAATGACTACCTCGTAGGGCATAGGCAGGCGATTCACCGAAAGAAGCCATAACCCAGGATTTTACCTGCCCTCCGTAGCAGGGAAATAGACGGTTGGACCCATACCAGGAGATTTTAGGTATTTTTGGATATGGGTTAATTCCCGGTCGCCGGAAAACACCGGAAATACCTGCCTTTTGGAGGCAGGACGACCGAAAGCAGGGAATTTCATGTATTTTTAGATACAACTTATTTACCGGCTACTGAAAATCCCCGGAATTCCCTGCCTTTTTGGGGCAGGACTCCCCGAAGCAGGTATTTCCCCAGCTCCGGCTTCCCACAGTGACACGCTAGATGGAATCCAGAAGGGCTGCACTCTCAAGAATACAAGATAGTGCATTCGAAGCACCGCGTTTCGAAGCGTATCATAGCTCCTGAGCAAAGAGATTGCTTTTCATCGCACCTTGCGAAAACGAATTTACCTTGGAACCAATAAGTAATACATATCCATGGTACAGAAAATCCTACAACAATTGGGAGCCCACCGGACGGGCGAGAAGATCACTTATTCTCGCTGTTCTCGTCCGTCTCCTTCGTCTTTTCTAGCGTCGACAGGCCGCGCGGTTCAGGTTCCAATGGGAAGTACTCGGTATCAGGCGTTGACGAATAGTAGATCTTCTTCCACTGCGGCTCGAGCTCGGAGGGAAGCTTCCACGCTTTCTCCTCGTCACGAAGCCAAAGGCGAAGGAGGTGCCGTCTTAAAATTCAGAAACCCAGCGTCAGTAAAGAAGGACTTCGGAAAACGCAGCTCCAGACTCGCTGGAAAATATGATGTAACGTACTTATGCTCTGGGGTATCCCTAAACGCATCCCTAGCATGGAATACACTGAGGTTATTGATATACTGGATGTCGCCCTTCTCGAAGCTGAGCCCGAGCGCGTGCTTCTCCGCGAGGAAGTGGATGGCGTCGAGTGCCTCGGCCTGCGCCTCGGTGATGGGCGGTATGCCCTCCGAGCGAGGCATGCTGGGGAAGCTGGTGAAGAGGCGGCGGGCATATTGGATGATAATCTTGTTGTCGACATGGAAGAGAAGCGGGCGGGTGGTGTACGCTGGTTTGCCGCCGAAGCTGATGAGAGTAGCAGATGAGCAAATAAATCAGGAAAATAGAATGACAAGCAAGGAAGACGACGTACCCGTCGAGAGGCCAAGGCTCCGCAAGTGTCTTAATCAAATCCGGCCTCGTCTCCGCCAACTCATTATACACCCTCCAACTACTCCCAATCCTCGAAACGCCCCCCTCCTCCGCCGTCTCCAGCACATACAGCGAGATGATATCCCCCGCATCCGTATGGAACACCTGCTTGTCCGTCGTCCACGCCGGGAAGCCAATGCTCTTGAGCGGGTGCGTCTGCGTCAGGTCCTTTATGTGGCCGACGACGGAGACACCGTCCAGGTCCTGGACCCCGCGGAGGGGGCCGACGTATGAGGAGACCCCAGCGTAGATGATGGTGTTCTCTTCGCGGGTGTAGGCGTCGACGGGTATAGTCTTGACGACGAAGAAGCCACGTCCGGTGTGTAGTTCGTGCGAGAGGTCCTTGAGAATGGGGCCCAGGGTCGGCAGAGGGAAGGTCGAGGGAGAGAGGTACCCGAGAGGTTTGTTCTGACCTGTATCAACGTAAGTATACGTGGATAAGAGTGGAAGATGCGGATGACACACCCTTGAAGTGCTTAAGCGCATCGTCAATCTCCTTCAGCTGTTCAGCAGAGAGCTTATACTCCCACTGCGCCGCGTCCGTCCAGTCTTTGCCCTCCCAAACGAGCGGCGACTCGAGCTTCTTCGGGAATCCCTCTGGAAGTGCAGTCTTGGGCAGCGAAGGGTCCTCAGCGAGACGGCGGGCGGTGCGAGCTTTCCATTTAGCTTCGTTCGGGAGGTACAGGATATCGGGCTGCTTTGGAGGCTCGACAACGACTTCTACGACGTCAACAGGGGCATGCTTCTCGGACGTCACCTCCGGCGTGGAGGCATTGATGTCGAGGTTGGACTTGAACAGATCAGCTACGCGATCTACGAGAGCGGCAGCCATAATGAAGTGAGAGACGGTCAGGATATGGAGGCATAGATATACGTTTGATCGGGTGTGTTTCGCAAGAATCAACTTCTATGGTGTGACATGGCGTTCTTGCTATCGGTCAGACCTGCACGTGCCAGAAGGCGAGTCTGCGAACGCAAAGGCTCATATATGCGTATCATGGGAGATGACTGCATATTCTGGATGGAGAAAACAGCGAGGCTGAGTCAGACCGAAACGGCGACGAATGATGTGTGTTGGGATTAAAATGACGAACGTACGAGATCTGGATGCCCATCGCGCTGCCTCAGCTGAAGATACACGATCAGCTGAGCGAGAATACGGGTATACCGGGTGCCTGGAGGACGCTACGAGCATTAGATGAGCTTGAAAGATGCCTTCGTATCGGAGCTGGGGTGGAATTTACCTGGTACAACGGCTCGCCATCGACCGCGATGTAACAGACACCGCATTTGCGCTCAACTTGCGGGGGAAAGCGGTCGAGTATATGAAATGTAACTTCGGACTTCCGATGTGCCTGGATAGAGGACCGCAAAAATCAGAGGTTTCTCGTGCAAATAGAGATGTCGAACTCACCTCATCCTGGTTCCACTGCCCCACGGACGACGACTCTGATGACTTTAAGAGCCTCGCAGGAGGAGCTAGATACCCTGAGAGTCCAATATGTTGTGATCACGGTAGGTAGAGAGACGATGCCTAGGGCCGCTCTAGTCGAATGGTAGAAAACATCGAAGACGCTGAAGTTGAACCAGTGACGTTGAACGCGGTAGCTTTAGGGCAGGTTCAAACTCCGGCAATCGGGCCGTTCAGCCCCTATCTCAAGAGTGAAGGCGCTTAATACGAGTTTGAACGTTGCACCTCTCCTTTTTATTCATGGAATCTACCGTTATTTGTCTCGGTACTTAAAACTACCGGGTGTGTACAAGACGCAAATCCATGGTATAGCGTTCTAACTCGCCTTGAAGCACCCGTTGGCGTTCTCAGCGGTCTGGGCACGTCTATCAACCTCCTCGCGGCCGGAAGCTCGCAAAAGTGAGAGCGAATTATTGAGCACTTAGAAGTAGAGCTTTAATGCACAGCTCACAGTACGGCATCGGCATCGAAGGTCATAGTCTCAAAATAATGAGCGTACCAAGCATTCCCCTGGGTCAAAGGAGAAAATTGAACACAGCCTGTGAATCGACGTGACAGGGAATTCTTTGGCTATCATTCGGAGGATTATATAGTTAAGCGCGGGTTCACAATATTCCACCGTTCCGGCTGCCAACGTGCTTTCTCAAATTGGTGAAGGGGGGAATTATAATTTTGGATACCGCCGGAAGGATACAATCTTATTACTCTGCAATGTATGAGGATAAGCGCAACATTTTCCGAGAAAATATAGAACTTGTGAGGGTGAATCAGAGCGGTACGACAGCATATATGCGCGAGAAATTTTCGTACTTCTCACTTCGAGGATAGTTTACTGTAGCCAGTATGCGATATCTAGTGTACGCGGCAAATCACGACCTCTGTGCATAGGAGACAGTTCCTCCTATAATTAAATACCTCTCTAAGACGTATTATCTCATCACCATGGCAGAATGCGAATTCTGAGAGGTAGTAAGAGGGTTTGGCACATGTCCCGGGATTTGAATGTGCTACCAGGAAAAGAATTCGTCCTAGTACAATTGCGCATGCTATGGGCGAATAGCAGCATAAATGCCCTCTTAGCCGCGCAATAAAGAGGTCGAATGGATCTCTTCCTGGGTCATCAACATTCAGCTCCGGGAGCGTAGAGCAGGGGCAAATGAAAGCCGCCACTAGAGAGCACATCCGCGAATTCGGATGTTTGAATTCTCGGAGAAAGCGCCGTTCCTACCAACGTATTGATAGATCTCATTACGATACACGCCAGAGAAAGGGAGGCATGAAAGGATGCCGCCCTTCAGATGATGGTGTATTAATTGGACCACCAGCTCGGGTGAGGAACGGGTCTCGAGCGTCCGTGTTCGTTCGCGCCAATTACGGGCTTGCGGGGACGGGGGAAGGAAGGAAGGAAGGAATATTGATTACCGGCGAGGTCCCAATGAGGAACGAGGGGGTATTCGAGAGAGAAAACAGGGGGAAAAATTAAAATGCAGCGTCTGCGAGTGTCACTTGAGATCCACTCGCTCGAGTCGGATCGTCGACTAGCAGCCAGATAAATGGATACGGCTCTCGGACTACTTCAACCCACACCAGATATTTCGGACAGGCTATGATTCCGGCACTTCGTCTTATTGACGTGGACGAATTTCCCGCCTGAGTATGCCGTAGTGCGCTGGAGTGGGTTATGTGACACGAGGAGCTGGGAATGAATGGGGATAGAAGTGGATGGCGTGGCAGAGCAACGACCAGCGGGTCGTCAGAGGAGAAGGGAAGGGACGACAGATGCAAGGAGGCGATAGGGAGAGATCGCACTAGGGACGAGCGAGTATCCGCACCACTCAGAAAGAATCATCCTGCAAGGAGTGATTGCACCGAGGTAGACGCTGACAAGTCCGTACATGGACCCGCTCCTCGAGACATCATCATCACACAGTTAGCTGCACAGGGAATGAGCCAGCATTTATCTCCGAGAAGATAACTGAGCAGCTACATGCTGCTACCCACTCGCCTGCCCGCGATGTAAGCCAGCTATCAGTCGGAGCGGGTCGGAGCGTAGTGCCGACGGTCTATCGCACGAGGGACGGTTCCAGAGACGGCGTAGAAGGTAGCAGAAGTATCTGAAGGTGTTCGAGAGAATTCTCGAGAGAGATATGGAGGACAGGAACACACCTTAAGGATCGAAGGACGCCAGATGCGTTATCGCAACATCGAATCGCAGATAGCACGATGGACACGACAGCCGGTGGCGGAGACATCCATTCTGCTGGGCGGTTGGTGGAGAGATTTAGATACGACACGGAAGTTCCGGTGGACATGGTAAATGTACAGATGCGGACGGAGGAAAAGGAGGCGTCGAAGGTTAGGTGGTGGTAGAAGAGAAGAAGCAAGAGGCCTCAAAGGTGGCTGGTAGGATAAGATAAGATGTCTGCTGATAACTATCAAACTGGTTCGGCCGACAGTTACAATCCCTGAGATTTGAGACACTGTGGGCTATTCCAAGCGCTTTCATGGGTATTTTGCCTACGCCTCCAGATCATCGGCATCGACGTTCGTTTTTCTGCCAACTTAATATCAGTCTATCTTGAAGCGATCAAAATGTCGTTGACCTTCGTCATATGTAAAATAATTTGCATTGCCCACGCGTTGGCGGTGCTTCTCTCAGAATTTCGATGGGTATAATTTACTTGTTGCGGTACAAAATATCGATAATTTGGCTGAACGAAAGGGTGTTTATCACTGCAGGAAGCGGTTACATTTTATTGAGCCGCCCGAGGATGCATCAGAATAAACTGTCCCAAGTCGGTCCATACGACCGCCCCCGAGTCGGTCAGATGAGCCGCCTAATGTCGGCTCATTGAGCTGTAAATGGCACACTTTATTTGGCTTTTTGAGCTGCTTTTGGCAGTCCGTTGAGACATATTTGAAGACTGAGGTTGAGATATTGGCGCGGGCTAGTGTCCATATTTAGGGTCAGGGAAACACCATGTATTCACTACTACAATTACAGCCGCAATTCTGAAGCCTACAGGTACAAATCTACATATAAGGGGAAGCAAGCTACATACCATCCAGAGTCAAAGCCCCTTGCCAACGCAAGGAATCCGCCAGCACTCGGCTTCGCCGTGCACATCCTGGCAGAGTGGCAACTGAATTAGCGAGAGCGTCAGTGAAAGCGCTTGACGTACGAAATTGGCGTCCTTTGTCCGTTTCTTCGCCTGTGCCACCTTCTTCTGTCTTCCTTCTCCTTCTCCGACTCCTGCTGCATGTTTCATCATTACCGCCCCGCTTGGAAAATAGTAGAAGATGACACGTACCGTGGCTTTTATCGTGGTCAATTCCTCGCCCATCTTCACTTGGCCCCAACCGTGTCGTTGCCGCGTAAGCCTAAGAGCACAAACATGAGTGTTTGCACAGAGGAAAGATCGCCCGCGACGATGCCGTCTGGGAACCCCATTGGAAGGCACTCGGCGTGGACAGGGATCTGGCGCTGAACAAGGTCTCAATGATCTCAAGCACAAGGCTGCGGAGAGAGCCTCGCAGTCCCGCGCATCCGCCCCGCCGACGATTGCAGTCGACGACGACTTTGGGGATTTCTCGGGCGGTACAGATGCCCTCTCTCTGCCGCCACCGGAGGAGATGGGTGACTTCGTAGGCGCGTTCCAGGGGTATCCGTGTCCATAACAATAAAACTTACATATGGTGGTAGTGTAGCAGCTGTTTTGTCGGTGTCCGTGACCTAGAGGCACTTTCGTCAGACAAAGCACAATAGAATAGGGCAGACGTTGTGCAGAAGACGTACCTTATAACTGTCATGTAGGACACGAACTCGTCTACATGGACCAAAGGTACAACCCGGTCCCTCAGTCTTGTTGATCCCAATGGTCCAGATAGGTCAGTATGGTCAACCAGGGGTATAAGTGACACTTACTATCACGGGCTGTACTCGTGTAACGTCAGCAAAATGTCGCACAAGAGAAAAGGAGGAAAGGCTCGCATAGGCGCTATCATGCAAGAACACCGGCGAATGTGTGTTCAGACTCCACGAGGGGCGAAGCGTGAGTGAGGGAAAAGGGGACTGACTCAATTCAAACTCACCTTCTCTTCTCCATGTTCATCCTATGATGCTCTCGCACACTGCCGCGAATCCCTGCAGCGGTGCCTTGTCCCGCACACACCAACCATGCTACGCGGCACGGCGCGCATGGGAGGGCTGAAACAGACCCTCAGTCAAAGAAGTGCTAGATAGAATAGATGAGCGCATATAATGGACAAAACGGAAGCTTACCGCCTGAACTACCCCCTTGAGCCCGTGGGTCCCGACGCTGCGATCTGAGTATCCGATCGACAAGATCAGAGGATGCAGGGCGTTTAGAAGCATGATACGTGGAGGATTTCGACGGTACAGGACCATCTATCCACGGCGATGGGAGATCAGGCTAGATCACAGTGATGACATGGAGGTAGGAGACGATTCAGACGAAGGAAGACTCAAGCTCAAGACTCAAGAGTTAGCCGAGTCGGGAGGCGCGTTTCATCACGTGTCCGCGACGATGTTTGGCAAGGTCTTGTTTGCTCCAATGGGCATCCAAACAAATTCTGGGGAAAAACCAGAATTTGTTTGGATGCCTATCGGAACAAACACGGTGGTGCCAAACATTGGAGCTGAATGAAAAGTCGAACTTGGCTTGAACTTCTGTCAAGCTCCTTGCTCCCTCGTCCTGAGTTGCAGGTCCGGGGACCGAAATACAGAGACACGCTGATTTCAGAATGTCATCCCTGCGACCATGGGACTTATCGCCTCTTGCGATTCAACACAGAACGAACTCACTTTAAGCTCTAAGAACAATGGTGCACTGACAGGCGTATTGCATCTTTTATCAGCCATCCCCCTGGCATTCACTGCACCCTCTATGGAACTTGACCGTCACGAAACCTACCGCGACCAACTCTCGACGCTCGTTTCCACCATAATCTGTGTGCCGCGACATCTGTCAAGATCTAGAGGTCAATGAGCGATGGATAGAGTATCAACCGCCATATACCTGTGCTTAGAGTAAATAAGTACATGTTCCGGAGCCTATTCTGTTAGCTCCCTGGTGAGGCTGCCTTTCAGGGCGGCTCTGAAGAGCGCCTGCCTTTGGAGACGGTCGGATTGAGGTATTTTTAGAACATCTTAATAAAACGTCAAGGAAGTCGGTCAAATGGACCTTCTTTTCGGGCGGTTCCGGCCAAGTCGGCTCAATTGACCGACTCTACTTCCCACAGTGTTTATGCGAATATTTGTAGCCACAGCCACTGCGCCCGAAATGAAGAGGCCAAAACGAACGGACAGTCGCGAAGAAAAGTATGCACCTTCAAGCCTCAAGCTTCAGTCGGAACCACCTGTAGATTCGCAATCTTCAAAAGTTGAACTCACGAATGAGAAATGGAGAATAGGCATTTCGTGGAGATAGAACGAGGAAATGAAGACCGCCGCGTCGTCCGCTGCAGAATAAAGGAGGAAAAGAAGACTACGGCCTCCCCCCCTAGGGCATGACTTGGTAGACACCGCTCATAGAGCGAGGTAAGGACTACTCTACATACCAACGTGTCATGCACGAGAGTTAGCGTGGCCCCCTTCCTCCTCAAAAGATTGCACGACTCACCGCCCAGACGAGGTGGGAAGATGGAGGGATGAACGAGAGAAAATATGATCAAAAACCGTCGATGCGCTGATACCCAAGTGCGAGGTTGATATGAGTTACATCCAGCAGAAGGTGGCGAGAGAACTTCGGGAGGGATCAGAAGCGAAAATTATTTCTCTTTAGAACTGCAGAAGACGGAAACACGTATTTGAGCTCGCTTTCGCAGTGCGCTAAACAACGCAACGGATCCCTTCCCGATTCTCTCAACGCCGGTTTTGGTCTGACGGATGAGTGAAAAAAAGGATAAAGTAACAACGTTGCGGAAGAGAAGAATAAGCCTCACAGGGTCGAGGAAGACGCACAAAGAAAGACACATCTACAACGAAGACGCGCTTAATTGTGGAAGAGGAAAGAAAAGACGGTAATAGCTCTAGTCATACTGCCCGAGAATGGACCGAGGCTCGAGATGATATCATTAAAGGACGCATATATGCGTCTTTAATAGCCCTAGATAACCATCCAATGAGGCTGAGTTTCTGACCGGCGATCCTCGTGTCTGAAGCGCGAAACAAGAGTAGAGGGGCAATTGCGCGCAGAACGAGAAAAAAGGGAGGGAGAAAGGCGGAAACGGGGAAAGAAAAGTGCGAGAGAATCGCAAATGGCAATCAGAGATACGCCTCGTATTCCTCCAAGACCCTAGCAAGCGCTCTATTTCGACTGGAAGTCCAGATCTCAGCGGCTCTGAGACGAACAAAACCACGCACACTTCCGTGCTCGGACGCTAGCCACACGAAAGCGGCGAGGAGCAGAAACCCAAGGGATCCAGCCCTCCACCAGTACAACCCACCTCCACATTCGCTAGCAACACAGTGAGGCCACGCTGCGTCTCTACGGACGAATGACGCAGAGCGGTTTCCTCCCTGATCCGTTGGTTTGGATGGGCCGTGCGGTGCGAGGAGTTGGAAATATGGGTAATAATGGGGAGGTTATAGTGCAACGGAGAGGATTCGAAGGCGAACGGAGCGAACATGATGATTGAAACATTGAGAATTGATGACTTGGCCCATGAAACGCGGCAGCCAGGCGGCGTACGCGCTCTGGCCATGTTTCGAATATTGAAGCGTGAAGAGCCCCGGCCTCGCAGCACCGAATCGGGACCTGCTGGATTCGCCCCGGTCGTGCTGGATACATGGAGAATATCGTCAGGAATGCGTTGGCGTCGTGGATGGCGGTATACCTGGTAGTGGGTGCTGATCGATGGTGATATCCAAGATCTCCTTCCCCATGCTGGCGTTGGGTGGCGAAAGCGATCAAACAAGCAGAAGTAAGAGTTATAAGAGGAGACATGGTCTACGTTGCTGCTGAAGAGCTCGCAGATGCTGGATGGGAGGGTGGGGGGTGGGAGACGGGAGATGTCGACGACGTGGTGGGAAGAGACATTCCTCATCGACTACGCTGCTTGAAGAAAATGGCAAGACTTAGATAAGATAAGAGATGCTTGATGAAATTGAGATTCCAAACCCCCATCCTCAATCGAAAAAATCTCATGAATCTCGGGATATGTCGATGAATACTTCAGAAATACAGCGTCAAACTTGTGTAAGTAGATGTCCGGAGACAAGAGGAATTTTCACATCCCTCGATGTGAATGATTCGCGCCACATTGCCTTTGCTCGTCAATTTCCAGGAAAGTAATTCCCAATCTAAAGATGCTCGCAAAATCGATGAAGAGCCCTTACTACGACAGGATCGCCATTCATACCGCGTTTGCACGAGTAAAAACACTCTTTTTCATAAAAGTGCAGAGTAATTCTAGCTACTTACTACCAAGTATTCGTAAAATAGATGCTCTATATGTAGGTTTTAACGGCATTTTGTGAGGGAATTCAATATGTTTTGGGGGTTTCTCGGAATAACGAAGTGAAATCGTGTTGGGCTCGTAAAGGAGGGAGACGGCGCGTATATGACGAAGGAAGGGTAGGAAGGGAACAGACAGAACTAAGGACTGCCCTGAGGACGCTCGTGAGGAGGGTAACGAGTGTCGTAAGGAGTGTCGGGAGAGCGCTGAGGGTGTGTGTGAATCTACGTGAACGCTGGGAAAGCGGGGAAAGCGGGGAACGCTGGGAAGGCGGGCCATGCAGGCCACGCGGGAAACTCTGGGAGATTTGGGAGCGGGGGGAGCGAGGGGAGTTGCTGGGGTGGCTGCTGGGGTACGGGTACCGGGAGCGATGGCACTGGAAGCGATGGGACGGGGAGTCCGGTCGGGAGTGGCAAGCTTGGGATGGTGGGTTTTGGTGGGAACAGGCCCGGGAGGAGGATGCTGATAATTGGTAAGAGCTGCCTCTCCTCGATGGTTGTGTCGATTGGGTGCGCCTCGACGAAGAGGACTGCAGCGACCGCGAGAACGACGAGCTGGAGGGATCGTTTGAACTGCATTGTGTCGAAGTGTGAGTGGGCTTGAGACAATGTATTCACTGAGTTCACATCAATGTCTTTATACTCCAAGCTGCAGCCATCCAACTTGAAGTTTTTTGTCGTCGTTCGTGGAGCATAGGACGGTGACGCTGCACTGACGCGCCGACGACGCAATTGGAAATGGTAAACAGGTTCAGCCTAAGGGAGACGGAGGCTATTTCCTCTAAAAATGTAACGCGTTAGAAGGATGATTTGCATTTTCTGTACGGGTGCTCATATGGACACTTGGAAGAAAGAAGTCGTACAGTGCGGTAAGTCCATTGTGCTTTCCCCTGGTCCTGATTTCGAAACGATCGCGGCACACCCGGAGCATCTTACTGAACGTCTAACTTCAAAAAGGCAGTCGAAAATAGCGACGACAGTACAAGAAGAAGGAAAAAGGCTTACATACCGTTAGCTTCGTTCGCATTCTCAGGCTCGACGCGTTCCATTCTCTGCGAAATTAACGGCTTTCTTTGAGATCTGCTTCTTCGAGAGCTGCTGATCTCGGAGTATGAAGTGGGTCATTTTTTGACGAACGTCCATCCTGTTGCAGGGAAGTTTTCAACGTTCGTGCTAGTGATTTTCGAGCCTAGGGACCATGACAAGTTAGTCAAAGCCTACTAAGTCCACGAAGCTCGGAATGTCAGGAAAAGCGGTGGATGTTTGGGAGTAGCTCCACCGTCGTCATCGAGGAGAATCTATATGCAGGTGTGCGTAAACGCGGAGTAGATTGCAAGCATCAAGTAGCTACATACCTCACTAAGTCATTGTGCGCGGAAAGTGCGCGAATCCACGAGATTGATGGCCATACTTTCGATTCCAGAGCCCAAGAGACGCCCGAAGAGTAAACGAACCCAGAGGTAGACACAAACTTCGAAACCAAGCGCTGCTAGTCAGGGAAATATTTTAGACTCCGTCGAGTCAAGTGCTGGGTCATCGACGCGAATGGGTCACGTCAGCGACCGATATCCAAAAAGTGGTCCACGATTGAGTTGTCCGCTCCTCGATGCCAAATAGATTTCAAGGGAAAGCCGTAAGCCCACACGACTCGGCGATGATGACCACGTCCGTTTATCGAGATAATTAGAAGCGGGGGGTGCCAGTTCAAAGATAAACAACGACGTCGGAGAGGATGAAAGGTCAAGCGAAACGGAGCTCAAGGAAGCCACTCTAAACGCGACGCCGTCGGCGAATGGCGCAATATGTCATGGCACGAGCTATCAAATTTAGTGATATATCGCTGGGTTGAAAAGCTACTCTAAAGACGACAAACCCGAGAGATCCAAGCCGATGAAGGTCTAGATTTTCGAAGATGAGATGGAAGAACGCGCGAGGACTTTCAGACAAGCCTTCCAATTCCCCAAACGTCGAACAGTAACACAGCGATGGAACTACCCCTCCGTCAGAAAACCCAACATTCACCGCGGTAGGGATCTCTCACCAATACTAGCCGCGTATGTGACGCCGATGTCAAGACTCAGGAAAAGCGGATTGAGCGTCTGCGCGTTCGCGTTCATGCGTTGACAGGGGTCAAGTTAGCGAAGTTGTAAGTCAGACGGCGGGTTGGAGTATCAGAGAGGAAGAACCGAGTATTGCCTGACGAAAATAATGGCCAACGTCGCAGCACGATGTTCTCATGGTGGTGGTACGAGATCAAAGGATTGTTGTTGCATGCTTGTTGTTTTGGGTAGTCGATCTTATCTTATCTTCGTGGACCCTGACCCTTGCCGCATCCTTTCTCTTTCATAGTTCTTGCTTTGTTTCCTGTAGGGATCATTTACTAGAATAAGCCCTATTCTAGCCGTACGGAGGCCAGTCACACTTCAACTTGTCGTGTTTCGTCTCGAGAGCAACACATTGCGGACTTCCTACAATACGCTCGTTCGAATAAAATTTGCCTTCCACCCGGGTAAGGATACTATTTCGAAATACTGGAGTGGTGTTCAACAGGGCATAGCCTACATGACCGCCGCAGATTGGGAATAGACGAGATGGGGACATTGCTCAGGGGAAAACGCCGTGCTCGTATGTAAAAGGGAAAAGACAACTATAGAAATAGAGTCGTGAGCGACAGACTCCGGATCTATTGATGTTCTAGTTTAAATACATATTTACATCCTCGAGCATTCAACTTCATGCCGAGTCACTACGGATTCCCGAGAGGATTCGTGAGTCAGTCCTATTCCGTGAACTTCGGCGTCTGGGATGCAGATGTACTCGGCGATCTTTTCTTCTCCTTAACGGGAAGCAGATTGCCGAGTGGGGTGGCCGAATCTCTTTACGGGCGTCTGTCTCCCGGCAATCTCCGGAAACGAATAACAGCGCAATTCCGGCCGCGTTTGTGCGAGTAAACCACTCATTTCCAGTAAAAATACAAGGTGATCATAGCTAAAATACATGAGAAAGGCACTTTGTAGGTTTTCGGGGCATTTTACGAGAGGAATGTGGGTGTTTCTCGGACCGGTTCGTAAAGGAGGGGGAGGGAGAGGGAACGTACACGATGAAGGAAAGGATGGTAAGGAAGCGGACATGACTAGGAGCTGCTTCTAGGGAACCGAGGATAACGAAAGGATCTACGTGAAGGCCGGGAACGCTGGGAACGCTGGGAAGGCCGGGAAGGCGGGCCATGCAGGCCATGCGGGGAACTCTGGGAGATTTGGGAGCGGGGGGAGCGGGGGAAGTTGTTGGGGCTCTTGAGGCGGTAGGGGCACTGGGACTGTTGGGACTGGGACTGGGAGTCTGGTGGGTACGGGGACCGGGATGGTCAGGAGGGCGGGGGGAGGGAAGAGGATCGGTAGGAGAGGGAGGCTGATTGGTAAGCCTAGGAGTTGCCTCTCCTCAATGGCTGCGTCGATTGGGTGCGCCTCGACGAAGAGGACTGCAGCGACTGCGAGGACGACGAGCTGGAGGGATCGTTTGAACTGCATTGTGTCGAAGTGTGTGAGCTTGAGACAATAGTATCGCTGAGTTCGTATTGTCGTCTTTTATACCCCCGTATCTGTAGCTATCCAACTTGAAGTTTTTCGTCCTCCCCCTGTGGAGCGCATGGCGGTGACGCTGCACTGACGCTCCAACGACGCAATGAAAGTGGTAAACGCATTCCGGGACGCCCGGCGCCGAAGCTAATTGCTCTCTAAACGAAACGCACTAGAAGGATGATTTGTGTCTTCTGCGCGGATTCTCGTATCAAGAGTTAATGGAAGGAAGACGTTACTTCGGTAAGTTCATTTTGCTTACCCCTGGGTCTCATCGAGAACAGTCGATTCGCACCTGGAGCATCTTACTGAACGTCTAACTTCAAATAGGCAGCCCAAAATAGTGACAAGAGTACAGAAAGAAGCAACATTACCTACATACAGAGTCGTTTCTTCGGATCTACAGCCGCGCCGCTGTCTGTGGTCGACATAATTATCGGCTTGCTTTCTGATCCGTTTCCTCGAGAGCTCCTGGCCTCGGCATACGAAGAAGATCGTATCTCGCCGATCGACCGATCTGTCCCTGAGTCGAGTCTTTGAGGAGAGCTCCCTCGGACTCAGACGTAGGTCTCTGCTAGGGATCTTTGGGTCTATGGAGTATCCAAAGTAAGTCAAAGCCTTGCTAAGTCCACGAATCTCGGAATATGATGAAAAGAGGTGGGTGTTTGGTTGGAAATAGCCCCACCATCATCGTTGCGACAAATCTATATGCAAGCGCGCATAAATACGAAGTACATTGCGCCTATGGAGAAGGTACATACCTCACTATTAAGCCATTGTGCGAGGAATATACATGAACCCGTGAGATTGACCGGCGTACTTTTGATTCCGCGAGCGAAGAGGTGCACAAGATATTTGGAAACTAAGTGGGAGGCACAGAATTCGCATCCCTAGACAATGCTGGAAGACGGATGAGCGAAACAGAGTTCAAGGACTAGGTCATCAAGAGCACCAGAAGCGGCTGCAGCCAATCTGAACGCCCCGCAGTCGGCGAATGGTGCAAGAGTCTGATGCATTAGCGAACAAGTCCTGTCAGAAATAAAATGGATACCTGCCCTAGCGTAGTCCATCAGAAAAGAAAGCAAAGAGATCAAAGACTTGAGACGAAGCCCTAGACTTTCGAAGACGCCAGTGAGATGGAAGAACGCGCGAGGAATCTTCAACAAGCCTTCCAATACCAAACGTCTAACGGTGACACGACAATAAAACCCTTTTATTCCATTCCTCGGGCAGAACAGCGACTACTCACTGAGGCAGAGATCTCCTACCGATACTGGCCACGATACCAGCCCAAAGGTCAGAAGTCGAAAGTTAGGAAGAGAGCAACATGTTAGAGGGGCCCAGACGAGTATAATGGCCAACGTCGCTGCTCGACATCCTCATGGTAGTGGGATGAGATCAAACCTGGGTTGTTGCATGTTTGGTGCGAACCTTTCTCAAAGCTGATATTGTCTTATCTTATCTCCATCATCGTTCGATCGTCGGCCAATTGCCTTTTCTGCATATCTAGAGCACGACGAACGCGATTCCATACTCTTATAGTGAGCTACGAATACGAGGGCGGATACACAGCTTGTAAAAACGAACGACTCTGAAATTAAGCCATTGGTATTTGGTTAGTACGTCAGTAGGTACAAAATCTGTACGCAGGAATGGAGATGGAAGCGAGCAGGAGGAAAAGATAACAAATATAAATCTACGAATCAAAAATCTGGACAATATCTAGATTCAATTCAGTATAACCTTAAACGCTTACTTCAATCCCAGACCGCGAAACTAATTACTTCACGTTCATACTTCGGCGAACTAATTCAGAGGCGATTACCCCGTCTTTTCCTAAACGGGAAGCACGCGGCCGAGATTGTCCCGTTACGGGCGTCTATCTCCCGGCTACCGCTGGAAAGGAACAGGATCGCAATTTGTGCAGCATTGGCGGGAGTAAACACGCTCTTTGTAGTAAAAGTACAGGACAATCGTAGCAGAAATTCGTAATGTACATGAAGAGGACACTCTATAGGTTTTAATGGCGTTTTATGAGAGAAATTCGATATGTCTTGGAGGTTTCTTGGTGTAAGGAAGTGAAGTAAGAGCCTATGAAATCAATAAAGGTTAAGATTAAAAGGGATCAGAAAGGAGTAGGAACTGACTCGAGGATCTAGAGCTGCCTCTCATCGCGGGAGGGGAATAGGGAGCGCAGGAATCGCAGGAGCCGCGGGGAACGCAGGAAACGCGGGAAACGCGGGGGGTGCCGGAGGTGCCGGAAGGGCCGGGGGTGCTGGAAGGGCTGGGGGTGCTGGTAGCGGGAGTGCTGGGACACCGGGGACTGGGAGGCCTGGGACTGGAAGGCCTGGAACTGGGAGACCTGGGACCGGAAGCCCGGGGAGTCCAGGGATTGGGAGTGTCGGGGGGAATAATCCGGGGAGGAGTAGGCTGAGGAGATTGGGAATAGGTAGACCGAGGAGTTGCCTTTCCTCGACAACTGATTCGATGGGGCGAGCCTCCGCGACGAGTATTGCAGCAAGTGCGAGGGCGAGGAGGCAGTGAAGAGATCGTAGGAATTGCATTGTGTCGACCGGTGTGTGGGCTTGAGACAATGATATTACTGGGTTCGCGTTGATGCCCTTTATACTCCGCCCTGTAGCAGTCCAACTTACAGTCTTCTGTCGTCGCTCGTGGAGCATAGAACTCTGACGCTGCACTGACGCGCCTACGACGCAATAGAAAAGCGTGAACACATTTCGAGACAGAAGTCAATTCAATTCACCACACGCTAGAAGGATGATTTGCGTCTTTGGAACGGATGCTCATATGAAGTGTTGACAGAAAGAAGTACCCTGGACGCACCTTTTGGCAAGCCTAGGTTCCTGATGTCCAAACAGGGCCTCGCACCTAGAGAATCCTGCTGAGCGTCTCCTCAAATAGGCAGCTAGAAATAATGACGGTACTAGAAAAGGCAAAAACGTACCCATATGTCTATTCGTATTCATAGCCTCGACGCGGTCGATTCTCCGCCCAATTAGCGGCTTGCTTTGAGGTCTGCTTCTTCGAGACCGCGAGACCTCCTGACACCGGGATATGAAGTGGGTCATACCGCGACGGACGTCCAACCTGTTGCAGACGGGCGCGCTAGTGACCTTCGAGTCTATGGAGTAAGACAAGTAACTCAAAGCCTACCAAGCACTGGAAAATTTTGGGCAGCTCCATCATCGTCATCATGAAAAGTCTATACGCGAAAGCGCGTAAATGCGAGCTATATTACAGACATTAAGTAGGTACCGGCCTCACGAACATGTTCTACGTGGAAAACGCGTAAACGGGGCTTCGATCAGAAGAAAAGAGGGTCCTAAAGTATAGAGAAATTCAGAGGAAGACATAAACTTCACGCGATACCAACCAAATGTCAAGAAACGTGAATTGGGCCTCGCAGGCATCATTGCGTTCACGGCGACCGCGCAAACACTTGGTTATGCATAGTCAACGGACGGTGACGATGAGCCAACAGCTGGACTTCGAGCAGCATTGACAGTACAAGCAGGAGGGCGCTGTTCACCGTATCTGTATGCGGTCGCGTCAACGTCGCCGAGTCATAGTAGGAAGGCCACCGAAGCCGCTAGGAACTCTGTACAGAATTTTCGCCTTTCAAACGAGATAGACGGGCTTTGATTTCAGAAATGGTGATGGGCATTATCGAGATATGAAACGTCGAGCACCGAAATTGGGGGGGCTAAAAATAAATGAGCGGAAAGAAGATGGAAATAGTGGAAATATATAGCTAAGAGGGGAGTGTGTGTCCGATCTCGACTAAGGAGGGAGTAACGAAAGATGCAACTGAGTCGCGGAGTGTCACCAGTCCATCGCACGGAGAACTGAACGAAGGAAGGAGGTAAGCCATCGAAAGAAACGTGCAGATGACTAACCTCCGCCCGTAAATAGAGTCTGTTGGCTGTTGGCGCGAGAGCGACTGTCGAGAAATCCGCGGCTGTCGAGCTATCGAGCTCGTCGTGCACCCCAACACCAAGTCCCTTCTATCCTCCTCAACGTTCGGAACACCGTACGTTCTCCTAGTGGGCGTCGGCCTCGACGGTCGCATATCCTCGTCATCGTACGCCGACTCGGGCGGTCCCAACCCGCAACCCAGGCGGTGTCTGTCGCAAGTGTCCTCTCGGCAGATTCGAGCGGCAGGCCCAGGGTGGTTGGCCATATGCCAGACCCGTAACATCTCCCTCCTCGTCCCTGCTCTCCTCGCTGCCAGCCCGTTCCAAGAGTATGGCGTCGTCGGAGCTGCGCCACATACATGGGTACCGCCATACGGGTCCGATGATTGAAGAGACGGAGATGACCTCGCTGAGAGAGCCATCTACGGATGAACGACGATGTTTGCAGGTGACGTTGGCGAGTGGTGTGGGCGAGTGAGAACGAGGAGGAGAATTTGTTGGTGGGTGCTGATGAACGCTTTGAGGGTCTAGACGAGTGTGCCGTTGAGTGTGGGTGGTTGTGATGTTGGTAGGCTGTAGAAGGCACCGACGGCCTGGACTTTCGCAAGTTTGGATGGGACACGGATTGTCTCTTCTGGTGCGAACTATGCGAAGTCCGACTTGGTCAGGACGATGAAGATATCGCGTGCTGCACCAGGTACCAATCATGAGGCGGGATATGGGTGGGAGGTGGGAGGTGGATGCGTTTTTTGGGTAGCTGTGACAACGAAAGGTGATTAAGTGCCGGTGAGATCTTGAGAGGTGGAGAAGAGAAGGAAACACACCTGCAGCCTCATCAACGCCATCTGAATTCCAGCCAAGCCCATCGAGATCGGCGAACTCGCCTTAAACAGCTGGACAAGTGTTTGTGGTTGTTCAGCACAAGAGGACGACTAAGGAAGAAAGGAGGGCGGAATACGCACCTCTATCATACTCAGCGCCTCAGGCTCGAGTCGCAGCTTCCGCTGTTCAGCCCTCGGCACACAAGGCACGCGCACTTCCTGCCCTCTGCGTCGTCGGCATCCGCTGCTTGGCGGTGTTAACGGGCACAACGGCCACAGCAGTCGTGAGCCAGTGTTCTATGCAGCAGTCCGATCAGGAACGTATCGCGGTGGACGGGTAGCTAGTCAAAAAAGAGACATGGAGGTGTTGGAGGCGAGAGACAAGAGACAGAGACGGAAATCGCCACGATGAGGAATGGGTTACGTGACAGTGACGTGACGAACCGGGGCCTTGATGACCGAGACTATTCCTGTTACGGGCGTCTATTTCCGGCGAGAGGAATAGGATCGCAATTCTTGCGACATTGGCACCAGTAAAATCCTCTTTATAGTACAAGTACAGGGTGGTCGTAGTAGACTCGTATTGTACATGAAGAACACAGTCTATCGTATTTTATGAAAATATTTGATATACTTTGGGCGGTTTCTCTTGGGTGCTCGGAATAAGGAAGTGAACGAAGAGCCTATCAAGTCGATAAAGAGGTGATATGAGAGTGTATACAATGAAGGAAGGTATGGAAATAAAGCTCACATAGGGTCTGACTCCAGGATCAAGATCTGCCTGTCATCGCGGTATGGGAATTGGGAGCGCAGGATTAGCAGGAGCCGCAGGGAATGCAGGCAACGCTGGAAACGCGGGGGGTGCCGGGGGTGCAGGAAGAGCTGGCGGTGCGGGAAGAGCTGGAGGGGCCGGGGCTGGGACACCCGGAACTGGGAGGCCGGGGACTGGGACTCCTGGGATTGGGAGCCCCGGGGGCGTAAATAAGCCGGGGAGGAGCAAGCTGAGGAGAGGGAGGTCAATTGGTAGGCCAAGGATTTGCCTCTCCTCGATACTTGGGCCGATTGGGTGCGCCTCGGTGACGAGAATTGCAGCAAGTGCGAGGACGAGGAGGCGGTTGAGAGATGGTGGAAACTGCATTTGTGAAGAGGTGTGGGTGCGCTTGAGACAACAGTGCCACTGAGTCGGCGTCGACGTCTTTTATACTATTAAATGTAGCGGTCTAGCTTGAAGTCTCTCGTCGTCGTTCTTGGAGCATAAGACTCTGACGCTGTACTGACGCGCCCACGACGCAATGAGAACGATAAACGAGCTAAGAGACGCAGAAGCCAATTCCTCCAGAAATATAACATGCTAGAAGGAAGGATTTGCAACATCGGTCCGGAGGCTCAGATGATGGGGTAAAGGGAAGACCCCCTGGTAGACCCATGTTTTGATTTCGAAGCGGTCAACTTGCACACGAAGCATCTTAGTGATTTTATAACGTCAGAAAGGTAGTCAAAAGTAGCTCTAACGTTGAGCAATTCAAGACGTATCTCGGAGTTAGATGTGAGTCCGTGCTAATGACTTCCGGGTCTACGGAGCATTGTAAGTCAGTTAAAGCCTCCTAAGACCGCGACTTGCGGCATACAAGAAACAGCGAGGGAAGTGTTGGAGTACCACCGTCGTCGTAGTCGAGAAAAATCTAGAGGAGAGTTCGTGTAAACGCGAAGTATATTTCCACCACGTCAGTGTGTACGGACGGCGTGTAAAGACAGGAGATTGAACGCGCTATGTTAGGTAGCCACCCGATTTCTGGTACGCCTCGCTCGCTCATCAGTAGGAATCTTACGCCATTCGCTGACTGTATAGCGGTCACATCGTCTACAGCCGTTTCCCAGCTTCCTGAGTATCTGTATCCTTGGGCTCTATCTGCACCTGAGGGTATTGCGCACGCTCGAGATCGGGTTGATCATCAACTCATTCTTGTGCATCGGTCCTGACGTGACTTATTCGCATCGATGCCCCATCTAGCGACTCTACACGTCCTCGGCGGCTCCGAGATTTATTCCGCCCTCTCGATCTCGATATACTTACAGGGCATCTGACTCTGGGATCAAATTATGGCCATCAATCCCAACCAGAGCGATCAGAAATTTGAGATCAAACACTAAATTTTCGAAGATGAGATGGAAGATTGCGCGCGGCGCTTTAACCAAGCCTTCCCAAGCTCAGCGTCTGACAGAGATGCCACGGGTAAACCCATTTCTTCCATTTGCCCATCAGGAAAGCCACAGTTTACGGAAACAGGGATACTCCACCCAGATTGGTCGCGATACCAGCCCGAATGTAGGGCCAACGTCAGGAAAATCTTCGGAGCATCAGTGCGTTCATGCTTGGGGAGTGATAGGGGAAATGGGAAGGAATTCGGGAGTTGGGGAGAGAGCCACAGATCAGAGAGGGTAGACCTAAATATTTCCAGAGGAGACTAATGAGCAACGTCGCTGCTCGACATCCTCACGGTCGTGGTACGAGAGAAAGGGATTATTTGTGAGAGCCGAAGACAAGAAGACGGTGTGAGTAGACTTGGATGACGTGACTGAGAGATCTCGCAGATCTATGTCAACATTTTCGATTAGGCTCGTGACCAGCCTGAATATGACAATCGATATTCAGGCTGGTGAATCTGAGTTTGAATTCCCGTAGCGCGCATTTTGATGGGCTATTGCTGAAAGCGGTCGACAAAGTTCGACCTCCCCTAAACTTCCGGTCACGTTCTTACTGCCAGTCGGCCGCTGCCTGGCTCAGCCTTGCCTCGACAGATCCGACATGCCTCCCAAGACCGCCGCTGAAATTCTTGCTACTGCTCTCCCTGCGCAGCAGAAAAAGGCTCGGAAACCCGCAAGAGGGCCATCTTTTAAGTTCTACGGCCCCGGGTACCTTGACGGATAGGGGGGTAGCCATTACTTCCGAGGCGTCTCAAGCGCCCGAGCCGAGCTTTGAGACCTCTTCGCAGCAATTAGTCTTCAGCGTCAATGCCACTGAGCCACTTGTGGGATTAGAACCGACGTCTGCTTTATCCTTTCTTGTCTATACTTCTCGTGCCAAATACATTTTTAGATCACCTTTTCAGTCTTGCGACAACGAGGCCGCCAAGCTCGTCCCATCGGCCAAGGAGCACCTTTCGCGTGCTCAGCGGTTCAAGAGGATCTTGACACTCCTCAGAGATGGCCGTTTAGGGCCTCTCGACCTCCTGCTGGAGACCCTCGATTAGTCCAAACCGAAATATGAAGGTTACTGCAACGAAATTCACAAAGAAGACAATCAAAAATTAGCTATGGTCCTGCAGAAAATTCTTGACAATCCTGCCTGGAAATACAAGCTGCATTCGGGGATGAAGCCCCACGCATTGGAATTTGTGAAGGCTACAGTTGGTCAGGAGATGGACACAATACAACGCACGGAAAAGCTAAATGCGGTGAGGGCTAGCTGTGTAGATTAGAAGACAAGCACAAAGTCCAATAGCTTTATGTTCTTGACTATATGGATCCCAGAAAGCAGGAGGAACAGCACAGTGAGAAGGAATGTTCAATGAACACATTGTAGGCCGGCTCGGGCAGGTCAGCACTGAGATTTTGGAGTTCAGAAAGAGGATCTAAGTTGACAGTGTTAATTTGAGCCATAGCGCCAGCACATTTGGCTGTAGTGAGCCCCCAGGAGACTTTCATGCGAGACGCGTCAGTTTGTTGAACAGAGCCGATGCGTCCTGAACGCGAACAACGTGACCTGAGGTTCAGGGGAGGTCGAAATCAGCCGATCGTAAATGGCAGCGACCCATCAAATGCGCGCTACGGGAATTCAAACTCAGATACACCGGTCTGTATATCGACAGGTTTACCTTCATATACAGACGGTCACCGGTCTAATTTTCGATCAACTTCGGCGAGCGGCTCGGTCTTCGATTCAGAAGCGCTCGGTAATCTCCTTAACAGGAAGGCGATCGCCGAGTGGCGCAGCCGATCCGGCCCGTAAATACGATCGCAGTTCTTGTGGCGTTTGCACGAGTAAAAATGCTTCTTATAGTAAAGTACAAGGTGGTCGTAGCTACTACCAGGTACATGAAAAAGACGCTCTATCGGTTTTAATCGGATTTTATGACAGAAATTCGATATGACTTGGGATTTCTCGGAATAGGGAAACAGAATAGGGGCCTGTCAAGTTGATACAGGGGGTATATGAGAACGTATACAATGAAATAAATGATGGGAAAACTGACCAGGAACTGCCTCGATGATGGAGAAGAGGAACTAGAGCTGCCTGCCATCGCGCGGCAGTATGGGAATAGGGAGCGCAGGGAGCGCAGGAAGTGCCGGGGTTGCTGGGTTGGCTGGAAGCGCCGGAAGCGCGGGGAGTGCTGGGAGTGCTGGCACTGGAACTCCAGGGAGGAGGGCGGATAAGTCGGGGAGAAGTCCCTTGAGCGGGAGGGCGAGCCCTGGGAGGACAGGGAGGCTGACAGGAAGGTTGAGGCCGAGGAGTTGCCTTTCCTCGATTGGGTACGCCTCGGAGACGATTATTGCAGCAAGGGCCAGGGCGAGGAGGCGTTGGACGATCTGCTTGAACTGCATGGCGTCGATGCGTATGCGGATTTGAGAAAGTAGCATTGGGTTCTTGTCGCGAGCTTTATAGTCCTAAATACAGCGGAGGAACTTGAAGCTGCTCCTCGTCTCTCGTGGAGCGTATCAGTGTGACGCTGCACTGACGCGCCAACGACGCAACGAAAATGATATACACGATTCCGAAAGACAGAAACCAAGTTCTCTAAAAATATAACGCGCTAGAAGGATGGTTTGCGACATCTGTAGGGATGTTTAGATGAAGAGTCGATCGAAGGACGACATACCTTGAGTGGGCCTGTAATATTTATTACTTACCAATACGCTTAATTTAGAACGATCGACTAATCTACTGCACGCCTCCCTCGAATCAAAAGGCTACGTCAAATAGCGACGAGGGCACCAGAGGAAGCAAAGGGACTTACGTATCCGTGTGTTCCCGTCCTCAACACGGTCTATTCTTCACCTAATTATTGGCTTGCCTTGAGATTCGCTTCTTCGAGAGATTCATATCTCGGGATATGAAGTGGGTCACCTCTCAACGAACGTCTAACTTGTTGTAGACCGGAGTACTTAAAGACCACACTCTTGGAGTGAGGCCTTGGTTTAAAGTTTGTGCTAGTGATTTTCGATCTGTGGAGCATCACAGGCGACAGGTTGAAGTGAGTCAAAGCCTACTAAGTCCACGAGTCATCTCGGAATACGATGAAAAGAAGGGGGTGTTTGGGAGCAACTCCACCTTCATCATCGAGGAAAATCTACCTGCAGGCGCGCGTAAACGCGAAGTACTTTGCTGCTATTGAGTATCGTAAGTACATACCTCACTAAATCATCCTTCATGGAAAGTGCGTGAATACGTGAAACTGATGGTCTTATTTCGCTTCCAGAGGCAAAAATTCCCCCGGAATATAGAGAAACGCAGAGGGAGACATCAACTTCGAAGCTAGCGAATTATCCTGGCCTCCCGCGTAGTCGAGAGATGGGACATCAACGCGAATAAATTATATCAGCGCTGGGCTTGAAAGCTTTCTATCCTCCAACGCACGCCGGACGTGGGCTTGACCTGTATATATGCGAGTGCTTGTAAACGCGTCAGAAGTATGTTGCAACTATCAAGCAGGTATTCTACATACCTCACTAAGTCGTTGCGCATAGAAAGCGACGGTTCACTTCGAGTCCAGTGTAGGAGAGAGAGGTAGGCTACGATGCGATTACGGTCCCACTCTGTGATTAGATTAGATAAGGACACGGTACTTACGCGTAGCCACTTGTCTCTTTGTTCTCCAGCTCACTCTTGTACGACGACAGAGGCAACGACGCACATTCGCATTACGGTCCCTAACGAGAGGCTACAAGACATTCCGCTCACACGATCCGACCCCACACTTATCAGCATCCTTTCATATTGGAGCCCACCACTTGCAGAACCTTGTTTTGCTCGAACCCGCCTGCCCGAGCCCCAAAACCCTACACCCTTTTTCCGCAACCCGCCTTTATCCATTTTCATCAGACGACTACACGTCGACATCACGGACACCCCAGTATGCTTTATTTCTGCATGCCACGCATCGTTTTCCGTGAACGACGTCCTTATCGATCATCGCGCATCCGATCAGAACAGCCACGCCAACGCGAGTCTTTTGGACCGACCGTCGAGATCTTCACGCATGGTTTCGGCAGCACTTTCAGAGTCTGGTGTACCCGCAAGACCCTGCGCGCCATATTCGCTCGTGCCAAGTCTGGCGCGTCTCTCACCGTCGACCACTCCGATGACCGCTATGCACTCGAGCTCGAGATTGAACGACGCTACATCCACTGCTACGAGACCATCTTCTTCGAGCTTCTCCAGGGACGAGGTACACTCAAGGCTGTCAACCCAATGGACCTTCACAACGCGATATGGCAGCAAGCTTTTCACGACGCACAGTACCGGTATCTTGTACTATCATGCGATGTTCTCGAGAGCTTACCGCATATACTCCGACGCCAACTAGTCAACTATGAAACGCCTCGTTCCGACCTTTCTAATCCACCAAAACCCCAAGACGCATCACAGCCGACGACTCGACGCAAGAAGACAAAGAAAACGAAGAAGACTTCAGTTCCACGAGGAATTCCGATAATCCTAGACGACGTACGAACCAAATTAGCAAAGCCGACGCCAGTAGATTCGATGATCGCCATTACAACAGTCCCTATACCGATTTCTCTTTCGCCGCAGATCCTTACAACGACGACTTCATACACACCTGTACAGCCGCACACCGATACTACAACTACGACCACAATGCTGGAGATGAGGCGGGTGGAGATGTTAGACCTGGAGAGTAGCGAGGAGGAGAGTGATGAGAGTGATAGCGAGTCGAGCAATGAGGAATGGGCGAGAAGGAAAGCAAGGAAGAAGAAGGATCAGAGACAAGCTAGGAGGAGGAAGGATAGTGATGAGAGCAATGAGGATAGCGAGGATGAGAAGAGGAAGAAGGAGAAAGCAAGACGACGACGGAGGAAGCAGGAAAGCGATAGTGATGACGAGTGCCGACGGAGGAAAAAGAAGAAGACGAACAAGAAAACTAAAAAGAGGATGGATACCGACGACAGTGACGAGAGCAGTTCAGAAGACGAGAGATCGAGGAAGAAGGCATCGAGGAAAAAGCGCAAGTAGCTTCCAATCTCTTCGCGTTTCCCTTTTTTTGCTTTTCTTCGCAATGTTCACAACCAGGGATGGTTGATTTTCAAAGTCAGGGGGAGATGTAGGAGAGAGAGGTAGGCTACGATGCGATTACGGTCCCACTCTGTGATTAGATTAGATAAGGACACGGTACTTACGCGTAGCCACTTGTCTCTTTGTTCTCCAGCTCACTCTTGTACGACGACAGAGGCAACGACGCACATTCGCATTACGGTCCCTAACGAGAGGCTACAAGACATTCCGCTCACACGATCCGACCCCACACTTATCAGCATCCTTTCACCAGAGACGAAGAGGCGCCTGTAGTGTAAGCAGGCAGATATAAAATTCGAAGCCTGAGAGAAGCCAGCATTGCTATTCAGCGAACTTCTATAGTCGCCCAACCACACGGTTCGACGATGTCCACCACATTGAACTTTACACTGGGACGAGGGACGCCAGTTTAAAGGATTCAACACGATCCTCGGCCACGGGAACGTCCTCGTCTGCAGGGAAGTTCGTACGTGGTGGAGTAGTGAACCCGGCGATTCCAAATCTGGACGCTAATGCTACTACTCGGTGAATGTGGATGGTGCAAGAGTCCTGCGTAACGGTATGGGCGAGCAAGATTCGTGGGCTGCCATAGCTTGTTCGAGGAGAACGAAGCCGGAGAGATCACAGACGCGAGGTGAAGCTCTAGGTGGAAGGCCACACGAGGCGTTACGATGAGAGAGGGAAGAGCTCACGACGCACAGAAACGCACGTAGATCCCGAACGCACGTCGCACGCATTTCTTTTCGGACCACTATAACCCACTCCAGGTCTTCTGCTCAAGCTAGTGACGGCAGCGATTCCGGAATTTCGTCGTATTGAGGACTGACGCGGAGAAATATACTGCCTGAGTATTCCGTCAGCGACCTGGAGCGAGTTATTATGGGGTGAGAGGAGCTATAAAAGGAGCGGAGAGTGTGGTTGTGGCGTGGCAGGGCGAAGAGCGAAGAGCGAGGTGTTGGAGGATAGAGGGAAGAGGTAACGTCGGATAGGATTAAAGGAGAGAGAGGAGGCGATGGTTCGCGATCTTTGTTCAGGAGAGAATCCTAAGGTGCTGGTTAGAAAATTACCTTTGCCTGATCGAAGTGACATCAACGCGAATAACTCATGTGAAGGACCAATGATGCCGACTGTGGTTTTGAAACTGCTAGCTTTCTATCCTCCAACGCACGCCGGACGTGTGCTTAACCTGTACATACTCTGTGCAAGTGCTTGTAAACGCGAAGTATATTGCAACTATCAAGCAGGCGCGTACCTCGTTAAGTCGTTGTGCGTGAATGATGGCCATACCCCGATCCCACAGGCAAAGAGATACACAAAGTACAAATCAACATACCTAAACTTCGAAGCTTGAAAAAATCCAGCGTCGCTGCTGAGGAGAACATCATAGTCTCCCTCCCGCGCGGTTCGACGATGTCCATCACGTTTTGTCATCAGACTGGAACGAGGGACACCAATTTGAAGGATTCAACACGATCCTTGGCCACCGAAACGTCCCCGTCTGCAGAGATGTCGGACGTGGTGGAGTAGCGAACGTGGTGAGTCCATAGACAATAACATCGCAGAATATGGATAGACGAGCGGAGTTCAAGGTGTTCAAGAGCTGTAGCCAATCTAGACGCTGCGCAGTCAGCGAATGGTCCAAGATCCCGACGTATGAGCAAGCGCTTTCCGCAAGAAGTGAGAGGGACGCCATAGCGTGGAATTCGATAGGAAAACGACAAGTAGGCACACTTCTAATAGACGCTGGATGCGTTGATTTAAGAGAGAAGGCGCAGGGTAAATCACCAGAGACGTGACGTGGCAATCGAGAATGGAGAAGAATGGGCGACGTTGAATACGTTGTGGTGGCAGAAGGGAAGATATCACGACGCACAGAGACGCACGTACTTAGGTCCCCGAACGCACATCGCAGGCTTTGCGGACCACTATAACCCACCCCTGACCCCGGCGAATCTGCTACAGGCGGTGATTCCGGCATTCCGGCTTATGGAGCACGGACGCGTAGAGTTTTACTGCCTGAGTATGCTATCGGGGCGCTGGAGCGGGTTAGGGGACGCGAGAGGCCGGACGTTGAAGGGAGAGGATGGTGGACTCGGAGGTGTGGAAGAGAGAAGGGCGAGGTGTTGGAGGATAGTGGAAAGAGGCAACGCCGGCACCTACACGGACACGCTCTTCCAGTCATCGAGTGTTTCGAGACGCAGGACAGCGAGTGCTACGAGGTTTATTCAGAAAGTACATTTCCAACCCCCGTGAGCAGTTACGTGCGGATATTCACCCGCCTGTCTGCGATGTGTGCCCGATAAGAGCCGGAGCGGGTCGGAAGAGTCCTTAGTACCAGTACGGTACTCGTGTCTGTGTTGCTAGAGATGCTTCAAGAGGCGAATTGGACAATAGGAGGAACATATAGAAAGATAGGGAGGGTTCTCAAATGAAATGTAAAGGGAACGTACGTACCCGGGGGGAGCGAGGAGGGCTCAACGTGTTATCACGCCATCGAATATTGGAAAGCACGATGGACGCGTTTGAGCCAGTGGCTGCATACACATCTTCTGGCGGCGAGAGTCAGAGAGAGGGCAAGAGATAGTGCTGAGTAGAGCCGAACGGAGGGAAAGTGACTCGGAGTGTGGAAGACGAGGTGGTGGGATGAAGGACGGGGCTTTCACACTGGGCAGATGGATCGCAGGATAAGATAAGATGCTTATTGATAACGGCCGATACAGTAGCTTTACGCCCATGCGCAACGTGAGTCCGGTGTGGCTGTCATTCGTGGCATTGATCCCAACCTCTCTTTTCTTCTCCGGAACGGGAAGGAAATGGTCGGATGGCATAGCGCAGACTGTCCCGTCGCAGGCGTCTATTTCACGGCAGACAATAGGATTACAATTCTTGAGGCATTTGCATGAGTGAAAAAACTTTTTTAGTATAAGTACAGGTAGTCGTATCTACCACGAAGTATTTACAAAATACATGAAGAAGATGCTCTATATGTTTTAATGGGATTTTATGAGGGCAATGTGATATGTTTTGTGGGTTTCTCGGAATAAGGAGAGGGCGTAAAGGAGGGGAGCTCGAGGGAGACAGGTACGTATATGACAAAGGAAGGGATAGCAGCGAACCATAAACGACCGTGAACTGCCTTCACGACGCCGACTCGGGCGAGCGAAACGATCTAGGGGCGAAAGCCCGCGGAGGGAGTGCAGGGAGCGCCGGGAGCACCGGGTAATCTGGGAGGGGCGCGAATGGCTTGAACGCAGGCCATGCCGGGAACGCGGGCCATGCGGGCCACTCTTGTTCAGCGCGGGGCAGTAAGGGGAGCGCCGGCAGCCCGGGGATCGGGAGCGAAGGGAGGCCCGGGATAGGCAGGCCCGGGATGGCCGGGAACGCCGGGAAGGCGGGGAAGGCGGGGAATGCCGGTAGCGCCGGTAGTGCTGGGAGGGGGAGCCCGGGGAGAAGGGCGCCTAAGTCGGGCAGTCCAGGGATTGCGGGGATGGGGAGAGGTAGGCCGAGGAGTTGTCTCTCCTCGATGCTCGTGTCGATTGGGTGCGCCTCGACGACGAGTATTGCAGCAACTGCGAGGGCGAGGAGGCATTGAAGAGATTGTGTGAACTGCATCGTGACAAAGTGTATGTGGGCTTGATACAATAATAGCATCAAGTTCGCACTGAAGGCTTTTATACTTCTACCTTCCTAGCTGTAGCAGTCGAACTTGAAGTTTTCTTTGTCGCTTGTGGAGCGTAGGAGTGTGACGCTGCACTGACGCGCTGACGACGCATCCACGGAAAACGGTAAACACGTTCCGAAGAAGTGCACTCCTCTAAAAATGTACAGCGCTAGAAGGAACCATTTGCGACATCTTGACGGATGCTCGAACGAGGAGGTAATGGAAGGAAGGCGTACCCCTTGGGAAACCCTTGTGCCTAATTTCGAACGGTCGACTCACACCCAGAGCATCTCACTGAACGTCTAACTTCAAAAAGCCTGTCAAAAATAACGACGGTGGTACTCGAAGAAGGAAAAAGACGTACGTACCCATTTTTCATGTGAATCTATACCCCTAATACAGTCCATTCTCCGCCGAAGTGTCGGCATGCCTCCAGAGTCGCTTCTTCGACAGTTCCTGATCTCGGGGTATGACGTGGAGCGGGATCGCCTGTCAAAGAACGTCCAACCTATTGTCAATCAGAGTACCTCAAGATCACTCACCCGGACCGAGGCACAGGTCCGTGCTAGCGATTTTCGAGACTATGGAGCATGACAAGCCTACCAAGTCCACAAATCTCGGACTACGATGAAGAGAGGTGAGTGTTTGGTTGGGAGGAGCTCCAATGTCGTCATCAAGGAAAGTCTACGTGAGAGTGCACGTAAATTAAGAGGATATTGCAACTATTAAGTAGGGACATACCTCACTAAGTCGTTGGGCATAGAAAGTGCGTGAACCATACGCCGAGACGAAACATCTAGACAAAACCCACCAATTCCAAACGTGGACCGCCGTGATTAAACTTCTTTCTATCCGTTCATAAATACACCACTCATGAGGCAGAGATACCTCATCAGTACAGAGCACGATACGAGCCCGAATGTAAAACCAGCGCCTATAAAATTGCTTCGAGAGCGATCCGTGAACAGGGAGACGTAAAAGCAGCGCGAGAGAGGATTGTCTCATGCGAGAGACCCACTGGCTCATCTTCGCTTGATAGCTAGGAAGAAAAGGTCGTCTCCTATGCTGAAAACTCAGATCTCAAGGAGGTTGTCGGACTGTCGAAAAGGACGAGAACTCGGAGAACGCCGTTGGGCTACAGTCACGTTTTGGTCATGTCGTGACAAACCACCGACAAACCTCAACACCTCCATTTGTTCGAATTCTTTGCCTCATACAACACGGCCGCGGTGCACCCGACCCCCTCTTTACCCTCTCCGACCGCGAAAAACACTCCTGAGGACACAAAATGCCAGAAATAAACCTTCAAGATGTGCTAATTCAACGTGTGTCTGCCAACGACGCGTACTTTCGCCCCAACTTTGCCCTTTTCGAAACGACGTTCGCTGATATCTAGCAAAAGGGATCGTTCCAACGCAACACACGAATCATTACGGTTGAAATCTTCTCATGGTGGCTCGGATCTGCTAGGATGAGGTACGTCGATGTGAAGGATGGCCCCGAATCCGCTCACTACACCCGGGGAGGACCTAGCATGCAACCGAAACACGCCTCCTCCCGTTTGATGAGAGGTCCTGTTGCCCTTGCGCAACTATAGCTGCCAAATACGCTGCGAGTAGACTTGTAGATGGGACATATGCGCGTGTTCGCCGGAAACTAGTGAGTTTGGTCCTCCAGCCCGCATATGCGATTCTTACTTATCGATCTTTGGCGTGAAATGATTTATATTCGCCGCGCGGAGGACATACACACTACGCGACCAGCAGCTGAATTACTAGCCGTTCGCGACCACGTCGTCGAAAGAGTCATGGGCGAATCGGAGGGCATCGTCTCGTCCCTGACGAATTCGAAGGTGCGTGTCTTCCAATTTCAACCTCGTACCATCGATTCTACCTCATCCAAATTCTCATCCCAACCCCTAAATCCTGCGGTATGGCTGGTCTTTCCCTGACTTCTCTTTTTCCTCTGCAGGAGCCCTTTCTTCGATTCGGTATCATCTTCAAGTTCGTTTGGATGCATGCGCACCAGGCCCTCAATGCCCCCTTTAAGACATTATCCACCGTAATTTGGTGACTGGAAGTTCCCATCGCCTCACTTGCTTTACGCATATAATCATTTCGTGAGTTTGGCAGCGATTACAACGTGCCAACGTATGACATGGTGGGTCGATCCTTCGTTTCTCCTGTACCTCCGCTTTGACCTCTCCTGACGAAGATGAAAGTTGCAGGCGTTTGGCTGGATTCAAGGCGCTGCCGAAGCCTCGACATGGTTAGACCGGAAAATCCGTCAGCGACAGATGAGAAAGAGATGCATGAAGAAGAGGAGGAGATCGCACGAAGATGTGGAACGACGGCACGGAGAAAGACAATGCGCAGTACGTTCTGACCTTATGGACTGAAAGCGCTAATTTCCCTCCCCATATTCTAGTTCGCTGTGTCCCTAGAAGAGGGTGACGATCCGATTGACCGCCCCATTCAACACTTCAACTCGCCTGCCTCCACACAACTCGGATTTGGTGACTAGAGAAGAGTGCGTATCGTTCTTTATCGCGCTCTGTGCTTCTCGTTTCCTTCCCTTCCGTCTAGTGCCTATGCCTCTCGAGCTCACGTGCTCCCATGCAGCGGTCATTATACCGATCATATATTCTCTAGTCCGTCCATTTTATTCGATTCGGCTACCTGCTAACTTTATGCCATCTTCTTCTCACGTCGTGAATTTTGAATCTCATTGCTTTCTCTCTCTGTTCGAATTTGATTACGGTCTGTAGTGGTCTTCGCCCTCATTCTCTCAATATCATTCCCTTGTCTCTCAATCCTAAGTTACTGACCTTCCTGGCGCAGATCCACGAACATGGTATTTCATCATCATTCCGCCCAGTCGGCGGCAAGGCGCAATGCTGTCGCAGGTGTGCTCACTTTTATTCTTCGACCATTTGCTCCGCAACGCTCAGTCTCTGCCTCATCAGAACACACCCGCCCTTTCGTCCGGAAACCAAGGACTGCATTCGCGAAGTATAAATCTAATGCCACATTAACATACCGCTGACCTTCGACTCATGTAGTTGATAGTATCCTTAACGCGAATACGACTCACCATCTTAGTGGCGACGGACGAACGAACTCCTAGGTGTTCGAAGTGGATAAAAACCCAGAGCCGTTCTCTATCGGGCCGTTCGAACTTCGCGCGCCACCACCGAATTCGCGTCATTTCGCTGCCAATACGCCCCGTCAGTCCTGCAGCTGCGCGAGGAATGGGTTTGGGCCATGTGAAAAGTGTATATCTTGACTCCTTTCTCGATCCGCGGTCCAAGACCGTCCCTGGATTGCCGTCGCAACGACCCGCTCGTTGACTGGTAGGGACTTCCGTAGCCTTCTCTTATACATAGACTCACTACACGCTTCCACTATGCGTCGTGATACAGGCAATTTATGGCCGAGTGCGCCCAGAAAGTACGTGTTGTGTATTCAAAGAATATGACCTTTCCGGTGTCATAAAACTTTAGAGTTTGAGTGTTTCGGGACCAGGCGCACTGTGCATGTTGCAACTCTCAACCGAACATCCACCTGTGACCTGACGAATGTCGGGCGCGCATCAGTAGGTACCACTCGAGAGTTGCGATATGCTTCGCATTTACATGCACCCGCAAGTATAATTTCTTCGATGACGGTGGTGCTCCTCCCAACCAAACCCCCCCTCTTTTCCTCGTATTGCAAGATTCGTGGACTCAGTAGGCTTTCACTGACTTATGATGCCCATAGACTCGAACATCACCAGCACGGGCCCACATCTGACTCCGAGAGAATGCGCCTCAAAGATTCGACTCTACTTACGACAGGTTGGATGTTCGTCGACTCGGAGAGACGACCCACTTAACACTCCGAGATCAAGAGCTCTCGATCGAGGAAATGGATAGGAATGCAAACCGATAGTTAGATGGAGAATGGACTACTTCGAGGCTGTAAACGCCCAAGAACGTATGCATATGTAAGTCTTTTAAGATCCTCGTCGCAATTTTCGACCGAATTTTCGACGTTAGACGGTCGGTAAGACATCCTTCCTTCTAGCGTGTTGCATATTCTTAGAGGAACTGCTTCTCTCTCGGAACGTGTTTACCATTTTCCATTGCGCCGTCGTCATCGTCGACGCGTCAGGGTGCTGGTACAGCGTCACAGTCCTACGCTCCACGACCGACGACGAAAACTTGAAATCGTAGGTATGTAGCACCGCAACAGGCTACAGCTGGAAGTATAAAACCCCTCAACGCGAACTTGATGCTACTATCCTATCCTCTCAACCCCCCTTCGACACAATGCAATTCACACAATCTCTCCAACGCCTCCTCGCCCTCGCCCTCGCACTCGGTGCACTCCTCGTCGCCGAGGCACACCCAATCGAGGAGCGGCAGCTCCCCATCGACCTCCCAATCCCAGGCCTTCCCGCGCTTCCTATCCCTGCCCTCCCCGCGCTCCCGGCACTTGCGGCACTCCCTGCGCTTCCAGCGAAACCAGCGACCCCCGCGCTCCCAGCACTCCCTATTCCCGGCCTCCCGTCGCTCCCTATTCCTGGCCTCCCAGCGCTCCCGATCCTGCCCCGCGCTGACCAAGAGTGGCCTCCGTTCCCCGCGTTCCCGGCATGGCCTGCGTTCAAACCGTTCCTGCCCCTCCCAGATTACCCGGCGCTCCCTGCGCTCCCTGCCCTTCCGGCGCTCCCCGCTGGCTTCCGCCCCTAGATTCTCTCACTCATCCTCGTCCCCATCCGCCTCTACCGCTCCCATCCCTTCCTCCATCACATACACCCCCCTCTCCCCCCCTTTCCGAGCTCCTATTTCACCTTCTTATCCCGAGAAATCCCCAAAACATATCAAATTCCCTTCATAAAATGCCGTTAAACCCCATAGAGCGTCTCCTTCGTGTATTTTACGGATACCTTGTAGTTTAGGTAGATGTGATTACCTTGTACTTTTACGAAAAAAGAGTGTTTTTACTCGCGTGGATGTTGTAAGAGGTGCGGTTCTGTTGGTTTTTGGTGAGTGTAAGAGAATAGACGCCGGTGATGGGACAGACAAGTCTGACTCGGCGGTCTTGATCCCGTTGAAGAGAAGGGTAGATCACGGGCTGGTTCCGCGTCTGAGAGGTGAAGTTCACGGAATAGGACTTACTCACGAGTGGACTCATGAATCCAAAGCGAATCATTTGCCATGAAGTTGAATCCTCGAGCATGGCAATAAGTATTTAATAAACTCGGACTGTAGTTCTGAGAATGACAATTTCCTTTCTTTCTTTCCCGACGCCCGCCGTAGGAAGGCTTCGGCCAATAACTACGACGCGCACGTTGTGCCAGAACCTTCCCTCCAGCCCAACCTTACGTCGTGGAGGAACTAGAAGAGGAATATACGCCGATGGATATCGAGCATTCCCGTTACCCACGTCCCGGTCTCCTCGATTCGCAATCAGCAACTAGTAGAGACACCTGTTATACGCTCCATCCCCCGCCTGCGCTGCCGCACTGTGCTACCCCACCCCCGAAACTCTCAACATCTAAATTTTTATGCCACTTGCAACATCGCAGAAAGGTTCCTATCCATGCAGTAAATCAGAAAATGAAACAAAGTCCGTATCGATGAGACAGTTCCAAGAAGACCTCCGCTCGTAAATTCAAGTCCAACTCTCCGTTCAACGCCCAACAGCTATAAATCGATTCGTCCTCAGCTTATCTTTCCGCGAACGCATCGTCACAAAACTCACCGGTACCATCCTCTGACCTCACCATGCCTACAACCCAAGCCCAGGAAGGAGCGTCTCCAATATCGGCTCGAGCACCGGAAGTCCAACCGTAACAGACGGCACACCCACCCCACCCGTCACCGCAGGCGGCGTCGGGAGCGCACCTCCAACATTCACGTTCGTGATCAGAGGAACGAGCACCGACAAGAGGCTCGATACCACATCCGTTAGATCACCGCCGGCCGCTGGGGCCGTCGCCGTCGGAGCGGGGGTCGGTGCTGGGGGCGGGGGTGGGAGAGGCGCGCTTGGGACGGGGACAACCCCCGTCGGGAGGGGCAGGGGGAGGATGGAGGGCAGCGCGCCGAGGATGGACGAGAGGATGTCGAGCTGCCTCTCTCCAAGTTCTACGGCAGCGGGTGCAGGCGGATGGGCTTCTTTGAACGGGAGGACCCCAGGTGGGAGGATCCCTGTGGGCAAAGGGAGTGCCGGGATGAGCGAAGTAAGCGCCGCCGGCAACCCCAGGATAACGCCCGTGGGCAGCGGGAGCGCGGGGAGGAGGGCCGTCAGCGCGGGCAAACCTAGGTCGGGGATAAGCCCGGTGGGGAGTGGTATGCCGAGGGCGGGCAGGGACGGCAGCGGGAGGTCGAGGGTAAGCCCGAGGGGCAGGGATAAGCCGAGGAGCTGCCTCTCTTCGAGCGTGCCGTCGATTGGGAGCGGTGCGGCGTCGGCAACTTGGATGAGGGTTGCAGTCAATGACACTGCGAGAGCGAGGAAGTGTTGGAAATGCATCGCGTCGACGTGTACGACCTGTGGTCTGAGCTGCTGCTTAGCTGGAGGGACGAACGTCGAGCTCACACCCTTTATATAGATCCGTCCACTCCCAGCTGTCCCAGCCCAAGTCGTTCCTCCGTGCTCGCACAGTGACGCACCAAAGACGATAGCAACGTTCCGACCCACAGAAGCGCATCCCAATAAAAATACAGCGCGCTAGAAGTGTGATGTGCGTCATCTATACCGAAACCATGAGGCGGGTGGTAGAAGGACGTACCCCTCTCGAAGAACACCCAATGCGTACCTTGGTACGTTCACATTACCCAGGAACGTTCCTGACTTCATGCCGGTATCCTCATGCCCGAGCATGTTATCGAACGCCTAACTTCAAAAAGCGGTTCAGGATAGGAGGTCCAACCGTATGCGAGCCCAGAAGAATGACATACTCGTGCGATCACCCACACACTCGACTCGAAGCATTTCTCTCCACCTAATCATGCATCGGCTCACGTTCTGAGCTTGATCCGTCCCTTCGAGGCTCGGGCTCACGACCCTCGGGATACGAAGTGGCTCCTCTCTCCTCTCTCGAAGTGGCTCCTCTCTCGCCCGACGGCCAGGTCGGATACTTCAAAAGCACCCCCTCGGACCACGACGTGGGTCCGTCCCAGCTCTCTTCGACTCTACGGAGCATCAAAACTGTCGAAATCAGCTCCTAGTCGTAGTCAGCGAATGGCGGAATGGGAGGAAGGGGAGAGCAAGTTCGGGTGTAGCTACTCTATGTACATCGTCGCGATCGAAGTGTGTGGATTGGCGATGAGGCGTGTTTGGACGAGTGTTTCGAACGGGCACGGGCACTCTCGTTGTCGTCGTGCTATTCGCTCACGGCGAGGGGAGTGATCCATGAGATGGGTAGACATCGCGAGTATGCAAGGAAATCCATACAGTGGAATATGGACGAGGAGGAGCGTCCGAACAAGACACTCAGGTCGAAACAAACAAATAAACCCAAGTTGAAGGGACGACGTCGATCAGAAAGCGCGTATGAACTGGCACATTCGTAACTCACACACACACACATATCCTTTACCCATCGCGACTCTAGCGTACTTTCCATGACGATGGCCCGAGTTCACTAGCATTATCCGCATCACGAATTCACGAAGGTAACAGGACACCAACACCGCTATACTAATCGAGTGGCATGGGCGGAGAACCTGTGAAGGGAAAGTGAGCGAGTGTTGAAGTCGGTGAAGAGATGGAAGGAAGGACGTACCACACTTCCACGGAATTCAACAGTCTCGTGCGCCGGTGCGGCTGGACGAACAGGGCCAAGTCGACCGCCGACGCAAGTCTCATCCCATAAGATTCAGAGCATACAACGAAGTACGCGACCAGCCCTCTCAAAACCACAGAGAGCTCGGATACTTCGAGGCGAGCTCGTTGTCCATCACCATCAAAAGGGAAGTCACAGACACAGACGCGGGGTTCGAGCCTCACACCGACCCCTCACCACAGTCACGCAAATCCCAACCCAATCCCCAACCCAATCCCTCCCAACCTCTACGCCCGAAGAAACATCCACTACAGACTATAGAGCAGACCGTAGACGACCCGACACCCAACGCCAACGCCAATGCCAGCAGGGCGGAACCGAAGGATGCAGCTCTCATCGATTCAATATTACTATTCATCCTTGATTATCGGCGGAACGCCCTCGGCTGGACGTGGATGTGTTGCGGGAGCGGATACGGATACGGATCGTCGAGCGGAGTGGGCAGGTGAGGGGTAGGGGAGAGTGGAGGGTGGAGGGTGGTACGGAGAGGGGTAGGGGAGATTGGGGAGTGGAGAGTGGAGAGTGGTGTGGTACGGAAAGGAAGGTGGAGGGTGGTACGGATAGGATGGTTTTGGCCAAAACGGGTCATGGGGAGGGTGTTAGTAGGAGACGTAGACGTCTATGCAGGTGGTTCGAGCCAACGATTGCCAACGCCCGAGAATTTGTGCGATTGCCCCTCGGCCATCGGGCGGTTCGGTATGTTGTTGGGAAAGTACCAAAGATATCGTCGGAGCCTGTAGGCAGGAGCTCGACGACTGATGATGTGAGCGATTTCAGAGATCGAGAGAGGCCGCACTTTGAGAAACGAGGTAGAAGCAACCGAGGGGGAGAACAGGCCTTCAGCTTCAGATCTGAAGCATCGAGAGTGAACCAGCGCGAGTGCTGAATGAGGATAAACAGATAAAGCGAGATTCGGACTCCCCAAGCAGAACTTTATCCGCTCTTCTTTCATGGCGCCCTATACAACTCAAGAGGAAGGCTCCACTTCGATCTGTGTGCGCACCGGCTCGAGTGTAGCAGCAACATCGAGAAGAGCAGATAGAGAGTACTGGGCATCCCCAGCATAAGGACACATCGGTCGTAAAAATCAACAGAGATGGCACCAAGGAAGTCCACATAGAAAAAAGGTCGACCAGAGAGAGAGAACCCGAGCTTTTCAAGGCGGAAAGCAGGCCCGCGTCGCTGCTCGACGTCGTGGTAAGAGGCCAAAGGGGTGTTGTTGTTAGCTTGGACTTGTCTTTTTTGTCTATGTAATCTTATCTTATCTCCGCTACGCTTCCCCATTGGTTGCTTCCTCGGGTCTTTATGGTGAACCGATTCGCTCATTGCCACCCTCGGGTTAGATTGCAAGCACGACTTAAGGCCGTTCCAAAAATCATGGAAATCAATTCGTTGGTACATCGGTGCACACGAGATCTGGGAAGGTGTGAGAAGATACATCGTCAAAACTTCAAGTAACCAAGAACGCGGAACGAGCTACGGCGAAAAGGCAAGAAAGATCGCCCTACGTGTAGCTCTCACCGAGGAATCTTCCAGTTCCAGTGCCGTTCCCTTTGCATATCCTATCTTATCGAAAAGAACAGCAGCCGTCCAAGGCGTGGATTAGCTCCCCACACACAGTCATCTTTCTTCAATTCTTGCTCCAGCTTGATCCAATCCAGAACTCATTATTAGCCCAACTCTATCCATTCAACAAAGAATTACTCACCCTACTAAACGCTTAATCTTATCGCGTTTCCTCTCGCGAGGGACATGACCTTGATCTCCAACACCCCCCACGTCCGATTCACCCCCGGCTTCAACACGGGTCGGCAGAGCCGGAGGTTGGCACGCGCGGGGGATGGAGCGTAACCGGTGTCTCTACTGCTGATTGCGAATCGAGGAGCCCGGGACGCGGGTGACGGGAATGCTCGATATGCATCGGCGTATATTCCACTTCGAGTTCTGAATCCTCCACGACGTAAGGTTGGGCTGGGGGGAAGGTTCTGCCGTTGAGTCCTGGAATATCATTGTTGTTTATGGACCCGAGCTTCGTAGAAGAAATGATGACTACATGCCTGTGGGATACCCTCCGCTCGGGTGGTCCTCGATGGCCAGTTGTCGGACTGGAGCTTGAGACGGCGCACCGTGTCCTTGCCATCCCATAGGCAAAAACGAGTGAGAATCCTGTCCGTAACCCCCTTGCGGGTAGGCGTGGGCATACGCATTGTGTAGGGGGTCTAAAATCCATGGTTAACGGCCTGTACCACCGAGGACATCCGACTCACAAGTCCCGTGCGCTTCCTGTCTGGCCGCTTTCCCTACATTCCTAGTAGCACCTCCGACAATTCTAAGGCGGCTAGCTTCATGATACACCGCGATCTTCTGGCCCTCTTCGCAGCTCAGATCCGCGAACGTAGTCTCAGGAGGGTGGGTCGAATACGAACTTACCTTCGCCTTCGATATCGAGTTTCGTATCCTTGACTTCACTCTCCTTAAGGCGAGTACCGAACTCGATGTCAGCAACGAGCCTGTTCGACATGGGGGATGAAGCTCAAGTGCAGGGGTAAGGCGCTTAATGGGACGTTTACTACACTTGCCGACACGTTTCAGCTGGCTGGGGCAAATCTTATCGATGTCAAGTGTGTGTGTTCGTTCTGTCCGGGACATCCCCTGGCTGTCATTGGCTCCCAAGCTCGATTTCTCCGTTCAGCTGACAGCGTTACGGAAACCCGACCACATGCCTGCGATTCTGCAATAGCTATGACTAGTGAGAGGGGGATCAGATTTAACGGCATATGTACAGGCGCAGGAGAGAATCTTCAAACCCGTAAAAATGGGAAGTTGCAAGACAGGCTTGCGTCTGTGTTCAGCCACGTCTAAAATTAGCGCCCATGCCACTTCCAGGCGCCAGCAACCCTTGACCCTGGAACATGCCTCCTACACGTTACATTACGGATTCGAGGCTCGTCATAGACGAAGTACGAGAGAAATATTCTTTGCTTCATTGCACTGCGGTATAGTTTAGGATACAATTCGCGTGGGTAGTTCGGAGATACAACGTGGCTCCTCTCTCGCCCGATGGCCAGGTCGAATATTTCAAAAGCACTCACTCAGAACATTAAAAACGTGGACCCGTGCCAATGATTTTCGGGTCCAGGGATCATCAAAAATCTGTCAAGATCTGCTGTTGAAGTCGGCGAATGGCGGAATAGGAGGAAGGGGAGAGGAAGTTCGGGTGTAGCTCCATCGTCGCCATCGAAGTGTTCAAATGGGTGACGAGGCGTGTTTTCACGAATCTTTCTATCATGAGCACTCTCGCTGTCGTCGGGACATTTGCTCACGGCGAGGGGAGTAATCGATGAGATGGGCAGATGCACCGCGAGTACGCGAGAAAGGAGGTCGAAGCGATGGAATATCAGCGACGAGGAGTGTCCTAACACAACACCAAGGTCGAAATAAATGAAAAGACGAAGAGAAGACATCAATTAGAAACGTGTCAACTAGCGACTGGTGACTCACTCCTTTTCCGAGAAATACTACCCTTCGCAACTCTAGTGTACTTTCCATGACGATTGAGCGAGTTCGCTAGCATTATCCACATCACGAATTCACGGAGGTAACAGGCCTAGATACACGCGCGCCATCCGAATCGGGTGGCATGGGCGAAGACCCTGTGAGGAGAAAGTGAGTGTTGAAATCAGGAAGAGTTGAACGAACGAACGTACCACACTTCCACTCGGAAGTTCAATAGCCCCATACGCCGGATGAACAAGGACGAACAGGGACAAGTCGACCACCGACCCAAGACCGATCCCATAAGATTCAGAGCATACAACGAAGTACGCGACCAGCCCCTTTAAAATCCCAGAGAGCTCAGAAAGCTCGGATACTTCGACACAAGCTCGTTGTCCATCACCATCACAAGCCGTGAAGTCCCAGACACAGACATAGACACGGCGTTCGAGCCTCACCGCAACGGTCAGGATAATCCCAACCCAACCTCTACGCCCGGAAACATATCCGTTATCTTCGACGACCTGACAGCAAATGGTGCGGAATCGAAGGGTGCAGCCTTCGTCCTTGATCGTCTAACGAAACGCCGTCGGCTATGGGTGTGTCGAAGGATGGCGGATATGAATTATTGAACGCTGTGTACTCTTGAGGCGTGACACGGATAGGATGGTTTTGGCGCAAAGGGGTCGTGAGGAGGGTGTAGGGAACGTCTAGGGAAGTGGTTCGAGCCAACGATTGCCGATGCCTGAGAATTTGTGCGATTGCCCATCGGCCATCGGCGTGTTCGGTGCATTGTCGTGAAGATAGCAGAGATATACATTGTCAGTGCTTGTAGGCGCGAGCTCGATAAGAATCGACTACCGATGATGTGAGCAATTTCAGAGATGGAGAGAGGCGGCACTTTGAGAAATGACGTCGACGAGACCGAGGATCCTATATAATGATACCGCCAATCCGAAGTATCGAGCGTGGACCAGCGCGAGTGCTGAACAACGAGAATAAACAGATAAAGCGAGATTAGGACTCCCCACATAGAACGTTATCCGCTCTTCATTCATGGTGCCCTTGATAACTCGAGAGGGCTCCATTTCGATCTGTGGGCGCACCGGCTTGAGTGTAGCAGCAACGTACGTCGAGAAGAGCGGTTTAACATGTTCAGTGTTACCCGCGATGGCGATGGGAGGCGTAAAGTCAGGATCCAACCAGAGAGTTCAACCAGACTCCAGAGAAGAGTGTTCAAACATCAGTCCTAAAGCCGACAAGGGTATGGTGGTAGAGAGCGTACGCGGAAAGGAATAGAGACCAGAGAAAGCACCGGACCTTCGTTGGGTCGGGTAGAATGGCTCAATGCTGTCGTGGTCGTGGTAGGAGTTCGGAATCAAAGGGGTGTGGTGAGTCCATCATCTTACTAATATTATGTAATGTTATCTTACCGGCATGATCCGGTGTGATGGAGCGATTAGATCCTCGTCCCCATGTTATCTATAGCCAAGGCTTTAGGATGTCGAGTGAATGCTGGCGTTCTTCTGCTCAATTTGAATGATCTCCTGTATCAGAGGTAGAAGTATTCTTCGAAATTAGGCTGCATCCTTCATTAGATGTCTATAATCATTCGTAGAAAGCCCATCGCGTAGGCACATGCCCCCACTTCGCTCGGGAAACCACGATGGTATGGACTCCAATGTCATCCTGAATCTATCACGCGGAATCTGCAGCCTGTCGAAGTCAAAGTAAAGCCCCTCGGTCAATGGCGTGGCTCGAGTCTTCCGAGAAAGCCGGAAGGGTGGATGGCGATGGAGACGACGACGGCCTGTAGGGTTTGTCTCTCTGTCTCTTCTTCGAAACCCCTTTTCCCTCGCTGATCCGAGCGCCATGCGAAGGCACTCCGCCCCAATCACCGTCATCGTTCTCCTCGAGATGGCCAGATGGGTGATTAAAATTCGCCCGATCGTCGCGCTTGAAAACTCTCTTCATTTTTCGAAACTCGCGCTTCGCCGATGCCATGTCAGACTCGAATTGCCCGTTGTCGAAAGGCCACGTCGAAGGGCTGAACGGAAAGCTACAGGTCGACGAAGGAGTATCCGATGGACCGTGAGTTATGGTGGTCGAACTAGGACCTAGAAAGCGAGGCGTAAGAACGTAGATCTTTAATCCCTAAATCGTGCGAGGCCTACGCTGTATGGGTATGTTGGGTGGCGGGACCAAGGTAGTGTCTTCGTGTTTGTCCTGAATTTCAGGATCGGTCGTTGGTCCTCCTACATAACCTCCAAGCTCAAAGACGAACACGGATGTAAAGGACGCATGCTGACCATCATCCATAGAGCGTACAAAGTCGTCCGACGGGGAGATAGCCGCTTGGTAATAGCAAAAGTTGCGCTGGTCAATGTGCACCGTCATCGAGCCATGGATTTCGAAGAAATTAGAATCGACCGCGCTGGTGTTGGTGCTATTCTCGAAAAAGGGCATTTTAGCGAAGTACGCTAGTGGAAGAGGTTGGGCAGGCGTACGGTCCTGGCTATCGGAATCGAGCTATATATTCTTGAAGGACACCGACTCTGGTTCGAGCGAGACACGGACGAGAATGCAAAATCTAATTGTGTGGCTGTGCGGACCCACAATAGGGCTGAAGCGCTAAAGAATGAAAGATACGAGCTATACCAAGATATCCCAAAATCCGACGACGCCCTTGCGCCCGCAGGACATGTCTACACACGCCCACAAGGCGTCGTCATTGAAAATCCGAAGTTGAAGGTCCATCGTGATAATTCCGTTCGGACCGATGTTAGGGCGCAAACGTCATCTTCTGGAAAATCCTGGAATTCCATAAAGCTGTGCAGCCCGTAAGAAGTGAGCTGCGGGTGACAGAACCAACGATGACGGACTCACGAGGTGCACTGGCAGGGCTCATGATCTCGACGTCGGGCTGGGTTGGCAGAAGACCGCCCAAAGCTGGTGCCCAGGGCGTTCAGACCACGCCACAGACATCAGCAAGAATCCTAAACTTAACAGAGTGGTTATGATGTCCGACGTTTAATCGAGAAAGAAGATCGACGTACAGGCTGCGCGGGATTGCAAATGAACTTCAATGTATCGAATGCGATCCAGACCGAGAGAAGTATTTGGCGGTTTGATTATGAACGATGAGTGTGGCTAGAGAGACCGATTTATGTCGGCATGGTGCGACTGAACAGACGCGACAAAGTTCCTTCACTTCAGGCCTTCACGCCGTCTGGTAAACCTTCGATCGGGGTACCATCGATGAAACAGATCCGGGAAGATCACCGAGACCATGGTCAACGCTTCCAGAAAGCTCTCTGCTCTGAGGTCGTTGGTCGGGGAAACTTCAGGGTTTCGGAGGGACGTTGAACGCTCAGAGTCCTGGTTGAGTATACCTTCAGCAACTGTCGATCAGGTTTAACCGGCGTACCTACTTTCTGCTTCTCGTCCTCGCACGATTCGGAGCTTCCTTATGATCTAGTACTGCCCTTTCACTCCTGTTCAACGCTAGCCGTTTGTAGATCAGAGAAAAGCAGGGACGGGGTTGTCGTAGAGACGCACCGGTATTGCCTCCACGAGGCTCCCTTCATGCGTAATTCCCCCGATGGTGCGAAGAATCGTGGTTTTCAGACCCGCTACTGAAGAACAGACTTGTTACAGATAAGAATCCCGTGCTTCGACGCAGCTACGACGTCCGTTAAGCATGGGTCACATTACAGCGAGCATCATTCAAATGACTCACATCCTCTCGTTTTATCCCGGCCAGACGGGGCCTTGCAGAGACGGCCGAAATTGGCGGGGACGTTTCCATGTCGAAGAAGGCGGTTCGATGAGTCTGCCGTCTCGCTTCCAGAGACTGAAAGGTTGGCACCAATGAGCGAGGGATGGAGTCTCCGCGTCACTGATGAAGATGCAGTTTTCTACGTGGCTTCGTTGCAACGAGGGGGTGGTGGAAATCCGACCAGCTGGGATAAGGGTGAAGTTGTAAGATCGAGAAGGGTTCGAGAGTGGCTATTCGGCTGAAAAGAGAGCAAGTAACGCACCAATAATGCTATCTGACGCTCGAAGGTCATCGATTGAATCGATTCATCCGCTATTCCACTCTCGATACTGCTTCTTCGGCCTTCGTAAGACGCGTCGTCGAGCGCAGGGACGGTCCTAATGCCGGATTATAGGAGGGTCCGTCCAGGTAGCCCTATTACTTGTGCAGGCTAACGTAGTGTGGTCGTCGTAGTTCGTGAGCAAGGGCCATCGTGGCTGTGCTCCATTGGCCTCGAACGGATTACCCGGCCCGACGACAAGAGCTAACGTTGATCGCGTGTTGCAAACCCTTTCGTTCCTATTCATGTTACAAGAAGGGTTCAGTTGAGAGCGGAAAGTCGCGTTGATGTAGTGATACTCGAGAGAAATACCCAAATGATACCACCGTTATTTTGCTCCTGGCTTAGTGTGCTTGGGGCTCAACGGTGAATATCTGAATTCTCATGTCCCTTAGGCTAAGCCGGCGAACGTGTCTAGGCAGATAGCTAATAAGTGAAGCCAAGGACGGGGAGAAATTCTTCTATGTATCATCCAAAGAAATATTTATGAGAATGTATGTCTCCTTGAAATATAAAATTGATCCCTATTTGGCTTCAGAAACCCACTACTCCGATATCTCTGGAGACGAAAAAATCACCCACGCAGCCTCTCAAAGCTAATATTCTAGTCCCATCTACACTACTTCGCACCATTCTCATTCCTTTCCTCGCTGTCGCCGAAGGTGTTACGAAAATCATCTTCCGGATCACTCATAGCACGAGCACGCCGGGGTCGATTCAAGAAAGCAGCGAGATCAGCATCGGGTGGGCCATCGGACCGTGACTGCATCATAGGAGTGGGGCGATGGAAATTTGGATGGGCGCCGTGTCGTTCAGGCGCCGGGAACCATTGCGGTTCTTCCCCCGGCTCCTCGACATAGTACCCTTGGGAATGGTACCCGCCGTTATATGGCATCTGTGGGAGCGGCAGCGTTCCGCGTCTTGCAGTAGAGTCTGGCATCCTCCTTTAGTACAGGCGAGGCCTTGTATGAAATAATTACGAACCTGCTGAGGAGCCTCCAGGAGGGGCGAACATGTTGGGGCTCCCTTTCATTGGCAGTCAGACCTCCAATCATCGTCGAAGAAAAGCTTGCGTACCGTAGGAAATCTGATCGCTCGGCAGAGAATGCCCTAATGGAGGAATCGCACCGGTGGTTTGACTCCGCCCTGGTGGTAGATAGGACGGGTTAGCCGGATACGCCTGACTATGTGGAGGTGCATCAGGATGGTTGGGAGGAGGAGCGCGCCTATACCCGTACTGGACGCCTTGAGACGGGTAGTGCCCCTGTGCTGAATCTATCGTCATTGCCCATTCCGTAGTGTATGAGCTCATGGATGATTTTAGTCAGCACTTTGTTCGAAACTCACGGGGTTGCTGGACTGGAGGTAGGTAGGGAAAGCTCGTCTGGTTCCTCCCGAAGCCTACAACATTGATGCTGCCTCCCTTCATGTATACCCCTTCAGTCCTGTCGAGAATCGACATCGATTGTCCCTCTACATTATCAACGTAGGTGCAATCATAGCGAATAGATTTTACGTGGAATTACTTACCTCCACCGACGAGATTCACGTCTGGGTCGATCATCACCACATCGCGCGAGCCGTAGTGGAACCTGTAGATGTCCCCGTTATCCGTGTCTCTGCGCGCCATTATCTGTAGAGGGAAGATGGACAGAAAGAGGAGGAGGATTTGAGCGTGCGGCTTGAGAACTGGCCATCTGATTAGAGCCATAATCGATGGCTGTGGAGAAGAAACGGGATCTCACAGTGATTTCATATCTAAGAGGCTGAAACGCCCTTTTCTTGACACCGGCCTGAGAGACGTCTGCGCTCGACTTAGGTGCCTTCCAAGTTGTACTGTGTCGTGACGCCGCCAATACCGACTTAGGACGCTCATGGGGTCGAGTCATCACGACTTCTCGACAAGTGACATGGGAACCTGTCAAGAGCGCCCACAAAGTGCAACGTGCTGGGCTTCTTTACATTTCTAGGGGAATATTCTAACACAACGTGACCACGAATTCTCATTACATGGAGTTCTGGCGGGTTTAGAAAGCTCTCTCCTTCCGGGTTTCCGTTGTGACGACGGTATCTCGAGCATGAGTAACATTCGTCGTATTAGCGCCCATAAGTTCTCACGGGAAGAACGCCCATCGGGGCACTTCGAACGTTGGCGTGTATGTCACGGCGCTGGGGATGGATGGATTGTAATCAATGAATACATCATATTAGAATGTGGTCCTTGGATAATGACTTGAACTATGTGATCAAAAGATGGCAATTGCCAGCGGCATCGTGAGTGGCGCCGAATAATGTCAATTTCTTGTCTGGAAGGCAAATTGATCTAGTATGGCGATCTTTTTATCAGAGTCGGCCCTGTCCACAGCATACTTCATTACAGAGTATTGAGAATTTCTTCTCAGCTCCGTGCCTGCAGCTCGCTCTTCCTCTCCTGGCGGAACACATTTTTCAATCCCTTGCTCGTCAACACCCCCACCGAAAGCACACGCCGCGACTTTTTTCCTCGGTCTGGACGCCTAGTTTTTTTGCTCAATAGTACACGTAAGAGTGAGGATGGCCTACAGGACGAAGATAATGGGGCAACTAAGAGCGTACTCGTTGACTCCACTGTATCCGCGTGGCGCGGGTGCAAGATATTCTCTGCGTCGGAATCATAGGCATGTATGTCTGAAAAGGCCGTTCTTACCTGTCCTATTTAACCCCGAGTTGGGCCGCATGATGGAGATTTATTCCTCTCGGCGATTGCATTGGTGCAGCACCGTCAGATGTCTTGCTGTAAATTGCCTCGACTTCTCCAAATGCGATGTAGTCGTCTATAAGGGAGGAGGAGAACTCGTAGGACGACGATATGCCTCATCAAAAGGCAATGGAGTTAAAATAGTACATCCGCTCCTTCTCAGTGTCTATAATTCTCTTAACTTCATCGCGTGCGTTCGCGGCCTCAGCGCGGCTCGAACTCGGAGTCTGCACAGCCCGCTAACAGCACGCAGTCATGAGGAATTAATTCGAACGCATGATGATCCAAGTAGTGCTTGGAGGCCATTTTACTTCCTCTGGGTTTTGCTAGTCGTTCCGTCGTATGTAGCTCGTTTACGTGAAAAGAAGCCCTACGCTGCGACATTGTGACGAGATCAATGATGTGTATAGGGCAGGAAATTCCTGAACGCGAAGACTATACAATAAGGAGAACGAATGCACGTAATGTAAGTAATAGACTGAAAGAACGGGAAAGAAAATTACTACCGACGATTGAAAGTCTACTCCCCTTCCCCATCCCCATCCGCGGCTGCGGCCCGCCCTCTCTGCTCCTTGAACACATTCCAAAACATCCGCGTCGACTCCAGAATAAGCATGCATATAATCAGGAGCACACATGCCGGTATGACATACGCCGGGATCGCCCGTGGTGGGTCGAATGCGTAGCTCGCTACGGCGCACGCGAGCGCGAGGAGAGCCCACAATAGCAACACGACAGGAAGGCTAAGGATGATCGCGAGTCGGCGGACGGCCCGCGGTGTCTTACCTACGTTCTGAAGGTAGCCAGACTGAAAATAGGAGAGAACGGTAGGTCAGCGGATGAGTACGGAGGTTAAGGCAAGGAAGAGGAGAGGCTCATGCGTACCACCTCTGTAGGCCTAAGATGTGTGTTTTCGCGGTGTTTGCGGACGTAGTGGAGTCCAGATACGAGACTTCCAATCGCGAAGAGCGTCGAGCACGACCCACCCGTCCGAGCAGTGCTCGAAAGGTCCATACGCGAAAGGAAAAATCCGTTTACACTGTGCCATTTCGGTTAATACAACTTCATCCACAAAACCTGAAAGACTGTTAATACTTACGCTAGTACAAAGGTAGCCTAGAGTGTGTCCGATTAGTATGATGTTCAAGAGACTTGGGAAAGCAGGGACGTGCCAAGATGTTCGACTTGGACCATTGAGCAAGGAGGGAGCCCACAACACGGTGCCACTCCGCTGGCGAGGCGATCTCCGTGAGGACTGCCTTCCGCAGCTGACGTTCGTATGTCTCGGGGTCGAAGAAACACAGAGCTTCGACCATCGAGTCTAAAACACTGCTCGAGGGCTCGATAATTGGTTGTTCGCTCGTCATCGCGGATAATGTGCCCTGTCGATGGGCTACGCGATTCTTGTCTGTGGAGTGACATGTCAGAGTCGGAACCTAGTCATAGATTTACAAAGACGACCCACATATCGCCAGAAGAAGGCGCGAGATAAAGAGAGTCGTAAAACCGTTCGAGGACCTGTCAACTCCCTGGTCTACCTTCACGCATTAGAACTTCGCAAAACACGAGCGAGCGAGGACGCACTCAGTATTCCATCCAGCATTTTGAGAAGAAGGCGAGCTTTCGGCGGATCCCATGGCGTTGTCTTGACGTCAGCGGTGAAGTCGGCTGTCGGACGGAAAAGGATGAATAGTATAGAGATATCGTAAAAAGGTGAACTTACAGGCACCGATGTATGTTAGATATCCGTGCAGATACTTGATACCGTCTTGAGGAACGAATGTATGACAAGGGAAGGAATTGAGATGAGCGTAGTATTGCTGACGCATGAGGATGGCTGGTAGCCAACATGATCTTAGCATTCAAAGACGCCCCGCGAACGAGGAAAGGACACATACCGTAGTTCGCCTCGTCGTGATCATCAGTCCCGCCGAGAATCTGCTCCCCAACCCGAACTGGATGTAGCCAAAAGACCTCTTGTGTTCGATGTCGAACGAGGTAGTACCGACTCTCCGGCAGCAGTGAGAGGTAGATCTCGACCGATCGCTGGGATATGTCGCCAAGGTCTTCTTGCTGCTCCTTTTGATGGTCCCAAAGCTTCACCACGGCGTGGTAAAGACGCTGTACTTGCGCACTCTGCTGCTCGTCGCGAACGTTGGCTTCGGTAACAATGCCCCACCGCTGATGATGGAAGTACTGGTGGCCATCGGGATGAATGTATTCGGTCCATCCGTCAGGCACTTTCGTGGCGAAGAGCTTGCTGAGAGAAAGTACTCAATCGTTAGTTAAGGAAGAATTAATCGAAATTCTCACTCGTTTAGATCGAATACTGCCTCTCCCTGCGGCCCGCTTGGTAGGTACACCGGCTGGTCGGGGTCGAAAAGTGGAGTACTGCAGAAGATCACCAGACAACACTCGTGGAAGGGGGGGAAGAGAATTTACATATCCTTATGACGAAATCTGTTCGGCTTCAGGGGGGTTGTAGGGGCGAACTCGACGCCTAGAGGGAGCTCATTCGATATGCGAGATGGTGGCACTCGAGATTCTTGGACAATGTCTGCAGTACGAGTATTGGCTTCATTTACAGAAGATGGCCACGACATTGACCAAAATCTGTCTGAAGAACAGGTCTCTTCGGAGACAGCCCAGCATCCGCCAGTGAGGGAGCAGAGGAGAGCCCGTTAACGCAGCGACAAACCGAGAGCGCCCACGAACAAGCACCACGTGACGTTGTTAAAGCTTTAAGTACTTTATAATTCTTGCTTACTGAAAAGCAAGTAGTATACTAAAGATATCATAAATAAAAAAAAGGTAGTGTTATTTTATAATATTATCTTTTATGCCAAGCATCGAGTCGATTTGTGTCTGTGGGCGAGTTCCATCGTTGTAAAAGTGAACATCTCCGGATTCTCTAGTGGGAGAGGACAACACAGAGTCCAAATGTCTGGCGCATGATGTAATTTATGTTCCAGCTGTCTATCTATGGCTCAGAATTAAGTACAAGGCCGCCCGGTGCTCGATACATCTTGACGTGAACAAACACTTATTCGGGAATCGGATAGGTTATTCTTTGGCCGTACATTCCCTACCAAAGATGTCCATTTCCTTTGCCATTATGTATGCTCTGGCTGTCAAGCTGTTGCCATTTCAGTAGGCCCCAAGGTTGTCCTATTGATGCAAAATTCCCCTCCGCCGTCTTCTCTCGTTCGAATGCTCTTTCCACGCCATTTTACTTTATGGCTCATGGTATATATTTGACAATCAGACGTCTATGCGAGGATGACTACAGTTAGATATTTCGCGATGCGGCCTTAATAGACTTTCAAATCTGCATTGTGAAGAGCTACACCCTATCCTATGCAACAACACAAGCAGCAATATGAGTCCGTTTTACGGTCAGGAGGTACCGAGCCTGCCTCCTCCTCCAGTGCCTGTGAAATGGAGAACATAATTTACTGAAGAGGCACACTCGCATGAATTTATCACTGACTCTGAAGTTGAATTCCCGGTCGCTGGGTTGCTCTGCATACTTCTCAGCTGGAACGTCCACCGTTCCTAACAGAAATGGCTCTGCCATATGGTCCAATCGAACAGTTGAGGCAGGTGGGAGTATTTCCGGTTCGCTGAACCCGACGTAGTAGCTCGTCCCCGCCTGCAATCGATCAGCACCGTTACCTTCCATAGGACAAATTAAGCTTCATACTTACCCCTCCATCGCTCGGCTCCGATGACAAATTATCTGCGCCTATTCTCCGCATCGCTTGCTCTTGAAGAGATTCATAGCTTGCAGACGCCGCTTGGCGCTCAGCGGGGGTATCAGGAATTGGAGTGAGCGGAGACCCTATGACGCCATGTTCGAGCGTAAGCGGTGGCGTGCCTTCTGGCTTCTGGTTGGGAACATCTGGTGGATGATTGTCGGAATCTCCGGAAATCGCAGTGTTTCGAAGTCCTCGGGTCGATGGCTTTCTCGAGCCTGGGAGCACATTCTGGAGCAGCTGCTCGATTCCCGTCTTTCTAGCGACCTCGATTGGCACACGCGGAACAGGTGGTGCAGATCCAACTGGTCTTGCATATCTCCCAATGTGAGCACGGTAGCTGGACCCCTGGTCCGAGGATGTGGTCCCTGTTGTGACCGTAGGATCGAAGTTGATAGAGTCTGGCGGTGTACGGGGAGGTTCTGAAGACTCTGCGCTCAATGTACTGTTCAATCTAAGCGGCTTTCTCTTCGCTTTTCCCCATGATGATACTGAACCTGCAGAGGCTGCGGTGCCCGGTGCGTATTTAAGTACCCCGGTTGCCGCTATCTGTGCAGCTTCAGCGACTTCGGATTGCTTCGAGGTTGCAGCTTGATAGTGCGTGTTTTCGGCTTGGGGATCTGAGTTTTTACCAGATTTAAAATCGACAATATAAGACGGATGGGAGGTCGCACTCACCTTCGATTCGACCAGTCATTTAGAGAAACACCAAAACGGATCGAACACTGGGGGTGAAGAGTGTGAGGTTTCAGGAGAGAGCCGGTCAAAAGAAAGGCACGGGAGAACGGATATTAGCGGTTATCTGGTGTATTTTACAGAATAGTACACAATTGAAGCCTCGACGTAAAATTTGCCGTGACTTCAATGCTTGGGAAAGGAAGGATGCGATGTCAGAGTCTGTGTGCGGTTTCTGTTTGGCGCGTTCGTGTTTGTGGATCAAGAATTACAGCGCCTCGGGCGGTAGTAGCTGCTTTGGGCTTCGCTTTTGTATTCTATTTGATTCCAGTCCATCGTGCGCTGACAGATGTGAGAATGCCACCCACAGAACCAAATGCTTGGTGCTGTCAACAAAGTCAATGTCATGTGTCACGTTTCTCTGTGGGCGCTGTGACACGTGGCATGAACGAAATGACCTTTCGACCTGCCTGCATGATCCCCACCCCAACCCTTGTGCGGTTCTCTCTGCACCATGTCGTCTACGCCAGGAGCTCTAAATGAATTGAAGACTGCTGTTCCCCAACCTGCCTCTGTGCTTCCACAGACTGTGAATGCACCGTCTCCGGTACCTAGGACGGTGTTCGTCAAGCTGGTGCCAACGACGCCGTTCGCTGGTCATCGATTCATAGAAAGGGAAAGGTAGATCTTCAACTTCGATTTCTCTCTATTGCCTAATGCTCACGAAGCATAGGATTGCCCTTCTCGATCCAGATAAACCCGTCTACCTCCCACCTGGACCGTACGGTGGAGGACCCCTGTTGAATGAGTGAGTAGTACAACACGCCAAGACTGAATCGCCCTCACACATATTTATCCCAGCGATCTCTTTGGTACACGTCTACCAGACGGATGGACAGAGTATATCCATCCTGATGGGCTTCCCTATTTCCGCCACGAGCAATGGGGAGTTGTGACGGAAATGAACATGCGGGACTTTCAACAATGTCGACACCTTGAAATTGTCCACGAGGTCACCATGACTCGATTTCAACAAGTGGACGAAGCACAGGGCGGCAAACTCAGCAAGGAGCCTTACGAGCTCTATATCTCCAACCGGCCGAAGCATCGATACTATTTCATTCGTCATAGAACTCAGGAAGTGTTCTGGTTGGACCAAACGCGTCTGGGAACGCGCTTCCTAGGAGATACAGATGACGCTAAAGGGGCCAACTACAGTAATTATTTGCATAAGGACGCTCCATTGTGCGAACACATCACTAACGAGCATCCCAGGTATCCTGATTCGCAACTTGTATTATGCTCATTTAGCGTCATTTCCCTGTCATACTCAAGTACCCGAGGACGGAATACAGTTTCTCCATGGATATCTCACGTATATCGCGGCTGGTGCGTTTTCCGTTGACTAATGTTGCCCCATGCTTATTTTGACCTGCGTAGATGACCTGACCACCCCTTTCAAGATCACGCCATGGGACCCACAAAAAGCTGCTACTCTCCTAGACATGTTGGAACGTATGATAAGTGAGTGCCGACTCTCGACATGCCGTGTCCTGATACTAAGCCTCGTGTAGGTAGGGGAACAGATAGGACTGCGAATGGGTTCAAAACATTCTTCATCGCCCAATTGTTAGTTGCCGTTTGTAAGTAATGCCTCTGAGAAAATATTAATTCCCTAATAAATCTGCAGATAGTGTACGCGCATTGCACCGCCATGGTACTCAAGCTGCCATAAACGAGCGGCACTTACCGCCGTACCCCGTGATGGGTCCCTTCGACGCCGCTGTTCGGATCTTCAGTTTCTTTGTCTACTCCACTTACGAAGATCGGCTGCGTCTGGCCCTGCAAGGCGAGCTCGCGTCTGAACGGGAGTGGCACCGCCTTATGACAACTCTCGTCGCCGAATGGTCAGATACCAACCTCTTGGTAAGCTCTAGCTATCCTCGGCATGTTGAATTTCCCCGCTGATTTATCCTAGGCCACTGTGACACTTTCGTAAGCTCCCTCTCCTTTTCCTCCGTGCTGCTGCTCATGAGATTCGCATTCTAGAGCGAACATGGCCTTCCTTGCTCTAAACCTGTCAGGCGTTGCTCGCACAAGCAGTATAGCTTCAACTCTTTTCGCTATCGGAAGCATCGTCATCGGTTTGCATCACGTCTGGAAGCACCGAGATCAGCGCGAAGCCCGTATTTCTGAACTCGTACGTCCGAGTACCATCTCCTCTTCGAACTCATATTCATTAGCAATTTCTTTGCAGAGTTTTTACATTCAAAACACGGGACGGAGCGCAACTGATATCAGGCACCTATCTCTCCTCCTCAGCCTTCCCATGATCTTCCTTCTGTGGGCTCTCCTGGCTTTCACGTGCGCCGTCGCGAACTTTGCCTTCAATCCCCCGAAAGCAATAGCCTCTTACGTTGTTCCTGCCTGCGTGCTGGCGGTGATCTGTGCCCTGGGCATTGTCACAAATGTGGTCTTCTGGAACGTTTTCAAGTATAAACGCGGGAGATATACCCCTCGTCCCGTCAAGTAGGACTATTGCCAAGATTTTCATCGCCTTGTAGTGCACTCTTCGACCTTCTTCGACCTTCTTTGTCTGTGTTGTAGCCGACGTTTATTGATATACCCTTGCTCACTGAGACCTATCATACCCGTCTGAGTGCGTTGCTGGGTTGTAACCCAGTGTCGACAGCCATCTACTGGTCAACGGTTTGGTGCTCATCACATTTCAGAGTAGAGCGCCATCCAAATGGGAATCGGGAACAATCGTTGAGTGAGCGTATAGATATCGTACAGCCTGAGGTACAGGCCAAAGAATCTGATCTGAGTGCAGGTTCGAAGTTTGAGGCGAGTCATTCACGTCGTTACAGAAGCTTCCGCATTTAACTACCTGCCGCCTGTTCGAATCATGGGGCTTTGTACGACGCCACCTTCAGTTATGTTATGTACTCAGAGATTCGGGCACACCAAGTCCCCAGCGAAGCACTGCCTTGCTTTTGTAACTGCTTACTGCAACATGCCAACGCCACCTGGGCTCACACCGCCCTATCAGATCCGCTGTCTGCGAAGTTGTTTCACATCAGGCTATTCTTGTGGGTGTTCTCAATCTGATTCCGAAGAACTTTATTTACCCTCCACCTGACTGTCGAGATTTCCCGTCACCCACGGGGATAAGTCGGGATCCGTGGGAAGATATCCGGCGCTAAAGCGCAAAGAGGTCTCGTATCCTTTTTGGGATATTTAATCCGGCACCTAGTGCCAAATCCTGATTCATGATTTTAGCGTTGACTGCGCTGGTGCTAGTGCTATTCTCAAAGAACGGCATTTCAGTGAAGTGAGTGTCTTGATGCAAATACAGTAGTTATTGGAATCGAGCTATATATTCTTCCGGGTGCTGACTCTAATTCGACGAGGCAGAGAGAACATGAAATCCAGTACTATTCAAATGCATGGCTGTACGGACACGGCATATGTAAGTAAACACATAGGGCTGGAGAATAAAAGGCACGAGCTATACCGAGGCATTGAAGGCGCTGAAGATACCGGGCACCCGCCGGAATTCTTGAAGATAATTTGAGGTCAAAGGTCCATCGTGACGATTTCGTACGCACCAACGCAAGGGCAGGAATGACCCCTTTTGATGAATCCTGGAATTCAATGAATCAATAAGAAGGGAGGTGAGGTTGACGGAATGTGCGATGGGGGAGTCATAAAGGTGCAGTGACGGCACTCATGATCTCGACGTCAGGCCTGGTTAGGCAGAAGAACGAAGTTGACGACCAAAGTATTCACAAACCATGCTATGGCCATCAGAACTTAACAATTCTAAGTCAAAGAGAGTGGTTACGAGTGCCTGACATTCAAGAAAGAAGATCAACGTACAGGCGGCGAGAAGTCCCAAATGAACCTCAAAGCATCGAATTCGATCCGGACTGATAGTAGTACTATGAGTGTGGTTGGAAAGACTGATTTATATCGGCATAATTAGAGGCTTTGCGCAAAGCCAGCTGGAGCCAGTGGTGGCTCAAATGTGTTGCGCTGAGACCTTTAGCCAGCAGAACCTGAATATCAGACCGATGAATGCCATATATTAATATTACTTACATCTCTCTATAACCTCGTATTTCCTGGAGAGCTCCACGCGATATCAGTCTGTGGGGGTGGTTGATCAACGGTTGATCACGGTTGATATTTTCTGCTGGCTCAGTTTCCGGAGATTGTCGTAGCTGCACGGATGAATACAATGAGATACTTGCATTGTCATTGAACTCCCCTGGCATCCAGACATACACGGTACTACATAAGACTAAGTTAAAAGCATAGTCACTAATTGGCCGCTACTGGCTACACGACACAGCGCAACGTTTTTGAGCCAGCACTGGCTCCAGCTGGCTTTGCGCAAAGCCTCTATTTAAATGAATGGACGGCAAATTTGCCCTTACCTACAGCTCTTCGCGCCGGCCAATAAACCTTCGACCAGGACACTATCGACGTGTTCTCGCGTCATTGTTCATGGAAAACGAAGGGTTTTGGACACTCACTGGACACCCAGATCCCTGGTATATTGTCAGTGACTGTCAATTTGGGCTATCAGGTACACCTACTTTCCACTTCTCGTCCACGCTCGACGCTACCCTGGCATATAACCTTGTGCACTCCATTCACTTCTGTTCGATGCCAACCCTTTACCGAGGATTCAGGATTAGAGAAAAAGAAAGTGGTGTTTCAAAGGGACGCACCTGTAGCACCTCCACAACCCCCTACCCCCTCGTGAGTGACTTCAGCAATGGCGTGAAGAAACACCGCCACATTCGGACCCATCATCGAGACGTGCGATGGATAAGGGTTTCGTGGATACAGCTATGAGAGTAACATTCAAATGACTCACGTTCTCGAGTTAGATCCTGGCCAGGACCGAGTACTCTTGCCGAAGCGGTCGAAGTTCGCGAGGATGTTTCTGTGTTGAAGAAAGCGCTAGTTAGACGATCGATCAGTGTATTGTCCCGCAACCAGAAGCTGAAAGGCGGAAACAAATTAGATGGAGTCGTCGAGCATGGTTTCTTAATTGCAGCCACGTGCGGTCAGCAGCACGCCCAGCTGGGAAAATGGAGTTGTGGAAGGGCTGCACAACATTTGAGCATGCTTATTTGAAAGAAAGAACAAGGAACGCACCACCCTCTACGGATTCGAGCTCGTCGAGTCTCCCGATACCTCACCCCTGCCTCTCCTTCCTCCCGAAGACGCGTAGTCGGACATATGGATGGACCGAAACGCAGCACGGCGTCACAGCACATAGGGCGACTCCGTCCAGGTTGGGTTATTGGGCGGCGGACACTACACTTGTGGGTACAAGATATTCGCTCTTCTGTGCCCAATCTGCGTTGAACTGGCCGAGAATGGCTGTTGTTTTTGTACCCGGACAGTCGAAATGTGCGGTGGAGGAGAAAGTTGCTGCATGGTAGTTCGAGAACAAGGGAGCTCGGTGGCTATGCCGGATTTTCAGAACTGCCAAGAGACCACGGTCCGGCTGCGCCAAGGGCATCCTCATTATCTCGGCTAGATAACGGCATTATCTAATGTTCGCGGAATTTACGTTCCACTTTTCGACAATCCTCTGCTCTCTACCTCCCGTCTTTTTCGCCGTGAACATGGTTCGCTTTTTGAACTCGCGCGCCGGTCACGCGTCCACGAAGGCCTACAAAGAGGGCGTCACAAGTGTGACCAGGCATCTCTCCCTTTTTTTTTCACCACCGTCATCTCGCAAATCGCTGCCGCCTTTCGCTCATAGCGTCACCGTAAGATCTCCAAGACGTGAAGATATCATGGCACACATATTGAATACCACAAATTCATATCTCAAAAATGGATCGGCCCCGCCGACCCCAACGACGCCTCTGTCGTCGAATCGAACCATTCCTGGTACCTTTTCCACAGTTCGCATGAATTTTAAAAGCACTTACTTGTTCCGAGTAGCTAGAAAATCCATCAAGAAAGGGGGTTCTTTATCCTTGAAGAATCGGCATACGGACGAGTGCTGACGTTGAACAAGTAAGTCGGTAGTATTCGACTTTTTGTCCACCCTTCCACTACGGGTGAAGTCTTCTTGGCACCAAAATCACGGATGGATGGACCGAGTACATCCATCCTGAGGGCAATACCTACTTCTACCACAAAGAATGGCGTGTCGTGACCGAGGCGGATATGCTCAACCCAGAAGTGACGAAGAAGGTGGAATTCGCCTACCTCCCGCTCGTCGAAATGTGGAATGAAGTCAATGCGAAGGACCAAAGTCTAGGTGACATACGCGAAGAAGGGCTCGAGATTTTCATTGGACTCGACACGGAAGTAAAGTACTACTTCGTCGATCACCAGACGCAGAAGTTATTCTGGCTTACAGAAATCACGCTCTGGGAAGGATTCTGGGGCCCGATGGATGTGATGGAAGGAGTGACTGTGGCGACATCCGGTATGCAGGTTCATTTACCTCTCGTTTGAGTTTCTTTTGCCTCATCTCTTTCTGTAAGATCTCCTCTTTCGACAGCAGTTTTACGCGCACCTGGCGGCATTCCCGTGTCATAACCAGTCTTATGTTCCTGAAGACGGTGGTCAGTTCCTTCGAGGATATCTGCAGCTCGCACTCTTGGGTATGTTTCGCTCGCAAATCCATGCTTCGTGATCTCGGTTGTTCTCACATTGACATTTAGATGATCTTACTAAAGGCTTCAATTTAACTCCGTGGGACTCCCCTCAGGTGGAAATGCTCTGGACAGGCCCGGACAGGCTTCTCAGTAAGTGCGATTTCTTTCTTGTGTGGTCCAATGAGTACTTAACTAACTATTGGAGTAGACGCAGGACCAAACAAAATGACAGATGGCTTCAAAATCTTCTTTATTTCCGGACTCCTAGTCGCCGCCTGTTTGTCGTCGTCGTCCTTTCGGCTCTCTATTGCTTAACGTCGTGTTCATTCCAGACGAAAGCCGCGCGGCTAATTGTCTCGCAAGATTGCGTGCCATCGAGAACAGGCCAACCTTACCACCCCCAGAACTGCCGCAGCTGCCTTTTGTGCTCAGCTTGTTATGTTTCCTCGGAACTGAACGTACGAGAACCAGATTAGCAAGGTGCTTGCCGGGAAAATCATCTTGGTGACACGGTAGCAAGAGCTCATGGAGTATTTCGTGGAGCTCTTCTCATCTCTTCCCCGCCGTCTAACTCTAATATTTGTTCCATTGACCACATAGTCAGATTACGTGAAGAACGTCGCGTTAACCCCGGGCACACTATGACGTTCCACCATCCTCTTGGGTCTGCCGCTTTCCCTCTTCACCTGGGCCTTGGTTGCGCTCGTGTTCGCGGTGGTGAGCCTCACCTCTAACGTCAGAACGCGATCGTAGGGTAACTTCGTACCAGCGTGTGTGCAGCAGGGCTGGTGACGAGTCTTCTGGACCGTCTTCAGGTGCCGTGGGTAGCCGGGGACAGGGGTCCAGCGCGTATAAAAAGTGCTCCGCTTGTTGCAGTGATTCAAATTATACAGTAAAATATTTCTTGTGGATGTGCTCGAAGAGGCGGCAATACTCCTACTTTCGATAGAATGTGGGTCAGCGGCCTGATATTGTCGACCCGTGGCGCGAAATTCCTGTTGATAGCAAGTATTGCTGGCGATGATCCCTTTCGCGATGACCTCTTGCCAGTCTCACTTTCAGCTCTGGGAAGGCGATCACAACATAATTCGTACCCGTGTATGCACTTGTCGTGGCACGTGCATCTGGGAAAGTAGTAAGTGGGGTGTGTTGGGACATATTTCAATCTCGTAGTCAGCCGAGCTCGAGGGGTGAGTGAGCAGACAAGTATGTTTGAGGATTATTGTGCCTCCGCTCGGTAGTAACAGTAATATTTTCTCTATTTTCAAAGAAGGCAGAGATCTTGTGAGAGACCTTATCAGATTGATATCACGACTGCGCATTACTGGAGCTGGTGGACCCACAGAAACGCCCACACTCGGCGTCCAGCACAGCTTTCCCCACTGGTTTTCGCAAATCCTAGAGGCGTTCTATATTTACCACTCCTTCCGAGTCAGATTACGGTAATATGTGGGCCAAGGTTCTGCGAGAAAGCCCCACAAGGAAATTCAGTTCGGTGCCGGAACCGTGAGGCGATGTACATATGGGTGTACTTGGAAAACCGCATACCCCAGTTTGGCTTTGACTAAGTATGATGTATGCCCTATGACGATCATTACGTGCTCCAGTTGATATCTCCGTCGTCTCCATCGGTACTTCTTCTCTTGTGCGTCGAAAACTGTGGCTATTCTGTCTTCCGGGAGCAATTTTCTCCCCAGAATAAGTATTAATATCGCTCTGAGAGTGGTTTATCCGGTGTTCATGCCAACTTCTATATTTAGCGTGTATATTGCTCTAACTGAAGGACCCAACCGTTGGGGAAAGGACCGCATTTAGCATACTCTCATCAGATAGACGAGGCCAGCGAGCTGTGCCTTCCGCCATGCCGACGGTGGGCGCCAAGGAACCTCGTCTAACTACGAAAGAATTGGAGCCAATTTAGATGCATAGCGGACGGAAACGAAGGGAATACAGGTTGTAAATATGCTACTGAGAATTTATTAATGGAGGGCGTTCACAACGATAGGCCGGCGAGTGGAATCGAGCTCCCAAGAGCAAAGTATCTAGCATTTGTCGGTCTCCGTGCGTCATGAAGTTATTCTACTATCAACCTCGATCACGCTTGAATTTCACGTTCTTTTTCTGCCTTATTTTGATGGCGCCCCGTGCGCCAACGATGCCTTATTGGGTAAATATTTTCTATCGAGTATGCTCTGCGTCCTGCAGAGAAGAATAAATATCGGGAGTTCCTTCGATTCGTTCCAGCATTTAATTGACTCTGATACATAGTGATAAAGCGGGCTCTAATATATCTCAACAATTCGCCAAGACCTGCGCCGCGGTGGCACCCCCTCGTGCATCAAGCGTTTTAAAACTAGATTTCTACCAATTCACTGTGCTACTAATAGAACGGCAGTCGAGCGGCCTAGCTTTACATCATCGAATTTCCTATTCCACAAATAGACCATGGATATCGGAGGGTGATAAGTGATTCACGAAACACGTTGTTCTAGGTGCCGTCAACGAGATTCCTATCTCTTTGCTACCCTATCAGCAACTCTCTACGCTGCGAGTGAATCAAGCCTCATGGTTCTCCGTTCAAACCGTTCCTTGTCAACATTGCCTTCAACTCGTTCTTCTCATGGGGGATTGAAGGAGGTAAGATACCATCGTAGGCGAAATCGTGCATGAAGGAGAAATGGCGTGGATGAACGCCATAGGTTCTAGTCGATGCTGGATCATTTCGGCACCTTGTGGTTGTATTGCCCCACTCCGCAAACGACTTTTTCAGTTGTCAATGGGCGCCGAAACGAACAGATAGACTTTGGGGTTCTCTTGGCGGCTGATATCGATCTGTTCGCCCATCACGTCGATCTTCATCCGAATAAGTAAAAACGAAAGGAAGCAACGCACCTTTCAGTTTGACTTTCCACTCTTCCAGTAGTACCTCGCCACATCGTCAATTTCTTCGCCCTACGCTGAAGCGTATCGTCGGTAGGCCTTTGGTGCTTTGCAAATTTTGCATTTCTTCCTATTTTGCTTCTTATAGACGATGTTGGTCCTGTCGAAGACACTCACGATCGGTCAAATCACCTTCATCCTCCGTGTCGTCATCCAAATCCTCGCCTACGGCGGGCTCTTCCTACTTGGACTCCTCGTCCTCGCTAGCGCACCTCGCGTCGCTACTCTCGAAACACACGATGTAATTAACCGCGTCGTAGGCAAATCTACTGCGACCACATCCTCCATGAAGTGGATATTCGGGCGTATCGCATCACGAAAGGACCGCGACCTCGCCCCATCCCCACTCCTCCTCTGGGCACTCGCCCTGTCGCTGATATACGGCCTCCTCGTCAGCTTAACTGACATAGGATTCATCGGTCTCAATGCATGCGAAGTGGCCGGCACCACCCGCCTCGATTTCCCCGCCTCAGTACGGTCAGACGAAGACGCTCGTCAAGCCCTCGAGGTCAACCTCATCCCAGGCGTCGACCCAACCAACATCCGCCGACACATGTGCGACTCCGCAGAGCCAAAGATACTCGACGGCGATAATTCAACCATCCTCGTCTGCACATCGTGGCGGAACACGACGTACGGCGACCCGACCCAGTTCCAATCCTTGAATTCCACCGACAGCGACACCCTCATGCCTCTAACCCTTGGGTATTATAACCATACTCGAGCGGCCCAGTTCGACCTCAGCAGGTACCTCGTCGGCGCGACGAGCGAGGGCCAGAAAACACCGGTGATCCAGAACGGCATTGCCGTTATCCCTCACGATACGGGCGTTCGAATGATCGCCGGCGTACCCAAGGTTGGGCTGAAGGAAAAGGTCCATCTGCCGCAAACACTCGCTCTGGAGGTCGAGATGGCTTGTATGCCGACCGGCACTATGGGCCAAGAGGATGTCGGTTCCGTCAACGGGCCCAGCGCCAACTTCTTCGTCCCAGACGATCTCTATCAGGCCAACTGGACGGGACGCTATTCAGGCCCAGAGAACCTTCGCGACCCTCTCCTCTCCTCCGTCGCCCGCGTCCGCGAGCTCATGAAGCCTCTCTACAACTCCTCCGACCTCAATCCGAGCGGGTTCTGGATGTCGATCAACGAGACGCGAGCGCCATATACCTGGCCATCCACTATCACCGGCTTCTTTCCAACCGTCAACGGGTCGGCAGGGACCACAGAAACGCGCTACATCCTCGGGAACTGCTCCGCCGAGGTGCATAGCGCGCTCGGGGTGTCTACACCACCTGAAGGCGCAAGCACTCGTCAAGCACAGGCGTGTGGGTTATACCAAATGCTCGGGTCGACGTTCCAAGGCAGGACCACATTCCAGCAGCACTACGAGATGATGTGCGCCACCTCAACCTCGTTCGACATGGTTTCCACGACGCTCGCAGTCGACGGCGAAGGACGAGTTTCCAACCCCGAATTGATCCACCTCCCGAGTGACTTCTACAGTGGGTATGCAAGTTACTTCGACATCACCCCCAGAGGCGAAGATATGGTGTACAACACCTTCGAGCCACTCGTCCGGTTCGCGCTATCTTCCAACCCATCGGGCCCGACGAGGCACTATATCCACCAGTGGGATTCCATTGGGACCACCGCACGCAGTTTGACTCAAGGCGCCGGCAATCCTGGCTTCCTCCTCACCCTAGTTGGCTCAGCGATGGTCGGCGTTAATTCGCTCGACCTCTCCACCATCGCAATGATCAACTCGACGTTCTTCAGCGCCGACTATCGTCCAGAGATCGTGACGCGGTGGGGTGGTAGCGTCGGAGCATCGTACATCCTCTCCACGATTGGCTACAACCCGTGGGTGGCACGTGGAAGCCAGGCGTTTGAGGTGCAGAGTACAGGTGGAAAGGCAGCCGTGTGCTACGAAGTCCCATACGCAGCGGCCTTCCTTCCTCTAGTCCTCGCAGCGCTGATCGTCGTCTTCTTGACGATGGCCCTGTTCCTTCGCAGCAAGCTGAAGGGCACGAAACGTTGGGAGAACCTCTACGGTGGGTTAGCACCGGCTATCGTATCGCCTGTCGCGATGAAGCCTGGTAAAGGCGAGGTTTTAGCGTGGCAAGAAGGTGACGAACCGCATTTGCGGCCTGTGTACTCTTCCATGCCGCTCCCAAACATCGGTATGGAGTCGCAGACTCTCATGACGCCGCATTACAAGTCGGAGTACATGTGAGGATGAGACTATTTTCTGGAGAGTGTGTTCAACACATTAGGATTCATGTTGTCGATTAATGCGACGTACGTATACCATGTGCAACTTTGACTTTTGGGTAGTAGATGATTTTATTTCGTCAATCGCGACACTATGAGTTCGAATAAATTATTCCACTCGCATACTATTGAATTCAACATTTACGCACGAGCCTATTCGAATTTGCATCGCTGAGCCTGCCATTCGACCCTCACTGACGGAGACAGCTAAGCGAGCTCCGAAAAGAAAAGTCGCAGAAAAGTCGTAGCTAACGATACTTAGCCGCAGCCACAGGTCCAAAGCTAGGCACCTAATATTTGGTTCGAAGGACGTCCCGAGTCGACACCCTCAGCAAGGGATGAAGGCATATTGAGCTACATGTTAAGGACATCTACTACCGAATTGGAGAATGAGTCAATTATGACAATCGTCCATGAATCACGCGAACTTACCTGAGGGGATATGTCGAGATCGAGAACTGGAAACCACGCCCAATATCACTCCAACCAGCTAACGAGAGATTGGCACTTCCGCTGGTGGATTTCTATCGTCGAAAGAGTTGAAGGTATCTTCCGAGCGCCACGGGCGAGAACGTGGAGTGAGGTGTCGTGGTCGAATTCCCGGCGAGAGATCTTCCATCGATTCGGTATTCAAGTCTTGAAAGTTTTCTCGAAGAGGTCGCCAACGATATCAACCGGAGAGGGAAGAGGACGCGTTCAAGCGGAGGTGTGACGGACAATTCACAGAATCTGGATGGCAACAAGTTGAACGTGCTGTTCGGCGACAGACGGAGTGCTATGTCACATACCAAGAACCGGGGGTAATTGTTCACGATCTCCATTACACCCTACGACTTGAAAGCCCTTCCTTAATCCCAATCCGAGGCAATAGACAAACATTCCCTCCGAGATCAGGAACAGAGAACTGAACGAACGCGATCTGGATCCGTACGCATGAATTTCGCCGCTTCAGCTGGAAGAAAACACATACCCTAGCGTCCGTAGTTGTGAGCTCGTATAATGGAAGCAAACGCAGAATCTTCTGAGAGAGTGTACGTCGTGAGTCGTCCACAGAAGATCATGGTGTCTGTTCGACACGTTGGTAGGTTGTAAGTGCAACTCTTGAGCTTGAGCATGAGGCTCTATGGCCGACGGGGGTGGTGCTTCAAGCTTCAAGTCTGAACCAAGCAGATAACTCGCAAAATCCGTGTCCTCGAAACAACATCGACGCACCTCAAGGCCGTGTCCACTGGTTGGGCTCTTCAGCGCTCAGTCATCGCATACTCTCCGTCGACAGCAGGATGGCACAGGTCTTTAAGGTGCCTTTCAATCTCGTAGAGCGAATCAACTTCTGGAACCTTTGTTAGAATGGCCTCAGCCCCACTGTACTGAAATCGTAGAAGAACCCGCCGCAGCTGAGAACGAACAGGAAGACTTTCGAGCTCGTCAGTGTAGAGAGCGATCTAGCTTACCTTCCGAGTGAATTTTCACCCCCTCTGCATAAATGTGGGTGGAGGGAGACAATTCTCATCATAACAGATCGCCAGATTTATTCTGTAACGGTCGAGAGGAAGAGGATCATGCAGGGCGGTTGGAAGAAGGGAATGTCACGGTAGTCACGGCGACGTCACGCCTGTTCGTGATACAGGAAGGACGGCCCGGGACTTGACTGATTTCCCACCGCGCCGGAGCACTTCTCTCCTTCCTTGAAGTTCCTTCTACTTTGTTCCTCTTCCACACATCGGGTTCGACAGTGCCATCCAGCACTATAGAAGTTGTTTAAACATGTCCTCCGTGTGCTTTTGCCTCAACCACACAGCAACGCCGTGGATAACGGCGCCCATAGCCTTCCTCCATTCATTTTCGCCCACAGAACGAGGATAACGTACAATAGATGGATTCAGCGGTCCATTGTTTGGTCTGGGAATAAGTCACGAGTGCCTTCCATTTCGATCATAAGACGTACGCTGGGGGCCAACGTGGCGTTGTGCACTCTCTCTTCTCATCGTCTACCATGCCCAGCTCCGGCTCACAGCGCACTGTCGGGATAACACACTTCTACAACAGTAGAAACGTCGGTATCGAGGATTCCACATTCTGCGCCCGTGATGATGGTCAGTTTCAACTAGTCGCCAACTTGCTCCGTACTGTTGCTGACTATCGTTGTTCGTAGGGAGTCAAGAGCATCCTGGCGGCCGCATAAGCTTCGGCGACGCTACTCAAGGGATGGTGATCAAGGGATCGATGATCCACTTGACTGCAGGGAGCCCACCAGGCGGCTATAGCAGTACGTGCTTCTCAGCTCCTGTGGAAGGCGTAATGCCCTTCTAATCCACAGGTTGTGTAGGTCTACCTCCCCCACCACCACCGGGTTCGCTTCATGGGATGTATGGTGAGTAATCCCTTCATTGCATTACTCAGAATCGAGTTGAACGTCGTGAATACACTTAGGGTCTCCCTATGGACCCCCATATGGTGGCCCTTATCCTCCTTATCCGCCATACGGTACATATCCCCCTCCGCCGCCACCATCACTAAGGTTCTATCCGAACGGTGCGTTCCTTTTCGTTAGCAGTCAGAGTATTATCCTTCAATCGACGACATCGACCCAGGACTACCCATTGAATACTCGCCTACCAGTCCATGGCCAGGTAAGTTTCTGAAGTTCACCATGTAAGAGGTACGATTAAATTAAATGTTCCTCTGTAGGTTATGGACCACCTCCGGCTCCGTATGAGCCCCCACCTCCGCTCAACACAGAAATGAATCCGACACGCCCTTCCCGGCGTGGACATAGTAAGGCCCTACGAGTCTCTCGAGCTAATGGACCGCTAATAAAGTTCTCATGAACTTTTAGGTTCGATTCCAACGCCCTCCGAGACGATAAGGCACGAACGACGTCGAAAATCGCCTCGGGCTGCTCGAGAAGTCTCGCCGTCATCTCCGCCTCGCCCCGCCTCGATGTCGCGGACGACGCCCATTGATACTCGAGCTCCAGCGCCGAAAAATGCGGAACCGCTCATCCCAATGCGACCTATGTCCCCTCTATCCCCTCTCGAGTCCATGGACGAAGACGATCCCTCCGATTCGACGGAGAACCTTGGGTTGAACGCAGAGGTTGCAAGCGAATCTTCGAACATGAATTGGCCTAGGACGAGCTCATAGACTTTGACTTCGACGTTCTAGAGTCTTTCAGTCGAGGGAAGGAATCGAAGAAAAGGTCGAAGGAACGATTATGGGACGTCTCGACTGAGGAAACCGAAACGTGTAATTCCAGGCGTACGTGAGAGGACAGGAGGTTTGTTGTTCCAATTCAGAGCTATGGTCCCATTAGGATAATTTTCGTTGGTCCAACCATACGGTTGAGCAGGACGGATGTGTATTTCACTCCATGTACACACGACTACACGATTTTCCAGCTTCAACACTGCCCTAATCCCAAATCACGTACATACACTGCCTCGAGATTGCGACTATTTAGCCATTTTGAACAACCTTCGGGCGTCTTTTGGGCGTCTAGCCCATACTTGGCACAATGGCTGTGTGACGAGGAGTGCACGCTCCGTGCCCCTCGTGCGCCACAGGATTGGTATCAGACAGGTCGAATCTTTGGCTTCTTGAAAACTGTTGTCCGTTACGTGAACGACGACAAGGGCTCTTGCGGTTTTGACAAGTCTGTTCCTATCTCCCAAGATATGAGGTTGGATTATTGTTACTATTCGGGCCTGTTTCGAATCGCTGTGCCCGAACACCTTCGTGCCAGCTAAAACGCTAGCCGCCGCCGTTGAAGGTACAAGGTATCCACAACAGCACATATACGTGAGTAGCACCACTGCTTGTTCGATGACGTTGACTTTGGCGCTTGATGTTGTTCTTCTAAATTTTACTATTCAACAAAGGTTTGACAAGGTCTCCACCGATGAGGTGAAACATGCAGGCCTCGAGGCTCAGGCAATGAAGACGAGTGGTGGAGGGCTATATAAACTCCTGGTACTCGTCCAACTTCCGAACATCTCAAGACATACAATCCTCCGGAATACCTTATCAACACCTCAAGCCAACACCTCAATTCCCGCCAGAAATGTCACAAAGCCCCGCCAAGACCGACGTCGATTTCTACAAGAAAGCAGAGAGGCCAAAGCATGATAAAGGAAATGTCAGCGTCCAGATTCACCAGGCCCGTACGTTACTCGCCTATGACCTTCCATAAGGCAAAGTCTAACGGCGAGACGATCAGTCAACGCCTCCGTCACCTGGGGCCAAGAATCAAAGGACGTCGAAGTCACGGATTGTCCTATTAACGTCGCAATCGGGAATCCAAATGCTGCCGCTACTCCGGCTTCAGCTTTGAGTACGTTTTAGCTCTCCCTCACTAGTAAACCATTCCAATTGACTTCATTTATGAATGTAGGCTTTGCTGAGGGCACCCCTGTGGGCGAGACTTCTCAGGAAGGCACCGCGACCGCAGAGCTTGCGCAGAACACCGCACCTCCCGCTGTCGCTCCATCGGCCGTGCAAACCATGCGCGAGCGTTTAGCTGCCGCTGCCGCAAGCCGCATCGCAAGGAATACTCCTGCCCAGATTGTCACGCTCGCTGATATCACCCCTCGAGAGGAAGAGGCGGGCGCTCGAGGGTCTAGCGATACAGCTGGCAGAGTAGCATAGGTAGCCGAATAGGCGAACGTTCGCTGGATAGAACGAGCCTCGCGGGGTGACATATCATTCTGGCGAGAGCATGCGAGACGCTAGACTGACAGGGAATTTAGGTTACCTCCCGTTCGGTGGGCATCAACGTATCATATATATATATCCTAAATCATCTATTGAGTTTAATCATCCCGCCCTCAATCACTTCAGTATCAGGGAAACCAGGAATCAGGCTGGGCACCGGTCCTCCGATGCGTGGGAAAGGCACGGGCGCTAATTTAATACTTCATCCCTTTTGGGACGAAGACTTCGAAGGAAGAGACAGAACCGGTTCTTCGCTATTTCACTGGGCTGAACCCTTGTTTTAAAGTATTATTATCTTGAATTTTTGGAGACTCAACCAGAAGAAGAAGAGAGCTCGGTATAACATACCTCGAATTCGCGAAACCATGCTCAATCCTGGATCATATAAAGGCACCACTGCCGTAATGACCTTATCCTACACGGAGATTGTTCTCAGATAGTTGGCAGGTACAGCTTATATGATAGCCATCTGCTCCGAACGTATCGCCTCTGAGTCGACAGCTTCTGAGCGGTTCATCGATTGTGGCACTAGGCGACGAATACCTGGGGCAGCCGTCGGGGTCGTGTCGCCATTTAAACGCCCTCGCGAGCAAGCGCCGAGAAATTCCTCCTTCACCTCGACCATGACCTCGGACAACCGACCTAAAGACGAGATCGAGGTTCTCCATGAGGCGCAGAATGTGCTCCTCAAGGATAGTATCGTCGACGCGTCAGTTGTCGCACGCGGTACGTCCTCAAACATGCGATACAGCCAGTATCCAAGTCGTGATATAGCTCATAAATACAGGAGTCGAACAAGTCACCCGCTTCCCAGATGCGTCGAAGAAGGTCATAGCAAACTACACCGAGACCATCATCTCTGGTGAATCCAGAAAGAAGGGTGCGTTCATTGCGCTGAGCCCTCGCACTGCCACAGCGATTGAAGATATTTTTAGACTCGAGCGTAAAATTTCGATCCGAAGACAAGAGTCAGCGCTCCGAGATAAAGTTATACCAAGGCTCCAAGAACACAGCACAGAAGAATAGTGTAGTCACAGTCCGGGTTGTGAGTGATAAAGGTGCGTTCTGAACATTATTTAATTGTACGAACTCCGTGCTAAAATAGAACAAGATAATGGAAATATCAGTTGGTGTGAGAGCACGAAGAATGTAACAGTGGACGGCGGTAGTCAAACCTTCAGCGTTGGAGAGAAACGTAAGTTATATCTGACATTCCCGTAGTTCGTAAATGCTAAGCGTTTTTCCAGAGTAATTGACCGTTAGGAATCAGGCCTCTAACTTGGTTTGCGGTACCTACAGACTTCCAGAAGAGAACGTCAGGATCAGCGATCCTATTGTCTACGGAGCGTGACATAATCGTAGTAAAGCGAGCGAATTAAGTCTCCTAATTAGCGGACACAGGCCAAAGTTCTAATTCAACGGCCAATTATACGATAAGGCTGTCCAAACCTTGTACTTTGTCCTCATTGATGGAGACGGGGAGAAGGTCGTTTCCTAGTTGAAGAACAAAGAGACTATATCCATCAGTAATGGAGGGTTTATAAGTAAGAGGACGGTGCCACGCCTCATATTGTCACACAAATGTCAATGCCTCCCAACTCACGCCTGGAGTACGGGTACGAACTTCAGGACACGAACTTCCGAAATCATCCCCTCGACCTCGAGGGTACCCGTAAGTTGATGGGCATTTCCCCCATATTCAGGTGAACTGATACAGCCAAGGAGGTCTCGGTTTTTCATGGAGCTCAGAGAATAACCATTGAGGGAGGGAGCACGACGATCAGGGCTGGCCTTCAAATGCAACCGATTCCTCGTAAGTACTAAGTACTAAGTACTAAGTGCTTATACGATTGTAATGTCTTCGCCATAGACTGATGTACAAACCCATCTTACTCACAGACCCCGCCGCCTCTCCCTACGCCTACCCATATGTCAGTAGCAACCCTTATGGGCCGTCGTGGGGTCCTGCATCCGCACCCCTCGACACTCAGCTCCCTCAGCAATGGATGACTCCATTGCCCGCCGATCAGGTTCCCATTCAACATCAAACCCTCCAGTACTGCGCCGAGCAAGAGAATCCAGGAGGCCTATATGCAGGAATAGCTCATAAAGAGGGGACCTCTGGTATATCGTTCCCAGAAACCAACAACGCCCACCAGTTCAATCAAGGTGGTTATATGAAAAATCACACTGTAGAAGGACTAGAGGACGTCATCCCTCCGAACCGGCCGTCCTCGTCGCTGGCCCATCACCATCCCGCCACTACTCTCCATTCACAGTCCGAACCGCTGGGCCCCCAAGGTCAAACTCATCCCAATAGAAGCCACTCGGAGACCGAACCTCCCACTCTCCCTTCCCACATCGAGGGAGGCGAGAGTGATTCGAAAACGATTGGTCAGACGCCTGCGAAACCACAGAAAAAGCGAAGTAAGGTCAAAAAATGGATAAGATTGAAATGTCGGCTGATAATATCCGCGTTCAAACGGGGTGGCCATGGAAGGTCGTAGCAGTAAAACGTATCTTGAAGGATGCGATCATAATTAAAATACCTCAATCACGAGAAAAATAATCGGCTCAGAGACTGGGGTACTGGTCGGCCAACTCGCATGAACATTTTCCAATTGCAGATTCTGTGAATAATGTACTGCGTATGAATGAGAGAAAAGAGCTGGACCGCATCCCGGCCCGCTGGTTGTCCCGCAAACCTCGCGAATAAACCGTGCACAGCCACCCACTTTCAACCTGGTCTCCAACGTCCATCATCACAACGAAAACCCTTTGAACGCCATATTGCTCTGCATAAAACCCACGATCGTCTTCAGAAACACCCAGCACGTAAACACCCAGCACTCAAAGAAAGACTATGAGGGAGGAGAGAGGCAGGGTGAGTGCCCGACATTCTTGCTAACGGCGAGGTTCTGACCGCAGAGAACCTGCAGAGCTCGCGGCTGTCCGATGGAAATGTTAGTATAGTGGGATTCATGATGCTAAGGTGAGTTCTTTCTCGCAGAACGAACCTTGTTCTTGACAAATCTTTTCCGACTTTTTGTATCCTTCAAGGCGTGGCTTGGACGCCGGTGTCCATGACAAGCCTCTTATCCGTATTTGAACTTGAAGATCCTCAAAGAGTCGGCCTCGTCACCGGTGCATCACGGCAAGAAGTTCTGCTACGTTGTCGCCGCGGTCTTCCAACGACATCAAGACCGGTGTCCAAAGTTCGGAACATGGAGTGGGTTTCAACTTCGGTTTAAGTATGACGTGTGTATCTGAATCTGACTTCTCACATATCCCACTGTGACCCCTCCTTCGTGTCTCTAGGCTACCTGCGAGCGGCTTCTCTTCCATGCTCAACAGGACGAAGCAGACGATTCCCAATGTCTAAATTGTGAACACCAGAAGGACGAGTTTCGATCACCCCAGGGAGCACAATGTCCAATGTTCTCACCTCGGCTTGACGATAGGGATGAGGAGAGGCTGCAGGAGTAAGAGGCGCGAAACTGTTGTGACCTCAAGGTACGTGTCGTATTTCATACTCATTACATCAAGCACGGTCCGCTCAAATTCTCTCGCATTGGATTTAAGAGTTGGATTTTCCAAAATTTGGCACCCGTATCCGACCCTCGAACCCACCGAGACGGACCGTTCGTACGCGTTCATGAGTACCCCGTTCTCATATTACTTGCTTCTTTTGCAACACCTCACGACATCGGCTTCACACCTTTACGTTCCGGTTAGCCACTAAGTATCCGAGCGGTAGACTATTTTTCATTGCTCTATCCAGCACCTTCGCATTCCGCGCATCCTCCAGCAAGTAGTATTTACGCTCTGAAGGGCCTCGCTCCAGTCTAATATCCAATTTGTCAGCCCCTTTTTTTCCCTATCAACTAGTCTCGTAGTCACAACATCCGTGGCCCCGTATTTATAAGAAGCACGAAGACGCGTCATATCAGCGATTGAGGCGGTGCGTATGCCTTCTATTAAACCGTGTACATTCGATAACTATAAATCATATATCTTCACTTGCAGGCCACACGAGGGACAGTGCGACTGTTTAGGACAAAATATGCTTCGAGGTGCATGATTTGCTGGGTATAAGACACCCAGCGGAAAGCAAATCTAGACGTCGTCCCCAAGCGACTTCAATCTTCGTTCTCGTCCCCCTCCAACTCACTCGAGGACAATGTGTACCGAATCGCGTACCGGAGATTTCCTCCTTTGCTGCGTGTACATGTTAGTGTCCATCTGCTATCGGATATGTAGAAAATACTCACTGCGATGACCATCAGATGGATCTTTGTTGTCGTTCCTTTCTTGACGCCCCCAGTCGCCACTCTCGGCCTTTCGTACGTCACCGGCGTCCAATATTCAGCCTTAGGACCGTTATTCATACTTTCATAGTCTCGTAGGAACCGGCGTCCTCGCTGCCGCAGGCCTTCCTCATCTGAGCGCCGCCTCTATTGCGTTTTCCAGCATCCTCGGCGGCCTCCTATTCTCCTCTACCATCCTCATTCTGTACATCATTCTACTCGCACGCTACGTTCGCCTCATGCAACGAATCTCCCCCTCGGGTCCGCCGATCCCCATGATTGCGCTCAACATTCTCGTTATATCGACCCCCTCCATCTCCATCGGCGCGTCGTTCCTCCTCGGCCTCCAGAACACCGGACATTCCGTCGTGAAGGAGGAGCTGAGCGCACAGAGTGTGCTCATCGCACTCGAAGCTGCCCTCATTGGATGCGGTGTGTTCCTCTGCGCGGTGATCATCGCCCACCTCGTGTCCTGCCTTTTTATTCCCGTCCAGACGGTGCCGAGGTTCCTATTCGTCAACTTCATCGGCAGAAAGGAGCAGTGGAGGGTGTTTCTCCCGAGGCCTTTTGTGAGGCAGGAGGTTGCTGCCGTCCAACCAATGCTGGATGCCGCAATGACTGGTGCGAAGGAGAGGGCGGTCTCCGGAGGGAGTTACCAAGTCTCGTTGTCGAAGACGCTTGCCTCGTCCGCTGATACGGCTGTATGAAGCACGAATGACGAAGGAAGTATGCCATAGGTTGATAGTGAACTCGTTATAGCGGTTGAAAGCGGCGTGTATCCCAAACGTTAGAAAGTGTGCATGTATTCCTATCATTCCTCAGCTCCCGTATCTGAACGATTTACCGATGTCAATGGGTATTAACAACAGTAATAAATACGCCTACTGGTGTCTTATCTTTCAATTGCATCGTCGAATTTGCTTTTCCATATCAGAGGGCGCTGTGCGATCTCCTAATGCTATACCGGGTGCCAGTGGCGCATTTTGCCTGATTGAGAAGTCGAAGCACAAAGTCACGTATCATAGTCAATTCTTCAAGTCATTATAGAACATCCCGACCTTACTCTAACATCATTATTATCGATCACTCGTGGTCCACACCACTGGAACGACTTCTCTCCCGTCTGACAGTTCACAACTCGATCGTAGCACTCGTACCGCTCGTACGAAATCACCCTCGTCTTCGACCAGCTGTGAGCGATATTCACCACCTCCAACTTCTCGCATTGGCTGAAGAGGCGATGGATAGTGCGTGGGCGATCCTTCGGAGGGATCGGGAGGCGGTAGGAGCTCCACTTGAAGGATAGCACGAGCTCCCGAAGGTTGGGTATCTGGGGCAGAACGTCCAATTCCTGATGAAGAGCGGAAATAAATAAGATCAGCGTTCAGGTCAGGCGCAGAAGGAGAAGGAGAGATAGGAACGCACCCCATCAACCAGCCCGACGAGTTCCAATACCTCCACACTTCTCAACCACGGTGCCACAACACTCATATGTGGGCGCGTGTAGAACCCGCCGAACGAGAACATCCGTACTTGGCCAAGAGCCTCCCCTACACGGACCTCTAGGGTACTCCGGCGTCGTTCGTCGTCGCATTTCGGGACCCATGCGAGCATTACTACCTTCCTCCCAGGGAGAAATGACTCTATTCCTGCGCGACTCGAGACGAATTCGTACAGCTCCGGACACGCTTCAGGATGAACATCTATCTCCGAGTCCGTCCACTCTACATGCAGGATTCTCAAATTCGCGTAGTTGGGGCGTTCGAGGATCCGAGAAAGTGCGCGCTCGTCGGAATGGTTGAGCCACTGCAGCTCGTGCAACTTGAACGTACAGCCTTCGAGGGCCTCCGCGGCCGGATGGCCCCCGAAACACATTAACGCCAACGATTTCAGCCCCGTCATACGGCGCAGGCCCTGAACGAGGAGCGGCCAGAGCGGACGCTCGTGGTACTGCACGATCCCGTATGAGTGGTACACCCGGACCAACACGCAAGGCGCTCGTTCCTCGGATTGGTGATGGTAGTAAGGAAGCGGATGTGCAAGGTAACGTTGGTATCGTGCTTTCTCGGGTCGCCTGTTGGGGTGGACGAAGTGGGAGAGTGGTATAAGAAGGGTTCGGCTTCGTGGCGGAGGAAGTGCGAGGAGAGACAGAGAGCGAGGAGGGTGGGGACGTCCGAGATGTGGGCGATGATAGGCTCGAAGAGTTCTGGTGGGAGGCGAGGGACGACTAGGCGGGTGATAGACCTCTTTCTATCTCTCGTCTGTGTATTTGGGTCGCCGTGCAGCGTGGTCGTCGTCGTACTTGAGCCATTCATTTCGAGTTAATTTGGACCGAATGAATCGACGGCACTTGAGTTCAAGGTGCTTAGCTCGTTTGGTTGCCATTCAAGAGACAAATTTCACTCACCCTCTCTTCGACGTTCGTACGTCGGTTCTCTTCAAACCCAACAGTGGCTCCAAGGGTACTCGGGGTGTGAGTGAAGAAAGAAAGGCGCCGAACCCACGCGGCGCGCTCGTGCAGCCTACTTAAAAACGAGGCGACAAGACGTCAGTCTCACTCCCAAACAGGGAATACCTCCGTATTGAAGGTAAAATACACACATAGAAGCTCGTCGGTAGCTTCGAACGACATAGGGCTATTCTTCGAAGACTATCCTGAGAAACGTCGGAGAGAATAAGCTTCGCGTTGAATAGGGAGGGGTAGAGTCTGCTATTCTTGTTGACAATCTCCGCGGACTGGGTGTCGCGAGGGAGCAAGTACGTGGGTTCACAGTTTCGTCAGTATTCGAATAGGGTTGTGAAATTTGTCTCGAGAGCCGTGCTGTTCTGATTATTGGCAGCGTGTAAGACGGTGGGTCCCTTCTCTCGGACCGACACATCGAAAGGTCATTGCGATAAGATAAGATGGAATTTATCAAGCTGAAAGGAGGCGTTACAACAATTATGATACACGAAATGCACCTACGCACGTACTAGGATCCAATCACACACCCTCAGTCAACCTGACCAACCCAATCCACGCACACACCGTCGGCGCATCCGGCCTCTCCGCCGGGTCGTGCGTCCAACAACTCGTCATGACGTCCCACAACCTGTCCGAGATACCTCCATCCTCATCCCCACCGAAAGAAGGCCGCGCTGGCCTCCCACCTCTCGTCATATCCAAGAGAACCGCGATGGCGTGCCGGCGCTCGGAGAAGGGGTCTTGGCCTGTTATGAGCTGGTATCGAAGAGGAAGTGGTTAGTTAGGTTATGAAGGAAAGGAATACAAGGGGAGGAAAACCCACCTCGAGCAACGTCATCCCAAAGCTATAAACATCGCTCGCGGGTTTGATGGGGTACACGTCTTCTTCCTCTTTCTCCCCAGTCCCATCCTCGCCTTCATCTCCGACCCCATCGCATTTGACAACGCCCTCAACACCAACATAATTCCTACTCCCATCCCGCACCACCAGCTCCGGCGCCATCCACCGGACGTCGCCCAGCGCCTGACGAGCGTTCATCATCGTCAGATCTGTCGGGTAGGGCAGGTTGCACATGCCGAGATCGGTGAGGAGGGGTGAGAAGGTGCTTGAGATCAGGATGTTTGACTAGGATAAGCGTAAGTGCTGGACGAGAACGCGGCTGAGGAAGGGAAACGTACGCCTCGAATGGAGCCATGCGCTACTGGAGGGGTTCTGGTATGAAGATATCGAAGGGCGTCGGCAATAGCGGTCATCTTCGCGCGTGTCAGCCCATCATCGAAATCGAAACGAGACGAACTGATGATAAGACTTACGATTCTCAACGCCTCGCCGATCCTCTCCCCCGTGCCCAACTTCCGCCTGTCCAAATAATCGCGTGCGTTCCCATTCTCATACTTCTCCATGATGAGCGCGGGGACGGGCCCGAGATGGGTACAGGGTACCAGACCGAGGAACGGGGCGATGTTGGGGTGGAGTTGGGCTGCTAGGTGCCACGTCTCGAGTTCTCGATGCAACCTCTAAGAACAATGGATTAGATATATGGAATAAATAGAGGGTAAGGGGCATGTACCTTCGTAAAGCGCCTCTGCGTTGACGAGCAGGCCGTCATGCCGCGCCAGGACTTGACGACGACGCGGCGTCCGCCCACGCGCCCGTTGTAGACGTCTTTCTGCGATGTTAGGTAGAAGGGTAGAGGGTCGAGGACCAGAGACGAGTTGTCGAGGAGATCGATGTGGTCCGAGCAGCCGTTGGGTGGCGTCGTATTAAGTTCGGTTCTTTAGACGAGAAAAATGAGAAAATCCTTCCAATCGAGAAATAACGAAGGGGCACTCACATCTGTGTGTTCATAGCGCACGACATTGCGGATCCATACCAACCCAGCACCGACTCTTATATATATCTACGCCGACAAACGCCGACTCGCCCCGAGTCAGCCTATTATAGTATGAGGTTAGTATGTGGACAATGGATAGCCGTCCAAGAATATCCACTCACAGCTATCAAGGGCGGAACCACAGCACCGAATGCGCAGAAAAGGATATGCAAGCACTGAGCGGGAGTGGCGCCCGCGTATAGCGCGTATACAGCGGAAAGACTGCGTGACTGCGGCGATGGCAGCTACATACATACCACACGGTACGGGCAGCACAGCATGGATGTATGCGCGGACAACGGCGCGCTGACTCGTCTCTCGTGTTGGGTAGACGTGAAGAGTTTCGACGCTGTGCTGGCCGCTCGGGCTAGCTCAGTGTTTGAGGAGGATCATGGACATTCGTTGTCATAGAAGGGAGGCGCGGGATGTAGGCTCTTCATACTGCTGTTGTGGGGGCGTTGCACGGATGCCAGGGGAAGCGGGTAGGAAAGAGATGCTGAGCGAAAGGGTGTAGCGTGTAAGGTTCGCATGTTAACTCAGTTGTGAACGACGGACGCACCTTGGAACAGAGCCTCGCAGCCGACGCTAGGTCCTCCATAGCCGTTTTTCATCGCTGTCATCAGCTGGGATGTGTTGTGTTTTGACCTTGAACGAGATCATGACTTTCGCGTCGGAGAAGTACCAGGAAAGCGAGAAGGATTTGCAAGAGGGGGCCGCTGCCTAGATCGGTGCGGGTGGTTGGATGAATAATTTGGGTGAGGACGAGGGCGCGTCCATTAGGGAAAAAAAAACAAGCCAGGGTTAGGGTCAGAGGCTCGATAAGATAAGATAAGATAAGCCTGTTCCTCGCCCGTCGTCAGCAAGGGAGAGAAAGAACTTAGAACTTAGAACACAACTCCACAACGCCGCACAATCAACGAACGACAAGAGTCCTGACGTCCAGCAGGCTGCCGATAACCTCCCCCTTTCCTCGCGATTGTCGCTCCAATTGACAAATCACCGCTGCCTTATCCCTATCTAACCTTTTTCAAGGAGGGTTCTTGATGGTAAGCGAGCGTTTCTTAGAACCCTGATCACTTCACTGAGGATAAAACTATTGAGAAACCCCATTTTTCGGAGAAACCCCATCGCTTATTTGGAAACCCAATTCGCGCTGATAAGGTTTCAATCTCCGCTGTAATTGCTCTCTCGGAGGACTTAGGTCATGTCGAAGAAATAGGCCAGCATGCAGAGGTGTAATGGTCTGAAATTTTAGATAGTTATGTAAGTCTATCTCTGGTACTTGATAAATGGTGAGTCTCGGAGGAAAAAACAGCTGAAAAGTCAAGATACTGGCGGCGGCGATGCATGCTCTCGAAAACTGGGCCAGTGGGCCATTGTTGGCGGTCGCAGTGAGGGAACAACGAAAATTTGAAGAGGCGCAGTTCTGACCTAGGCCCTTGGCCAAAATGTGCAACTAAGGCTGGTGAGTGCAGCCAGTTTAACCAAATTGTCATACTTTAGGAGATCAGGATTCAGAGGGCAAGGTCTACAGCAATTTATGATTACAACGGTTAAAGAAAAATGACAAGGAGTTGATTCAGAAGGAAAATCTAATTAACCAAAATACTACAAGCTTTAGGATATCTCCAACCCATGCTTGAGGGCAGTGAGAGGGCAGCGAAGGTCGACTTCCGTGAGCCTCGACTTAAGATATTCAACTCCGCCCGTCGGCAGAGTTCGGCGGCTTAGAAGTCACTTCATCACTTTCACATGGGTTTCCGCAGAAACCCGGGGTTTGTCCCAAAAATGGGGTTTCTCAATAGTTTTATCCATTCACTGATCTTCACCCTTTCGTTGTACGACGTTGAATAGCGCTGAATAGACTTGAGACGGAACATAGGGGGCGGCGTATGGTTGGCGGAAGCAACAGACCCGTCGTTCAGCAAATGGAGTAATCAAGCAGCGCATGGGTGCAATACGCCGAAGCGGCTGGACATCTCTCCGATTCTCTCGCCTCGCCGTCGATTGGCGAATAGCCTCCATCCGGGTCCGCAATAGAGTCAGCTGTCGGTCGCGAGGTTCTCTCAAACGTGCGTATCCCCTTGCATTTACTCGTCCTGTTCTAACAGGTTTATGTTTTCACCTCCAGCTGAATACATACGCCTCAACCCTTCGCTGATATCAGATAGAGTGAGATGCGCACGATCGTAACGATCGCAATGCTCACTTCCTCTGGAGAACTCAACATCAGGGATGCGCGTACTTCTTCATGGAATCCCAATTCCAAATTCTCATATGCCCGAAATCGTGAGGGGGCGATCAAAAAGCGTATTAAATATAGGGCGATGGTTGTCGTCAGCATGCGCGACGCGCGTTGTATTTGAAGAGCCCCTCGGTGGCGCCACTACATGAGTTCGCCCCTTCGCTGTTCCCTTATCCCTCCTCCTCTCCCTCTATACCCGCTTCCCCTGCAACATTTCTGAAGGCGCGACGACGATGGCTGAGCCCCAATTGACGGCTGAAGAGCTCGCGAAGCGGCTCCGGGATTTGACGATCATCAAAGTGAGTCCTCCTTCGACTTCTGAAGTGCTCCGAGTTGAACGGGTTTTCATTCTTTACCGTGGCGATAGAGCGTAGACCGTACGTTTTCTCCTCCTCCTCCTCCTCCTCCTCCTACTCATATTCCCATTCACCCCTCTCACCCACTCGCCCTCGCCCTCGCTCTCGCTCTTTCTCTCTTCCGTGTTTCACCACCCTCCGTCCGAATCACTCATAATAATCACCACTCTAAACCCCGAACCACCCAATCAGTCTCAGCGACGGTCATCTTCCTATGGGACTACCTCCTAACACTAGGGCTGGAAGTCGAGCACATCTGGGCGGGCCGATGGACAGTCGTCAAAGCCATCTTCCTCATCCAGCGATACATCCCGTTCTTCGACATCATGTGGTTCGGGATGCACGGTGCGTTTACGCTCTTTCGGATGCCTCGTTCTGCTCCGGGGAAGGGGAGAGCCTGACGATATTGATATTCGATATGGGTCGTTTCGTTTTGTGGGACACGATAGTGAGCTTCGGGAGCAACATGAGCGAAAAGACGTGTTATCGGCTGAACGACGTCGGGAAGCCGTTAGCGCTCATAGGTCTGCTCGCATCAGAGAGTGCGCCTATTCCTCCCTCTCGCTCCTCCTTCCTCCGTTCCTGTCTAACCCGTCATCACCCTCCCACTCTGTCTACACGTACCAGTCGTCCTCTGCTTCCGCGTCTGGGCCGTCTGGAACCGGAACAAAATAATGACCGTCCTCCTTCCCATCCTCTTCGCGAGCTGCTGGGTCCCCCCAATCGTGTTCCTCGTCATGTTCATGAAATCCGTCGTTTGTGAGTCCGAACCGTTCGCCTACCGCTCTCATGCGCTCGTCTTCTCCCGTCGACTTCCTCCCATCGGCTTCTCCCTCACATTCGAAAATAACAAACTCATTTCTCACCCATTCACAGTCACCGAAATCGCCCCGCCCTTCCTCGGCTGCGTCGTCGTCTCCGCAGACCAAATAATCGCACTAAGCTGGATATTCTTGGTCATCTGGGATGCGCGTAAGTGGTTGTGGCTCGACACATTCTCCCCGCCTCTCAAACTTACCGACTCCCTGTCGTCAGTGATCCTCATGCTGATGCTGGTCCCCGCACTCAAAGCTCGTATGTACCCCACTCTCCCTTCCCCATTCTGAATGATTGACGATTCCTCCCTGTAGTCCAGTACAGCGGCCATACCGCGCTGTTTAGGACGGTCTATGGCGAAGGTATTACGTCACGATTATCTCGTGTCTCCTAAATTCGTTTATTGATGTCGTTGTCTAGGGATTATCTACTATTTCTACCTCTTCGGTGTGTTCAAGCAAGAAAGTAGTACCACTCATTCTAATTTAGAGGTCTGAATCCCCGCTGCAGTCATCTCACTCGTCAACTTGCTCTTAAACCGAAATACATCGGTTTGTCTTTCCTTCTCACAAAGAATCTTGTTCAAATGCTAAACGCCGATCTTGCAGATCGATGTACCCTATCGGTTCCTTGCCGTAGCGTACGTCCTCCTACGTCCTCCCTCCTCCTCACCCCTCCTCGTCTTCTCCCCTCCGGTCCTCTCTCCCCAACTAACACCCCTCTTCCCTTTCACAGCATGCTCCGCTCCCTCCACGCCGTCCTCACATCCCGCGCGCTCCTGCACATCCGGGCCCAGATCAAGCGCGGGCAGCTGCACGGGCTCGGCAGCCTCCAGATCAGCGCAGCGCAGAGCACAGACTTACGGGAATATCAGGTTCGAGAGGGGCTCGAATAGGAAGCCGATGAGGATTGAGATTGCGCATCCGGGGGCTGGGGCGGAGTCGACGGGGGTGCCATAGGGCTGGCTATGGAGTTACCATAAGGCCTGTGGATAGTGCTGTGAGCGGCTTGGGAGTGTACGTACGATATTAAGGCCGCTGTGAGCGGCGTTAGGCCAGATATTGGGTATCATAGATCGCGTAACTGTATTATAGGTTTCATTTTACTCGCTCAGATGTACGCATGACCGTTACCTTCCTTTCTTTCCCGTTCATCGTGTGCAATGGCGCGCCTCCCTAGCCAAATGCCGGCTCGGGGTCACGGATAAAACTGTAGCTGGACGCGTACGTTGATTTTTCTCGTGAACACCGAGGTCCATCCCGTGAAAGCTACAATATTAGATAGGTTATCTAACTACTCCTGCCTGTATAGTTTCGTATTCGTCCTCCTCGGGTGGAAGCCGTGTGTTTTTGTTCTTAAGCAGATCATCGTCGCTTTGTGTTTCGGTGTCCTCAGCATGTTCGTTGGGCGCTTGGATGCCAGTTATCGCTGACGACGGTGGTAGAAATTGGTCTATCCGTTTGGCGTCAGCCACAACTGGATTGCCTGGCGAAGAAATGTCACACCTTCTCGGGCATATGGTAGCCACAACTCTAGTACATCGTGGACTGCTTCTCTGTCTAATGCCCAAACGATTCCAATGACGCGAAGGACCTCTTCCACCCACTCTGATTTGTCCGGGGCGAGTAACATCTGGTAAACCGTGTTTAAAGCGGCAGCAAGTCTAGAGAACCCTGGTTGCACTGGCCGACGCACTGGTCCAAGCGCTTCCTCGGCGACCCCAGCGCCGCAAATGAGGACGAAAGCTGTGAGGAAAGCATGGACGCTAAGATACTTGATTCTGAATTGACGCGGATGGTACTTATTGAAGGCCGCGCTTTCTGTCTCCCAGTGTGATTCGAGATTAGTAGTGACCTTGACTAGAACGTCTGGGGCGATATCATGAAACGGAAGATACCGGTGACCGATGCTATAGATAAGTTGGGTGGGTCCAGGGGCGAGTAGCCTATGGACTACCCAGTCCGTTCGGTCGTCGAGGAGGCCAAGAAAGATGGACTCCAGATATTCGTTCAAAAGCAAGTGCATGCCTGTGTTGAATTATGCCTCTTCGTTCACAGATAAACCCTCGAAAGAGTAAAAGACGTACCTCGATATTTTGCTACCGTGAGGGGATAATAACCGAAAATTATGCCAAGGTGCCATAGGCACTTCACGCGTTTCTGGATCTCATCGGTGCTCGTGCGTATGGTCGGCGCGTCGCCGCAAAGAGCATGGCAAGTGCGAAAGAGGAGTTCTATCTCTGTATGTGGGAGGAGGCGTGGCGGCAACATGGTCCTCACAAACAGGAGAACCACTTCATCGTAGTCTCCGTGAAGTGCCTTAGATCGTGGGAGAAGTTGGATTTTGGTATGGATGATGGGGTCCGCCAACAGCATTTTGCCAATGGCCCGATAGTAGCGATCTCCATAATGAAGAAAGGAGCGGTCAGAAGACGGATTTCCCGGGACCATATTGGCCGTGGTGATACAGTCTACGAAACATTGGTAAGCGGATTCGAGGATAATTCGACTGTGCTTGTAGCGCTTGCACACTTGATGAATACCCATAAGATTATCGTAGCAAGGGCCGTATCCGAGTTCCTTGATCAATCCTGCGTCGTTTGGAACGTCTTCGCTTCCCGTGAACACCTGGAAGGCATAATTTCGCCGGATAGATATCCATTCGAGATCGAGTTCCATCCACGATCGAGCATGGAGAGGCTTGAGATTTTCGTAGTGAGGTTGGAAAGGCGGGTCATCTCGAGGAATACCTGCTGTCGAACGACCTTTTGTTAAAGGAAATAGCCCCCCAGAGATTTTGATAGTTGCCTCGAGAACCACCTTAGAGGACGCGAAGAGCTCAATAACTGCATATTTGACCCACTGGATGTGACGCGAGCAAAGAGAAACGAATTTCGAGTGGCGCACGGAGGCCAAGATAATGAGCCGAAATCTTTTCAGTGATTTGACAAGAAGAGAATAAGCAGGGAGGAAGATATACCAAGCAAGCAGGGTGCCAACTCTCGACGTTAGCCCAACGCCAAATAACCTTGACTGGGGGGACTTGTAAGGGCATGGAACTGGAATGTTGATGTTTCCTTGTGTCCGCTTTGACATGACGGTGAAAATCTGAAGCGCCGGTATCACAGTAGTCAGTAATAGGAATGAGAGTGATAGCGAGATCGCGATGATAATCGGAATGGTGACCCGTTGAACTTGGAGCGAATGGAGGAATTCTGCGAGGCCAAGAAAGAAGAGGATGAGCGCGAGTTGGAGGAGGACCGGAAGGGAGGCGAAGAACACGTGGACTTTCCACTTCTTCACCATCTCCATCCGCATGTTGAGCAAACCGAATCGCTCTTCCGAAGAGAAGTGTTCTGGATACCGTTGGTGCTCGCGCAGCCATTGGGAAGAGACGATCCCGATAAGCACGGTCGTGAGGCTGGTTATTAGACTGAGGATCCACAGGACGTTCACTCGCACAGTAGATGGCGCAAGGGAAAAGGCGAAATTATCGAAATCTAGAGACGCATCCGCAGTACCGGCCACCATAGTATTCGTGAGGCCATCCAAGCGCGTGGCGATGCGTGCGAGGAGGACGACAGCAGCATCGTTAGGGTCAGGCTTCAAGTCTTTGTACGATTCGACGATAAACGCCGTAACGACGGCCGAGAAGAGTGATGCCTGGTATACAGATGAGAGTTTCAACCAAGATAACATCTTTAGCACGTACGAAGATCAACACATTTTGCACCTCATCCTTCCATACTTCACACTGGGCATTATCGTTTGCTTGAAGTGGCTTCAGAAGATCCTCCCAGGAGTCATGACCGTCTTTCCTCTGGACCCCGTACTTGTATTCCGTGTCGGACCTGAACGTGGCTGGCTGAATCGTTGGTGAGTGGGCGCTCTTTCGGAGCTTGCAGGCATACCGTTCTTTTGGCAGTTTCCGCGTCCATCGAAGGAATTCTCTATCGTGCGATCGAACTTGTATGCTCAAGAGAGGGTAGTGATGAGAGTGGTACTGAAGAAAGGGGAGCCGCCCATCTTGCAGCGCCGAATAGTCCACGTCAGGGTCCATCAAGTTTTCAATGGCACTTACGGCATCACATCGCCTCATGGTGTTTATCGGCTTCTTCGACTTATGCACTTAAATTCGTATGCCCTTTGCTTATTCCTCTCCTTTTCCTCATGGGTTATTTCTTCTTGGCGACTCGGATGCGCCCCCACCTCCACTAGAGTGAGTTGTCGAAGCCGCAAGAACGACGGCAGGTTCGGAATATTTCATGGACAAAATGCGGGGCGTCAGGTGGAACACGCACCGTATTCGAACGAGACGTACCTGGAGAAAGGAGAGCGGGATGACACGAGGAGGGGGGTAACATAGCCTGCGGTCGGGGTCTACGTATTGAGAAGTTGCACGGCGCTTGTCTAGTCCAACATCAGACGTTCGACTTGAGACACTTGGTACGCCGTCACCGGTCGAGCATCGCTCAAACCGTACGGTTATTAAGACTACGGAAGACGCACACGTGGCGGGACTCGATACCAGTACCCGAGTCGAACAACACAAGGGATGGAGCACACGTACTCGGAATTCTGGAAAGCGAATGTGAGAGGAGTGATGGGACGAGAGATTAGTGTCCTGGGAGCACATAGAATATCCTGGAGAAAATAGAGACGATGGGAGATGAACGGCATATGCGCATGACACCAGCGAATTAGGGACGCACCTCAAAGCGCTGCAGCTAACCGACATGGCAGATCCAAACCAACCATACACCCACTCCGGTGCGAGCATAAGGTGGAACGAAGCGAAGGGGCCGCGGGCCTTTATCCACGGGGTCCGAAATCCTAATGAAGATGATGAGTACAGCGGGACTTGAGAGAGAAAGAATAAATGCCGAGTCGCACGTATTTCAACTCCAATCCTAAAGAAGCAACTCCCAGCCATGTCCTGCTCGAGCCCTGTCACTATGATAATACGGACAGCGCTATGCTCTCCTGCTCGAGTTGACCGAGAGCAGGGACGGCAATCTTTACAGGAGAGACAGAAGGCAAGAGGAGCCGCAGGGCTAGGTCACAGCACGCTCGTCCAACCATACAGGGTTCGACTCGGATAAACTGGATCGTCAGTAGCCAAGTGTCGCTTGAAACGCATCATTATTACGAGTGTGTCCGAAGCGCAGACGGCAAAGGATACACGTACCGAAAGAGAAGAGCTGGCAAGAGGACGACACGGAGAACGCAAGGAAAATGGGATGATGGGAGACCTAGGCTAACGTTGGTTGAAGTAATACAACAGCTATCGCGAAAAGAATGAACGAATGAGAAAAATGGTCGTAAGAACCACGGACGGGGGCACCGTACCTTGGAACATACACCAATTCTCGGAGAGCAGAAAGAATCGTAATCGATTGCGACAAGAGAACCTAAGGAGAGAAGACGTCGGAACGCAGCACAAAAGCGGGCCCACGTTGGCTCAGGCTGCTCTTTGACCCCACAGTGGCCAAAGGACGACGTAAATCCATTCCAGAGATGCAAGATGGGATTAATTATTAGAGGAACGGGGACGTGCGTCTTGTGACGAATCTGCTAGAGAAGATGCGACACCCTGAACGAGTCGGAAGTCGTCAGCAATGCGGCCCGCAGGTCCAAAGGACGGAAAATAGAGTTTTGGGGCTATTAATAAGTATGGGTGAAGATATCGCATGAGGCGGCTCGTATAACGCCGAATCCAACAGGCGAAAACACAGAGCAAAGACGAAACTGACCAAACGAGTCCATACTGATCGCGTGCGCCTACGGGAAGATGCAGCGCTGTATGGACACGGATGTGGTGGAGATCCGCCTGCTCTGTGTCCTGCATGAGTGGTGGCTTTCGGCGATGTACGAGGTCGGGAGTGGGAATACGTCGCCTCAGACCTGGCATCAGAAGTTGAAGACTCAACGCCACCATGAGTGTGCCAGGAACAGGGAGAAATACAGAGGGCTAGTAGAGTTCTTATAGAACGGGTAAATAAGACGGCAATGAGAGAAGATGTGCGCGACGCACCACTGCACATTAACTCCTTTCAATCCTACCATTCCGACCGCGATGAAGCTTGTAGGGTGTGAGGCGGCCGATGCATGGAAATCTCGACGCGTTTGTGCTTGCTGTTGATAAGACAGAGGATGATCTGAGCTCGAGAGATGATGGGAAGAGAGAAGAATGTTCAAGGGGAAAGATTCGACGTTGACGTTGAGGATTGACGCTGTTAAGAAGTGAAGCCGTGAAAGCTTCTGTCGATAAGATAAGATCGTATGCCGATCATGAATCTGATTGCGCTCAACTTCCATCTTTGAGATCCAAAGACTAGAACCAGAACTATCGGAAGACCAAAGGAGAGGAAAGGGCCATTTTCCACCTTGAAGACCCTTTCGCGACTCGCTCTATCACGAAATATGTGATGGAAGTACACGAAGAGGAGGAATGCAGAGCGACGCTTCTCCTTTCCGTGGTCATGCGGCGTTGAGCTGGGGCGTAGACAAAGGAGAAAAAGAGAGAACGTGATTGAATCGACCAGGAAGAGAAAAGGAAATGAAGGGAGGGATGGCCAATGACCATGACAAGTTGAGAACAATGTGTAAGACGCCCCAAGTGCACATGACAATGCTTCAAGAACGAAGAGCGAGAAACGGTTCATGGACTACCGTTCGGGCTTCCTATCCCCACCTTAGCGGCGAGGAGAGGAAAGCGCGTGCGGAAGATGTAGCCTACTCCCACTCTTCGTCCTCTGTCAGCGGTTAATGGGAGTCGGGGAAGAGGACGGCGAAACAAAGTTGAGAATGAATGAATGAGCGAACGAGAGATAGCACACCACGTCCACTCGGGTAGTATGCCCGAAATTATCCACCTAGAGCTGAGATAGTAAGTAGAGTAGTTTGTCACGACACGCCACCTGCCGGGGTACAATGCACACGTCGACGTCGCAAACAGTAAGAAGCCACTCTGCGATCCACACCTTCTTTTCCATGCGAGAAAATTTAAAGGGTGGTCGCTGGATAGTCGGAGGTGTGGAAGAGCAGGCAGGCCTTGACTTGTGCGGCGTACATGCAGAGCCACCGCCCGCCAGACCCGGCTAACCTCGCTCCAAGCGGAGTTTTAGCATCTTCCTCGATGCGTGACGTGTATCTTGCTCATGGGCGCTCTACCACGCACCCATACCCACGACTCCCGTCCCAGAAAATGAAAAATGACAGTAAGAGTCGGTTCCCATGATGTTATTTAAGCCAGATCACCCACCCACCGACGACCATCCATCCAGTGCCAACGCTTAAGCTGCCGTTCTGCGTGATATCGATTGAGGGTGCCCTCGACGGTCGTGGCGCGTACACGTTCGTGCTGGTTGCTTATGAGGTTATTGACACCTTGAACTCGTAGCAGCCTAGGGATGCCGCCTCACTTTGAGATGTCGAGCAGCACTCACCTCTTGTCTTTAGACTGAACCTCGTACCTCCGCCGCCCATGGTACACAAGGACGACGCCCTACACACGTTCGACGACTCGCTGTCCATCCACATGGCAGATGGATGGCTGGTCCCGGGTCCCGGGGGTGGTACGTATCGTGCTTCGTCTCTTCGCCGCGTTGTACTGATGCTCGATGCTTGAAGGCGACGGGGAGGGAGGGAGCTGAGACGACGACATGTACAGTGCCTACCCGCATCGCCCGACGACGGAGCTCGGGAGGGAGGGGCTATGGAAAGGCCGCGGGTAAGTTATTACGATACAACGGACCGGGGTCTCGAACTCAGTACTCAAGTACTCACCTTCCACGCGATCGCCAATGTCCCAGAGTACCACCACCCACCCACCACGTTAATTTTAATCCCATCCGCGAACGGGGTGCAAGCTACTTCTCCGATGGCTGTTGAGAACGGGGGTGGAGGCTGAGGGATAGGGCGGACGGCGGACGGACGGACGGGCCGAGCGTGGAGGGGGTGCATGTGTTGGGAGGCAAGGCGATAGGACAGTGCATCAGAGGGGCAGATTCGGGCGGGAGATGGATGCGGCGAGAAAGAGGAAGAAATGTGAGACGGACGGTTAGGGTCGGAAAGATAATGCTTATGGAGGTCGATCCACAGAAATACCATACACCATCCCTACAACGAACCTCTCGCGACAATAGCGACAGACAATCGGGGAAATCTGTGGCGCACGGTGACGAAGGGTGCGGGCACGAGCATCCAAGCTCCGATATATGGCCGTAGAGGTTCTCGTAGGGGAGAGTAATGGAATGGGAGAGTCGTGTATATGGCGGGCGAGGAGATGGCTGGAGTGGTGGTACCAGTAACTGCCAGTAACTGCCAGGAACGAACCAGAGTGTCTGAGTGAGGAAGGAGGCTGGGCGAGTTCGGTGGCGATAGTGACAAGTCTGACGGGGCAGATGGTCCGCAGATAATACTAGAAATGCAAGTGCACGTCGTCACGTACCTCCGTGCAGATTACACCGAGAGGGTCAACCCCTCCAAATCCTACCCATTCCGACTTCGACAACGTCCGTATAGGGGCTTCACGTCACTTCTAGAGCGTTTGTGCTTGGTGTTGACAAGGTGCAGGACCATCTGTGAGCCGGAGAGATAATAGGAAGGAGTAAGAAGTTGGTAAGAAGTGTCAAGGGGAAAGTATCGACCTTGATGCATATGATTGGCGCTGTTAGGAAGTGAAGGTCTTCTCTGGATAAGACAAGATCCACTCTAGAATGAGTATCAAAGAAGGCCGGGCAAAGAGGAATACAGGACGTGTTGCAACGTCTGGATATAAGATGTTATCCACGAACTACCGCGTACGCAGGAGAGAGGAGAGGCAAAAAAGTTAGGGTGCATACCCACTCGAAAAGCTCGCTCTATCACGAAATTGCGATAGAACTGCACGAAGGCTCCTCTCCGTATTCTCGCGGTGTCGGGTGGAGGCGGGGACAACCACGTCGAGTAGAAAAAAAGAAAACGTGGGTGAATCAATCAGGAAGAGAAAAGGGGATCAGATGATTGAAGGAAGGAAGGAAGGAAGGAAGGAAGGAAGGAAGGAAGGAATGGAAAATGAACAAAATGAGTCAAGAACAAAGTCTAAGACGCCCAACTGAGCGCACACGACATCGCTTCAAGAACGAAGAGAGGGAGTGCTGCGTGGAATATCAGCCAATCAGGCCCTCTCTATCGACCTTATCGTCGAGGTGACGAAGCCATGGGCGGAAGATGACGCTTGCTCCCACCCTTCGTCTCTCGTCAGCGGTGGGCGAGAGTCGGGGAAGAAACAGCAGTAATGAACAAAAGACTAAGTAAACGAGCCACGAGCCGGACGCCCGAGTCAATGCGCACCTCGCAGACGTCAAGGAGGGGTACTGTGTCATCAACATTTCCCTTTCCAGACGAGAAAAGTGCTCGCTGGATCGTCTGGAGGTGCAAAAGAGCAGGTCTTGACATCTCCGATGGGCGTGTAAATGAGAATCGAACAAGACCGCAGGCGAGGAAGGGAGCGGAGGTCGGAACGGCGAATGTCGAAGATGAGAGAGGTGGGGACAGATGACAACTTCCGTAGATGAGCGGCAGTAGAGCGTAGACGCTTTAGCTTCGCCATTGACACAAAAGGGCAACGCTCGCGCTCCTCTCACAAACAATGAAAATCCAATATCGTGCCTCTCCATCCAGAAGCGGACCAACTTCAGAGGGGACCGTCACCGTTGCAGGAAAGATGAACCCCACGCCATCGCAGCAGACAACGTCGACAGCTCGGAGTCGTTGAAAAAAAAACACAAATCAGGCGTGCGCTAAAGATGCGACGCAGAGCAACACTGAAAACGATGTTGACAGGAATCCATATGGGATTCGCCCACAAGGTAGGCAAAGTGAGATATGGACACAGGCATCAGTCTTGGGCCACCACATGCTCTGCGTCCGACATCGTCAATCACAGGTGGTGGTACAGAGCTGGCAGATGAAGCGCAAAAGGAATGGAACGAGACCCCGTTCGAGAGGGAGGGTGACGTGCTTCATCGCGTCCGGGATGGCACATGGAAGTGGAAGATAGGCTTCGTGTAAGTGAACATCGGACACTGAGATCGAATCAAGGGAGATCGAGTGTCAGATGGGCGGCATTCAGAGCGGCGACGACCGGTGTGGGGAACGAGGCGAGTCGAGTAGGCTCGAATCTCCCAAGTAGTGGCACGTATCGAGCGAGAAAGTGTATGTCTGTAAGACTCATGGCAATCTCTGGGCGTGTTGTAGACATAAGACGCCCTCCTCGCAGCTCAGACTCGCGAGATGCCCCATCTCAAACACCCAGGTCCCCACATCCAAGATCGAGAGAGATCGTCGTCGTTGTGGGCGCCGCTGTTTTGAGTCTTATCTTCGTCCTGGAGAGCAACGCGCTGCGGAGATATCGACGTAGAAGGTAGACGTGAGATTTGAGAGTAAAAGAACGACGAAGTTATGACTACACGTCATGGACCCGATTGGCGTTGTTAGGAAAACAGCCGGCCCTTATCCAAACCCGATAAGATACTCGACGGTCCTGGTTCTACAGCGCATCACCTCATAACACTTCTCCTACGTATACAGCGTTGCTATCCTATTCTGTCACTTCATAAACTTCCCTTCCTCTTGTCTAACCCATCACCTCGATACCAACAGGGGTCCTCTCACTTCGGCCATCGCAGAGCTATCCGCCGTCCGGCTCCCCTCTGTGCGCTCAGCACGAAGCCCCGTTACCCTACATTACATAGTAGTAACGAAGGACGATCGACTGAACGCTTGCCCAGGCTGCTGTTTGCGGAGAACTGGAACGGCGGATTCTCTCTTGGCGATGGCCCTCGAACTTGAAGGCAGGGAGCCCCCCTCCCTCCCTCCAACCTCCAATCATATTGATCGACCAAAATACACGCAGTCGACTTCACTCTTCCGTGTTCTATAGTATTAACTTAGCTCCTCGCCTTCAATCAGCTCACGATCTGAATCGCACAACGAAGCTGTCGACGCTTGTTGCTCCTCTTTTGTAATTATAATCCTCTCTGTCTCTGTGAGATGACACGGATGTCCTCAAGAACCTTCCCTTCACCAACATTCAATCACGTTATCGATCCGATATCGCCCATCCCCTCTCAGATAGTTCGACTCGAGCAACGACCGGTGTGAAGTATTCCCCTACTTCCCGCCATGCCGGTGTATCCACGTCTGTGCATCGCGGGAGCTTTCTCACTCCCTCAAAAAACATAATCACCCAATACGTTCTCAATACAATATTATTCTGAAGTCATCGGCGAGGTGGTCGACTAAATTAATTGCGTGCATGCAGAATTAACAGCTTGCGGGAAGAACGGTAGCCCTACTATTGCATCGAATCGAGCATCCACGCGAAGTAGAGTACATATTGAAAACAATCTATCATGGACAACATACTGTTCCGTAATTCTCTCAGAAGGCACCGGGCAAGTGAGACGCAGGAATGAGATAACGGACAGTGAGGAGTCTACCGAACCAAGTGTTAGAAGTATACCCATCCGACTCTCGTGTCCGTGTTGACGAAGTGACCGAGTCTCGTCCTGCGTCTCAGCGCCCTCTCCTTCCACGAAGAAATAATAACTCACGAAAAACGACGGAACCTGGGTCTCAAGCCCAGTACGGAGAGAACACGGCTGGAACGAGGCACAGCACCTCGGCTTCAAACAACATCACACTGAAACCGCTCGAGAGAGGGTCAACAATTTGATTCTCCTCGACAGTGGTTACAGAACGAAGTGCCGCAGAAGTACTGTGACGCGCCTCGGCGTGCCCGCCGCATAGAAGGAAGTAACATTGTTCAATAGACCTGGAGATATAGCATGTTGAGACCATCGGGTCACTCAAAAGAAGGACGAAGAGCAGAGACGAAGGCGTCTTTGTCCCATAGCTGTGCTCCCCGATCGTCAGCAGGAGTGCATCAGAGCGTGTGGAGACAGCAGGTGTCGCGGTGCATCTCTGCTCTTCGCCTTCGGTGATTACGAGCTTTCCGAGGCGGGAAGAGAGGAGGATGGGGATGGGGGAAAGATTGGAGAGGCTTGTGTCGTGTGCGGCACACATAGAATGAAGGAGGGTCGTGACAGGAGAATGTGAATCGAGGAAGAATCCTGCGATGAGCGTTATGTCCATGAATTAGAGACGAGTATACATAAGAAAGAACATACCAAAGGGATCTCCATGTGTTGCTGAGTTCGACACGGCGTCGCTGAAGCGCAACAACACCCACGAGCGAGGAGGATACGATGACTCTGCAGCAAGGAAAGGAACGAGGCTGACTGAGACACTGAATCATCAGGCCCCCCCCCAACGGTTCTCGCACTGTTGGAACAATGGGCATAGAACCGGACACGGGGGAGTAGGATGCACATTCAGCCTCGTTCTGAGATTCGCTTGCAGAGTCTGGGCGGGGCAGAGGGGTAGGTCGGAGAGCTTTTGTGGGTAAATGTGTGTGCTAAGTCGAGCGGTTGCCGTTGGAGGGCCAAGGTGATGACCGGGTCGGATCGCGAGAGAGGCTGGGATGGCGTGGTGAGGGTAGTGATAGCGGGGCAGAATGGCACGTAGAAACGAAGAGGTACAGAGGACGAGAGAACACACAGTGCTGGTTGGGACGAAAGAGACGGTATCGGCTCATCTTATCCCGATTCATCAGGCCGATAAGGCCTTTGCGCTCAAGTCCTAATACCACCAAATACCAGCTCGACGTCTGGCGAGTCCGACATCGTTGTTCTTTTGCATCCACCTCTTTCCAACATCTCCTCACTGGTGCCGCTCTGGAACGCAATTCAAGTTGCAGTACACTGAAGAGAAAACTCGGAGGGTGCGTAGGGTGGGAGCCGTTTGATAGAGACGCTGGTCTTAGGTGCGTCGTCTATGCCTCGTTCCCTCCGTCTGGTCCAGCTTATCCTCCTCATTTCCGGCTCGATGTCCCCGATCTCCATCGACCAATCCGTCTGTGACTCTATTGCTTCTTCGTTCTCGTCTCCGCCATTCCTTCCTAGTCAAACTGCCAGACTGCTCAAGTGGTTTTCCCTTCCTCTTCGTCTAGTCGCCGTTACACTCGTTCAACCACACGACTCGCCGCGCGCCTACGCCTGAATTTCTGCATGCCCCGTCTCGTCCTCTCTGATCTAAACTTTCCCCTTTTCTGCAGACGAATCAGATCTCGGAGCAAGGCGACTTGATCCTTGCCTTGTGCAAGAAACGACAAGGCTTATGCTAGGGTTATCATCAGTGCCTGTATCTCAACACCGCGCCGTTCCTTCTTCCCACCCGTCACAACCCCCTCCTGCCCTATCTGAATTACCAATCTCTGGGTCCGTTCGACACCTCTCGGACTCGCTGCTCCTTTCCCTGGTTGTGCCAAGTACCACTACTCCAGCAGCCTTTTCGCTCGTCTATCAAGGCGAGGGGACTCCTGGAGTTAAAATGGTGGCCGCAATCGTGGAAAGGGTGATATGGCTGATAATACGAGTTGGCTAGGCACTTGCACACGGGCTGTCCCGCCCTTCTCGAATGTCAGTCATCGAGACTTTTCCTTGACATCTAAAACCTCTGCATGTTCCCCTCCTCACCCCATCGGACCTGTCCGTGAGTTTACTCCACCCCTGTTAACGCTATCGATCTGATGACAGAATTAGACTGGGAAAGGATGGATAAAGCGGATAAAGAGGCGCCTCGTCACGGTACGAATCCGGCCGTCGTACACAGCGAGAAGGGCCCCCAGATCGACAATCTCACCAATCGCAGAGCGTTCCGCCATCCGTTATCGGTGTTTCGAGCTGCGAGACCTTGGCATCGATCGCTATCGCGGTCGTACTCCAGTCGCTCGACATCTCGATTACTACTGGACTGGCGGAATGTCTTCTGTCGCCTGGCCGAGATGGATGGCTATTGCCGACGTTGGGATGGGCTCCATTCTACGTCTGTCTCCATCTTTTCGATCTAAAGAGATTAGAGAGCCAGCTCCGAAATCCCACCTATAGTTCTCCTCCTGTGCCATTCTCCTTCATTCCAGAGATATCCCTCGAAACTGACATCACGAACATCACCCGTCCACGCTCCTTAAGTGTCTTCCACCACGCCTTTCTTCTTGCCACGTGCTCTTGCACGATGGGCAGGGGCTAGGCGTATAAAGTGGGCCATATGTCGGAGCCGTGGATGCAGTGCAGTTCCTGTGCCAAATTTCTCGCCATTCGCCTGAACCTTTGGACCATATTTTGACTTCTTCGAGAAACGACCGTCTGAATTTGACATGCCTCCGAGAGTGGGGTCAATTTCGAAGTCTCTGCGCTTGATCCCTGAGGATAAATAGACCCTTCAAACTGCCTCCGCTAACCTGAGTCCTTGAAAGGCTTTTCTCCGAACTGGCCTGCCATTCAAATTCAGGTTCATGTAATTCGGAGAATATGACTTCTATCTGTTAAGAGGGCCTATATCACGCAACGAGGAGTGTCAAATAGTAACCTGCTCATCTTGTCTCGGGTATTAGGGCCATAGGTCTTATTCGCCTCGTTCAATATCGAGAACATGAAATGCAGCGTCCAATAATGTTGAAATTGAAATCAGAGCAAAGGTGCGAAATTCGATTTGGGTGTGCGCGTACAATTCAAAGTACGGGCGTAAATTGCCATGAAACCGTTGGGTGTCGCCACATCAGGTATAATTGAAGCACAGAAAGAGAGGGTAAATCAGAAAAGAAATAGTCTTATGCAGTCCACCGCCGTACTCTTACTATAAGGACTTTCAGCAAGTGAGACGGAGATGACATCCATACCCTAAGAAGAGCAACTGAAACGGCTTACGGTGCTGATGAATCCAGACGTCCAAGTAACAAGGATAGAAGGGGATGCACATGGAGGTTGTCTGGCCGGCCCACCTCGCTCTGCAATTTCTCTGCGGACAAGACAAGAAGGAAGAGAGAGAGGGTGATACAGAGAAGGTCCGAGTCACGAAAATTGAGCGAAGAAGAAGTAGGGGCACGTTGCAAGAGAGCGATGCTGGCGTTATTGGTGTCGTTGATGTGGCCCGATCACGGTGGTTTGGTGCGATAAGGTTGGCATACACCACACATTGCGTATGGGACTTATGTATGGCGTGGAATAGGTGTGGCAAGAAGAGAGTAGGCGGCGAAGACTGGGAGAAATGAGGAGGAAGGGAAGAACGTGAGACGAGAGATGGAGTGAACGAGGAGACGACGACACCTAACTGATTAACCTCCTCGACCGATCCAGCCCACCACATGGAAACGCAACCCCGATAAACATCAGCAGCACATCAATCGCACTTATCGCAAGTGTTTCAACCTATTAGTAGCTGACGTTACGGTTCGGAGAGGCAGCAAGGAAGCTAGTACTAGTAGGAGCATGCATGGTGGGCTTCGGTCTTTGGGAGGACGCCGATGATTGGTCGTATTATGATTCGAGCCTCGTCGTCACCGGCCAAGCGCATCACCGTGTCAGGCCTCCAACTTGCTCTCTTCCTCAACTTCGACCTCATCCACGTCTATGCCATACGGGATCACCACCTCGATACGCAAGAACGACGGCCGCTGGCAAAAGCCTTACCAAGGACCCCTATATCCGCCGTATGTCCCTTCTCAACCGTAACTTTTGGCGTGTCCTGAAGCAAGTGCGGTTCAGTTTGTACGCACCGTGATAGCCATACCGCTCCTCGCGCTATGTAGACAGCATGCCCCATTCGCGTGCCCCTACCTCTCTTTCTCGTCACCCGCACCCGCACTTCGACGAACGTCGTCTGTCTCCGGGTCTCTCCCCCCGACGCCTTCCTTGGCGTCGACATGAGGAGTCATCCCAACAATGCGAAGTCCCAACATTATCCGAATCCGACGCCGACCACACCTCACCAAGCACAGGCAAGATGATTACCGCACTGCCCAAGTTGAACGCGTCGGTGGCGTGAATGGCCGCCCAGGAGTTCGCGGTCGTGATGGACTTCGTAGCAGTTGGAGAGCTGGCGTTGACGTAGGATGTGAAGGAGGGGATGGGAGTTAGGGATGTACGTTTCTTTCCCTCTCTCCAATCCCGTATCAGTTGGTTGAACGAGACGCATTTCTTTTCGGCGCCAGCGCATGCGTCACCTCTTTCTCTCTACGCACCTTATCCTCACGTATCTACGGGACACCGAAAATAGACAAAGAACTTCAGAACGTCCGCCCCATTGTCGCCTTCAGTATTGAGAAAAGTGAAAGTGAGATGAGGCAGGACAACGGATGAACAGCATATGCGAGGAAGGTGGGTCGTCCTGCGGGCGCAGATGGCGTTGCGGGAGCTGGAGGCGGAAGCGAGGGTCGAGAGGACGAATCGAAAGAAGGAGAAATGAACGGTGCGAGAAGAGGGTTGGTCTGGTTAGTTACTTATTGAAGGTTCGTTGCTCGAGGAATTCCGTATCTTCGAACCGTGCTTATTTCCTCCTGGCTCTAGTGATTTTCTAGATCGATTATAATCATTTGTTTCTGTAATGTGGACGTGAATGACGGAATATATGCGCAGGGACAAGCTGCGCTAGATCTGGGCAACGAAAATATATCCGCGCGAAGAACGAAGACACGATATCCCTGAGTTATGTTCAAGGTTGATCCGGGTGGAAAGATGCTGAACACCAGCGTCGCTATGGAATAAATTGTGAGAAATATGGATAAGAGGCTGGTATGGAACCCACCTCACCGAGAGACCCCATCTCCGATGTACCTGTGGATGAGTTACCAAGGAACAAGGGAGTCGAATGCTCCAAGGCAGATCTAGCGTAGAAAAGAAGAGATGACCTTCGACCACCGCAAGAGCGAACGGCAGGAGGTTATATACATCCCTGGGCCCCTGATTCGCGCCTGCCCGAGACGAGACGCGGATTTCAGAAGAATCAGAAGTAGATTGATTCTTCCAATGACGCTCGCACACGCTGAATACTTTCAGCGCTCTGCCCACGACGTAGAGCCAATGACTCTCTCGACACTCCTTGAAATCAAGTGAATCGAATCATGGCACATTTCGCATGCACACTGACGTGCAGCAGTCTGATTGGCCTACTTCTCGATGATTTTTGTTCGTGTCAAATGGAAGAGAGGATTTGAGACACAAAGAAGCCGAAATGCTAAAGCACTTCACGAAAGGTCTCATGTAATCTCTAGGGCACGCATGTAGAACACGACACGGCACGTCCATTCCACCGGAATGATGGATCCAGACGCACAAGGGAGATGCCCAACGGGATCTCCTCGTCAGCGGCTGGAAAGACAAGCGGAGTGGACGTGCCGTGATTCGACTCCCAATGGCGATAGAAAGGCCAATAAGTATTGATCTAACGAGAGGTCTAAAGAAGGAAAACCCTGGGCAGCGTGAATGCATCCAACTTGCGGCCTCGGTGCCGTGATGGGAGAGAGGGAAGGAGAGACAAGAGACACGCCGCAGCGCTGGACAGCTCTCTGATGGGGATCTGGCATGCGGGCGAATATAGTGCAAAACAGGAGGCGGTGTGTCGCATCGCAGCCCTCCAGCTTTGACGTCGATGACAGAGGATGGAGGATGTAGAAGGAAAAGGGCAATGAATGAAAGAAATCAGAGAGGCGAGCAATAGTTGAGAGACTTCGGAAGGCAACCATGCAATTAGATCAAGCATGCGCACAAGCGATTGGTCTGAGTCCGCAGAGAAGAGGGCAGAGAGAGGCCGGCATTCAAATGTCCCAATCCACCCCCAATGCTTTGTTGTCACTCCCTCGCACCAATACGTGCAGATGGGGACACTGGGGGAAGTGATTTATCACGTCGGCCTCTCTCATACTCTTCTACGGAGGGGGAGACGCTGATCAGAAGGGTGTGGTTCAAATTGAGTCATCTTGTGTGATAGGACTGCGGCAGCATGGGGGTAGGCGATCCAGAGCGGGGAATGAATCAAACGGCGTGGGGAGAGCTGCCGACGAAGATCGCGAAGAGCGGGGAAGAGACCAAGGGCGTAAGCTTGACGAGATGGAACCAACAGCAGGGGACAACACACCTGATGTTACAGAATCCCGAACGAGCCCAACACACGAAAGAACAAGCCCAACATAATTGGCGCGTCACACCCGTACTGACACCTTCGAGCAACATTGACGTCCAGAGTGGTGGCGGGGAGAGTATGATGGAAGAACAGGTTGAACATTGGACTCGGGCGATGACGATGATTGGCCGTGTTAGGATTTGGACCCAACGTCCTTATCTCAGCAAGCAAAGATAAGATAAGCCTGGACAGCAATTGCGTCAGCCCCGCTGCCACCATTGCCCCCTCTCTGCAGTTTTGTTCGAGTCCCGCCCCACCATGTTACGCTGCTGAGCTAGATCCTTCCTTGGCTCTCAAAACTCAACCAGTCGTACCACCTCGTTCGGATTCGGGCCCCTTTCTCCTTTCCCTAACCGCAGGCCATACCACTACTCCAGTCCTTTCCTGGCCTGTATAACACAGTGCGGGAAGTCCTGGAATTGATTCGGATGCTGCTGTCTACTTGGGAAAGGATGAATGGCGCGACAATTTTGAGTGCGCTCTGCACGTCATTCCTTCACGGTTTCGAACGCGCGGTCTAAAAGACGACTTTTCTGTGGCCCTCTCACTGACTCTTCGCTGCGCAAACGATGGTTTAAGTACTCTCATCCAGGACTCTATCCTTCTCATCCTGGCTGCGAATCTCTTTCGTACACGGGCCCTTTTCCAAATGCACGCTTCGGCTCTGATTTTCCCCTAGGCGAGCGTTCAACCCATCCACGCCTCGCCCCTTAACACAACTACACACCTCCACGTTTCCCTTGCCATTTGGCAGTGCACGCACCGTCTGTGTTGGACTGTTCTAGGAGACTTTTGCGTGTGGATGGGTGGGCAAATGCTGTCCTAGCCCTTTCCCGTTGCCCGCTTCCGCGTGAACGCTGCGTTCATTGTCCTCCCGGATTCGTTTTCGGGGGTTCGCGCTCTCGAGGGTAATCCGGATACGTCTCCTGCCCCGGATCTAGCACCGTGCGTGGCTCTTGCTGACCCGAATTTCATTATGACCGTTGCTGACTCAAATATATGCGGTTTTCTCGTGTAGGATATTGGCATCAATTCCTTGTACATCGAACATTCTCTGGACAGATCACCTGAAATGAAGGTCGTCGAATCATGAAGCACGAATAGAGCATCGTTGAATACGACGAGCGCCCCGCACGACCCTTCAAATAGGTACGGCTCTTATCCACTCAAAATTCCTTCGTCAATACTACGAGCTGGCGAAGACGCCTGAATTAATAGTTTCAGGACTCGCAAAAGGGATTCTCGCGAAGGCGTGGTGGACAGGTGGGAGAGTGACGCGAAACAGTCCGTACTATTTAGCGCATGGAATATGAATAATTCGAATGAGAAGACGGGAATTTAGTCTATGTGAATCGTGAAGATGAGATGAGAGGACATTACGAAAGCATGCCAACGCGCCTAACACGTCTACGGCAACAGAAGATGCTCCGGAAATCCTCATCCCATCCAAGCACCCGGAGAGCAATAAATGATGAGAGATTAATTCCAGAGAGCGTCGCCTGGAGAAAGATAGCCATGACCGAACGAGGGAGGCGATTATCAGCCGCCTCTCATCGGCCATCCCTCGATCGAAGGCAGGAGGTTACATAAATGACTACCCACGAATCTCACCACCTCGTCGAGCGGCTGATAAGATACTGATCGTACTCACTAGGCCAAGGGCTAACGGGGCCAGATGCCAAGAGCAGGTAGGATATAGATGCAGCAGTACGACGACGTGGATGGTAATTTCAGGAGGGGGTGTGGGCTGTGCTAGAGGTGGGTTTGGAGTTTTTCGCAGGTCGAAGGATATGCAAGAGAAGTAGATCGACCGGAGGGGTGGTCCAGTTGGGAGACGGGAGAGAAGAGGAGACGGTCAGAATCTCGCGCGAAGATGTTAAGAATCGACACGGGTTGAAGGAAATGACGATACGCTCTAAAGCACGCAGTATCAATGATGTGAGCGCGAGACGATCATGAAAATAAAAGCCACCCACAGACCTCTTTCTTGAACGGACCTCCTCGGGTAGGACTCCATAACCTGGTGCATCTGTATAGCAAGGTCGCACTGCCACGTTCGAGAGAAGATGATGGGTGGTCTCCGCAGGAGTTGAACGAAATAGAAAGAAAGGGAAGGTAGAAAGAGCACGAGGCCTACAGCGTAGAGACTGAGGACCACGAATCGAGACGCCGGTACAGCTTATGCGTCGTGCAGCTCCCGTACGATCTCTAGGCTAGAGCGGTAGGGAAACGCAGGGTAAATACACGGCGACAGCCATCCAGGCGCCAAATCAAACCCTAACAAGGCGCGAGCAATGAACAATTTCCTACGTATTTCATCGGGTATCCAACAGACAGGTATTGTGCTCGAAGTATCAGTAACATCGAGCACTTTCCAGCAGCCCGACGTACGCTCTCGTCAAGGAAAATCTCTGGAGAAACAACCCATGGCACAGCAGACACAAGTAGATAATACACCGTGTCCGTCTTAGTGCATATGGGTGGGAAAAGTCCAACTTTCATGACGGGAGCGTCGATTTGCCGGCGCTAGTCTGTTTCCATCAGGTGTTATGCGAGTGAGGCAGGAATTCAGGAAACAGAAAAGGAGACACAGAGCCCAGAGAGCGCAGACGGGGAATTGTGGTGATGGTGAGTTAATCATCTGCTTCTTCCTGGCACTTCATGGAGAGAAGGAAGCTGCACAATGCCCATCCAAGAATCTCACCACGTCATCAAGCAGCGGATAACTTCAGAGGCATAAATATCCTACTCCCTACGGCAGGGCACATATAATAAGATGCCGATGCCTAGAGTAGCTAGGATAAATATTCACCGGCGTGACGACGTGGATGGACATGGGGACCTAGTGGGATGGAAGGAGGAATTTGACGTTGGTGACGTCCGAGAAGCATCTGAGAAGCAGGCTTTTCATGTGTGAGTAGTTCAGAGTAGCTCTGCGTGATACGCTTCCGTGAATATGAAAGTCGATGGCGTGTGCAGTCGGAAAGGTTGAAGGGGGAATAGAGAAGATTAGCCGGACAAGACTGAGAGGACGAGGGGTGGACAACGTACCTGAATCAAGAGATCTTCCTTCGATGTTACCAACACTAAAGTGCAGCTCGCCTTGCAACGTCACGGGGAGCAGCTAGAGTGGCGTACTCCAGGAGCAGGGGAAAAGGAGAGGTGTACCAGATCGCCTATGTCACGAGAGATGCTGGGCCAGTATGGCTACGCCACGATGAGTTCTGAAGGAGGCGGGTAGACAGAGAGAAGAAGACGAGAGGGTTGGAAAGAAGAAAGGCATGATGCTTATCTTATCGAGCGAGTGATGAGGATGTTGGGCCCGTATCCTAACATGACCAAATCTTGCCGAGTCCACCAATGTTGCTCTTCCACGTTCCGTTCCTCTTCTTCCATCCCTCTTACTCTCTCCCGTGCCGCTATGACTGAGGATTCGCATTGAAATTTACAGAGCGTGGAGGATGTGGCATATGAATTCAGTTTTTGCGTGTTGGATCGGTGGGAATCTCTAGGGACTTAGCGGTGTGTCCAACCGTCGTTCCTCTATCTCGCGCAGCTCATACTCTCTCTGTTTCCTCTTCATTTCATGCGATATCCCTTCAGGATCGTGCTCCCGCATTCCCTGACGCCATTTGACTCCCACATGCACCTCTCGTGCCGAACCGCTCAGATCCTGCGCTAGCCTGTTCCCGTCGTGCCAACATCACTTTCCTGCCCCATCTCCTTACTCCATATCCACACGATCCTCAAGAGTGTGCAGAATGCTATGCAATTACCTGATTGTACCCCAGATCGCTCCGATCCACAAAAGAATCCCACTTCACAGCTAGTCTCCTACGCGGCCAACAGTGGTCAAAGCACGATGACAATCACCACTCTTCCACGCTACGTTTGCGTCTCGCATCCCCTAAGCAGGCTTTGCTACCACGCCCACGTCGCCAGGATTTCCCAGATTGAACGCCCCCTTCTGGACCTTTGGACAGCTTTATGTCGTCCCGACCGGTGGGGTCGAGCGATTGCCCTCTTTCGTCAACGTGGGCATGCGTTCGTGCCGCATTCTAACGTCGATCCTCGGGTGCTCGTATCACTGTCGATTTCGATTCTTTATTCTATAGAGAACGTGTCTACGTTCTGGAGGTGCGTCATTGCCATCTGTTGTTTATCTTGCCATACCTCAACCCACGCGAGGGCGCGATGTTGCCTCGCTTGTCTTGTTCTCCTCCCAACATCCCGATCCTTTCCTGCCCGACCCATCCTCTCTCGTTCGACTCGGGCACCGATGTCCACAATGCCAAGTGTTCTTCGTCTGCATTCATTGTGACGATGTAGCTTCGAGCAACACTTCTTTCATGTTGGAATATTGGTGTGCTCGAGTCGAACAACGTGAGATTGGATGAGCAGGTGTCATATGTACTGTCTTATGCCCGCTTTCCCCACCGTTGCGAGTGGGGATAATTCGCTGTCCAGAACTCTGCATGGATTAGCTCCGTCCTCATTCGACTCGGATGCAGGTACCATTTAATGCCGTGTGCGCTTTGTCCGTCTTTGTTGTAACATGCGGTTCAGGCAGCACTTGGCTCATTTGGATGAGATACATGACTCGAGTCGAAAAAAGTATGATCAGACGCGTGTGCTATGGCAGTTCACTGAATAATGTCCTTCCGTGACTGTCTTTTCCCTTGGACATGAAGCAGACGCGCCCAATAGATCCTTTCCTTTTCTCTCCACCCTTTCCTCTCCTCTCGCCATCTAGAACTCCTGGCACTCAGCTCCCATCCTTTTTAAATCACCTCAGGCACGGGTGCTAGCTCTTGCTGCGTGCGCTTTGTCTGCAATCATGATAACGAGGCAGCTCAAGCCACACGTAGCTGGAGGAATCGCTTTAACGTCCGAGTCAACCCATGTATGACAGGACTGGAGCGTGCAGGGACAGCTTTTATACCTTGTGTTTCCTATGTTTTGCGTGCACTTCTCTGATGATTATCATCCCCTGGCGGTAGGAGAAAACGGAGAGGAGGGGCTGCATGTCCTTCCAATTTGCGTTCGCATGGAACATTGTTATGTTTCGCTTAACCGGCGGTAATTTGGGTTCAGTGAGCGATGTGATAACCCTCTTCTCCTTGTCTTCAACACCTTCCCTGAAAATTTTACTTGAAATAATGCCGAGGCGGGAGGCGTTTCCGCTCGAGTCACCGAAATGCTCGAATGCCTTTGAACTTCGGAATATGGCCATTCTCTTGATGGAATATGCATTTGGCCCTTCTCCTTTGCCGTACTGTGAGCCACTAGCATACGACTTTCTCAAATCAACGCCTTCATGGATTTCATCTCGTGTGGACAAGGCCATTGGCGCCTTTGTCTGTGCGCCTTTCTATCTAGCTGCAACCTTGAGGGTACGACGCGTAGTTCGAAATAGCCGTCGTCGCTCTGATCAGAGACCCCTCGTACAAGGCTACATGGAGATTGGCACGGTATTAAAGTGAGATAATGGTTTTCCCGGTAGTCAGGTACGATTAGAGTACCTCTTAGCTTTTACGAGGACCGAAAAGCTGGAATCTAGAAAAAGCAATGAAATCACGATAGCGACATGTAGAGCAGCCAAATTGTAATCGAAGACAACTGAAATGTGGCTGGACGAACACCATAGGCACCAAACAGACGAGAAGAGGAGAACAAAGACGATTATCAAACAAAGAGCTTTATAAGAAATAACACACTGATGAGAAGTAATCTCCAATCGACGGACGCGATGAACGCGTTTCAGGTCGATTTATTAGACTGAGCTTGGGCGCAGGTGGTGTGACGTGCTTCATCATGCCGCCTTCCATGTGGGACAAAGCGTCCGAGGAAAAGCCAAATTCCGCCGGCAGAGAGTAAATTAGTAGTACAAAATTTAAGATGCCCGCCTTCGTACGATGGAAAGCAGAGCGGGGACACGATGGATGCCACCTATTTACCACCCAGTTGCACGCACACCCTGGTCATGAACCGAGATGTGTCGATGTGAGTGGAAGGAACAGACAGCCGCTGTGTCCCAGCTCTTTGGCTTCATACTCAAGGCCGCTGAGAGGTATGTTAGCTGCAAGGCAACGGCGGAGGAGAATAAAGAAGGAATGGTATAATGAAGGGACGAAGTTAATGAAGAGAGGGCATTTGGGTAGACGTGTTGGTGGACGGTGTCTTCCACTCCAGGTCCATAACCACGCGAGGCAAAATACATGGATGGGCGATTCATCCGCAGGGAAGAGAGTAGAACGAAGCCGGTGATGACCATATACGCCGCAACCTCCAATCGTAAATACATCCTCGATCTATCTCGCCGACGGGTGTAGATGAGAATGAAGAGGGAGTTGGTGCATCCAACCAGGTTTGCTCTGGCTGATCGGCACACGCGCGGATGTGGACGGTTGGGCGGTGGCATGAGTGGGATACTTCCGAGGAGGAGGGCTGTCATGCAGAATATGCGCCGACGACGGAGGACGGAGAGACGGCTCCTCTGCGCTGTCATGAGTGAGACGGACGGAACATGAGGCAAACGACGTAGCTAAAGCCAGTGATCGGACCCGATCCCCAACTGATCCCACCCACGGACGTCCAGTACGCGCAATGCGTCCGATCGTAGCTTCATGGTCAAACGATTGCCGTGGAAAGGATAATGCCGCTCAATAGCCCGTGCTACGCGAGGATCCCCTCAGGATCTTGAAGGCCCTCTCTCGAACATTTATCACTTCTTCCCGTTCCTCTCTCTTATCCCCGCTGAGCAAGAACATGGACTCACTCCTCTATGGTGCGCTCACACTCGTCTCACAGCGGCCCCATTATTTCATTTCCCCACAATTTATTGAATCCGCGCACGGCTCTGTCTGCGGGCCCCCCACCCATCCATACCCGTCTCCTGGCAAAATCAACCCACGCTCGAGCCTTTGCCATTCGGCGACGTGCCTTCAGTGCATTTTTCTTCTCCAATTGCAATATACGGGTGTGGGTGGGTGTGAGCTCGCTTCAGACTTAGTCCTCGTCTCCTTATACACCTTCTCTTCCCCCCTTCGTTGATATCTATCCGCCGGGAGCCCTGCTCCATGACGTCCTCCTTACGCCATTTCTACCGCCATTCCAACCTCCTCTGATTTCTTCAGGTATTCTGGATTCCGCCTCTCCGCACTGGCTGCATTGAGCCGCCGGCGATATCGAGTCTGATATCCCTGCGAGATCCGACAATAATGTCGAACCCTTACATTTCCGGCCGCCGTAAATCTTGTGAGCTAGGGTCGGGAGGCGGATTGTCCTGAACCCCTTAGCTCCTGCAATCTCATATGCCCTTCTCTCTCTGTGAGTAGTGTACCTTCCACTACGCTATACCCTCACCGATATCGCAGTTGCCTGCTCTCCAGTTCCCCCTTTCCATCCTTTGCGATGCTTCTCCGCCCACAAGAGACGTATCAGATGTCCATCGGCGCCGAGGTGGGGGGATTTTCTGTGCTAGGCGAACGAATAGAGGCACAATCAAGCTTCTGTCCTTCCACGCTCGCGAAAGAAGCACAGTGAAAAAACACAAGTTGATTCTTCAACGCTCACGATGGCTATCTTCTCTTCGCTTGCCTCTCGGGCGTCAGTGTTCTAGGATAGCAACGTAGCATTTATGTATGTTTCTTTTCCTTCTCTGGAGCCATATAGAGTTCTCACAGACCCAAACTTCGTTACGCCCGTTATTGACTCAAATATATGCTATTTTTTTTTGGTTCATCAGTCCGGGCTGGTTGGAATACGGCACGGTGTGAAGAATTCCGTCCTCGGCGACTCGGGACACACCGAGAGGAACCTCCATGACAGGCGAAAGGGCAGAACAGGTGAAATTTGCTAAACCAGCAGCACCATGACACGTAAATGGGTTCGCGTCACAAGAAGAGTACGAACGATAGAGATAGAAATTTAATTTAAACCCCGGAGTCGGTAATGCAGCGCAACATACACCCCCGATAACATGGCAACTTATTTCGAATGAGGACAAAGACATAGGATCTTCGAAACGAGAGTAAGGAACCAACATATACCCTCGCCGGACGGTCTGAAGACGACCTGAACTCATGGCATTTTTGTGGGATGAGAGAAGAGAAGGGTAATCACCTCCGAGAGATCTTCCATTATTATATCCACGTAGCCCCGATGTACATCAATATTCAAGTAGTCGGAAGCGCATGGATAGGACAAGCACGAAGTCCCTGCTCTCCGACTCCCAGAAGAGACACAATAAAGAGAGAAGGAGAAAGCAAAGGCAGAGAGAACCGGGAGAAAGATGAAAGGATAAGAACAAGAAACTGGCGGAAAAGCGAAAGAGGGGCGTAGGCCCAATCGAAGCGATGATTATGGCGGTCCACGCCCAATATGGCCGGGCCCGAAACGAAGGTGCGTCCATCATACGATCATCTCATCCACCACGAACGAGAATGCAATGAACAAGTGCACGTACGGGTAAGCAAAAGTATGCTAGAATATGAAGGCACATAACAGAAGAAGAGGCCCGGAAAGCGGCCTAGGTCCTGTAGTCTCCGTGAGTGGGAGAAGATCAAGGAGAGTGAAGGATATTTCCAATGATCTAAAAGTCCGTGCTCGGGAACCAGAACCAACTGGGTCGGCGCAGTGCTTAGAGGATATAGGACCATCATCCCTGCTCTTCATTCTCGTTGCGGAGCGGACGGGCGGACGGAGTCGATGGCGCTGATACAAGACTGCGCGATCGAAGGAAAGAAACCTGAAGATGAGATGAAATTATTCACCCCATCCTAGACTTACTTTTGAATATCGAGCTGGAACCCATAGATGTCAATTCCAACTAGGCCATGAACCCGGTCGTTAAATAGCACCCACATCTCAAAAGCATGCACCTGATCGCTACCCTTCTTTGCAGAGCGGTACGAGGGGGGGGATCCCGACATCGTTCTCGCAGGAGAATTTGTAGGCGTAGAAGAGAGGAACGGGTCCTAAGTGGCAGGGGGATTGAGATTGGCGTAGATCGCGGACAAGAGCGTAGACATTGAGGGTTGAAGGATGGAATCCGTCTAAACTATTCGTCATGGACGTAAAGAATATGGCGCCGACAGACATTACGCACACAAGTATGTCCAGGACCCACCCTGGAGAGCAGATCCATCTTGACGGACACGAGAGGAGCCCGTATCGACGCCTTTCCCATCGCTGTTCAAGATCGTGCGTACTAGTGAGCTTGCGGGTAAGCGAGAGCGGGCGAAGCAGAGGACGTTCTACAGCAGAAGCAGAAGGGACAGGTAGAATGAAGGGAGTGAAAGAGACCATGCTTCGCCGTACTGAAGGCAACATGGCCATATCCTTGATCAAATCGAGTCAAGCAGGGCAGGAGAGGCGAGGCTGGCGATGAGGAGGATAGACGAATGAAGGGACTTGAAAGAAGGGGGCTCTTTCGTCAGAAGGAATAATGAGTGAGGCGAAAAGACACGAACAAGGGCGACGCACCTCTTGTCCCCACCGCACGAAACCCTCTTCCACTCCAAATGATAGTATACGGTGGTGGATAGACACTTCGATAATACACGGGAGATAGTCGTCAAGCGGCGAAGATAAGCAGCGCAAACGCTTCTCAGGTTGCAGTTGGGGTCGAAGAGATGAATCGATCAGGATGAACACGGCACGATGTTGCGTCATCGCAACCAATGATCCTCACGTTCCTTCTCGCCTCCAACTCTGCTCCTACTCTCTATCGCCCGAAACACACGCTGCCGCAATGTTGCCACGACATAAGTATGTCAGAGCAGTCACGGTTGCAGGATTTAGCTGAGATCGTCCTCGCTGTGGCGGGTTCGGAGAAGGTGCGTCTCGGTTGTTCATGTAGTCAAAAGCGGCTTTCAGAAGATGTTCTCTCCCGTTCAGTGCGCTGAGTCGTCCATCTCACTTGAATAACGCACGTCATCAGCTTCTCTCCTGCATAGGTACAATGTGCCGGCAAGCAGCCACCCTCCGCCTCCCCCCTCTTGTTCAATCCATATCCACCTTACACGTCGACGCCCGACAGGTGTAGCGATATCCCTTCCATTTATTCTCACCACGCCCCGTACGACATCCGCCTCCCGCAGGACCCAGAGCAAGCACAGGGATCTTCCAACCGCGTCCGTACTTCTTCCTGCCCACTTATAGCCGAGTACGGGACATATAGATCCGTATGGACTCATACTCTTGACCTGAATGTCCGCTGCTACCCAACACCCACGTCGCCGAGGTCACTCTTGGCTCTTCCAACCCTGCAAACCTTTCAGATTACGCGATTCGACGCGTGCACCCCATGTCGGATCACTTTTCATCTGGCCAAAAAGGCCTCGTGTTATCCTATGGCTTGGAAATATATTCGGGATCTTACTCTTTGCCAGGTCCGTTGTGCGGCTCCTTTTTTGTTGCACTCGTCCCGAGCCTTCATTACTCCTAGATTGCACGAAGACTGCGCGCAGCGTGCATTCATTCTTTTTTCGACCGCTCTCTCCTTGACGACAACGTCAAGAGAGTTGGAAGAACAGTATTCGGCAACGCGAGCAAGCACGTCTTCGTCGGAGACGAGCTGACGTATCTTCATTTATACTATTGGACCCACTCCTGCTCTCAGTCGACTCTCCGACTCGGCTGCAACTGTCGGAAAAACGCGATTTCCATTATAAGGCCTTGCGGCTCCTGGCACCCCTGGCCCCGCTGATACACTGGCGTGACGCTACCAATAATCAATTGTAAGGGCCTGCAAGTCGAGCGTCAGTGAGTATCAGAAATCCGTCACCTCTGGTAAGTCCTAGTCACACCCGATCACTTCACCTCCCAAAACCCGAGTTTCCGAAGAAGCCATTTGAAAGAGGTTGCACCCCACCCTCTCAGAATGTCAAAATTATCTTCAAATTGCATCTGTTTCATCTACAGTGAGTGTCCGTTTATTGTCCTCGTGAACGGACTTGAAATTTTCCGTCTAAGTCCCAGGTCACGGGAGCTTTCCCTAAGGCCGACGGAAGTAACCTCCGCGACCATGGCTGACCATGGATGACGGACGAGGACGAGGGGAAATCCTGTCATGCCTGCTTACACACCTCGGAGTCGAATTTGGATCCAGAATTATCGCCTCGAAGCGCCCACATCCCTCCGGCAGTTGGTTAGGCTTGTGAATTCCGAGTCGGAGATTAGTCTCGGGGCGATATCTAGGCGCCGAGGTCCAGGCGTTGAAGCTTGAAGGGTTATAAAAATGGGCTTTCGTCGTCTCATTCCAGCGCAGTTCCTTCCCGCTTACTTCGAGTTCGAGATTGGATGGACGTCGGTGCTACCCGGCTTCTGTCCCATGGTGCGTTCCCCCTCCGTTCACATATCACCTTTTAACTTCGACTTCACTTAACAGGGCATCTTATACTCGGTGCGTGCCTCGTACGTCTCTGTAGTTTAACACTGACTCACTACAAATAGGCTTTCTTCTTTTCTCTGAGGTGAGAAGCAGGTAGCAGGGGGGCCGGGCACTGACTCTGCTAACGTGTGTCTGTCTTCACATGCATTAGAAAGTTGCGACTGACTTTGACGGACAGGATGGTAGTTGGCTCACAAACGGTAAGGTTCTATTTAGTGCCACAATGAATTTAAGCTAACCTCGTTCAAGACCGCTGTACCTCGATTGGCTGTTTCCTCGAGCAGCGCGAAACGTCGGCTTCTTTGTTTGTTGACGACGACGGAAATGTAAATTCCAAGGGGGCATGTAGTTCTCCTAGAGTAGAAAATGAAAATTATTTCTTATTCCCTTCTTTTGGATAAGGACAATAATCAGTACACCCGAATATGGGTTTTTGTGGCCAGTATTCATAGGGTTTTCTAATGACACCTATTCGCCCTCATAACCCTGGAGAAGGCCTGAACAGCTGTACAGACGAGATCAGGCCAAATACGGTGTGTTAGGACCATAAGTTCTATAATACTTGTACACATTACAAAATTGGATGGGTGACTTTTCACCATCGATATGAACCCCGATTTTCTGACGCCCTAACAGGTCCTTATATGCCCATATATGGCTATATAGGCAAAATTTGATTTTTCCGACATACTGGTCGGTGCTTCTGTGCCTCTAAGGGCGTCTTGCGCATTCAGGCTGCCCCATTCTACTAGCTGAACTTTGACAGTGAGTCGAAGCATGGCTGTCTTGGGTACTGCCTCTCTCTCCTGTGGTTTTCATTTTCTGTTCAAATAATCACCTTATTTGCCTGTCACTGCTCAAAAATGTCAGCGGCCCGAGGTTCCCTCCAATCGTTCGGTGGGCGTCAATTCACTATGACCATGTTCCTTCTTCCCGGCCTCTTCTCACCGCACATACCCCTATTTATTGCAGCTCAATCCGCCCTGACGTCGCCCGTCCAGACATAAATCAATGTTTAGGCATTTCGCACGATGATCATGGAATTGATTTTGGAAATCGGGGGTTGTTAAAAATCTTTGCTCTAAACTGCCGGGCGAAGGTGACTTGGATTTAGTAGACTCCTCCGGAATTGTGCCAGGCACAGAATATCCATGCGTTTGTGACAAAGAATCTACGGTCAGGCAACCCGTCAGATGCTTACCCGACCCAACATCCTATCGAAAGCTGAGATTCCTGGATGATGGTCCTTTACCGTTTGCCAACGTGAGCTGATTATCCCTGAGCTTTCCCTGATGGAAGGGTGTTTGACTGAGATCTCCGGGCAACCCCTATTGAACAGTATTTCACACATTTTCCTGCCTACCATACCCTTCTCACAGTATATAAGGTGATCAACCTCGACGGAAAGATCCCATCTGGATATCCCAGCTCCCATCTCGAGCAGTTATCATACCATGAAGTTCCCAAGTATCTTCGCCGTTGTCTTCCTCGCCATCACACAGAGCAGTCTAGCTGCGGTGACCATTTCGTCGTACGACAAAGCTCCAAAATATGTTTCTACCCCCTGCAGTCTTTGAATCAACCCGGCTTTTGTAACTACTGAATCAACCCAGAAATTGAACTACTGATGTAACTAAATATGAAGTACTGATCCAACCCTATACCAAACTACAAATCCAACCCAGGTTCTTGATGTACTGAAGCAACCCTGCTTTTCAAGTTCAATTCTAGCATTTTAAAAGTACTGATACAACCTTTTTTCAACTTGTGATCCAACCCTTATTTCAGAGTGTAACAAAGTACTGGATCAACCCCCATTATGATTAAGAATATGTACTAATCCAACCCTCATTATTCTGCTAGAAAAGTACTGACCCAACCCTCATTATCCTCTAAAAGAAAGTACTGATCCAACCCCCATTATTCTCTAAGAGAAAGTACTGATCCAACCCCCATTATCCTCATAAAAAGTACTGATCCAACCCTTATTATTCTCATAAAAAGTACTGATCCAACCCTGCTTTTTTCAATTTCCTAATTGGGATGTCTCTGATCAACTGCACACAGCTGTGATCTTGTGCTACCTTGATCCTCTACCACCACCATCTCTGGCCTTCAATATGGGTAGAACTAAGAAGAACCCAAAGAAGAGAGCAGTAAGTGTGATAATTTGATATCTTTTGTCTTAGATCTACATTAACCAATAACATAGCTTTCCACATCAATGTCTGAAGATGCCAGTCCACCTAAGATCAAAGCCAGTAATCAAGATGATGCTAAGAGCTCTAGACGTTCTAAGAAGGTTAGAAGTAGATTCCCTTCTTGATATATCATAGATCTAACTCATTTCCACTAGAAAATACACTATCAGGATAACGATTCTGACGACTTCCTTTCTGACAACAACATTAAAGCTAAGAAACCTGGTCCTCCTCAACAGGTATGGTTTATATCATTGATCCTTGAATCTTTCTCTGATAAATCCATATAGCCAACCCGCAAGAAGCCAGGCCGTCCATCAAAGAAGGGCCAGGCAATCAGAACTGATCCACTTCCTGATCAAGATACTGTCATGTCTTCCCAATTTCTTCAGCCTCTCACACCTCCCCAGAAGGCCAACAAGAAGGATCCAAATGCTAACGAGTACACTCCACGTACTGCGCAGGCTGTCCGGTTCAGCATGCAAATACCTATCTGGCAGATTGAAGTGTCTCATATACCAAAGAAACAGCCACATCACGGAACCACAGAGTCACCAGATATGAGGCCACTGAATAGGCTCACCCGGTTAGAGAAGGATGGATGGACATGTCTTGGAACAACACCTACAGCAAATGTGTACAGGCTGTTCCAGGATTTTGTGATTCTTTATGTTTTATATTATTATGATACTTTTACTGATTTTTTCTTGCTTTTTACAGGAGAATGACTACTCACCTCAGGAGTACAAGATCTCCAGTGGTCTCATCTCTATGCAGTTCTTTGGTCATCCTTGTGATCGGCCTAAGGACATACGTGCTCGCTCCTTTCTTCTTGAATGGGCAACTCAGGATCGCAAAGTTCCATCAAAGTACAAGGATAAATCTCAACCTGTTTTCCGTGTTGAGTATCAATGTCTTGGAAGTTGCAATGCTGAAGCACCTCCTGCAGAATCAGATGAGGATGTGAGTGAAGAAGAGGAGGAGGAGGAGGAGGATGAGAGCAATTCAGAGGATGAGAGTGAGAATAATCAAGAGGAAAGTAAAGGTGTGCGGAGCATATATGTGGAATTGTTCCACCGACTGAAGTCTAGATCACTAAGCTTCTGCTCATCAAGAAGATCTGCCTCCTAATTAAATAGTAAGTTATAAAAAGGTATCTTAGCTTAGCACGTACTTCATTAGCTGTTGGAAGAAATTCTCTGATTCATAATTTTTTGGGGGAAAAGTTGACTGGCTTGATGGGAGAGTTTGGAAGAGAGGGCAGAAGAGAATTGTGTGGCTTGGGCTTAGGTCCTGTTTTCTGACTGAACTTAACAGGTGTGCGATTTGGATGAAGTGGTGTGACAGCAGGACGTCTGCCTGCTGTTACACCTCGGCCTAAAATTGCATAAGTAAAGCATTGATTTTGAAACAAGTAATAAACACACCTTTTTGAGGAGTTTGAGGATGCTGAGACACCAGAGCTTTATTGGCCTGTTTGGTTTTGATATCAGAAATTGGACTTTCAGCCAAAGACTTAGAATCAGAGTCCTCCTCTTCCTCCTTCAAACGCAAAAAGATCTTCTCCAGATCTCTAGTAACTGTTGCATCAGAAGCAGCTTGATGACGCCGGCCTGTCTTTTCCTTGATAGGATTTTGTGTCTGGCCCTTTGCAGCTGGTCCACGAAGTTTCTGACTAGTTTCAAGCTCTAAAGGATCATAAGTCACATTAATAGAGAAATAAAAAGAATATAGCAGACCAATATAGTCCTTTACTGATCCATGATCAATCTGCAGTCTGACTGCCAAGATGTGATAGCAGGCCTTTCCTGTCTGATCAAATGGAGAACAGGTGCAAGAAAGAGAACCATCTTTCTCTTCAGTTACAGTAGCATAGCACAGAGATGAAGCTTTTGGAGGCATAGCAGGATGTTGTGTGCAGTATAGAAGAAGATGGTGGTAGTAAATGGGAGAGATGTCCTGGCCCATCTAATCTGATCAGCCAATCAATAGGTCTGTTCTAAATATAGTAATTAAAAAACCTGGGTTGGATCAGTACTTTCATAACCCAAAATCCAGGTTGGATCAGTAGTTTCACAACCCAAAGTCCAGGTTGGATCAGTAGTTTCATATACCAAAAATCCAGGTTGGATCAGTAGTTTTATAAACCAAAAATCTGGGTTGGATCAGTACATAAGAAATGCTGAAATTGTAGTTTAATCTGGGGGTTGGATCAGAACTTCTTAAATCCAGGTTAGATCAGGACAATTATCCCAGGTTGATTCAGTAGTATCAAAATGGTTGAATCAGTAGTTTTAATATCTAAAACCCAGGTTGGATCAGTAGAATTTATACATGCTGGATCAGTACTTTGAAAAGCCGGGTTGATTCAAAGACTGCAGGGGGTAGAAACACATCTTGCGACAAAGCTAGCTCACCCATGATTTGAAAGATGAACTAACACATGTCTCTTATATTTCTCTCTGAATAGCATCGAGGACGTCGCAGCCCGAGGACCAACCCCAACTATGCCTCTCGTGAAGCGCCGGTTGGGCAGTAGGGTAAGCTTCGCGATACCGCTCTCCTCGTACGATCTCTTACACATTCTCACTGTTCAGGATACTACCTCAACTGCTCAGGGTAGTACAACCGAGCCGTCCTCGACCGACGGCGGTGGTGGCGGCAGCTGCTGCTGTGGTGGTGGATTGCATTGTCATAGGCAGGGTTGTCCGTCTGGATCCACGTACCAAGGGCACTGCAACTCAAGCCTCGGTACCCTTCTTTCTTGCTGCAGGTCCAACTAGGCATTGCGGTACTATATTGATCGTATTGGTACTACATGCCTCCCTAGTAATCATGATGGAATTCTCACATACATTTTCTGTGATAAAATGGCGGATATAGAGCTCCATGCGGAAGTCTCAACGGTTGGATAAATTCCCCTGCAAGGGAATACGATAATGGAGAGAAGAAGTTAGGTTCGAATGAGGAGGAGAAAGCTGGCATTAACGAAGGTGGAGCATAAGGTCCATCATGAGGTGCGAGACCGACGAAAGCGGGGATAGAAACGAAGCGAACTTACCGGGTCATGATAAATGAAGAGACAAGAGAATTATAATTATTGTGGACAGCTCTCGAATCGACAAAGCGAGCAGAATGTCGAGCCCACCTCGCTCGCGATGGTCGTGGGTGTTGGCATCTCGAACGTCGAAGGGTGTGCGTGGCATGAGTAATAACCGGCCACGAACGGTGTAGGAAATTGCTGGTCAGTGGCTCTAAAGTTTATGACAGAACCGCTGATGGCACCGAATATTAGGTGACTGAGACAAGCAACGAGGGAGGGCTGCGGATGTGTTGGACGAAGGTTGGATGCGGCGGATCGTGCGATCGCCTTCGAAGAGGTCTGAGGTCAAGCGGAGAATGTCGTCGAGGATATTTGTGTGTCGCGAAAGAAGGCGGGCGGAGGAATTTGCAGGAGGTTTGAATGGAGGTCGAACACGGGAACTGAGGGAACAATGGGACAAAGAAACCTCAAACAGAAAGAAGGGAGCATACCACGAGCTATAGACACGACTTCCTGCATGAACTCCAACTATCCACGTCGCTCCTACTTCGCCCATCCCCGCCTTTGTCAAGTCAACAGCTGGGGATATCGTATATATCGATCTTGAAGAATGGGGGGCCGAGGTGGTAGTTGAGGCGAGCATTATTTCTGGAGGATGTCGTTGAGAATAGTAAGGCAAGATTAATGTAAACGCAATGCACCGGGCTGGCACATAATCAGCGTCACCCGATCTCCAATCATTCCCTCCCCTGTCTGAAGAGCTTAAGGTAGGCCTTGACGAGGTGGCACAGCTATTGGAGTAGCACTAGATGATGGGGTGAACAAGGAATGAAGGCATAAAAATGAATCAACATACTAGTACGCATCCTGAACGAACGCGAGCTCGTCACAGCGCTAGCATGAAGCTCCTGGTATCCTGCTCACTCCGTATCCATCGTACAACGTGTTATCCACCCGACGCGGAGCAAACATTGGTTCTGAAGTATTAACTTGACGAGGAAGAGGGAGTCGGGGTCATTGAGGCATGTTGGACCTGCGTATACTAAGCTCAACACCCAACATCAAAGCCAACCCTAAGATAGACCTTACTTCGTCGCAGCCATCCGGGCTGTTCCATGGCCCATAGCACGAAATTTCATCCTACAGGGCGGGGGTCAGCTACTGCACCTAGAATACAAGAAACATGAGCACGGAATATGACCGGGTGGAACGGACAGTCGATGAAGACTGCAACGGCGCACCTTAAGGCCGGCGTTTCGATCAAACGTATGAGGCATATCTCCAGCGCATTTATGTCGGGCAGCATTGCCGCCAGCGCAGAGTGGCGCTAGTGCCATGGAGGAGAGACTGAAGGCAGGAGAAAGGATCATGGGGACGAACGACAGACTCATATTTGGCCATGTTAAGATTTGAGCTCACAGCCCTTATCAGCGGGGCGATAAGATGAATGCCCCTTTCTTTCCAGCCAGCACCTCCGTTGTTCCTCACTGCACACCCACGCGCACAGCTCAGGGATGGCTAGCGGCTTGTCATACCGATGGACCACATCAACCTCCCAAAATTTGCCCTCCTACGATGCCTCCCTATTCCCCTTTCTCCCGATATTTCGCAATTCAAAGCTCCGTGTCTGCGTCGCGCCCTCCTCCCATGCCCTCATGCTTACCCCTTCGCCCTGCCTATGGAAGAATTACAGAGCGAGGCCGGCTGGAAAGATAAACTCCCCCAGGATGCCTTCTATCATTGCTGCTGCGACAGAACGAGAATGGATCCCTGGGGTTCGTATAGCCTGGATTAGCCTCATCCTGTTCCCTTTCCTGCGGACAAAATCGCCTTATGCTTGTCGCGGCTGCGTGTTCGTAGCTGAAGTGGACCGCTATTCTGGGTGCTAATATGCCGCGGATCGTGGTACGTGCTCTTCCCTTCCGCACTTTACTCGCTTACTGACACGATACCCTTTCTTATGCACCGCTTCCTCGCCTCCGGCGATGGGGAAGAACCTGACGTGATGCGGTATCTCCTTTCTCTGTTTGCGCCTACGCATATAGCGGACCCTGGCCAACAAACGGACACTCCTTTTCTCTTCGTACATCCTCGTCGAGTGGCCGGAGCTTCCGTTCAACATCCGAGTCTGCTCATTCCTTGACTCTTCTATTTTCCCCTCGTGTCGAGACTCTCTGTGCCTCTCCATGTATTCCTCAAGGGCGAAAGCCATGCCAAAGCGCATCACGGCACCTACTTTCACTTAGCTCTCCTGCCGCCGCTGAGAAATCCTCGTTTTGGGATCTCTCTTGTACGTCTCGAGTGAAAGAAGAAGTCAAAATATGTGTGCTGTGCCCCGTCGTGGGTGTGATTCTAAACCTCTCGACTAGGGCTTGAGCGAAAGACCACTCAGATCCCTTGTATCAAAGATTCGGTTTAATCGTCTTTTCATGAGGCACTCGAAACACCGAGACACGGGTCGTTGCCCACTCCTACTACCAAGGTGCACACGAATTGCAGTGGAATTTATTAATCCGTCTTCAGTTCGATCGCCTTTTCATTTGTAGGATCATATGATCTGTGTCTCGCTTGCTTGGAGCGCGCTGCACCCCTTGCATCTACGTAACTCTTCCATCTCAAAGACGGCTTGACGTTTCCAAAAAGGCACATCTCATTCGCCGGGGTTGTCTCACAATCCGGCATCGAAGATAGGTGGACACTTTCAGAACCCGAACGGTTGCTATTCGTGTTTCTCAGGTGCTTTATTCTCTCCGTGTTCAATTCTTCGTACGAGGAGGGCATTATCACGTCAGTTCATCACGGCACCCTTCTCGATCTAGCTCTCCAGCCTCACCGAAGGAATTTCCGTTGAAATTTCTCGGATTTGTCTGGAGCTTCAAAAGTGAAATGCACAGTCGGGTGCCGTGCCTCTTCTGAACGTCGTTACTCTTCTCCATGGCACGCGTTAAGTGCGCCTTCTCGTCTAAATGCCAGTGTAATTTCTTCGTCTTGTTTCGTTCTGTTTCAATGGGCAAGCGTCCAAAGCATTGAGACGGAGATTTGGAAATTGTCCTCATCTTTAAGGCGACTACAAACAGTGCCAATGTCCTTCGTTTGGTGTCGTTTCCGTAGCCTTTATCATAAAGAGCATGACGGATTTCCGTCTCACTCGTAGTAAGCACTTAAAGTACGCCAAAGGAAATGGAAAACTTGATTTCTTTCTGGGTTCCAGATGCAGTTCCATGCTTACTGTGCAACCCAACATCGTTCTAACAGGAAAATACGGGATTTACATCCCGTATTTTCGTCCGCATTTCAAATTGAACATGAATGTGCCTCTCGATTTCGCAACTGATCCGAGATCCCGATTTGACAGCTTTCCAGTGCTGCCTTCCTGACTGCGAATGTCGACGGAGCAATCGGACGACCTATGGGCGATGAGTCGTTAGCACCCTCGATGCTCAAAGTGAACATTCTGAGCACCAATACGCTGAAGGTAATAGAAGGGGTCTAAGTTCAAACAGCAGGGGATTTCTCGGATAAGCACCGCCTTGAAAGAGACTTTCCGTCCAGCAGCAGCGGTGCGAAAATCTGGCGTATTGCCAGACTTATCGCAAATATCAGCGTGCATATCGTGCTGCGGCTTCGACGCTGACTCCATTTCAAGGCGGAGGCATCTTGAACCTAGATCGCTGCTCGAAGGAATTTCTGAAGGTGGTGAAGAGATTCGGTGCGATAGGGTCTAAAAGGAGGGAAATTCGGCACAGGAACACCATAGCATCCACAGCCGTCGTGTTCAATAGAGACACCACCAGCCCCCTGCCCATCGTGCAAGAGCACGCGGCTGAAATAAAGCTGTGGTGAAGGAGGCAGAACGCACGTGGATGGGTGGTGCTCGTGGCCTCAGTTTCTCGAGGGATATTTCCTGGATGAAAGAGGGAGAATCGTGTAAGTTAATAAGCCCAGTACGATGGACCTGCGTCTCGATGCTTCAGCGAGTTCCTCAAGCATAGACGAGAAAGAGAACGACCACAAGCATTCCAAGCTAGAATAAGACGCTATGACTCGAGTTGGCTTACCGTTTCAAGGATGCGAGCCAACCTCAGGTCGAGCTTGGCCAAAGGGCAGCATACAGAGGACGACACAGCATTATATGATGTGCCTCATCCAGATGCACGATAGAGAAAGGAAAGCACCACCTCTTTGTCAACGGCCAGAGGAGAATGTGCCGCGGAGGTGCTGTGACACGCGTCGATGGGCCAGTTTCCCTGGGTCACGAAGGATTGCGGAGACGCCAAATTCCATTGGAAAAGACCCCGAATCTCGATACGCCCTTTATCTATTGCACCGACAGGTGTAGACGAGGACGCAGAGGGAATTAGTGTTTCGAACCTGGCTCGCTCTGGGATTCTCTCGTGGACAGGATCGGAGGGGGATGGAGCAAGGAGACAGGGTGGGACAGCAATGTTGGCACGGCGGGGCCAGGCAGGCGCAAGATCAGACTGGTTCTGAGCGAGAGGCGAGCATGGATGTCAGGGTCAAATGGCGTTGAGGGATATGGAGGCTGATCATGATTTCATGTTGGCGAGGAGGATACAGAGAACGTAAGCTGCACGAGACGGAAGGAACAAATAGTGCACGGCGCACCTAGGACCGCTGCACCGCTACACCAGATCCCAACCGATCGAACATGCGAAAGCCGAATGGTGGTTTACAAGTTGAATCGTCGGCCAGAGCGGCGCAGGAGGGCTCGGGACGAGGTAAATCCTCAGTCAGAGTGGTGCGGGAGAGAGTAAGAGGGATGGGAGAAGAGGAACGGAACGGCAGGGAACATGATATTCTTGGGGGGAAGGAACGCCGAGCTTTGGTCGTGTTAGGATACAGGCTTGACGTCCTTATCCGGTGCTCGATAAGATAAGCATCGGCTTCCTTTTCTCCGACACCCCCTTTTCTTTCCCTGATATTTCTCTGGACGTCAATCCTACTTCGAACACTCAGGGAGATGTAGTGGGACAACTGGAATTGGACTTGGGGGGCTTGTATGGCAAGTTGGATTGGGCTTCTCGGTTGAGGTACGTCGCATCCCATCGTCGCCGCTATCCCATCCAACTAATTCCCTTCTCTCCCTCTTCGTCATTTTTGATCTACAGCTAATGGCGACCAGTTGTTACCGCTTCTTCAACCACTCGACCACAACAGGCTATAATTCATCGACCGATCTTCTCCTCCTCCCTAGCTCTCAATCCCAGAGACGTATAGCATCTCATATGACTTGATATGTATCTGCATCCACACACATCCCACCTTCCGATGTGCCCTCTGCCTGCAGGCGAATCTCAGAGCGAGGCCGGTCGTGCGCGCCACTTCCCCCTGTGTATCATCCTATTCTTCCAACTGAGAAATGACCATTGGGGGTATATCGTGCAGATTCAACTGGCCTCGCTCTGTTCTATTCCCTCCAGAGGTATCGTATCTCCACATAGTCCTCCTCGCGAGTGGACGTTAGTGTGCTTCAGCGACACCGTACAAAGTTTGCATCCTACCGTACGTTCTTTCTTATATACTCGTCTCTAATTCACGAACACAACGTTCATCGCATCCCAACGTTCTTATTCGATTCGCGTTCTCCACGGCACGGACGACGCTCCGTCGTTTCATGCATGCCGTGCTCTATATGAGCGTCTCCAATCTTTCATTCGTTCCTATCTTGCCCGTCCTCCTGCCCCGAACACCCCATCGCTATCGAAGCCGAAGAGTAGGGACGCATCGCGATGTGATCGTCTCTGGGCCTGCTGATGCTCCTCCGATGCTTAAAGCTGCGGAGTATAGCCGGTTGGAGAGTCTCGCCTTGTCGTGAAACCATCTCTGCTCTTTGCGCTTCCTTTACGAGGGATCCGATTATCGGTATCCGTGAACATGCCATGAAGCATACAGTGCACGCGTCCAGTAGGTCTCTCGACTTTTCTGTGTTTCGTTACCTCTCTGTCCGGCCTTTCTCGGTGTTACTTACCCCTCGGTGGATGGCATGCTAAATACAGCGCGTCACGGCACTTCTATGCCACCTTGTTCTGCAGACGCTGTCGAGGAGGATCAATTTATTGATCTTCTTAAGAGGGTTTTAATAAACTTGCTGAAGGGCTGTGCTGTGTCTCGTTCGCGATTGGCGATTGTTCTCATCGGACGATCTAGGTGAGATTGCAAGCGTAGACTGGGAAGTTCGACTCGGGTACGGGTGCTCATTCCACCGTGTGTGCCTTGTCTGCATTCGTCATAACGAGGCAGCCCAAGGGACATTTGGCTAATGGAGCGGTGATTACGTACCACTTGCTCGAGTCGAACAGTTGTTTTCTGGCTGGTCGCGTTGTGATGGGCATCTCATATGCGCCTGAAGGTCGACGACCGCGTTTATTACATCACCTCACCTTATTTATTCCATGATATGCCCCTTTTTCAAAAGGATGGGCTCGTTGGCTTCGAAGTTTGTTCGCCCTCACGATACTCGGCGGGCCGGCCCGTTTGGCTGACGGGCGCAGGCACAGCCCTGAGCCACCCCGCCCTTCGCGCATCGTGAATAGCAGCCATTACGAGCAAGCTGGGGGTATAAAGAGAATTTTCTCGTGTATAGTACATATAGTATACAATGATTCCAAGATATGGAGTCTCGAGAAGGCGGTGCACAGTTTTGGCACTGTAGTCTGCGATGGGCGCTTAGATACATAAGGATAACGCGAGAACGTACCTCCTGCTCTCCCGCAACGACATATCGACTCGAAACCAATTTTCCCGTGCTCGAAAGATGCTTGGAATCCGTGTGAGGGTGTTTTTGCTGTGCCACAGGGCACGAAGCACTTTTGGGGGTTCGTATTCCGTCAGGTGTCTCTGTGGCAACGCGAAGATCGAGCACGCATTCCCAGCGCATTCTAGGATTACTATCCTGGAAATTAAAAACATAAGCGTAAAGTGAATTAGAAACACGAGCTTTAATGTGTATTCCCTATGCTTGCCAGAAGGAAACTTCGAGATTTCTGGGAGGCTTTGGTTGCCAATCAAAGTCAATTGAAAGCATGAGAGCCGTCTGATCTCGTTGACGAAGCCGAATTTCAGGAGGACTGGGAGAGGGGCATAGGAAAATTAGCGTGCACTAGCGTGCAAGCGCGGCGCGCTGATTGCACGCCCCTCACGCTCTTGCCTGAGAGAGTATGCGTTCTATTATAAGATAAACATTGGAATGATATATAATTAAGATAGTATAAAGTGTTTTTCGCTTCAGCAGGTGGTAGTGAGTGAGAAGACAAGGATTGTATACAAGAAGCAGCCGTGTAGTTCCCCTACCCTAACACACCCCTATGGAGTCCATTCGGAAGACCCATTTCTTCATTTTCAACTATAAATACATGGCTATTTGTCGAAATCACCTAGTGCCAAATTCTTCATTGGTGAAACCATGCTAAATATGATACAACGAGGAGGGAACTAGTCGTGTGAATTTCAGCTGAAGAGTTTAAGCGCCGAGATAAATGTCCGAATCCTCAGAGTGTGCCAGGCTTATCGACCGGAAAGTACTTGGGATACGTAAATTAGGACGTTAAACGTCCTAAATCTCCCATCAATTTACCAATGACGTCTATGCACCCAGGAGGAGGGCGGAAAACTGAAATATCTCTCCCCTGAGTGCGCAGAATTAGGCCCGAAGCACTACAAATACAGGCATAGAAAATGATTGAATTCCCGTAGATCCGTTATCATTAAAATTCTAAAGCTGCATGCCATCTTCGGGTCATTGCATGCTCATGCACGCTCTTTGCCTGCTGTGTGTGCGGGTGGCCCAGCAGCTGCATGCACACTAATGCACAGCCACATGCACGCTACGGTGCACGCTAGCGTGCAAGGTGGCACGCCGACTTCCCTTTGCCCATGAGAGATGGCTGCAGAGTCCAGTTGCGAGGTGTCGTGTATGAATTTGCTCTCGTTGTTACAGCGAAAGGCCCTGCACACGACAAAAGGAACAAATAGTGCATGGCGCACCTAGGACCGCTGCACCAAATCCCAACCGATCGAACATGCGAAAGCCAGATTTATATGCCACGTCCTCATCAATCCGTGGTTTTAAAGTCGAATCGTCGGCCAGAGCGGCTCAGGAGAGAGCAGGAAGGGTGCGAGAAGGGTGCCAGGATCGAAGGAAGAGCAACGCGTCAGAGGGCTCGGGAAGGAACGCCGAGATTTGGCCATGTTAGGAAGTGGGCTCAAAGCCCTTATCGACCAGACGATAAGATACGAATTGTTGGCCAGAACAGCGGCGGGGAGAGCAAGAGGGATGGGAGAAGAGGAAAAGAGCAACTTCGTTGGAAGGCTCGGGAAGGAACACCGAGATTTGGTCATGTTAGGGAGCGGGGTTGATGTCCTTATCAGCTACTCGATAAGATAAGCATCAGTTTCCTTCTCACGCCCTCTTCCGACTCATCCTCTGAACCTCTTCGCTTCTCTATACGCCCAGCAGCCCTGCTCAAATTTGTCACGATAATCACCACGCTCGTCCGGCCTCTCTCACTACTCAGGATGTCCAGCTCGCCATTCCTTTCCCTGCTCTTGGGAGTACACCACTCCAGCTGCCCCCCTCGTCCGTGACGTTGCAAGGCAGGGGGCGTCTTGAGTGTATACAAGCTCCCCATGAATGGCAGCGGAAAGGATGCGTTGTGTCTGTCCTGACAGAGGTGCAATGAGATGTCGTTGGTTACCACCTCAAGCTCTCATTTCGATTGTGCATCTCGTCCTTTCCTTCATCTCTGGACGACTATGCCACTTGAAGCACTCTCAATGATGTGGATGGGGGGCAAGTGTTAGGCCTGGAGACTCGTACGGGTGGGCTGGAGCGGGCGAGGATTTCTCGGTTCAGATACGTCGTAACCCTTCTATTTTGCTCCGTCTCGTCCGGCTCACCATCTTCCTTCCCCGTTGCACGATGTACATTGAGAATCAGGCACATCCGTCCGTGTACTCCCACATGTCGAACTTCATCAACAACGACCATGTCCCTCCACGCCGACAGCTTGATTCTGAGATGCAATTCGCAGCATCGAGCATGACTTTGTATGCGCGTGCACACCCGCACAATCTATGCTCTGATCCAGCCCTCTGCCTTATCCCGCGGGCGAATCTCAGAGTGAGGCCGGTCATGCGCGTCACTTCCCCCCTGTGTGCCGTTCTACGTTATTCTTCCCGTAGAGAAAGAACCGTTGGGGGAATGGTAACGAGATGTCATTGGCCTCGCTCTATGCCATTCCCTCTGGAGGTATAGGCTCCCCCTCTACATGCAGGTTTCCTCTCTCGTGGATATTCGTGCGCTGTATCGACGCCGTCGTGTTGAACATTGCCTTAAGATCATTTGGTATGTTCTATCTTCTTGACTCGTCTCGAATTCACGAATCTGGCGCTTGTGGCTAGATTCTTCTGTGATTCATGTTCGCGACTGTACGCATACTCCCCGTCCGAACTTTCCTCCGCTAGCGCTACTCGGACCCATATTTCAGCCGCTCCCTCTTCCCACTTCAGAATTGTCGTCATCATCGAAGCCAACGAGGAGAGACGCATTGCGGTGCTTGCTGTCTCTGCGAGTCCTGACTCACATCTGCTAAGGACCGCGGTGTACGGCTGAATATTGAACTCGGACGTGTATGCGTCTCGGCTCTTCGTCCTTCTTTCGATGAGCCTCGACGCGACATCTGTGGTACGCGTGTTCGCTAGCTCTTCGCTTCGTTCCTTCTGCAAGCGCCTTTCTGGACGTCACTCAGTTCTGAGTAGAGACCACGCTACATAAACCACGTCACAGCACCTCTGCGGCACTTCGCTCTGCAACTGCTGTCGAGGAGAATCAACTTGTTGTTCCTCTCTCGAGCGGTTTCAGTATGATGTTATCTGAAGCTTGAAGCAGAGGTGCCGTGTCCCGTCCCAGTCGTGTACTCTCCATACTGGGTTCGAGACCCAGGTTCCGTCTATTATTTTGCGCAGAAGGACAAGGCGCTGAGATGCAGGCGAGACTCGGTCGCATTGTCAACACGAACGCAAGGGATGGGTATACTTCTAACACTCGATTCGGTAGACTCCTCGTTGTCGGACCTGCGTCTCTCACGCTGGGTGCCTTCTGAGCGAATTAGAGAGTATATCCTTCTCGACAGAGTCTTCTCAGTATAGACTTCGTGTAGATGGTATATTTCATGTAATAGCCTACGAGCTGCTGTTCTTTCTAACTATTAATCATATATGTTTCTATGCACTAGTACCTTCGAGAACTTCGCCGATATTCAGAGTATGCGATAGGTCTGTACCCCAACTCCGTTTCGGTTGGCTAGGAACTTGAACGGGTGATAAAGCCACCTGGTACGAGGGGCGGATGAGATCGTTGTGGATGGGCTCTCCGGCTTCGATATTGGGAGTGGCGGCATGTCGAACCCAGAGGGTCGTTTCTCGAAGCAGTCAGACGGTTCAGAGGTCGAGAATTTCGGCACAGGAATTGCGGAACTGCGCTGCATCCACAGCTCCGTTAAATCTCACTTATACGCCCAGCCCCTGCCCATCGTGCAAGAGCACGCGGCAGGAAGAAAGGCGTGGTGAAAGACACCGAAGAGGCATGGAAGGTGGCGCTCGTGCGAGCAATTTCTCTGGGAAGAGAGAGAACGGTGCAGGAGAACTATAGATAGATAGAATTTGGGAGCCGGGCCTTTAATCTCTGTGAATCGAGACGATGGAGATAAAAGTAAAACAGAGCACATCGGGAGGACACCAATGTCAATACCAGAGCAGTCCATGGTGACGTGGTGAAGGAAAGGGCAGTAGCTACCATTCTAGACCAAACGACAGGAGACATTCCGCCACCCAACAGGTCAGTGGGATGTCGAGCGACTGGAGTACGATCGCGATGGCGGTCGATGCCAAGTGTCTCGCAGCCCAAAACACCGAAATCGGATGGCGGATCGCTCTGCGATGGGCGAGATGATCAATCTGGGGGCCCTTCTCGCTACGCATGAAGGCCAGATTCGCACCTGCTGCCGTTTTACCCGTATCTTCCCTGTCCAACTCTGTCGCTAAACCCACAGCCGTCAATAAGAGTCCATTTGAATTCGATGGGTTCCGGAAATGGAACATCCAGAGGTCATAGAGTAGACGTTGACGAAAGTAATCCTCGACAGGCGTTCGAGACGGGTGGGACGGCCTGTGTGTAGGTGCCTAGCCAACTCGTATCATTCGCTATATCATCCTTTCCGCGATTTCAGCCTGAATTCCTAACTCCAGGAGTCTCCTCGCCTTTATATACAGGCAAGGATCAAGTCGCCCTCCGAGCTCTGTTTCATCTGCGTACAAGGGGAAAGTTTAGATGAGAGAGGACGAGACGGGGCGTACAGAAATTCAGGCGTAGGCGTGTGGCGAGTCGTGTGGTTGAACGAGTGGAACGGCGACTAGACGAAGAGGAAGGTGAGGACACGAAAACGACTTGGGCGGTGTGGCAGTTTGACTAGGAAGGGAGTGACCGAGACGAGAATAAAGAAGTACTAGAGACGTGGACGGACTGGTCGATGGAGATCGGGGACATCGAGGCGGAAATGAGGAGGATCAGCTGGATGAGACGAAGGGAACGAAGTGTGGACGACGCACCTAACACTCTCAACAAGACACGGGGTGTAGACAGGGCTAGCATCAGTGGGAATAGTTGCCTATCGCACCGTGTGGTTTCAACACCATTTCCCAAGTTCGACGTCGGGGTCCCGCAGGGGAACACACGGAGGTTGCAGAAGACACCGAGGAAAATTCTGTAAAGAAGTTCGAGATGGGAGACTTGTAAGCTGTGTGCGCGCTGACGTGCGTCCATCCGTCCATCTTACCCTTTCCTCGATTGCAGGAATATTAGCCATTTACAACCACAGGAGCCCTCATACCTTGGAGTATGGATGAAGACGCTCCTGGAGTGACACGGCTCGCAACCAGGGACAGGAGCAGCACGTCCGGAGAGGACGTAGCGGAACGGATAGATGGTTGGGAAGAAAGAGTGCCGTAGAGAGGGCGACACGAGAGTATTGTATAGCTTATCCTGGTAAAGATATGGGTGTTCAGCGTGACGAATTATCCGCATTTCCTGAATCATTCAAGCTGAGCGTATCACTCCTGCTGTCAGATCTTCTCCCATCCGAGATCTCTCATCCCTGCTGCCAGCATAGCTCGAGTGAGCACAAGTCCTCAGTCGACAACAGAGGAAGAGCAATGGCTGTGCCTACGAGCTTCTACGGGCACCCTAGTGTACGTCCTCGCGCTGCCTCGGCGATAGGCGAGGATCGTGTCGCCGGGGAAGTAGGATGCTCAGGTCGCCTTGCTCTATCTGATTTGTCTGTGGACGCAAGGCAGGAAGGGATCTAATGAAACATGATCGGGAATGCAGGCATTTAAGTGTGGGCATATGGCGATTCGTGTCAGCGAGGGTGATTGGATTGAAACAGCAAGTGGACGGAGACGAAGGTGCCAGACTAGTGAGAGAACTCGTTCGGCACCGTGACCAAGGGGAGTTGGACGGATATAGGTATCGAGATATTCTAGAGGCAGGGAAAGGATCGGTCGTTGAAGATCGGGCACATCGAGCCGGAAATAAGAAGGATCAGCCATGTGAGATGGAGGGAACGAGGGGTGGGCGACACACCAAGGCCAGTATTTCGATCGAGCTCGTTGAATCCAAATTCCTCCTTCGGGTCCAAGTTCTTGTGCTGAGTAGTTCAGCTTGAATTATAGTCCAGAGCGGTACCGGGAGGAGAGGCTGAAGCACTGAAGAGAGGAGGATGGAAGAGCAACGAGGCCGGAGTCGCCGGACGTTGAACTGGTATTTGGTCGTGTTAGGACTTGGGCTCAAAGGCCTTATCGGCCTGATGAATCGCGATAAGATGAGATGATATTGTCTCTTTCTTCCTAACCACCGTGCGGCCCTCCCGTCCTCTCAGTCTGCGTCTCTTCATCTCTACACGCCCGTCTGCCCCACCGTAACTATCCTCGCCACGCCATCCCAGCCTCTCTCTCGATCCAAGAGTCGTCGTTTCTTTCCCTGCTCACAAGTACACATCACTCGAGCCATCTCCTCAGCCGTGACGTTGCAAGGCGAGGTGCCCTCGAGTGTTTAGGAACCGTCAGTGATTCAATGGAAAGGACGTGTGGTGCGGAAGGCGGGTACACTAAAGGTCGTTTTTGGGCTGTATTAGGCTACAAACTTTCGGTTCAGGTGCGTCGTCACCCCCTCGTTCGCTCCGTCTCGTGTGGCTCACCTTCTTCATCCCGCCCAAGTCACATCTCCGGCCTCATCGACACCGATCATCTCCTTGCCTGCACGTTCACGAGGTCTATTCTGTCCGACCTACCCCTCCACCCGTCCAGACTCCGCAGACGAACGTCAGAGCGAGGACGAATGTGCATGCCCCTTCCCTCTGCGCCCGTTCTATAATTCCGATAGAGCGAGAAGCGTTTGGGGAAATTTGTGTGATTCATGATATCCATGATGGCACTACGGCCCCGCTCTGTTTTCTTCCGCATCGTATCCACACGCACTCCTCGCTCGTGTACGTGAATGTGCTGGCGCGACGCCGTGTCGAACTCAGCAACACATGGAAATCCCTTCTGTACGTCCTACCTTGTAGACCTCGTCTTCATGAACCTGATATATGCTTACTCTGCAGCTAGATCCGTCTGCGATTCCCATTTACGACGGTAGGCTCCCCCTTTGGACCTTCTGCCGTCACACACCATCCACGCATCCCGCTGTTTTCCCCGCCCCATCCTCCTCTCGTCCAGCCCCGGAAGCCTCGCCATCGTCGAAGGTTGAAGAGCAGGGACTGTGCGATACCTCCTCTCTCCACGCCTGCTGGTATTCATCTGCTTAAAACTGCGGAGCATAGCTGGTTGGAGAGTCTCATATATTAAACATCTCCCTGCTCTTCATCCATCTTTTGAGTGACCCGACGAGCCTCCACGTGTTATGCTATGCGCGTTCACTCTCTCGAGTTTTCTCCGGTTCGTTACCTCTCCGTTTGGCCTCTCTCAATGTTACTTCCTTCTATGCGGCGAGCACACCGAGGCGCGTCACAGTACCTCTGCTGCACTTCGCTCTGCAGCCGCTGTCGAGGAGAATCAACTTGTTGATACACTCTCGAGCCGCTTCATGGTTCTGTTTGAAGCCAAGGTGCTGTCCCGTCCCGGTCGTGTTCTTTTCGTACAGACTAGACACGCAAGTGCCGTCGTTCCTCATGTGCTATTATTAATTTACTGGCTGTTTAACTATTTCACGTAGAAGGAGATGGCGCTGAGACGCAGGACGAGACTCGGTCGCATCGTCAACACGAACGCAAGAGTCGGATGGGTATACTTCTGACCCTTGGTTCAGTAGACTCTTCATTTTCTGAGGTGTCGGTCCTGCGTCTCACTTGCCCGGTGCCTTCCGAGCGAATTTTGGAACGGCATAAATTTCCCGATACAATCTTTTTGATATATACTTCGTGTAGATGCATAATCCGATGCAGTAACAGCACCTACTACGTTTGTGTGTACACAATTAATTTAGGCGAACACCCTGCTGACGACCTCAGAATATAGTACATACAAACCCCGTATTGTCCGATTACGATTTTGAAGTGAGTGAGAAAGTGAGCGAATACACCAGCATGGCAAGAAGAAGGATGGATATCTCATACTACTGTACCGATACGACCTACTCTTCAGGCCTGGTGACGCGTGACATCCGTGAAGAGATTTGCAACTCTTCAAAGTTGGATGGGACCAAACCCGAAAGTCTTCGCGAATTTGGACGAAATATTCCTATATATAGTATGCCCAAACGCCCCGCAGGGCCCGAAAAAATCACCTTCGTACGTGTGGCCATTCCGTCGGTGATAAGGTGTGCACGGCCCCGCCCTGTGGAGTCAGCGGCGAGGCCTGCAAAACGGGAACATGAGATTTCGGGAGCAAGGTAAGGAGGTATGAGGAGAAAAAGGGATAGGAATAAGAATAAAGATAGGGGAGAAAAATCGGGAGAGGATGAAGGTAGATGAGAGGAGCGATGGGTCACGAAATCAAGGATTCAGAAGATTGGAAAGGGTGGGAGATAAGGGCGGCAAGCAGGGCAGGGTGATGTCGAATATAGATAGCAAAAGTTTCAGACAACCACCGGCCAATAGCCTGAATGAGGTGCAAGGGAATGCCCGCAAGAGCCAATGCAGTTGCGCCACCAGCACGAAGTGAGTGGCCGCCGATGTCTCCGTCGAAGTGAATTCGTAGGTGTCTGATGAACCAGCTGTGGGTGGGAACTGTGCCGTTTCCGCGAAGCCAGAGGTGTGGGTGGAGGTCAAAATGTGCATCACGGGAGGCAAGATAGGCCTTGAATATGGAAACGGGGTTGTTGGGGGTGGTGGTCGAGTTGATGAGGACACGGTTGCCCTCAAAAAGGCGGTCAGCTTTGTGTGACGGCAGGAGGAAAGAAAAGGAGGAGTCAGAGACAGACACAGAGGACCTCGAAATGACCTTCCGGTAGTCGCGCAGGGCAATCTTGTCAGGTAATACACTTTCACCCAGACGCATGAGACCATGGAAGGATGTGGTGAGGATAGCGAGGAAAAGGAGGTCGTCGTGAGATGCTGTGGGGCGGAGGGAGGTGCACACATCAGCGAGTTTGTCGCGACCGATCGGGCGTTTGCGATGGGTGGGGATAGCACGAAGCTTGGTGCAGCCCGTCAGGGTGCGAGTAACGAGCTTGTCCTTGCGAGATTGGTGGACAGAAGGGTAGAGGGGTTCGAGCTGGTTACAAATACCCGAAAGGTAAGATCGTACAGAAGAAGGTTTGATGAAATGGCATGTGTATACAACGAAAAAAGAAAGGGTGTCTGGGGTGGGTTCTATGGGGAAACCATGCCTACTACAGAAGGCGAGGTAAGAGTGAAGGGCAGAAGTATATGAGGAAATGGACGAGGGTTCCAGTGCAAAACCTAGGGCGATGGCGCTCATGCTCGAGGCGCTCGCACGACCAGGCTGGCCATACAGGCTGCCTGGCAGAAATTGCGCATGGCATTACAGGGATGGCCCCAGCCACAGAGGAGGGGGTTGGAATTGGGATACGTGGAGCATAGGATAAAGTGAGGCAACAATGTCGTTCCGGAAGCGTGATAGCGCATTGGCGACTGTGTTGAGCTCTCTGGGGATGTAAACCATGTGCAGTTGAGTGCCATAGCTGATCATGAGGTTGACAGCAGTGATCAGGATGGGGTTGAATGCCGGGGAGGCACGAGTGAATCAAAGATGTCGACAGTGTTGGTGTTGTCGCAATATATGACGACATGTGTTGGTGGGGGACAAGAGCGGAGCACAATCCACTCAAAGGCAAAGAGGACAGCAAGTGCTTCCCAGTAGAATATGATACTGGGGTCGACAGCAGCGCTGGTGATGTCAGCAGTGGCGCACTGAAAACCCTGCAGGAGGTCAGGTGACCAGAAACCCATCCCATCGAGACAGGCATCGGTGTAGAGGGTGTTGTTGGAGTTAGCCAACCCAGCATTTACTCGAACTTACCAGAATACTTGATTAGTAATATTCTGACTCACTTAGCATAGCCTCGGACAAATAGGAAATTAGTAGATAGTACTAGAATATTGTAGATACATAATTGTACAGTATAAAAGAGCTCTGTAGGAGCCCCGGAATATTAATCCTCTCTTACCTTCTGACCACCACTGCGCCAACAGGTGTGATCAGCGGAACTAAGGGGCCATTCAACAGAGTCGAGAAGGAACACCCCCCTGAGTTCTTGATGTGATCTGTGACCCAGTGTAGCTCAGCACACAGGCACTGGTTGACCCATATCAGAGCGGAGCTCTTCTGATTGCCAGCCATCTTGTGGTAGAGGGTGCAGAGGCCAGGACAAAGGAGAGGGAAGACGTTCAGGGCCCAATTAATCCAACCAGCGAGCTCCTGGAAAGCTGAAAGGGTATGGCGGCGTCCGTGGGTGGCGAAGTCGCAAATGGAGGCGAGAAGATCGAACTTGGATGCTTCAGGCATAGTGATGGTCATGGTGTTTGCGTTGACCTCGAAACCTATGATAGTGAGGGTGGGACCCCACTGCTGTTTTGGCTTGTCATGGGGGATGTTGAGAATGTCGAGTAGGTGAAGGAAGTTCGCCTGCTTTGCTGGCAACAACCTGTTGTATCTGCTGTACATCACAAGGTTCCCCTCGATGTCCCATGAGAAGACGTCGACGTAGGCGAGCAGGTCTGCGAGGCATATGATATAGACACCGATCCACAGAACGAGTGAGAAAACGCGGCCCCACAGGCTGCCCCCAGCCCGGCTGCCAAAGTTGTTGTTCCTGTCGACGTTGAAAGACCCGTCAAGTTTCACGACCTGCTTGATCTGCCATAAAGGGTGCATGGGGATGCATCGATAGGCCCGCTTCACATTGGACTTCCACAGGACAATGCGGGAGTCGGGACCAAGGGAAGCACGAGCATTGCATAAGGCTCTGCTGAGATCATGCAGGTTGTCGAGAGGAACAGAGACGTGGCACTTGGGAATGAGGCTGTTGCGGGCAGCAGGCTCAGCGCTGTGGTTGACACATAGTCTGAGCTTCTCAGAGTGGGCTTTGGTGGCGATTGTGACAGGCACACTGAGCATTCCGGGCAACAACGACGAAAAAGTTGGCGAGAAAGTACCAAAAGAAATTTCAATCCGGCATTGCTCCTCTGCGAAAGCTAGGTGGGCTGGATCTCTGATGTACTCATCCATGTCGAGCATCACAGGGAGCTCTGCAGAGGAGGTGTCTGCCCAGGGCCAAAATCCGTGAATCAAACCTTCACATACAGACCGTACAAACGGCTGGTTGGGATGAGACACAAGGAAGTTGTTGAGGACAGAGATGCGGATTGGGGACACGACTTGGAAGAGGTAAGGATAGGATGAGATGGTGTGGCAGGTAATGGAGTTTGAGAGTTTGTGGGTGGGAACAGGGGGCATGGGGTTGAAGTGTTCGGAGGCGAGGGCAAGTGTCACACGAGGCTGCTCGTTCTCTTCCCAGATGAAATCGCGTGCATGACGAGGACAGTAGGACACCATGTTGAAACGATTTGGATGCTCATCGCTTCTTCGAGCTTGGGCAGTCGTCAGTGACGTGGCCGGTGTTCCGGCACCTTGAACAGATGTGAGCGTACTCGCATGTTGCGGCAGAGTTTGGGCACCGCCCTCCGTTCCAGCATCAGCAAGCCTCCCACCTGCCACCAGTGTTCCGTCCTCCTGCTCTGAGGTTTTAGCGGCCATTGGACTTGTCATCGTGTCATGAAACGCCACCAGCAAACTGTACCCAATGCATACTGATGTCGGCAAAACTCGTGGTGTCGGTGAGTGAGATATCGCGTCGGGCTGTGACATGCAATCGAACAGCCTTGTCATAGTCGATGATGCGAGAATGCATGGTAGTTGGGACGGCGGCAAAGAGCTGATTGATGTGGGCTGCGTAGGAGTCGAGCTCGGATTCTCGGTGGGGGAAAACAAATTTGAGAGCTTGGGAGTAGTGCCCCCAAGCGATTGTCCAAGACGAGTGGTCGGAGACTTTCTTTGCCGTGACAGAGGAACCGGTGATGATCTCGAGGGAACCAAGTGTTTCGCGGGCCCTGGTATCGGGCGCGATGGCATGGATTCCGGACAGCACGTGGTCGAGGTCGACACTTCGACCAGCGAGGATGTTTGTCCACTCGGAGTCTGGGAATTGGGGGCATCAAGGGGAGTTGACGCGGGATTGTTTGGCAAATTTTGGATCCCGGGCAAAGTTTTCGAGCGCAGTAAGGGTCTTCTGAAGCCCTGGTGAGAGATTGGAGGGCGAGATCTCTTCTCTTGCGACCCAGGCAAACATTCGGGAGTCAATTCGTTTCCGAGGGGCGTTCCCCAGCTTCATCATCGCCCTCATCCAACGCCTGACTCCTCTTTTGCGCGCTGTCGAAAAAGCCAGTGTTTTCATCTGCTTCGTCTTCAGACTCAGCTCCTCCCCCAGCGTGTCCAGCATTTCCTCCGCCGTTTTCACCTCCGGGAGTAGCTTGATCGTCTCGGTGTCGCGAAGTTGAGCCTCGGGCAGCTGCCGAACGGCGAAATTCGTCGAAGTTGTCCAGGATTTCGATGTAAGAGTCGAAAGCCTCGACAGCAGACTGGTGGCTCGCTCTTTGGCTATGGGCAGCCCCACCAATGACGTTGTGGATACCGAGGAAAGCTCCGGCCTTGCTAATGGTTCCTGCTCTGTAACGCTCGACGTAGCGATTACAAGCTTCTCTGATAGCCTGGGACAACTCGAACGTCGCAGTCCTCGGTGGCGACGACTCTCTGGAACCGGATCTTTGGGCATTCGGAGGAAGCGAAGAGGACGCGGATCCGGTAGTGGTTGGTTGAGTGGAAGGCTCACTTGCAGGCATGTCGTTCGCAGCTGGATGCGAAGGAGGGGCAGGAGTAGGACCAGAGTCTGTCATCAGACACTACTCGAAGTATGAGACACGGAGGATCTGAGTCGATGGGGATTGAAGTGACGAAAATGATGGAGCAGTGCGACGGAATGGCTAAGACTAGTGAACCGGTGAGCGACGCTCGGAAAGCAGTGGCTCGTCGATTCCCAGGTGTGCCGTTATATGGGAGAGTGGGTCTCGCCACACAAGGGGGCATGCATCGTGAACAAGAACAGGTCTTGTTCGTTCACGAGCGGAGGAACGGAGCATCCCAGAACGGGGACACGGAGTCCATGCATGCGCGCTGAGCGTACACGTCCTGGTTAGCTGTACGCGCGGAGCGTGACGGAGAGTGTGACGTACCTTGGAGATTAGCCTTGAGTAAACAAACGTTTAAACTCGAAAAAATGTGTCACTCTTCAAACTGCCTCAGGACGCGTGACATTTCCCGAAATCTCTTCTCTTCAAACCTCTCTGTGACGCGTGACCGAAGAGTAGGTCGTATCGGTACAGTAGTTGTTGTTCGAGTCGAACTATTGGAAATAGGATTAGACCCTGTCAGATAAATAACACGAGTTCACGTTCGAATGGAAGAAGGGAATTTTCATGAGCATTCACGAGACCTCTCGTAGAGATGGAACAAAAGGATTCAGAGCAACACATCCACGAATACCCGAGGACCGTTGAGCATTTTATCGGGCTCGGTTAAGGGCCGGCTGTTTTCCTAACAATGCCAATCAGGGGGTGATTTCGTCCTTCCTTTCATTCTGTCAATCTTTTGCCATTCTCAAATCTCACATCTGCCTTCCACATCAATAATCCAATTGTGCATTTCTCTCCAGGACAAAGACAAGACTCGGAGCAGCGGCACCCACAACGACGACGATCTCTCTCGATCTCGGATGTCGGTACTTGGGTGTTCGAGATGGGGGCGTCTAGCGAGTTTGAGCTGCGAGGAGACGACACAGGTGCGTCTTATGTCTACAACACGCCCAGAGATTGCCATGAGTCTTACAGACATACACTTTCTCGCTCGATACGTGCCATGCACTACTTGGGAGATTCGAGCCTACTCGACTTGCCTCGCGCCCCACACCGGTCGTCGCCTCCGAACCCTGCCCATCTGGTGCACGATCTCCCTCAATTCGGTCTCAATGTCCGGCGTCACTTACATGGAGCCTGTCTTCCCCCCTCCATTCACCCGTCCCCATGTCAATGGTGCACGTCATCCCTTCCTCTCGAAGGCGTTCTCCTCCCTCTCCTTTCGTCCTTCATCCTTCACCTCTCCTGGTGCTCTGCAGTGCTCTACGCACCACTCATTGCCGCAAATCCTCAAGTGATCAAGGATGTCGGACGCAGAGCATGCACTGGCCCCGATGCTTGTATCCATATCCCACTTTGCCTACCTTGTGGGCGAATCTCATATGGATTCCTGTCAACATCGTTTTCAGTGTTGCTCTGCGTCGCATCTTTAGCGCACGCCTGACTCGTGTTTTTTTTTTTCAACGACTCCGAGCAGTCGACGTTGTCTGCTGCAATGGTTGGTCTGGGGTGGGGTTCATCTTTCCTGCAATGGTGACGGTCCCCTCTGAAGTTGGTCCGCTTCTGGATGGAGAGGCACGATATTGGGTTTTCATTGTTTATGAGAGGAGCGCGAGCATTTCCCTTTTGTGTCAATGACGAAGCTAAGGCGTCTACACTCTACTGCCACTCATCTACGGAAGTTGTCGTCTGTTCCCACCTCTCTCATCTTCGACATTCGCCGTTCCGACCTTCGCTCCCTTTCTCGCCTGCGGTCTTGTTCGATTCTCATTTACACGCCCATCGGAGATGTCAAGACCTGCTCTTTTGCACCTCCAGACGATCCAGCGAGCACTTTTCTCGTCTGGAAAGGGAAATGTTGATGACACAGTACCCCTCCTTGACGTCTGCGAGGTGCGCATTGACTCGGGCGTCCGGCTCGTGGCTCGTTTACTTAGTCTTTTGTTCATTACTGCTGTTTCTTCCCCGACTCTCGCCCACCGCTGACGAGAGACGAAGGGTGGGAGCAAGCGTCATCTTCCGCCCATGGCTTCGTCACCTCGACGATAAGGTCGATAGAGAGGGCCTGATTGGCTGATATTCCACGCAGCACTCCCTCTCTTCGTTCTTGAAGCGATGTCGTGTGCGCTCAGTTGGGCGTCTTAGACTTTGTTCTTGACTCATTTTGTTCATTTTCCATTCCTTCCTTCCTTCCTTCCTTCCTTCCTTCCTTCAATCATCTGATCCCCTTTTCTCTTCCTGATTGATTCACCCACGTTTTCTTTTTTTCTACTCGACGTGGTTGTCCCCGCCTCCACCCGACACCGCGAGAATACGGAGAGGAGCCTTCGTGCAGTTCTATCGCTCTTACCAACTTCTTACTCCTTCCTATTATCTCTCCAGCTCACAGATAGTTCTGCAGCAAGCCCAAACGCTCAAGAAGTGCCGTGAAACCCCTATACGGACGTTGTCGAAGTCGGAATGGGTAGGATTTGGAGGGGTTGACCCTCTCGGTGTAATCTGCACGGAGGTACGTGACGACGTGCACTTGCATTTCTAGTATTATCTGAGGACCATCTGCCCCATCAGACTTGTCACTATCGCCACCAAACTCGCCCAGCCTCCTTCCTCACTCAGACACTCTGGTTCGTTCCTGGCAGTTACTGGTACCACCACTTCAGCCATCTCCTCACCCGCCATATACGCGACTCGCCACATTCCATTACTCTCCCCCCTACAAGAACCTCTACGGCCATATATCGGAGCTTGGATTCTCAAGCCCACACCCTTCGTGCGCCGCAGATTTCCCCGATTGTCTGTCGCTATTGTCGCGAGAGGTTCGTTGTAGGGATGGTATATGGTATTTCTGTGTATCGACATCCATAAGCATCATCTTTCCGACCCTAACCGTCCGTCTCACATTTCTTCCTCCTTCTCGCCGCATCCATCTCCCGCCCGAATCTGCCCATCTGATGCACTGTCCTATCGCCTTGTCTCCAAACACGAGTACCCCCTCCTCACTCGGCCCGTCCGTCCGTCCGTCGTCCGCTCCATCCCTCAGCCTCCACCCCCGTTCTCAACAGCCATCGGAGAAGTAACTTGCACCCCGTTCGCGGATGGGATTGACATGGGATTGACATTAACGTGTAATGGGTGGGTGGTGCTCTGGGACGTTGGCGATCGCGTGGATGGTGAGTACTGTGTTCGAGACCCCAGTCCGTTGTATTGTAATAACTCACCCGCGGCCTTTCCATAGCCCCTCCCTCCCGAGCTCCATCGTCGGGCGATGCAGCGGGTAGACACTGTACATGTCCTCGTCTCAGCTCCCTCCCTCAGCTCGTAGTCTGCTTTTGTCAGACAGCAGAGATTCTTATCTTATCTGCGGAAGGCCCCCGATTTCTAACAATACCAAATCATCGATGTCCCCCCAGGTCGAAACTTTAGCTCTTTTCCACCTCTTTCCCCTCTTCTCGTCGTCTTTTGACCTCAGATCCTTCGAGTTATTATCAACGGCCAGCAAAAAACTGTCAAAACTGTCGTGCCCCACCCGAAAAAAGCCTTACGGGCTTCGTCGGAGTCGAGTTGGGCAGGATCGGGAGGCTTGTGTCGGTGTGATCTGCGAGGAGGTACGTCGTGCATATCTAGTCTCCTGACAGCCTTGCTCGCATCAAATGTCAGGACTATACTCTCCGTGAGAGCCCTCCGTATGCCTCCTCGTCCCAGCCTAATGAGGATGGCGTTGAGTCTGTGGGTTTCGGTGTGATGTCAACTCAGATCGATGCTCAAGATGTACCACATCACCATCGCCTTCCTTCCCGACTCCCACTTCGAACTTTTCTGCGAGTGGTTGCAGAGCCCGAAGTCTGGAGGATATAGTCAAATGAATCCCGTCGGGACGGTATCAGGTACATCGTCCCTTTTCTTTCCGCTCAACACCCATTCCCTGCATTATTTCTTTTCTGGACTTAATGCCATTACTTGGCTCCCAGAATCATATGTCTGGCCTCCGCCTTTCATTTTGTTGGATGGATAGTTCGAGACAAGACGACTCGTTCGCCTGAACCACCTTCCCGGCGGATGCGATAAAGGTCGTAGGATGGACAGAACTTCGTTGTGGGCCCTACCATGCTGGATATGGGCAGCTGTAACTGCCATCTTTGTGAAATATTGAGTGCCTCACCCGGCCTTTCCTAGGTCCTGTTCATTTCTCGTTCTTCTCTTCTTACCTCAATCTCCATTCTCTTTCCCTTCCTCTCCGTTCTTTCTTCCCCCCTTATGCACCAGCCTCTCGTCTGGAACCCGAAAAGCAGGGACTCTGCATTCGTTTATCCACGCACCTCCGATTCCTCCGATCCTCGATGGGGCGGCATGGATATTGAGTAACTGCAAGGCCCCTGCTCTTCGCTCCTTCGACCAGATTTCATGGGCTTGGGTCGTCCAGTCATCGCTAGGACGCACTCTCGAGCATACGGATGCTTCTTTCAAATTGCCTTTCCTTTCTCTTTGATACGTGGTACCATAGAAGTAGGTTGGGTCCTGCTAGTTTCCTCGAGACTCGTGTGGTACAGCGATGCTTGGAGCATCCTCTATCGCTATAGACACCGCAGAAGCGCTTATCCCCGTGCTCTCCCAACATTTCCCTTAAGGAATTCCTTATTCCTTCTTCACGATTCGCGTCGATCGAATATTATTTCTTCTCATCTGACCTCATCTTCTCAATTGCAACGAGATTATTCCAAATTACGGTCCGCTACTCGCATGCATGGTCTCGGTAGGACATGAAGGCCGCACGCGTGCTCGGCATCGCCGGTTCGGGTGTCCTTTGCCATCTTGTAACGAACAGATGCTCGATCGCGCTTCTGCTCGTCAGCCTGGCGTGAAAGACTTCACTAGGAACGTCGGTGCTGAATCGTCGTGCCCATAGGAATCGTACTCCATCCAAGGCATTGCGCCCGTATTGTGTTCGTTCTTCGGATTCCTTTGTGTTGTACTGCCCGCTCGAGTTATGGATTGGACGTTGTATCGGGAATATAACGATCATTGTAAATCTGTTCCGCTGCTTGAGAGGCATCGAGTATCAGCTTCGTCATTTGGATTCAGCGTCTCCAAGCTAACAGGACCTCTAGGCACCGTGTCTTACGTAGCAAGTCCTCGTTTCACAGCTAGCCGAACTTTCACTGCTGTCGAATGGCTAAAGATGGACGGAATGAGCTTTTTTCACCCTATGTACCTCTGCCTATGCCTGATTTCCTTAGAGTACCAATTCAAAGCAATTCAAAGAAGCGTAAACTCGAGCAGGCGTAGACCAAGGACGCAGACTTCCCAGAAGAATGCATAGGGGAAGTATATAGAAATATTTATGATCGCGCAAACATGAAGCCAAGGTTGATATCACGCCCATCCACAGCACATGTCGAAAAATCACAACACAAGCTGGGCACCCACTGCGAAAGAGCTGGGGGATGCGAAGGTGTGTGGTGGCAGCAAAAGACCATGGATGGGCGGGTGCTCGCCTCGGTGGAGTGGGGCGCAATACATAGAGTATCTGCGAGGGAATGGATAGGAATAGAGAGAGTGAGATGCCTCCAGGTGGGATACGAGTACAGGGGTCGACGAAGCGAGGTGATAAGGATTGAAGACAAGCCATGACAGACAATCGAGCGAGCCATCATATGCATAAACCAACTTGAATCGTTGTTCGCGTTGTCCTTTCCGCGATTGCGTGGAGACGTCAGGTCTCTCTTTACAACTACAGCGGCCCTCTCGCCTTGAGATACGGGGTCGGAGGCTGATGGGGTTGTAAGGCCCGCAATCAAGAAAGGAGCAGCGAATTTGAGTGGGAGACATGATATAAGTGGCAGATTTTGGAGAGAACATAGTGGCGGGCAGGGTCAAAGCGAACGAGGAGGTGCTGGAGTGATTGGGAAGAAAGGGCGGCGTCGTGAGGCTGACACGAGGTTAACGGCGAGTCGTGAGGTTGATCGGGTGGACCAGCGAGCAGACGGAGAAGAGGAACGGAGGGTGGGTGAACGAAATTGTCCGAGTCACCCTTGGGAGTTTGACGGAGTAGGGAGCATCGAATATTCCGACCGCAAGGTACTGGAGGTGGAGACGAACCAGTTGGTAGAGATCAAGAATAACAAGGAAGAAACGAGGGGGGTCAGCTCGGTGCTGAAAGGCAAAGGATGATAGAGGACGACACACATGAGGCCAGTAATCCCTGCCCGATCCAACTCAATACACGCAATCCGGGTCCATGCAGTACGTCCTTCCAATACAGGGTATTTAAGTTGGAGAAACGCCAGGAGCAGGGAGGAGGGCAACGGAGGATGGAATGTAGATGAAAGTGAGAGAGAGGCATCAATCAATGTCAATGATTGGTTGCAATCCTTATCTTTCCCCCGATAAGATAAGGCCCCGATCCAAACACGACCAATCATTGACGTCTCCATCCGCCGAAGTCCAATCGCTCTTCCATGTATCCTCTTACCCTCTCTGCCGCCTCTCTGAACGTCAACTGGGCTGGAAGTTTACGATACACGCAATCGATGCACTGGTGGTTGTCATGCTCGGGTTTCCGTGCGTTGGATTGGACTGGGTGAAGATCTGGAGGTCAGGTATGTCGCCCCCTCGTTCACTCCGTCTCTCCCATCTCACGTTCTTCCATTCCTCCTCGTTTTTTCAGTCTCACTCTATTTATCACGCACCGTATCCCAGCTACCCCGATATTATTCCTGCACATCCCGCACACACGGCGCACTACTGGCCTTATCGTACTGGGCGACCGTGATCGAGCATATCAACGATGCCGAAGTCGCTCTCCTGCGACATGTCCCTGCTTCCCTGTCACTCTACTTTCGCAATTCGCTCCGTCTCTGCATCCCCACCTCCTGCATCCGCCTTTCTATCTGTTCATGGAGGAATCAGAGCGAGACCGATTGGCAAGACAGTTTCCCCCGACGTCCGCTTCTATCCTTTAAATTCTGCCGGAATAGAATGAGAATGGACACTCGGGGTTGCGTCATCCCACCAGATCGGCATCGCTCTGTTCCCCTTCCTGTGGACGAATCGCCTTGTGTTCGCGTTGTTTGTCCCGGTTGCATATTTGCAGGTGGTATGGACGCCGATGGATTGTCTCTAACTTGGCAATGGCATCGTGAGTGTGGTACTCACTCTTCCCTCCTTGACATGCCCTCAATATTTTCATTACTGATCCACCTGCTTGGTCCCTTTTTGTTCACCTCCTAGTCTCCACCCGCCGCTTCCACCGGAGGGAAGAGCCCGGACGTGATGCGCCACCTCCTTCCTCTCTCCGCGTTAACACACCTGATAGACCGTGACTGACAAGCGGGCGAACCAGGCGCGTCCTTACTCTTCATTCATCGCCGTCCAGAAATCGGACTTCCCCTCGACATCATGCACGTGTTCTTGGGATCTTTCCTCATTTCTTCATTTCGCCTCTCTGCACCCCCCGGTATACTCATGGCGAGAGCCACGCCGAGGCGAGTCACGGCACCTATGTTCGGCTGCGCTCTCCAGCTGCTGCGGAGAAATTTCAGTTTATTGATCTCTCTTTTGCGTCTGGAGTTAGGGTTTTCTCATATTGTAGGCGCCGTGCTCCGTCCTGGGTGTACTTGTCCCTGTCCCACCCCTCCCGTGTATTGGAGATTCGTTTTAACAATCTTTACTTTTGTTCTCGTCTTTCTGAGACAGGTCTGCGGTATTCATTCCTTTTGCCAACCTGGACGGGGCTGAGATAGATGAGCATGGGTCTCAACCTGCGTCTCTGCGTCTTGATGGATATGCGCTACCCTTTTCGTTACCTGTTGCCGCGGGTGGACTGTGCCCCGCACAGATTTACTTGCAGTCGCGGAGCGCAGCTTGCCGGGAAGCGACCTCACCTGTCGAAGTATTCCCCCGCTCTTCATTTATTCATTGAGCGTCAATGACTGTTTGCATACTACATGACCCGCATATGCCGTCTATCTGGGTTGCGTTCCGTTTCTCGATGCCCCTCCGCACGCCAATCCCATTCGAGGATCCGCAAAAACGTAGCACGGCACCTCTGCTTCACCTCGTTATCCAGAAATGGACCCTCCCTTTAGGAGTTATCTCGTGCTTCTGGATACATTTTCGCTGGTGAGTGAAGGTGCTGTCTTGTTCCTGACGTCCCCCCCTCGGCCCTCACGAGAGATCGCTCGCGTGGTTAAAGGCGGATCTCTCTAAATTTCTTTCCGTCCTCTGTCGATGGTGGTCTGAAGAAGCGCGCCAACGACTGAAAACCGTTCAGTTAAAGGAGACGATTCATGAGAGTGCTAATAAGCATTGGCTCGTTGAATTCAAGGATTACGCTTATTTCGGCACGAGCTTCGGATTTAATGGGCTGCATACGAGCATGGGTTCTGGATCCCGTTCTAAGCGACGAGCGGGACACCTTTCATAATCGAATCGTAATGCTCCAGATAGCAGAGCAATTGGCGCTTTGTGAACTTCACAGACAGAGAGCTCTCAATATTGACTTACATACATAAAGCGCGAAACAGCCGACTCCCGAGGATGGGATCTCTTCCCATACCCATTTGCACTGCGGATGCACCATGAAATCGTTTTCCAAGCACTCCTTTGTAGAGAACGAGAGAAAACACGCCATGGAGGCTCGCAATGCGATGGGTATGGGCGGCATGCCAGTCTTGGTGGTAGGGGTTCAGGGGTGTGGAGAGACGCAGGCAGCCGCAAGAAAGATGGCAAGAAAGGCTGCGATACCGTTCCTCGCCATCCACGCCCCCTCCATCACATCTTCTACAACGACAGCTCAGACGCACTGCCCAGTGGCGAGTGCGCCGACGGTGTGTCGTGGTAGAAGCTGAGGGGCGTGGGTGGTTGGGATGCTGGTCTTCGTGACTTCGTGCTACTGAGGGAGAAATAAAATAGTACGGACCATATAAACGAGGCGGAAGTTGTGATATCGCCCGTATGTGCTTCCCATGCGACTTGGTCGGGCCCTTAAGTGTGTGTCGAGTCCTCGAGAACCCCCTGGGGTGGTACTGAACACAGATCAGATAGGGAGCACCATGTGTAGTGCACACTTGAGGTTGGGAACCAGACGAGGGGAATTCGAAGCGGCACAGCACGGCGCGGTGAGATTCGACCAGAAATGCGCAGAGGCGCGACGGGGGTTGAGAAGAAAGAGGTGTGGCTGACGCAATCAGTGCCCAGAGTCATCTTATCGTCGAGATAAGGGCAGATGGCCCACGTCCTAACACGACCAAACATCGGGTCGCATGCCTGAATCCCGATGTTCAAAATGTTCAACCTTGCCGCTCTTCGACCCTTCTCCCCCCCTCCTTCTCAACTCAGGCACGCCTCTTTGGACAAGAACGAGGTCTGAAAGACTCGCTAGAATTCCATAATTCGATGCATTGTGTGTATTGGGCATCCGTAAACGAGATCGAGTCAGATCGCTAGCTTTAGGTGCGTCGTTTGCCTCACGTTCCATCCGTCTTGCGCGACTCACACTCTCCATTTTCTCGCCACTGTCTCTCTACTCTCCATCGCTGACACAGCTTCTGCCCGTCCTAATACTCCTGTAGCTGTGCGTGCAGACGGCCGTCCGACTCAGAGAATCGCTCACATTTGCCTGTGTGTCCACGTCGTGACGACGACGCTCTCATCAGCCCTGCCCATCCCTCCATCCACACGATTCCGTGTTCTCGCCTGCAGCTGCACACATGCATACTCAATCCATCCCGATCCCCGCCCTCGCCCCTCCCATAGACGAAGTACAGTGCGAGGCCGATCTAACGAGTTACTACCCTCTACGTTCCCGTCTACGTCCATCGGGACGATAGAGTGGGGCACATACATGTAAAGAGGGTCGGGGTGAATATTTCCTTATGGTTGGCTTCGCTCTGTCATCTTCTCTGTGAATCAGTCACCTATCCACACATTGTCCTCGTGGAACGCGTCGACTACACCTGCAGGTTCTCCGGGGGGAATAATGCTAGTTATTGTGCTCCTAATCTGCTTGCTTTCTCTTTGCCGTCCACCCGATTACTTTCGCTGTCGGTTTCTGTCGCTTCAGGCGCATCTGGAGGGCAGGTATATGCAGGACCACCTCTATCTGACCAGACTCGTGTATTATCTGGTGCCTCCTAGGACCTATGATCACACCTGCTATCCACGTCCTCTCCCGCCTCCTTCTCGTCCTTCTCCCTCTCCCTCTCCCTCTCCCTCCTTCGATTCGACCCTTCTGTCCTGTCCCCAGTTCATTCACACCCTCCGCACTCTGACTCGGCCCGTCCGTGCGCACTTCCCTGCCCCGCTCCTCCGCCCTCCTTCTCCACGGCCATCCGATGCTTTCAGCTCGTTCGCCGGCCGGAGATACGTATTAGACGTGGTAGGTGGTGCTCTGGGATGTTGGCGATGGCATAAAAGGTGAGTTCGGACTCGAAATGGATGGACAGTGACTTACCCTCTTCCACAGCCTTCCCTCCTTTGTCAACGCCGGCCGACAGGCTCCGTCCTCGTCGGCGCTCTATTTTCATCGATTTAAAGTATGGAACATCAGTTCAATGCGGCGAGGACCTGTAGCACGACACGTACCGAGCACCCAGATCCGCCATCCATCTGCAAACATAACTTGAAAGCCCGCCCTGTCTCCACTTCGAATCGTCGGTGTTGGCACAAACGTGCGTAGGGTGCTGGGACAGATAATGATGGGCGGCGGAGGTACGTGATTCTGCTCACAAACGCAGGGTGAGTACTCTTCGATGTCTCGATGTCTCGATGTGCGGCATGTGCTTACCTCGACTCTCTACTCGTGCCTCTGCATCTCTAGGCCGCTACGGGAGATCAGCACGTCGAAGACAATCATTAACGACCAGCACGGATGTGTACGCGCCACCGGCGGCGACGACGACGGCCTGGATCATCGAGAACGGCGGAATCAGTGCTGTACGCGTCATCAGTGAGTGTTTTTTTCTATGTGAGAGAAACGACCTCTGACCTCTCGTTTGCACGTCTATAGCAACCCGAGTAACTCTACAACATGAGCACGATACACGACGAGGAAGATGTGAAAACTCACCAGGATCGCGGTTGGCCGCGGGCGGCGGTGCTAGGTTGATGGTGGAGGGTTTGTATTCAGTGAGGCAGACTGGAGGTGGTGCGGGGTAAGCTTCTTCACCGTCTGAGTCGACGTCGATGAGCGGGTTCTGATCTTATTTCTTAGCCCTTTCCCGTCGAAGTCGCGATATATGAGTGGAGAGGTGATGATGACGTCCTGGGCACGGAAATGTACAGGTAAGTCATGTTACTCATCGAGGTCAACGTTTGGGCGTTTACCTCTCGTAGGAACGTCACGGACGAGCTCTCATTCGACGTTGACGGCGGTGTCGCACCGAACGAGTATGAGGGATTGGTTGTCAACCGGCCATATAGAAGACAACCAGGAACGACGAGGGACGATAGGCAAGGGGAAGGACACAACGACGACAACGACCTCTGAGTAAGTGCGTGCTTCGTATACCATGAGCAATGTTGTTGCTTACCTCCTGTTCTCGTAGTGCTGCCCCCCCCCCGAACACAGGCTAAACACCGAGCCTCGGTCGGAAGACGAACGTGGGCACTAAGCGTGGAAACAGGACAACGACGACGGCGAGATCGAAAGACAAGGCGATGGCGGGTCGGGCGGGGAGTCGAAACGAGGCTGAGAGGCGAGGACGAGGAGTACGAGAGGCGAGGACGAGGAGTACGAGAGGCGAGGACGAGGAGTACGAGAGGCAAGGACGAGAGACAAGTGCCCCGAGTGGGCAAATGAGACGAAAACCATCTGTTATTGGAGGGAAAAACTAATGACAGTCCTTTTATACCTACGAAAAACTAGAGCACCGGTCAGGTATCTCTCTGAACCGGGCTGCAGGAATGAAGAATAAGAGAAAATCTTCCAGCAAACAAGTAAGAATGATGAAAGGATAATCAAACAATGCGAGGACGCGACCGACGACTGCGCCGATGGTCGGGATATGAGGGGTGACCGGAGGGCGGCGCTGAGCTCTTGTGATTGAGCTGTAGGTCGAGGCGTCGGGCGAGCGTGTCAGTGAGGTCGAGAAGCTCGTGGCCAGGAGGGAGCGCGGCTCACCAGCTACAATGCAACGAAAATCTCCGCTATACTTCTACTTGACGGGATGACGGCCTACCGCGTTTATACTTGAAAACATTCCAGAAGACAACAGTCGCGAAGATGCCCGATGGACAGATCACCGCCAGCACAAAGGCAGGAATGACATATGAGGCTATTGCTTTAGGAGGATTGAATGCGTAGTTCGCGACGGCGCACGTGAATGCTAGGAGAGCCCACAGCAGGAAGATCATAGGAAGACTGAGGAGGAGAGCAAGGCGCTTTATATCGGTTGCGCTTCGTCCTGTGTTTTGAATGTAGAAACTCTGCAAAGAACGTGCTAATGAATATGGGTTCGAAAAAGAGACGGTACTCGGACGAACAAGTTCAGAAATAGAAGCTGTGCTCTGATCTCGGTGCTTCCAGACGTGATGCAAACCAATGACGATGCTTCCGATAGCGAAAAGAGTCGAAGCTATACTGCTTGTGCGAGCGAAGACTGACAGGTTTAGAGCCAGGAAGGCCATGTCCACTCTACGGCGATTCTCATGAGCAGCAGTGCAGGGAAAAGGGGAGAGAGAACGTACACAAGGACCACAGTGGCCTGGGAAGAATCAGCGGGACAATTCAACATGCTGAGGATAGTGATTCCTCACCAAGAGGTTGGTATATGACCATTCAGCGACGAGAGTTGTCATAAGGCGGTGCCATTCTCGTTCAGACGCAAGCTCCCCTTGCAGGGCCAGACGCAGTCGATCTTCGTAAGTGGAGTAGACAAAGAAACTGAAGATCTGAAAAATGGCGTCGAAAGGACCTGTCGTGGGGTAGGGAGGTAGGTGCTGCTCGTTTATGGCAGCCTGAGTACCGTGACGGTGCAATGCGCGGACAGAATCTACAGAAGGTTTATGAGATAATCGTATCTGAGAAGACCGTCTTACAAATGGTAACCAATGGTTGAGCGATGGAAAATGTCTCGAGCCCGTTCCCAGTTGTTTTCCTACCTACGCGACGTACAGCATAATAATGTCGCGTTTTGAAAGCCAAGACTCACTTATCGTTCGATCAAGCGTATCTAGAAGCAGAGCGGCTTTTTGTGGGTCCCATGGTGTGATCTTGAAAGGGGTCGTCAAGTCGTCTACACAGGTCAGAATGCATAGGAAGTGACATTAGCCAACGGGAAGGCGTACCAACTACTATGTAAGCGAGGTATGCACGAAGGTATTGGATTCCATCCTCAGGGACTTGTGTATGACAAGGAAACGAAGCTAAGTGGGCGTAGAATAATTTGCGTATCAGGATGTCTAATAGGCCCGTCAGCAGCACGTTTGCATGATTCAAGATCCTTATATGAATACTCACTGTAGTCGGTAGGTTGAATGTCATCTGTAACCCCTAGGAAGGAGATTCCAAGCCGCGTTTTGTACAACCAGAAGATTTGCTGTGTTTATGACAAACGAAATAGTATCGAGGCTGCTCCGGGTTCCTAGTGGATATGTAGAGCTCGTACGGCCGTTCGCTGAGTTTGCCTCCTTTCTCAAAGTCTACTTGTTGAAATCGCTTCATGATAACTTCATGGGCCGTTTGAAGAGATTCAAGTTGTTGAGAATCCCGCACGTCCACTTCCGTCACGACGCCCATTTTCTCGTGGTGGAAATAGGGGAGACCATCCGGATGAGTATACTCTTTCCATCCATCCGGTAGATGGGTATCAAAGAGGAAACTGGGATATAGATCTCTGAGGACGATGAACTCTTGATGTGCTTGTGCTACTCACTCGTTCAACGTGGGCTCTTCGCCATATGGCCCAGGCAGGAGGTAGACGTTATCATTAGGAACGGCCGGCCTATGATCGATGAGCATCACACAAAGGAAACAACCGAAACCTTGAGCACCTTTTCCTTTTCGCGAATCGATGACCAGCCAACGGCGTCGTCGGCAACGGTGTAAGCAATGGCGTCCTTGCCCGAACTCGCACATTTGGAGCTTGCTGTTGTGGGGTCCGATTAACAGTGGAATTCTCCTGGTTGATAGGCGCTAATGCAGTCGGCAATGATGGTGCAGAGAGAATTGTAAACTGGATCGAGGGTGATTTATGTGAAAGAGTGGAGGGCGTCGGTGCCCTTCAAGGGGGCCTTTGGTCAATGGAGGCGGATCACGTGCATGGGGTGGAAACTCCAAAACCTGCCGGCCCTAAGGCTACAGGAGTGGCGTTCCCATGACGTCATGAGGTATTGACGCGTCATCGCGCCCCAAGCCTCCCCGCCCGCTTTTCTCCCTTCACGCCCAGCTTACTCGTGGGTGGCCCAGTTCTTGGATCGCTGCCAAGCTCAAGCAGACAGTGTCATTAACAGAAGTCAAGCACGCAGAGCACGCCTCCGACCTCGGCTCCAACAGGGCGGGATCCAATTGGCAGACCAAGCCTCCCAGAGCCCGCCAGGTCTTCTACCTGCTTCGACTTCTGGAGTCTCGGATGTCCATCCAGCCGAATCCTCCAACCACAACCCAGAACTCACATGAGAGGCATTCGGCCTGCGCAGCCCTGTTTGCGGATGGAAACATTCGGACAGGTTGTGGGACGTTATAACGAGCTGTTGGAAGCAAGATCGGCAGAGAGGCCGGATGCGCCGACGGTGTGTGCGTGGATTGGCCGGTCAGGTTGACTGAGGGTGTGTGATTGGATCCTAGTACGTGCATAGCTGCATTTTGTGTATCGTACTTGTTGTAACGCCTCCTTTCAGCTTGATGATTTCCATCTTATCTTATCGCAATGAGCTTTCGATGTGTCGGTCGGAGAAGGGACCCACCATCTCACAAGCTCCAATGAACAGCACGGCTCTCGAGACAGATTTCACAACCCTATTCGAATACTGACGCAACTATGAACCCACGTACTTCCTCCTTCGCGACACCCAGTCCGCGAAGATTGTCAACAAGAATAGCCGCACTCCTCCCTATTCAACGCGAAGTCTATTCTCTCCGACGTTTCTCAGGATGGTCTTCGAAGAACGGGCTTATTTTCGTGCGAAGCGCGCGAAGCTACCGATGAGCTTTCGGGGTATTCCCTCTTTGGGAGGGAGACTGATGTCTTGTCGCCTCGTTTTTAAGTAGGCCACACGAGCGCGCCGCATGGGTTCCGCGCCTTTCTTTCCTCGCCTACACCCCGAACACCCTTGCACCCACTGCCGAGTTTAACGACAGCAACGTACGAACGTCGAAGAGGGGGTGAGTGAAGTTTGTCTCTTGAATTGCGACTAAACGAGCTGAGCACCGTAAACAGAAGCGCCGTCAATTAATTCGACGCAAATTAACTCAAAATGAGTGGCTCAAGTACGACCATGACGACAACGGTGCACGTCGACCCAAATACGCAGACGAGAGATAGAAAGAGGTCTATCATCCGTCTCGCCGTCCCTCGCCTTCCACTAGAACTCTTCGAGCCTATCATCGCCCACATCTCGGACGTCCCCACCCTCCTCGCACTCTGTCTCTCCTCACAGTTCCTCCGCCACGACGCCGGACACTTCTTATACCACTCTCCCACCTTGTCCACCCCAACAGGCGACCCGAGAAAGCACGACACCAACACCACCTTGCACATCCGGTTCCTCACTACCATCACCCATCCGAGGAACGAGCGCCTTGCGGCGTTGGTCCGTGTGTACCACTCATACGAGATCGTCCAGTACCACGAGCGTCCGCTCTGGCCGCTCCTCGTTCAGGGTCTGCGGCGAATGACGGGGCTGAAATCGTTGGCGTTAATGTGTTTCGGGGGCCATCCGGCCGCGGAGGCCCTCGAAGGCTGTACGTTCAAGTTGCACGAGCTGCAGTGGCTCAACCATTCCGACGAACGTGCACTTTCTCGGCTCCTGGAATAGCCCAACCACGCGAACTTGAAAATCCTGCATGTAGAGTGGACGGACTCGGAGATTGATGTTCATCCTGAAGCGTGTCCGGAGCTGTCCGAATTCGTCTCGAGTCGCACAGGAATAGAGAAATTTCTGCTGGGGCAGAAGGTGGTGATGCTCGCGTGGGTCCCGAAATGCGACGACGAACGACGCCGGAGTACCCTAGAGGTCTGTGTATGGGAGGCTCTTGGCGGAGTACGAACGTTCTCGTTCGGCGGGTTCTACACGTGCCCTCATATGAGTGTTGTGGCACCGTGGCTGAGAAGTGTGGAGGTATTGGAGCTTGTCGGGCTGGTTGATGGGGTGCGTTCCTCTCTCTCCTTCTTCTGCGCCTCACCTGAACCCGACCTAATTTATTTCCGTCCTTCATCAGGAGTTGGACGTTCTGCCGCAGATACCTAACCACCGGGAGGTCGTGCTATCCTTCAAGTGGAGCTCTTACCGCCTCCCGATCCCTCTGAAGGATCGTCCACGCACTATCCATCGCCTCTTCAGCCAATGCGAGAAGCTGGAGGTGGTGAATATCGCTCACAGCTGGTCGAAGACGAGGGTGATTTCGTACGAGCGGTACGAGTGCTACGACCGAGTTGTGAATTCTCAGACGGGAGACAAGTCGTTCCGGTGGAAGGGACCACGAGTGATCGGTAATGAGGACCTTAGAGTAAAGTCGGGGTGTTCTATAATGACTTGAAGAATTGACTATGTGTAATACATGACTTTGTACTTTCGACTTCTCGATCAGGCAAGATGCGCCACTGACGCCTGGTATAGCATTAGGCGATCGCACGGCGCCCACACAGACGGAAAGATAAATTCGCAGATGCAATTGAAAAAGAAGATACCAGTCAATGTATTACCGTTGTTAATACTCAAAAATATCGGTAAATCGTCCAGAAACGAGAGCCAAGGAATGAGAGCAAGCGTTGAAATTTGAAACGTTGACATCCAACCTTCAACCTGCTCTTCCATGTTCCGTTGTCCCCTTCTCCGTATCTCCTGCTTCGGAGGCTTCGGGAGGAAACGCCGATAATTGCTTCTGTTAGGATAGCTATTTATCCAATACTCCAGCAGACCTTTTGAAGTGATCGCCTTCATTGAGCAATCTGGCTTCCATCTCACACGACTTACGATTAAGCCGAACCGAGGTTTTTGGGGTAATGAACACGACACCGAACAGGTCATAATAACAATTTTGGAGCACACCCCAACCCTGATGGAGCTCAGTCTTATCAGGGTACCCACCTCGGACGCTCTCTTTGAGCGTCTTGGTGCATTCGGAGAAGAATCCGTGTCAGCTCCCAATGAAGTACGGGCCTCACCATTCCTTCCCGTCCTCCACACCCTGCTCATCGAATGCGCTATGACCTTCTCGTGGATGTCCGTATGTGCCATATTTGCCCCAAATCCCACACCATGCCGCCCGCACTTGAAGATATTCCGCCTCGTCCTGCCTGCGGAGCTGTTCCGGAACACCACCATTTCCCTGTCACTTCCCAAGCATGAGGCACAATTTCTGAGAGACGCACGCAAGAGGTTGGATGTGGAGATATCAATCAGTTCTGGAGTCGATTTGCTTCTTTACGATGAACCCGAGGAAGATTGAGAAGAAAGCACAGCCGGGTGAGTTGGAAGGTTTACCTGAAGGTCGACTGTAATCTAGACAGACATGTATATCGCCTGATGCTGCAGCATGGAGGATACACATGATAGTGTCAGTATTACTGCATGCCGTCGGGCTTCTCGTCATGACCTCGACGAATGAACGTCTCCCGCGGCTATACGGCACTATCTATGAAAATGATATGCCGGCTGTGTAATGGAATGAATCGGGAATTTGAACGAGACTTTTAACGGTAAAGGTAGTGGTTGGGGTGAGAACCAGGCGCACAGCTCTATCGAGCTTTTAAGCTTCGCGTCTCCACCTTCTCCGTTTCCCTCGCAAGCTTGTCATTCATCATAGCCTGTTTCGTCGTGCCCTCCTCGTCGCCTGCTCGCCTTTTGAGCTCTGTTCCAGAAATAAATAAAATCGTCGACGTCGGTCAATCATAGTAACGATACGAAAGAGAAAGTGGAAACACAGACCTAAAGACCTCTCCCCGATCCATAGCCTCAAGTGTGCGTTGCCTACCCCAGTCGGTGCTGGTGCCGTTGGTACTGGTGTCTTTCCCTTGGACCCAGCAGCTTCCTTCAGCGGCTTAGGCTTAGGCTGCGCCCCAAGCCCCGCCGCGATCTGCTCCGCGGTGCCGAGCATCGTCTCTGCATGCTCCATCGACGTATGGAGGTACTGCTCAGCGATGAGACACAGGATGAGCGCGCGCAAGTGGTTGTCGCCCGCTGCGCTCGTTAACTGCAGTGCCGTTCGCAGGTGGGTCCTAAAGTAAACGTTGGATAGAACGGTAAGCCACACTTTCCCAGCCAGACGTGAGCAAAACAAAAAGAACGACGAACTTGGTAACCAAAAACTCCTTCGCTAAGCACGCCGTCAGGACCGCGCCTACCGTCTGCAACGTCCCGCCCAAGCCCTCACACTCCTTCGCTATCTCCATACCCGGCATTCGGAGCGCTTCCAACGCATCCTCCCTCTCCTCGTCGTCCTCAGTCGCACTTGCAACTCCAACACGGAGCCACATGGCGCCTGCTCGTGCCGAGACGTTGACCCAATAATCTTCACAGCCGTCCTCCTCCTCCTCGTTGGCGTTGGCGTTGGGTGTCAAGCGAGGGGGGTGACGTGCATTGGAGGCATTGGCAGTTGAGGGCAATTGAAGCTCGTTTACGGGATAGGAAGGCTGCAACCTGATAGCACTTCCACGCACGATCTGTTTGCGCGAGTGCGTGTGCAAGATGGGCTTGATGGAGGGTGATACGAGGACTGTACGCAGAGAAGAGGCCGTATGTCCGTGTATGAGCGATAACTTGAGCTAGCGTCTGGGGAAAAGAAGAGAAAAGGTGAATATATGCGCAAATATGGAGGTGATGGAAACTTACGCGTTCTGCGTCGTCAAATTCGCTTCGAGTTATCGCGACCTAGAGAAGAAAAGGAGATTTAGCTGGACTGTGAAGGGGGAAGGCGAGAGGCGGTGTTACCCCTATCAGCTCGCAGAGCATATCGGCTTTCATCTTCTGCATTCGTAACTGGATTTCGTGTACATCCGCAACAGAGGCCCACAGAGGAACTATTCAGCCCATACAATCAGTACCAATAAGAAAATGCGAAAGAAAGAGCGAAAAGACGCACGCGGTACTTCCTTCCTCACCTCCCTTTCCAGCAATGCCACACCCTCGCTCGCAAACACCCTCCTCTTCGGCTTCCGCCCCACCGGGTCTCGCTTCGCCACACTGCTAACCAGGAACCCAAGCCCAAAGACAACCTTTGGGTGCGTAACCTGCATCAGCAGCGGCGTCGCACCTCCCAAGTCCACCTCCACCACCCCGAATTTCCCGAATGCCTCCAGAGCCCCACCGTCGAGCATATCGTGCAGTTTCTTCGTACGAGATTGGGCATTGGCGTTATCGCCGGTGTAGGTGTGGTAGATGATGCCGATCATGAGCGTTTGTGTGACGAGGACCTTCTCCAGGTCTGTTCCGCCTAACGGCTGTGGCTTCTGCTCCGGGTTCGACGTCGACGGAGCTGCGGGAGTGGCAGCTGGCTTGAGGTGCGAAGTTATCCCCAGAAGCTCTTCGACGCTCGTCAACGACTGCCCGACCTTGCTCCAGAGCCCGGCTTGAATGTATTCGTGCAGCTCGAGGACTGTAGCCAGGAGCGCGACTTGCTGGTGTCCGTTATTCGTCGCGAGTCGGTGGAAGTCTCGGATAGCCGTCAGCACCCACAAGCGGCCGCTGGATGGGGAGTGATGATGGCCGGTATCATTGGTGTCCGGGGTGGTTGACAAACTAGACATATATGCGAGGTGGGCGGAGTATTGAACGTGAGGCGGGTCAGAGGGAAGGATGGAGTCGGTGAGGTGTTTCTTGAGCGTGTTTTGCGCGAATCGTGAATTATTTTGGCGGAGGGCGAGTTTGGAGGAGAGGTGCGTTAGCTGTGTCTTGAAGGCGCGTAGAGAGGGATGCTGGGGGAATAAAGAAAGCGTTAGATTTTGTACGTGGATGGAGAGAAGTACAAATGGTTTGATTCAATACCGAACACCGCCTGAGGTGGCCACCTCGGGAAAAATGGATGAGACCCACTTTTTTAGTGATTACAAGCTAGTAGAATCGTTAGTAACAATTTCAACACGTTGTAGGATGAACAAACGCACTGCTTTCGTGATGGCCATCTCTACCTCCCTCTCCACACCCGGCTCGTTCAACCCAATCCGCAGCCCTACTTCCGCCAGCTCCGTCCAAGCACGACATTCCGTACTCGAGTCCAGTCCAGGTACCGAAAGGCACTTCCGTAAAGCAAGTTGCGACAGGAAAAGCGAACGCGTGTGGTGTTTGTGTGTTGGAGGATGCGCCACAAGGCTTGGTAACGAAAGCAGGAGAATTTCGGGGGGTAAGCAGTGGCTTTTGTTATCTAGCTTGATGCGCTTCTGGGGCCTCGGATTGTCATCTACATCCATTGGGGACGTCGGTAATGGTGGTGGTGAAAGAACAGAGAAGAAAACGCGACGCGTGACATGATGAATCACGTCCTAGCGCGTCGCTTACATAACGGCCTTCCGAAAACGAGTCACACAGGAGTGACAACGGTATCCTTCAACGACCACGACGAGTACGAACGCCAAATATCCTTGCCATGGCGTCAAATAAACCCAACAAGCTGGTATTCTTGTCTATGCCAGCACCGGCGTCGTATGTTGCTGGTCTTGGTCGAGGGTACGTAGTTACCAATCTCGCAATTCGGTGATCCACTCACTTTTTTGTAGCGCTTCTGGTTTCACGACTCGTTCGGATATCGGTCCTGCGAGAGAAGGTCCTTCTGCAGAGGTCATAGCGTACGTCGATCGTTGCCTTTCATCAGCACTTAGGTCCTAACTCTGCCTCAGGGAAGCACAAGCACGTCGCGGCGAAGAGCCTGACGTTGACCCGAGCCAATTCCAAGACCCAGATAACGAATACGGCCTCTTCGCGGGAACGACCTACGAACAAGATGATGAAGAAGCCGACAAAGTCTATGAACAAGTCGATGAAGCCATGGATTCGCGGCGGCGTGCAAGGAGGTGTGTTGAATGGTTAGTCTCCTTCTCCCTTCTCGTCCAACCAACTTCATCGTACTCTTCCCCTCCCAGAGAGGTAGCAGAAAAAGATCAAATGCAGAAGTTGCGCGCTGAACGCCCCAAGATCCAGCAGCAATTCGCGGACTTGAAGCGAGGGTTATCGGTGGTTACTGATGAAGAATGGGAGAACCTACCCGAGGTCGGGAATCTGACGAGGAAGAAGAGGAAGAGGGAGGAGAGGAGCTTCGTCATCCCAGACAGCGTTATCGTTGGAGACAGGAGCAGGATCGGGTACGACAATGCTCTGGACCTGAGGCAACAGCAGGTACGCCGCAATGTTTCCTTATCTTTCTCTTTGAATGAGCCTTTCTTTTAGGCCGGAGGCTTCGAAACGCCAGTCGATGCAGGAGCTCTGACCAATCTCGTTGAAATCGGTCAAGCTCGGGATAAGATTCTTTCCCTCAAACTCGACCAAGTGCGTAATATCATTGTGTTTCGTTGGCTATGCTGATGTTGTCACAGATGTCCGGCATATCCAGCACCTCTGGTACCACAACCTCCGTCGATCCCAAAGGCTATCTCACCTCTCTCGACAACGTGATCATTAAATCAGATGCAGAGATCGGCGACATCAAACGGGCGAGAATACTCTTCGATTCGCTCGTCAAGTCCAACCCCAAACACGCTCCAGGTTGGATCGCAGCTGCATGTCTGGAAGAGCATGCCGGGAAGATGGTATCAGCGAGGAAAATCATCAAGCAAGGGTGTGAGATGTGTCCGAAAAGTGAGGACGTGTGGATAGAGGCGGCGAGGCTTCATGTAAGTTTTTTACTTCTCCTTTTGTGTTCCTCGGGGATTCGGACTGAACCAATTTCTCAGAATAGCGAGGACGCGAAAGTCATACTCGCGAATGCGGTCCAGCATGTCGGACAAAGCGTCAATATATGGCTCAAGGCCGCCGACCTCGAGCATGACGTCAAGGCGAAGAAACGAGTACTTCGTAAAGGTAAGTTTACAGTGTTCTTTCCAACTACGGCTTCCATGTTCAACGTATCCTTCCCAGCTCTCGAACACATTCCCAACTCCGTCCGCCTCTGGAAAGAAACCGTCAATCCTCGAATCATCTGCAGTTCGATGCCCGAATCATCCTCTCCCGTGCTGTCGAAGTGATACCCCACTCCGTCGAACTCTGGCTCGCCCTCGCCCGGCTCGAAACACCGGACAAAGCCAAAGCTGTTTTGAACAAAGCCCGCAAGTCCGTCCCCACCTCGCACGAGATCTGGATCGCCGCTAGCCGCCTGCTCGAGCAAGAAGCTTCCTCACCACCCAAAACGCCCGAGCAGCGAAGCCATGAATTGGACCTCGTCGATAAGACTATCGAGGCTGGGGTACGCGAGCTGCGGAAGCACCAGGTCATGCTTACGCGCGAGGAATGGCTGAAGGAGGCGGAGAAGTGCGAGAGCGAGGGCAGCCCGAGGACATGTGAGGCGCTCGTGAAAGCAACGGTGGCGATGCAGATCGAAGAGGAGGATCGACTCGACACCTGGGTCGGAGATGCAGAGAGCGCCGAATCACGGGGGATGGTGGGCACGGCGCGGGCGTGCTGGCCTATGCACTCAAAGTCTACCCCGACCGAAGTAGTTTGTGGCGTCGTGCCGCCGAACTGGAGAAAGCCCATGGGACTAGAGAAAGTCTGGACGCGATTCTCTCGCGGGCGGTGGTGCATTGCCCGGAGGCTGAAGTGTTGTGGTTGATGTCGGCGAAGGAGAAGTGGTTGGCTGGGGACGTACCGGCAGCGAGGCAAGTCCTCGAGCAAGCTTTCGTGGCGAACCCAGAGAGCGAGCAGATTTGGCTAGCTGCTGTCAAGCTCGAGGCGGAGAATGGGGAGTTTGCAGTGGCGAGAGAGCTTTTGATACGTGCGAGGACGGTAGCTGACACCGAGAGGGTGAGTTTAATGTTGGCCATCGCCGTTTGCCCTGCATCCTGACGGTCTTACTCCTAGATATGGATGAAGTCGGCCGTGTTCGAGCGCCAACAGGACCAACTCTCCGCAGCGTTAGAGACGCTCGAAACCGCGCTGAAGAAGTTCCCGAAATTTGCGAAGCTTTACATGATCCAAGGCCAAATCCACCAATCTATGGGAAACACCGCCCTTGCACGGGCCTCTTTCGGTGCAGGCGTCAAATCATGTCCGAAGGAGCCCACGCTCTGGGTCCTCGCCTCGCGGCTGGAAGAAGCTGACGGCAAGAGTATTCGCGCCCGTGCCCTCCTCGAGAAAGCCCGACTCGTCAACCCCGCCAACGAACACCTTTGGGCCGAATCCCTTGGAGTGAAAGAACGGTCCGGTGGTGCCGCCCAAACCAAGGCCATGCTTTCTCGCGCGTTGCAAGAGTGCCCTACGTCGGGTGTCCTATGGTCGATGGCACTGTGGGCGGAGCCTCGAGCTTCACGGAAGACCAAGTCTGTCGATGCCCTCCGAAAGACGAAAGATAATCCGCTCGTCGTGTGCACCGTTGCTCGTATTCTATGGGCAGATCGGGCTATCGAACGAGCTCGAGATTGGTTCGGACGGGCGATGGTGACTGATCCTGACCTGGGCGATATATGGGCATGGTGGCTGAAGTTTGAGAGGCAGCACGGAACGGAGGAACACAGGGAGGTCGTCAGGACCAAGTGTGTCGCCGCGGACCCTCATCATTCTCCTGTCTGGCAGAGTGTGGCGAAGGACGTGGCGAACGTCGGGAAGAGTACCCAGGAGATTTTGGAGATCGTTGCGAATCTTCTGCAGTAAACTCTCAGATCTCAATGCTAATGTAAGGTTTCTCGTGCCGGACGTTTGTGCCGGACGTTACTCTTGAGAGACGCGCCAGCGAGTCGGGTCCGAGTCCTAAGTGCGTTGCGTTTATTGGCCGTGCCAGCTGCCTTCGTCTCGTTGTTCTAATCTCGCCTTCTATTTAACACCTCGTATAGGGCCATTTCCCTTTATCTTCGTTCGACGGCCATCGGACATCTGCTTTCACAATTACTGCGCTCCGCCTTTCCCTCTGTCATCGCCCAGCTGTGCTCGCCGCCTGGAGCCTTGTCAGCATCTCACTTATACCCGCCATCTGACAATGCTGACTCATTCTGAGGTATGTCGTCCATCTTCTACGTCCCCACGTTCCCCTTATTAGACTATGATGTCAGCTCGTCAGGTCAGCTTATTGTGTGTGCTGTTCGCCACGTTGCAGCATGTCGGCCCCTTTCCTCTCTTCCCCCTCCTAATGTCTACGTCGCTATGGTCTCATAAGACGCAAAGGAGGCATCCGGCTTGTCTCCTCCCGTGCCGCTGTCTTCACCCTACACAAGGCAGGACGTGCATTTTGGCTAAGTTGGTTGTTCTGCGTATATCCCTTGATGGCGCAAAACCACCATCCCCTGGCGCCCTTCCATCATCCATGTTGATCGATGTTGGACAATCCTTATCTCGAGAGATACTTATGGGCGTCATCGGGCTCGGTTCTTAATGCACCCAATCATTAATCAGTTGTCGTGTTGAACCGCCCATGCTGTTTAACTCGATTCTCCACCATCACACTCCTCCGTCCTTCCGTCCGGGGAACCCAGACCCTCGCCGTCTAACTTTATTCTTGCTTTCCTTCTGCTCATGCAACCGCTAATGATATCAATGGACTGCATGCTCGCCTTTTTCACAAGACACTCGACATACGAGAGTACTTATCAGGATTGGGAAGCGACGTGATTAAGTATATGTCCCAGGAGAAGGTGCGTGGTTAGCCTTCTCTCCATTCTCTTGCACTTCCCCATGCCTTGATATGGCCTTCTTCAGAACGTATATCATAGAGCAGGTCGCTTCTTCGAGGCGTCCCAATTCTCAAAATCCGGACTACCATCTCCTTCTCTCCCGTCTTCCACGTCCCAAATCGACCCCCCTTCCTCCCCAGAGGATTCCCGCTCTCGTCGTCCCACTGGATCATTGCCCTCTCTCCTCCAGGCATCTGGGTGCTGCAACACCTTGGCCTGGCAAGTAGGAGGTTCGCATCGCCAGCTACTTGACGATGTGGTGGGAGTCCTGGACGCTCGTCGTGCAATCTCCCGTCATTGCTGGTTGTCCACGCTTTACACTCGAAATCACGTCAACAATCAGCCCCATCTATCCGCTCAGCCGATGCTCACTTTGTGAGGGTTGGGCCTTTCCCCCTATGCATGGGAACGGTGGACGCTATCTGCGTCTCCCGTTCTACGGGTGGTGGGCCTCCATCCTATCCACGACGGGAGCGCTGCTTGGGAAGCTGCATCGCTGGTGAGCCAGGTTCTCTTCCTTCGCTCACCTCTTATTGCCCGCAGGCGGAGGCACCGTCTTCAAGGTCGTTTCTCTACTCAGGATCAACATCGACGTTCAATCTCCTCACTACGCTCATTTATTCCAGGTCAACGATATCATACGCTCTGGTATCGACACGGATAAAAGAGCCGACTGGGCGTAGCAGAAGGCACCGGGGCATGAGGGCATCGGCCTCCCGAATGGTGTGGTGCGTTCGTCCTTCAAGTCTTCGCAGGTTTCGATTTTAACTTCTCGCTTGCGGGTCTTTTTCTGATAAATGATTCGTATGGCACGGCGGGCTTGTTATTATTTCCTTTATAGAATCATGATATCGCTGCCCTTCTCGTCGATGCCTGCAATTGCCATTGAAAGGACCCTAGAATGTGTCCCTTTCGGGATTTTTGTGTCGTGGACACGGCATCGGACCGATCTATCGATGCACCATCAGCGGCAAAGGTGTGACGCCAACCATGAAGATAAATCGGACGTTGAAATTCGGATGCATAACACCATGTCAGTCCTCCCAGACAGCTGCTTCTCAAGCGATATGTTTTAAGAGGATTCCAGTCTGGGACCCCATCGTGAGCATAAACTTACCCTTCACTATCATTCTGATACATACTCCACAGAAACGAAATTTTCAGCACGGACCCTAGAGCATGCTCGGACGTAGAAGCGGTTGGACGTCGAGATATGGCCCACCTCATATTCCGAGGTCAGGAGCTCTCGAACAAACGGATCAAAAGCCAGCGGAAACGCAATGACCCACTGCGACTCCTTTCATGGAGCCGTCCTTCTTCGAGGCTGTGAACAAACGCATGGATATGTGGGTCTTCTTTCTTCTGCTTACTGTCCTCGTTGTTATTTTTCGAAGTTAGAATTTACGAAATCAGGCACACGGGTGAACTTATTGACAGGGGGTACGTCTTTCTTCCATCAATTTCTCCATACGAGCTGTGCAGAGGACGCAAATCCTCCTTCTAGCGCACTATGCGCATTACATTTTTAGTGCAGTTGGCTTCTGGGTCTCGGAACGCGTTTATCGTTTTGATTGTATTGACGCAAGTGCGTCACAGTTTAAATGTTCACGCTTTTACCCTTCACGCGCACGAGCGGTGAGGAACAACTTGGACAGGCACGGCTAGGAGTATAAAAGACGTCGATGCAAACCCAATGTTGTTTTCTCAAGCGCATTTACACATCGAGAAAATGCAATTCAAACAATCTACCCACCGCCTCCTGGTCCTCGTAGTTGCTGCATTCCTCGTCGCTGACGCTCTTCCGATCAACTCAACTATCGAGCAGAGGCAAATCCTAGGCCTACCTCTACCAATCAGTCTCCCTCTCCCAGCCCTCCCGCTCCCCACTGGAGTTATCCCGGCACTTCCTCTCCCCTCCCTCCCAATCCCCACGGGAGTTATCCCAGCACTTCCGGTACCCCCGGTGCTCCCTTCACCCCCCGCGTTCCCTGTGCCCCCAGCCCCCCAGCCCCCCAGCGCCTCCGGCACCTCCAGCACCTCCAGCACCCCCGGCACCCCCGGCGCTTCCGGCGCTTCCAGGACTCCCGGGACTCCCGTTCCCTGGGCTCCCTATCGGACTTCCGCTCGGGTTGTAAGTTGGCGATGAGAATTCAATGGTGAGTTTTGGGGCGAGATGTTTGCGGTTCGAGGCATTCGCTGACTGATTTTAAATCTAGAGAGGATGGGTGTTGGACGGAATGTTGGGATCACGAGCGGGAGCTGTCGTCTACGGACTGACTGGAAGTTACATATATGCATTATTTCTGATTGAACCTCGCGAGCGGCGAGGATTTTGAATCGACGTACTTCGTATAATATTTTGTGTTGACTTGGGTTCTCATTTTTCTTTTGTACCTTGAGAAGAGTGCTCAGACAGATTTCCTTTCGCTGTCGGGGAACCGTGGATTTGCGCCACTTTTTTTGTCGAGTGCATTCGTGAATTGGAAACTACGGCGATCAACTACGGCGATCACTACGGCGGCATCTGCCGACAGTGACAGGCAAGTTCGTCCCACCTCCGTATTCTACGCCTTCCTCCATTGTATATACCCTATTCAACACGGAAACGTACAAAGCAGACATCAAGATTCTCGCCTGATAAAAGTGCCATCGCGCGTTGTCGCTCAAGCCTCTCGCAAAGACAGGCAACTGGCCCCCATTGGATTCGCGAGGTGTCCTGCTCGAACACAAGGGGCCCTACTCGACCTACAAAATATAAACGGAGGCGAAGAACTGAAAAAACAACGCAGGATCGATAGGACAACTCGTATGATGAAGATCGAGATCGAACACATCGACGGCGGAGGTGGGCGATGACTCGCACTCTCACCGCGCTTCCTCAGTGCCCTCGACCAAGACACCCCTACCACACCCAGCGGCGGCGACGATGGACAAGAAGCTCACGACGAGGGCCAACACACGTTCTATCCCCGAGATGCTGGACATAATCACACCCAACCCGTCGTGAGTGCCTCACCTCACCATCGACGATTAACACGAACTTACTGTGTTCTTAGGTGCTCGATAGGGCATTTCGACGACAGCGAGGCTAGCGAGAGCATCGATGGTACTGGAGGACGTTGGACCGAGATCGGTGTGGAAGATGGTGGGCCAACACGAAGATGGGCGGAGAACGTCCGCATAAAGGTGAGTTTCTCGTTGTCATGCACGTTCGCGATGGTCTTACCTTGTTTCTAGGATGCGTACAATGTGTTGAACCATGAGAGCGATGGTGTAGAGTGCCTAGACATCTGAGCGAGAAGGGAATGGCTGGGATGAGGTGAATACAGGGTCACCGAAGGCATAAACGAAGATTTACCTTCTAGTGCCTCCCACCCTCCCACTCACCCCAAACGCCTAATCTCGAGTCTCTACGTACCAGGACTCTTACAGTACAACCCCGGCATGCACAGCGCGACCAGAATAAGGTCTGTCAGCGGCATTCTCGTGTATAGGTGGAAGACTCACCTCCGGCATTAGACCTCGCCTCAAGGTCTCCTTTCTATCTCCGCGGACAACGACGTTGTGGGCGGATGAGTAGCATGACTATAGGGTCAGTTTACCAAGTGTTTCACTCAGAGGAGGGAGAACCTTACTTTTTCGTCGTAGATATGGCGCCGGGAATTATGCTGCCAAGCTGAGACAAACGGCGATGAGACGAGTGGATTTTCCGGTGCTTTGTCAAAACTATACTCTCCTCGATTGATTGTAGCTGCAGTATGTCCTTCTTATTATTTCTGGGGTGGTATGGGCGTCTTAGGACTACGCTACGGGAGTCCTCCAACGGGTCACGTTACCGTTCGGCGGGAGTTGCCGCCGTAGTGATCGCCGTAGTCTGGCGCCGTAGTTTCCAATTCAGAGATTTTCTGTTTTTGTCAGGCATAGGTCACATGCACTTCATGTCAGCAGACATTCTCAGACATTACTAATACAACGACGCTCGCCGTCTTCCTGGTTCCACTATCGTGACCCAGTCAATCATCTTCCCCAAACCACCGCCCTCCACTAATCTAGATTTCCTCACTGTAATGCACAGTTCTTCGTGCAGAACATGCAGCTCGTTCGGCGACCTAGGAATCGGCGAAGAAACACTCTCCTTGTGCACATCCTGCCGTGCCTTAGGTGGCGGAAGGTGTATAGCGTGCAAGCAGCTCGACGTCCTCGATAAGGAGATTAAGGCGGCAGCGCAGCATCTCGGACAGCTCTTGTGCCGAGTATTCGATCTCAAATTGCAGAGAAATCGCCAGCACGACCGAATGACCGCCACTCTCCCCACCGAAGTGGTTTCTCGTATCTTCACAAACTTCCGCCCAAGCATAACATTTTATCCTCTCCCTGAGTTCTTCCAGATGGTTAAAGACGAGGCACTCACCACCATAGATGCCGGAGGACAGACTAAATTGATGTCTACGACCCCTTGGATCGTAGCGTCAGTGTGTCGCTCATGGCGCCATATCATCCAATCTACTCCTCAAATGTGGACATCGATAAGTATCATCCTCGACTATCACCAGCAGGAGGACAATCAGTTCATCAAGAGCTGGATTGAACGCTCAGGTTGCCTTCCTCTTTCAATCAAATTTACGCAGTACGATCGATGCAGCGATATTCGTAACCTCGAACAGATTTTGGGCATTATCAATAGTCATTCCGCACGCTGGAGGCAACTTGAACTTTCTCTCCACCCAAGTATTCTTTCTTTCATCTCCGGCAACCCTACAACTCCAACATCCATCCTGGAGACTGTCCATATCAAGGATAGCTCCTGGTACCAGGAAGATCGCAATGCACCTACCCGTTTCCACATTCAGCATGTTCAACCCGCCCCTCACAGCGTCATTCTCAAGGGCATACCCATGAAGACACTAGACATATCATGGCAGCGGGTAACGACGGTGGAAATCTCGTGCTGCAATCTCCCTGATTGCTTGGACCTCTTACGTAGCATCCATGGACTGACGCGTTTAGTCCTTGATCGCATTGCCGTCAGCGATTCTCTATTGGATGCTCAACCCATCACCCATCATTCCCTTCGCGCACTCAAGATAACGGGAGTCTCCCTCAGTATTCTCTCGCTCTTAATCCTTCCAGCCCTGCAGGAGTTATTCATCCAGTACTCCGACAGACCCTCCGAAGTGACCGATTTCATCGAGCAATCTGGTTTCCATCTCACGCGACTTACGATTAGGCAAGACGAAGATATCTGGGATGTGCACGACGATGCCGAACATGGCATAATAACAATTTTGGAGCTTACCCCAACCGTGCTGGAACTCAGTCTTGTCAAGGTGCGTATCTCCGACGCCCTCTTTGAGCGTCTCGGTCCGGTCGAAGAATCATCCGTGTCTACTTCTCTCGGCAGAACGACGGTCCGATCACACACGTGATCTGGTCCGTCACGGCTCGTGGACGGTTCGGCACAGCCACCGGCGTGTCCGGGCCGGGGTACTGTCTTCCCCTCTGTCACCCCGCGTTGCGCGTGTTTGTCTCGGGGCCCTTCGTCTCCCGCGCCCTCTATCGCTCTGGGATGGCTGACACATGCTGACATGCCCTTCTTTTTTTCCCTAGGTCGGCAGTCTCACGGGCCATCGACGGCCTGCACAACAACGGCTGGCACACGTCCCTGTTGGGACGATCGGCCCCTATCATGGGCGTCTCCACTGCCACGCTCGTGCTCGTCGTCGCGTTCCTGTGCGGCTACGCGCTCGGCGCTCGGCACGGTCCTGCCTTCCGTCAGGGCGCTGCAAAAAAAGTGGGACCCGCCCCAGCCCCAGCCCCTCCTGTCCGTGCAGCGTGCACCCCACCGCCGCTGCCAACACACGCACCAGGAAGCCAAGAAGACCATGAGGCGGTCCTCCGTTGGGTACGTCAATACCCAGTCTTCATATGTGGTACTCAGGCTAATCACACCCGTGGCATAAATATTAGGCAAGCAACATTATTTGCATGTACTCCTACAAGACAAAGGAGGAGCGCATTGCCATCAGCAAGGCCCGACGCACAGCGGCTCGTGCTGCAGCCGAGGGGGCTTGAGGCCTAGAATTACATACATAATGGCTTTATTTAGAACGCTCTGTAAATACATAAATGCACGATCCGACTAACGAAACTGTCTTTTGATGGTTGGAGACCGTCTTTTATTTGATGAACCGTTGGTTGTCAGTCCAGATATAGTTAAAATTTGATGAAAAGACGTGCCTCGACTGTCCTTTTTTTGACCAACCGTCCTTTTTGTGGCCCATGACGGCTTCGGAAATTGATGGCCAGTTCATCAAAGACGGTTTTTCGAGCGGCTTCCCTGCAAGTGTCACACTGGCATGGCAGCTCACCTCGTTGGCTCAGGCTCCCAGTTCGGATCAACGTACGTAAATTACAACGCGCACGCAACGCGTGCGTGTCAAGGACACAATATCTATACACATCAAGTCATCCTAGCTTTCCTCTCTTCCTCTCCCACCAACACACCCCATTTCAAGAACAGCACAATGCACCCCTTCATTGTCAATATGGTATCAAAATTTAGGTAAGTTATTTACATTTTCTATTCCTTCCTTATTCTTCTCCCCTTCCTTTCCTCATTTCCCCTCGGCGATGCGCACGCTCAGCGCTCGCGCACCATATCAGGCCCACGCGGCCTTGGTTTGAGTGATGGGACGCTAAGCGGGGAGCCAGCCCGTCTCGCGCCCACCTCGTGCCCGCCGTGGGCTGAGCCCCCACGGGTCGGCAACGCGTTTGGGGCGTCCGCGTCACACCGTGACGAACCATCCTTTTTGGCGGTCCGAGCCCTACTTCCAAGGCTGCAGCGTTCCTTCCCGTCCTACACACCCTGGTCATCGAATGTGCTATGAACTTCTTGTGGATGTCCGTATGCGATATATTCGCCCCGGAACCCACCCCGTTCCGTCCGTTGCTCAAGATATTCCGCCTTGTCCTACCTGCGGAGTCGTTCCAGAATAGCCCTTTTTCTTTCTTAATTCCCCATGACGAGGCGAAAATGCTTAGAGAGGCACGAAGGAGGCCAAATGCAGAGATATCGATCAGTTGTGGAGTCGATCTACTCCTGTGTGACGAAGATGAGGATGATTATGCAGAAAGCACAGATGAACATATAGACGTTGAGGAGAACGACGAAGATGGCGGAGACAGCAACGATGAGGATGATGACTGTTGAACATCTTACTCTTTGCACCCGAAAGTCAATGTTCTTGGTATATATTTCTTACTCCTTGAATTATTAACGATAGGCAAGATGGTAATATCGGTAACTAGAATTACTTATCATCGTTTGAAGTTGCGCTGGTGGTTTGATCATTCCGAATTATAGAAGAAATCTTTGCGCCTTCTAACTCGGTCTGATGCATAGGTCTGACTTATGGTGTATACTTTCCCGTCCCAGTAATATTTATCAATTATCACCCGCGGATTCTATGCCCGGACGAGCTAGAAGGCGGGAGGGTCACCCCGAATCCTTTCTGCTTTCCGAGAGGGCACAATCATAGTAGAAACTTCTCCCTGCCAGTATTATGATGGTTTAGAAACTCGCCGAGTCCTGGAACGTACGTGGATGAGTGTCATTCCCAGTGCAAAAGACGACGGTGGAGGAAAACCGCTCGCGGAATCGGGGCCTTACAAAGCCATGAGCCACAGAGATAGCCATCCCATTGTCCCCATGATAGCAGTCAATGAGGACATCGGGGATGTGATCGCAATAGTGATCAGCATTAGATGCGTCTCTTGTAGGACAGTACGACGTCTCGTAGAGCGAATGGGAGAATACGCTGAAATGTCCAAGATCTGGGAACCCTTCTCCCTCTCATTGTGCCCCAGTTCAGATGTTCAAGAGCCATCCACGCTGCCGTCCGGTTCTTACCTTCCCTTCCCATGAACTTCATCACGCACTGCACACGAGGTCATCACTCATGGTGGGATGACGTGGACTCCCTTGTCAGGGCGATAGGACTTGTGGAGGTAGGACAGAAGGAAGAGTAAGTAGCCGGGCATTGTGGCAGCGGTGCCATGATAGAACACGAGCAGGACATTGAAAAGCAGGACTCAAGATGTAATCGTATGGCGGTAAAGGTGGTGGTGGTGGTGAGAAACACACATTTTATCTTATCGTGATGGCCGATAACGGCATTGAGCGCTTGAGCTGCGATCCTAACACAACCAACCTCTGGCAAGTCCAGTTGCCGCGTCATCCCTCTCTCCCATTTCCCTTGTCTCTCAAACGACCGGTCCATCGCCTACTTCTCATTCGTGGACGAGGTTTGGGCATGTCTATACGCCGAAAAGCTGGCATTTCCGTCTCCTTTGTCTTCACGAATAAGAGCACAAATCTGTTCCGTGCACCCTCTACCACCGATCATCTTGATATCCTATAGCCGCGCCTTTTATCTCTGACCAACCTGCACTCGTCCCAGCACCCACGTCGCCACTCACGTCGCCGATTCAAGTCTTCTTACACAAGTTTCGACTGGTATCTCCCCCTCTTCGTCCTTGAAGCGACTTCACGTGAACTTGTTCATCTTCTTTCTCGAGGTCATCTCAGATTCCTTCAGACATCCTCCGTTTTCATCCTCAATTCGGCCACAAGCTCCCTGTAAGTTGTGCCTCGCGAGCGTTCATGCTGCCGGACCTAGCTAGATCTGACGAACTCGAGTGATGAGTCGAGACGCGCTAGGTTGCATGAGACATTCTACCATCATGCTTTAGGCCTTTCATTCCCGTGTTGGCACCGGATACTGAGTAGGTGGGCTTGAAGATCTGGCGTGTCGTAAAGGTGATAGGGCGGTCAGTGAGTCACGGTGGCGGTCACGCCTGTAGTGCACAAGGAATGTGCAGTCGTCATTCAGCAACTCGCCAAAGCTGGCCGAGAATCATAATTTGAGGTAAGAGCTCTTTCAAGTAATCGACGAATTATCCTTACTATCGCCCCCTATTCTACGCTCGATTCCTCCTGACACCTGGTACCACCTCCTCGACCTTTTCCCGCCATCGAGACATCTTGACCTTATCTACCTACCTCTGTCGTCCGCATGAGATTGAAAGGAGGACTTGCCACTTGTTATCAATGAGCAGTCTACTCAGCTACACCGTCCTTTTTGGATTCAGAAGTTGGATATCCCGATTCTTCGAGTCTTCGCTACATCAAGCGCCGCATCACCCAGCCGCCACTTTTCCATGCTTCCTTCATGGCACCTACTTTATAGTATTACGTCCCCACTAGCCGCCATGCGATGGACTAAATTTGCACTGCTGGATCTGAAAGCGCTTGCCTCGTGCACATGAAGTTTATGTTCTCAAGAAGCGCAAAGGCCCATCATACTCTCGGTTGAGGCGGCGCATCTGCCTTCTACTCAACTGTCTACAGCTCCCGGAAAGTAGAGTTATGCTTGCTGTAGAGCTAATTGGTTGGCGGTACGTCGCACTGGGGCTGAGTGTTCCTTCATATGTACGTCTTCCAACTCTTCATATGAGCATCCGTACGGATCATGTTTGAAGTTATCCCTTCTAGCGCGATACATATGAGAAGAATTGGCTTCTGGGTCTCGGAAGGTGTGCATCATTTTGATTACATCGACGCAGCGTCACAGTCCTACGTGGTATAGCTGAGAGGAAGGATTTGGACCGGCACAGCGAAGAGTATAAAAGGATGTCGGCGTGAACTCAACCCTACTGTCTCAAGCCCACTTAGACGTTACAGTTGACACAATGCGATTCCAACGATCTATCCGCCACCTCCTCGTCCTCACATTTGCTGCAATCATCGTCGCCGATGCACTCCCAGTCGATTCAACTATTGAGGAGAGGCAAATCCCATCTCCTTCAATCGACAACCCTCTCCCATCCATCTCCCTTCCCACCCCCACTGGAGTTATCCCCACTGGAATTACCCCTACCGGAATAGCCCCCACCGGAATTATCCCCACCGCGGGGCTGCCTATAACTACAATCCCTACGCTCCCAGGAGCCCCAGAACCCCCTAAAGTTGGACCTCCGCTTGCGTTGTAGGGGATGATGCATAATTCAAAGGTGAGTTTGGGGAAGATATGTTTGCGGTTCGAGACATACGCTGACCGATTTCAAATATAGACAGGATCGATGGATTTATTGTGTTGAGATTACGCGAGGAGGCTATCGTCTATGGACTCAGAAATTATATATATATTTCTGACTGAACTCGCGAGCGGCAAGGACTGAATAAACGTGATTTGCGCGATAGATTGTGCTGATTGGGCTCGTGTCTATCGTCCGAGAGAAGACGTCAGAGCGAGGCTGATCATACCTAGCAGGCTAGCACTTCCTGCGTCCTGTTTTATGCCTATCGGTGCATTAAAACAAGATCCATGAGGGTGCCTGCCGTTGATCGTTGTCTCAACCTCGCTCCATTCTCTTTCATTTAGAAGAATCGTCTCTTCAATGCGATTTCCCTCGCTCGTGGGTGTTAGTGCCCTTCATTGCGGTATTTGATCCTCCTTCGGAACATTCTCTGTTACTCATTCGTTCTTCCGTTAATCCTAGAGTGTCATCACGCCTCGCTCCCGCGACGGTGCGCATGACCTTCCCTTTCGAAGTCTCCGCGATCGGTACGTACTGCCGAGGCTGAGAGCAGCGTTGCACTGTGCCGTCTCCTCTCCCCATTGCCCCTCATGGCCATCTGTCCATAACAACGGAGCGCACTGGCCGGGCAGGAGCGTCTTGAAAATTTCGTGTACCCCACTCTTCACTCTTCCGTAGAACGACCAGGTCTAGTCTCATGCACGTAAATCCCTTCTCGCTTCATTCCACCCTTCGTCTTCGTGCATCTCGGGACCCAACGATTCATACACTCCGCTCTTGGGGGTGAGCATCTCAGTGCAACACGGCACCCTTTCTGAGGTGTATCTCTGGCCGCTAACGAAAAGATCTCCTTTATTGATCTCTCTCTTGCGTCTGGATCTCGTATACTGAAAATAATTGCCGGGTTCCGTTCTGCATACGCTCCTCTCGCGTCAAGTAGTCACTCGCGTAGAGATAGGTGTGCGTTTTTCAACCAAATACCTTCGTCTTCCGTTGTCTCTGCTCTCTTCTTTCATGTTACACTTATCAGGCACAAAAAGCGGCGAAATGCCAGTCCATACTCGGTCTTGTTGTCAATGCGAACGTGAATGAGGCTGATGGTATTCCCCTAGCCCAGGTTCGGCCGCCTTTCTCGCACGGGGAAGGTCTTGAAAGCTTGTTATTAGAAGAACGGGGTATAACTGGGGTATAACTCCAATTCTTCTGCATCTGTTTCCTCGTCTCGGGCAAGTACCAGCTGCTGGTAATGTACCTCAAGCTCAGAGGCTCGGGGCGCCAGGTGTGTAAGTTCGCTCTTTTACTTTACTTTCTACATGGACTTGGGACCACTTCTCGTTAGACAACCATCACGCGGAAATTCGAAGGGTTAGTAACATCCCAGTCCCTCTAGGTTGCTGCTTCCCAGCCAGTACGTTTCCAGCGGTTCCCAGTCTGGGTACACCTTTGTTGAGAGACGACACACTTCCTATGCTGACATCAGAGTATCTGGAAGGAACGTATCAGAAATCAAGCCGATAACTAGAGGGAGAGTAGACTCCGTCGATGTTAGGAATGCCAATGAACATAAGGTTACGTGAGTCTTTTGTTTCTTCTAGTACCCTCGTCGAAAATAATACTGCCTTTCTGACGTTAGACGTTCAGTAAGAGTCTCCAAGTGTGAGACGACGTTTCCAAAATCAGGCATATGGGCAAGCAATATGCACTTACCAAGGGGTACGTCTTCCTTCCATCAACTCTTCATATGAGAATCCGTATGGATGACGCGAATCATCCTTCTAAGTCAGATTCTAACGCGTTACATTTTTAGTGGAGGCTTCTGGGCCTGGGAACGTGTTTATCATGGCATCGGCGCAGCGTCACAGTCCTACGCGGCATGTGTGAGGAGGAACAATTTGGACCGGCACAGTATAAAGGATGTCGATGGCAACTCAATGGCGTTTTCTCAAGCCCACTTACAGGTCAAGACGATGCAATTCAAACAATCTATTCACCGCCTCCTCGTCCTCGCGATTGCGTCGACTGTAATCCTCTTTGCCGATGCGCTCCCAATTGACTCGGCTATCGAGGAGAGGCAATTCCCACCTCTCCCAATCAGTCTCCCAGCCCTCTCCCTCCCTCTCGACCTACCGCTCCCCACAGGGCTGATCCCGGCACTCCCTGCACTTGCCCTCCCTGCCCTTCCGGCACTCCCGGCACTCCCTGCCCTTCCGGCACTCCCGGCACTCCCTGCCCTTCCAGCACTCCCAGCACTCCCGGCGCTGCCTGCACTCCCCGCTCTCCCTATTTGACTTCCGCTTGGGTGAGGCGAAATTCAATGGTGAGTTTTTGGAAAATCTTTTGTGGTTTGGGGCATATGATAATCGGAAACCCAGGTAGGATGAACGTTGGACGGAGAATTGGATCATGGGCGGCACTCGTCTTCCCCGGAGTCAGAAGTTATATCCTTTTTTTCTGATTGAACTCGAGAGCGAAAGGAGAGTGAATCGATGTACTTCGTAAAGCGTCTAGTGTTGCGTTGGGTTCTTAATTTTTTGTGCCCGAAGAACAGTGTTCAGGGCTACACTTTCATTTAACCGCCGATGGGGGATTTTCGCTACATTCGTTTTATCAGGACTTTACATACCTATCTTATCTTAACACTTCGCTTCGTGATTCCGGCCCTCGTGTTCCTTTCTCCTTGCCTCCTTCTACTACGTCGGTAATTTATATCTTCGCCAACCATTCTCAAATGCAGCTCTTGGGGGAAATCAAAGTCCACACCGGAACAGTTGTGGAGAAAGAAAGGCAGTTGGAATGGCATGTCGGCGAAGAAATGTCAGTAATGCGGCAGAATGTCTGACAAATCGTCGTATCATGATATATGCAGTACCTCGAAATGTGGTCTAAGCTAGATGTGCCATACTAGCCCCAAGCCTGCTTCCCGATCGCATGGCAAACGAAACCATGCTAGACCTCTGCCTCTGTCGTCCCTGACTCCTCAGTAGATGACTCTCCGGCCGACAGGCGGTCTGTTCTTCCCTAGTTTCAGGAGGGCTATGCCGAAGCTGAAGAATCCCAGAGAGTATATAGCACGTAGGTCAGGCTTCCCGGAAGTCCCCGTGAGTACGGTAGTCTGAAGCGTGTAGACGAAGACGGACGAGACGTATGCTAAAGCGGCATAGAGGCAGTAAGCTTGGGGGAGGCTGAACGCAAGGGCGAAGGCGCGAGTACGGGCTGTTATGTCCACCTGGCTCTTTGTAACCTGGAGCCGGTTAAGCTATACTCGTCATCAGCGCATCAGTTCGTGAGGGGAGGACGTGAGGTGGCCTAACAGCCTTGGGAACCTTGGCCGTGCAGATGCTACAGGCAAGGAAGCCACACTGACAGAAAAGGACGGATAGCATACAAAGGAAATAACAGAATTGGGGTGTGTGTTTGTGGACCAAGACAGCAGTTGCACTTGCATGGGAGGGCCGTTACGCGAGAAATACGAGAAAGCCAGGGAGGGACATACCTAAGAAATGTGAGGTCCTGATGGAATTGATCAGGTTCCACAAATTCATCGTGGATCAGAGGGGATAGAACGAGAAGGAAAAGAAGGGAATACGCACCATGACGAAAAACGATCCCCACATTTTCATCAGGCGCTCTTCTAGCTGCTCCCTTGGCCGGCCATCGACGCTCCCGCTGCTCATATCGATAGCCGTACCAAGCTCTCTCTCGTACCAGATGTTAGAACCAACCAGGAACAGGCTGTAAAAATCCATGATGGAATATAAAATTAAATCTGGGAAGCGCAGCGCAGAGGGGCCCCGAGCTCGTCCACCCTTCCTTGTTGCTCGCAACGTCTTTGGAATCCGGCGTGGTAGGAACCTAGGTCCACAACAATCAGAGAAGTGTCTATGAAGGCAGAAAACGGCGCAGCACTTCTGATGCGTATTGATTCATGTTCAGAGAATCTTTGAAGTCGTAGGTACAAAGTTAATCCCGCTGTGTCGGCGTTTGAGGGTTCAGCAAGAGTGTGGAATGAATTTCGAGAAAGGCTGGTTCGTTTATGAGTTTGTGGACGTGTGGGCGATAGCACGGTTTCCACAAGAAAGTGTTCAACCAAAAGGCGGCCATGGTGGTTCCAGACCGTGTCTAAGAATCTGATAAGATAAGATAACACAGGTGTCATCCGTCTCCCGAGCGCTGTCTACGACATGGTTTCACACTCCTCGTACTCGCGTCGTCCCTGCCGAACTCGTTGGCCTCTCTGGACGCGTTCCCGCTGTTCCTATGCTCTTACCCTGATCCACACATCACATCCCGCCTAATCGACCTTCTGTCATCCTTCCCGCGACACTCCCACCACTCGATCTGGTCCCGTCCATTCTGTATGTTGTCCGACGTGCTTCTGTCACTAATTTTGTGAGTGTTGTGCATCGAAATGGCTTACAACACGTTCGACTATGCTGAATTTAATCGCAATTGGTGATATAATGGTCTATTGGTGCACCAATTCGAAATATGTCTTGTAGGGAAGACAATAGACTGAGGGATGTTGAATCTATCCCATCTCCGAGAGATTGGGCAGCGGCACCGATCAGGCAACAAAATCCCAACAAGTCAAGGAATAAACGACCCAAGAAGGTCCATGAATAAAGAAAAAAGAACCCTGTCGATGGTGTAACGCACTGTGAAGCCCCCACCTGGCTTTCTATTTCAACTCTAAAACGACCTCGCTCCCCCGAACGATGCAAGGCGCACGTTGGGAAGCAGGAGGTAGGTATGGCAAATAGAAAGGGAGGTGGGTGGATGGGTGCCTATACGCCTCGTGAATGGTCTGGTGAGGGTGGGAGAAACGAAGGAAACATAGGTAAAATGAGAGATACGAACAAGATGTGTAAACGGGCTTCGGGCATTTCCCAAAACTATCGCGAATGGTGTTCAGGGGGGGTT